GAGTTGCTTTTCAATGAGTTTCTTGTCAGCATTTGTAACTTCATATTGTTTACCTAACTCTTGCAATTCTTTTTCAAATTCTTTTAGAGACAGAGTTGTCTTTTCAAGCTTAATTTGATATTCAGTTGCTGCTCTTTCGGCCTTTTCAAGAGCTTCTCTCTTTGGTTTCACACTTTGGTAGACTCTTCCATACTTTTCAATAGCAATAGCCCATTTAGCAAGTCCAATAACAGCTCCAGAGGCAGCTTCAATCTTTTCCAAATTATTAAGCTCGTACCTTTCGATAGCATTATGAATAGTGTTCACCAATCTTTCTGTCATTTCTGATTTTGGATATTCAATCAATGAGTTCAAGAATTTCATTGGATTTGACATTTGATTCTTAATACCTTCCCAATTTGTTTCTGCCTTCTTAAGGATAATCAAAATTACGTTGAAAACATTGATAACTTCTTGGGATGGGTTGGTATACTTTTTGATTTCATAAATATCATTTGGATCAATATTCTTGATTTGTTCTTCTGCTGCTTCAAGCAGTGGTTCAACCTCACTAAGTTGTTTTCTACTTTGTTCTTGTAACTTGTTTGCCTTTTCTTTTTCACTTTCAATTTGAGATTTTTCAACACTAATTTGACCTCTAATATTGTTACTTTCAGTTTGTCTTCCTACAATGTGATCCATCAAGTTGTCGCATTTCTTCTTCTTTTCATCAACTTCTTTATGTTGTTTATCTAATTGGACAGTCATCTTCTTTATAGCAATATTGGTGTTTTCAAGTGTCCTAACACCCAATTCATTGTCTTCAACAGCCTTAGTAAACTCTGATTTCTTCTTTTCCAACAAGAATACAAAGTCTTTAACCAAGTTCAAGTAATTTGATGGAGTAATAAAATTGACTCTTTGAGTCTCTGCTTTCATCTTCTCAGACATTTGTTTGACGTGCTTATGTACTTTGACAAAAACATCAGAAATTGTGTCTCTAAATGCCTTTTGTTGTTCATGAGGCTTATTTGAAGAAGGAGAAGTTGGTCTGGATTTTTCAGATGCTTCATCCTTTTGGAGGAAGTATTCTACATTACTGATATCAGTCAAGAAAGATCCAGAAACCTCTCTAAGAGCTGGTTCTGGCCATTCATTAAACCAATCAATGGTTGAATATTTGGCAATTGCTGGGAACATTCTCATTCTCATCTTGAATAATTTACCAGTAGGATTGAGACAAGTGATGACATGAATATTGTTTCTGACTTTTTCAATAAAGTATTGATAGACTTCTTCCACCAAATCATTACAACCACTAATGATAGCTTCTCTCTTACAAGTGTCATAAATTGTTTGTATTTCTTCACCACTGAATAGATTTGGAATTTCTCCAGTACTTAATAAGCTGTTAACATTTTCAAACATAATGTCCTCAGTAACTGAAGAGTCAGAAAACATTAAAGCAATTTCTTTACCCTTAAATCCAGCATCCCAATATATCTCCTTGATTGTTTCTTGGAATTCTTTAAGAGAGAATGTTGAAGAAATTTGGAACTCAACAAGTTTGTATCCAATCATGTGTGTAACCAATCTTGAGAGACTTTGACGACCACTTCCACCTACACCAATTAAAAGTGCATTACCTCTACTTTGTTTGAGAATTCTATAAATTCTACAAATGTGTTCAATAGCTTCATGGAAGAGAACAATTTTAAGAGGAGGTTTTCCAGACTTATCATTATATTCTCTAATTCTGGTATCTAATTCTTGTCTTACCATTTCAACTGATGGCATTTCTACATAACTTCTCTTGTCATGGAACATTATTAAATCACCAAAAAGAGTTGGTTTGTAAATACCATCTGAATCCATAAAATCAGTGGTTGAGACAGTCGGAGCTTCGGCACCTGGTGAAGGTGATTGGGATGGGGCTGTGTTTTGGACTTCATCATAAACAGCACTATACAAACGTCTCCACTTATATCCAAAAACATCTGATAAATGTTCTCCAATCTTATCTCTAAACCACTTTCTATCTTCTTCATTCGAAAGTCTGTCGTGGAATACTCTATAACATTCATGAACCCATAATCTCAAGGTTTGATCCTTGCTGTCAAGAGATTCATGGTCAGCAAAAACAATTCCTTGGAAAACTCTTGATAAATCTTTCAAGTTGAATGTATAGTGACTCTTCTTTGGTGTTGGTAAAAGGTAAGAAACAACAGATTTGAATAATCTTAATGTTGCACTTGTTAATTCTTCAGTAATGGATTTGGCTTCTTCTAATTTCTCCAATCTTTGACTGATTAAAGTACCATAAATTCTACTGATTTGAGCGTCTGTTGGTGCGGTAATGTTAATAACGTTAAATCTAGTAATTAAACGGTTAGAAACTTGTCCTTCTGGACCCATAGCAGCAAGTAATTGAACTTTCTTTAACTTTTTGACTGTACATTTGTTTCTATCATACCAAAGTCCATAGTCAATGTATTGTCTAATCAATTCAAGAGGTGCTTGAGAACCAAATTCATCCTTTTCAGGCATATTAAAGTCATCAGCAAATATAATCATTTGTTTTCCTGCATATGGTGTGTATGTGTCTAATGACTTTTCAACCTTTGATTCAACTAACTTTTGCACAGCAGCAGATTCAGTCTTAGCACATAAAGACATAGCACATGTGGTGTAATGTCTTTCATCAAATTGTGATAATGTGGAGTGAATGATTGCTGTTTTACCGACACCATAATTACCAGTAAGCAAAACTTGTTGATTAGATTTAAGTAAAGCTTGGATAATGAAAGAAGATCTAACTGTATCAATTGTTGGTACGATTTGTTTGTGGAATGGAGCGCCATTTTGCATCTTCCAAGATGTGTTAACCCTTTCATTCCAAGGTCTCCACAATTTGCTCTTTGAATCAATATAGTACTCATAAACAGTATCAGAACTTGGGAATTGAGGATCATATTCTCTGAATAAAATATCCATCTTCTTTCTTCCCTCTTCATCAACAGATGCACCAATAGTCCAAATTAAACAGAAAACAAGATACTTCTTAATTAAATCTTGGTAAACTTCCAAATCAGAAGGATCAAGTCCATTTTCAACTGTTGCCAAAGCATCAAACATAGCACAGAAAGACTTTACAGCATGTGCATCAACTAAATGAACTAATTCGTGTTGTTGATTCTTTTCATCAAGAACTCTTTGGATATAGTTCTTTTCCAAGAGAAGTTGGCTCAAGAATTCAATGATAGTATCAGGTGTAGGATAACCAATCTTTTCTTCGTACTTCCTTCTTTGATTAAACCAACTCTTCAATATTGGTTTCCATCCCAACTCATTAGAGTTAAAGTAAACCATACCACATCTACTGATTGTACCAGGGGAAGCAGATTTCACATCTGATACTTCAAATAAGAGATTAATATTTGGTGTTAATGGAATTCTATCACCACTAATTAAAGTTAACATTTTGGTATCATCCAACAGAGTATTCATTGATTCAACCCAAAGTGTATCTATTGGACCATCAAAAACAATCCAATGATGTTTGTTTTCTTTTGAGTCTTTAACAGCTTCTCTAAGGATAGATGAGAATACACCATCTTTCCAATCTCTACTCTTATCATAATTACCATAAAGTTCATCATGATTCAAAGATTTTGGATTGATAACATATTCCTTGATATCAGTTCTGAAAGCCTTACTAATAGAGTGTTGTAGAATCTTCCAAGTAGTTGATTTACCAGACATTGTATCACCAATCAACATGACACCATGTCTTTCAGCCAAAATTTCTTCAAGTTGAACACATTTTGAAATGATATAATTTGAAACTTGATAATTTTGCTCAACTAAGACCTGAGTAATGGCATCTGATAATGCTTGATTAACATTGTCAATAAACTCTTTGTTAGGGAACATATCTCTCATGATGGAGTTGAAGATTGGAATGTCTTCTGGTTTCAATTTTGGAAGATTCATACTTCTACAAGCCATCATAATAATTAAATCTTCATCCTCTGTTAATTGATTCTTTCTATATTCACCGGCAGTACTTAATAAAGAACATATGTTTCTAAGACCAAAATCATAGTGAGGTTGTTTGGAGAGTTGGTCATTAAGAAGACCATAAATAGTTGTAATTTTCTTTGATAATGTTTGAGTATCCTTAAATCCTTGTGAGTAAAGTTTGATTTCACAAATCAAAGAAGAATCTGGAACCATCATTGCAACTGGTCTGAGAAGAACCTTCAAATTATCTGGTAAATCTGTTCTTCCGACATAGTTAGGATTCATGGTAACGAAAATACCACAGGTAGGATTGATCTTGATATCATTCCCTTCAAAAATGAAGCTCTCAACACCAATTGAAACAGCGTTCAAAATTTGAAGAATTTGTTGTGCAACAATTGAAAGAACATCGAGTTCAAGTCTGTTAAATTCATCAAAACATGACCAAGAACCTGTTTGAACAATACCTGAGAATGTTTTTGCAATTGATTGATAATCAAATCTGTCAGAGCAGTTGAGGATTAAGGTATGTTTACCTACAGCCTTGGCAAGGTCTTTGACAGTTTCACTTTTACCAGTACCTGCTGGACCTTGTGTGCAACCACCTTTCTTCAGTTGTAAAGCTGTTGTAAGAGCCAGGAAACATTTTTCTGTTAATGGTGTAACAACAAGTCTACTACAGTTACCAATGTACTCATAACCATAATCAATTTCATTAGTTCCTTGCTTGACAATGCATCCATCCTTTTCTTCATCCCACTCAAGTCTCATTTGTTTTTGCCATTCAAAGTCATCACAAGATGTTACCTTACATTTGATCAATCTATCAATAACATCTCTTGCATGAACTTCGAGAGTAATAAGAGCAATAACTTTGAGTCTGTCAAGTGACTTCATATCCTTACCCATAGAACTATAACTTGTAAGATAGTCCATCCATTCTGGTTTCAGTCTAAGTTTGAGTTCCTTCAAAATCTTTGATGGTTCTTTTTGCTTTGAAAGGACGTTAACAATCTTCTTAGTCCAATATAATTGGGAAGACAAAAGCACTAATTGACCAGGCCATTCCTTGATCCAAGACTCTCTTGAGGACTCTTGTGAGTAATTCTTAAGAGCTGAAAAACATTTCAAAATACCTCTCTTAATAGATGCTTTCATAGATAATTCAACTTGTGAAAGCCATTTTTCAACATTTCCTTCAAGTGGGACTGGGTGATTGAATTCCATTTGTTCTCCCTCTTTACTAATAAAACTCTTGGCAAAGAATCCAAATTGACGAGAATCACTGGACTTTTCAATCTTCAACATCTTAATTCCTTCAAATAAGTTAGATAAGTGACGTTGCATGGCATTAGGATCTTTGCTTTGACCCAAAATTTGAAGCAAATCATCATCAGACAAGAAATAGAATCTTGGGAATTCTTGTCTCTTCAATTCTAGATAGCCATCTAACTGCTTTTGGATTAACTCAAGTTTGGAATTCATTTCAGAAAGTAAGATATTAATGTTATCTCTCTTAGCAATAGCGAGTATTCCTCTATTATCACTCAAAGATTTCATTAAATTCTTCCAACTAGAGTTTACGGATTTAAATACACCAAATTCATTATGTAATTGTTTTTGAATATCTTCAACATCAAAAATGTTAAGTAAATAGATCCACTGTCTTTGAACAAGCAATAGCAAATCGATAACTTCGTTAATTTTTGCCAAAGTTTCTTCCCAGAACTTGACATCACTTTGGAATGATGTTATAAATGGATTTAACTTCATACCACCAAGTGAAGCAACATTATCATCCAAATTAATGTAAATAGGTTCTGTGGATTGTAATTTGAAATAATTATCCTTATATGGGACAATGTCTAAGAAAGTATTAGACCAAATATCACTAATCTTCTTAATTTCTTTTTCTAAAATTAATTCTTGACTTGCTCTATTAGAAATGTTTGTAATATCATCTACATAATTTTCCAAGTTGAGCTTGAAAATCTTTTCCAAGTTAAACTCTTTAGAATTCTCCTCAAAGTCTTGTTTTATAATATCCTTGAGTTCAGACCAGTGTCTCTTTCTCATGGCTTGATTCTTAAGCTGTTGAATTAATGGCAAAACTTTAGCTACAAGATTAAGTTTGTCAATTAACCCATTGAAAACTCCCCAATCTCTGACCTCTCTTCCCATTGCTGTGAGCTTTGATGATATTCTTGTGGAAGTTCCTTCCATTTCCTCAATGTTTAGCTTTCCAAAGAGCGTATACTTCCATTCATCATAAGTTTTGTCCCATTCACTCTTGAGCACCCAAACTTTTTCAAGTGATTCAATGCTCTTAGCAACATCTTTGATTTCTTTGTATTGTTGTGGTTGCATGTTGAATATCTTCAAACCATTCTTAAGCTTTTCTTCTTCTTTCTTCTTAGCTTCAACTTTATCACGGAAAGAATCAAGAACTGCTTTTGCTTCTTTAAAGCTGTATTGAGAAGAGAAAGGTGCTGTATTTTCGAACTCTCCTTTGAGTTGAATAAGTGAATTTGCAAAAATGTCGATATTTGCCCTCAACTTCATACGGAAAGTTTCTTTTTGATTTTCTAATTCACCTCTTGCCTTTTCAATTAGTTCTTCAAACTTGGCGCTGTTATCAGCCAAATTATCGAGATTGTCTTGTTCACGGTCATCAATTTTGACATCGTAATTTCTCAACAACTCATATTGCTCATATAGAGGAGTGAAACCAGCCTTCTTCTTTGGATAATCAGCGTCCATTCTTGCAACAAGTTCGATTTTCTTTTCCAAAGCTTCAAGATTTCTTGGTTCCTCTCGTAATCCCTTTCCATTCTTTTCGAAAAGTTCATAATTCTTATCAAGCTCTTTCTTGGTGTTACTATGCAAGAGATCAAGAAGTTTAGATTGCCATTGATTACATTCCATGAAAAGTGTTTGTTTAAGTGGAGCAAAATCAAGTTGCAAATAACCAATGTACATTGTTGGATCCTTATTTTGAATTTCTTGGTGAGCATCTCTATATTTGTTGATTTCTTTCTCGAAAGAGCCTGCATTACGGTTATGAGGAATACCAAATCTTCTGATAAAATTGTCCTTATCCACACTCCAAATAGATTTGAATGATTCTTTCCATTCATTAAGATTTTCTGAAACTCTTGTGGTGATAGCATCCATTCCTTCCATAATAGAAACAATTGATTTGATAATATCAGGATCAAGTTCAATATTCTTTTCATAGTAATTTGTAGATCCTTCCTCAGGAATAAACAAGTTAGGATCAATTTTATCCTCTTCTATCTCTGGTTTGTCCTCTCTTATATGTACTAGGATTTTCTCCTTAAGAACCCTCTTCAAACGAGGCACGACAGTAACAATCTTGGTTGTTTCACCGTTTACGTTTGTTACCATTGTCATCATTTCCTTGATATTTGGATTTAAACCAGGATTGATTTCATCTTCATTTTCTTCTTTCAAATCAACTCTAACAAGGAACAATGGATTTCTATTGATTCCACCTCCTTCATTATTTTTTTCAGAATCAACTCCATTAATAGAGTTAAGAAGCTTTTGGAGGGATTTTTTGACTGTCATTCTCAAGGACTGATCAATCTTAAGTTCAACATTGTCAACAAAGGCCCACCATTCCTCGAATATCTCTGGACCTCCATTTGCAAAATATCCATAAAGCTTAACCATCATATTTACAATATTTTCATGACACTTAACAAGTTCATCCTTTACCAGCTTTCTGTATGATTCTTGTTCTCTTTCAAACTCATTTGTTTCACCATCATATACTTTCTTATTTTCAATTTTAATCAGTAATGTATCTGCCATTTTCTTACAATTCAAAAAAATTTGTGTAACATTGTGCTTAAAATCGCAAATAATTTCCTTAACATCTTTGCACTTCTTCCTTGATTCAGTAAGATAATGCTCGTTATGCATTTTCAATGTCCAACCCAGAGTATGTAACCCTGGAAGAATTTGCTTATCAATTTCTTTGATATATTTGACAAACAACCTAGATTCTTGCTCGGATAAACTGGTAATAATACTATTATAATCCCTAGCGACTAATGCAACATTTTCTCTGTACAAACGCATTTGCTCGGCATAGCAATACATTTCTAAAGCCTGTTCATTAATATCAAAATTAGAAAATCTTTGCCAATATTTAACTTCTTCAAAAATGTTTAACAAGCTTGTGTCAAAGTTGAGTTTCAACATCTTTTCAAATTTAACAAGCAAAGGAATTTCTAACTTATAATGAAGCTCTGGCCCTGAAAAAGAGTGGTTCCAAGATTCAAACATAGACAACACATGTTTCTCTAAATTTGAATATACTTGTTGATATTTCTTTTCAACTTCCTGATGTTCCTTTGTTCTTGGTAAAAAGTGAGCCTTATTCAAGTAATCCTTATCTCTTTTAATTCTGTCTTGAAGTCTTTTAGCCCATAAAGCCGAACCAGAATAGGTTGGATAAATAAATGGAACAGGAGGGTTTTTTCTATGTAATTCAAAAGATTTTTGAACATCCTCCAGCTCTTTGATAAATTTCAAACATATGAATTGAGTCTTGGTTTCAATACTTCTCTTAATTGATTCTCGTTTTGCTAAATAAGAAAAAGCTTCCAACAATTCAATACCATTTTGCAAGTCAGTTACAGTTTCAAAAGCGTTAGTAATAACCGTTTGCATCATAGTCTCCAAATCCTTAATTCCATTCTTGAATTTCTTGTAGTCATCATTCCAATTAGTTGATTTAACATCCAAAATTGGATATTTGAGATTACTCAAGTCGTTAATTAATTTTTGGAAAGATATTCTGATATCAACAAAACTCTTTGTCACCTCAGGTCCTTTAGTACCTCCAAACTTTGGTAAACCATTCTTTGTATTATCTATTGATGCTGTGAAACTTCCAAATTGTAACTGGGCTTCACAAACCTCAAGTAATTCTCCACATCTTACTACAAAAGCATCAATTTCAGAGAAAACACTACTCTTATCATAATTAAATGCATCACTTTCGTTCTCTTCTAATGATAAATTTTTCCAGTAGTCACCAGCCTTGATACTTTGGTTTAAAATTTCCATGCATTGCTCAACATTTCCATTGAAAATATCTGTCAAAGAAATCTTGGCTGTACAAATGTGAATAATTTCATTACTGATCTTTTTAAGCAATCCAGATATTCTTTCAGATGTATTATAGCTGTTAGAATTAGAATTAATTAATTGAACCATGAATAATATTTCTGGTAAAATGTCTGAAATCATTTGTGGACTTGCTTGCGCAAGTTTTTCGCAAGGTTCTTGCAAAGTTTTCAAGTATTTAAGATTATCCAAGGCTTCATCTGAACCTTTTTGAATATCAGTCGATAATTTCTCAAAAGTACTTAAATATATCGAATTAGATAGAACTGTAACTATCTTCTGTACATCTTCTCTTTGGATTTGCTTTTTAATGTTAATAAGGTCATCTGCTCTGGATCTCCAATATTCAATTTCCGACAATGGTCTAGCATTATCACCATGTTCTCCATATGAATCCTTTTCGCTAACAACTTCTCTAATTTGGGAAGTCCAGTGCATCAAAGCGATTTCTAATCTTTGAATTAAATCCTTTTGGTTTTTAGCATTTTCTAAATCAATATCCTCATTTGGTACGTAAAGTACTGTTGATCCTTTTGATCTATAATATGTTTCTGTTAAATATGCCATAAATTTGTGAAGTTGAGATAGGAAATCCTTTTGAAGACCTTAAGAAATGTTAGTTAATTATTATTAAAAGAACCTACTTTCTGGCCAATTAGATTTTGCTTCCATAAGATCTGGTGTAAAGTAATTTTTCATCAAGTTTAAGAAATCTCCGAGTAATTCGTGAGTGAGGATACCATATGACATGATTGTCGAAATATTATCCAATGATATCACTTCTTCACTAGGCTTATCCTTAAGTATAAAGAGCAAACGATCCCAAACATTCTTCTTAGCAAGCTCATAAGTGCCAGATACTATGTATTGATTATTATTAATGAAAGCGAACAACAAGAGATTTTCATCATGAATCAGAAATTCTGCAACAACCCTTTGTGCTTCGGGTGGCCATTGTACTGATGTGTCTTTGTGTTTTGTTAATTTGTCTTGAATGACTCCTTTCATCCAAGTAATACTCTGTTGGTCCGCCAACAAATGTCTATTATCCTCTTGTAGGTGATTTGGTTGTTGGAACATTTTTTTGTAGTTTAGTTTTACCAAGTCTGCAAAATTTTGGCGCCAACATTTTACCATACAAAACCTACAGTATGATATTGTCTAAAGCAATTTCAGATTGAAATCTTCAAAAGAAATTAGTACAATAGCTATTGAAAAACAACATACTTAATTTTTACTCGTGAAATTCTCAATAATAATCTTTTCGAGTGTTTGTGTTTTCCTTCTCGCTAATTTGAATGCCTTCCTGAATTTGGTCTTTTCTTGTTCATCAACAATAAAAGATTTAAATATCTTTTCGTCTGATTGTTCAGTTTGGTCAAAAGCTGGAACATTTTCCCAAAACTCTAAGGCACAATACATGGTTGTTAATAAAAAGTCCAATTCACTTCCTTCATTTCTATAAATTCCATCCAAACAGAAAGTAACTAGAAACCACATATCACTATTAAGATTATGAGGACAAGCTTTCAAAACTAGATAAATTAAACAACTTAATAAATGATCTGATGAGAATGCTCGATCTACTTGTGTACAAATTTCAGATACTCGTTTAAAAACCTTTTCTACAATATAAATTTTACCATATGGTGTCTTGTACTGATTGAGTTTTCTTAACAAGTGAATACACTCATTCCAAGCTGCTTCTTCATTTTTATAGAAATCATTTGGTAAACTAATATGTTTTGGTTCCAGCACATTTTGGAATAGTTTAAGCTTTTTGTATAATTTTGTATCTTTTTCATAATGAACATTAAATGTACCATCAACAGCTATTATTTCAAATATCAGTTTTTGAATACACTTTTCAATATTTTGTGAATATTTAGATTGTTGATCTTTTGTTATTAGAGAACAAAGGTCATATAATTCTAATAAATTCTTTGAATTAATGCCAATATTTGGCTCCATTTTAAAGTATTTTAATAAGAAAGTATTAATTTTCTCGGAATAGTCAATTAAAAATTGCTTATATTCGTCAATAGGCAATAGTTCATCATTATAAAATAATGGTGATAAAGTACTCGAATATTCAGTTAGATTATAAAGATTCAATGAAATTTGAATTAAGCTTTCTTGTGTTGTTGGTTTTTGAGTAATTGTATCATCATGTTCCACAAAAACAAAATCACCTAATCCTTCTTTTCCTTTCATGGATCCACTAGAACTTGTAAGTGACAAAGCACCTTTCAAAGTAGATGTTACAAATGTTCGGATATTAGATGTTGATGTTTTAATATTATCACTAACATTTTTAATATTGTCAGTAAGAGGAGTTGTTATATTACTTAATTGAAACCAATTTGTAAGGGGAGTCATTAGATTAGATCCTCCACTCGATAACCATCCTGATCCTATCAGAGAAGAATTAGAACTTAATATTGATGATGGTGAATCCGATGATGAAGGTATTGACTCGACTGAAGTTGGTGATATTGATACAAATCCATCATGATCAGCAATATCAGACAACTCTAGGTTTGGTGCTAATTTAGTACATGATGATGTTGTATTGTTAGTGTTGTTGTTGTTGTTGGTATTATTCGTAGGTGTATTATTATTCGTTGGTTGATGATTAGAGTTGTTGATAGTGGTTGTTGAAGATGAAGGCTTTTTAGAAAAACCTATCAGAGAAAGCAAAGGACTTGCTGGGGGTGATATTATATTCGTTAGGGAAGGCATTTTGTTTAAAAAGACAACTTTACGAACAAGAACGTTGAATATTCTTCTTAAGCTAATAAAGGTTTCTTTTTTTCTTTGGTTCTATTCTATGTAACATGGTTTGATTGTTAATTGAACAACTACTTTGAAAGTCATAAATCATTCAATCTGCTTCAGAATCGGAAACGTTTTACTTGATGGGAAGATAAAGTTGTGCCACACAACAAGAAAATTACTAGTAATTCTCTTCGTGATTGTTTGATGGAATTAAAAAATGTCAAAACACCACAAAAGATAATAGTTTTATAAGTGATGCTTCAGAACATTGTGATGTTTGTCTCGGAATTAATTTAAACAAAATAGGACGTGAAATTGGCAATCTAATTGGAAAGAAAATAATGATCACTTGAAGACACATTCCAAATCTGTTCTTCATGTGCAAAATTGTTTAAATTACGAAAGTTGTGAAAGAACTTTGCTGAAAAAGAATCAAGAATCAAAGCATCAACCACTTCTTCTACAAATTTATCAACAACATAATAAGAAATGCTTATAAATCATCAGATCACGATCCAATAGTATATGAAATGGGCTTAAATACTGTGGAGGAAAGCAAAAAACCAATTTACTTTTCAATGGAGACTATGCGAACTTTACAATCTAATCAAAGAGGATAGATTTATTAAGCTTTGAGAGGAGCTGATTATGCAACTATTGTGAAATCAGTAGTATCACGTGTAATTGTTGTAAAAGTATATAGTATGAATCAATTTACAAACTGTAATTTTGTTGATAGTTTACAAATGGTTAAAGAATTCACTGCCAAATTACCAACAATTATGAGATATTCCAAAAAACAACAAAAAATGTTAGAAAAGAAATTGGGATCCCAATTTACACCTATTTGGAAATGATATTGAGGATGTACACTTCGCATTGATTATTTGAGAATTATTTGAGAATAATTTTGAAAATTACTGAACTCTACCAAAGAATTCAAATGATTTATTGGCAAATTTTATTATTTGGCAAATTCAATGTTTTATAAATCCATTTCTGAAATATACTGTTCCGATGCACTCTTTTCTCTTGGTGGTGATGTTAGAAATCTTGGTTTGTAACATAAATCTTGGGAATTATTTTAAAAAAGTCAATCCAGTTGGTTCTATCAACAAGCATCTTCTTTTAATAGAGCAATAACCTCACTGTGGTTCCCTGTGGGAAGTTGTTCTATTGTTGGTATCAATGATCCATACGTTGCGGTATCAGTTGTGTTTTGTTTGCTTAATTTGTTTGAGGCTTCTGTGCTGTTTTCTAGTTTTCGTTTCATTTTTGTTCTAAAATTTTGATTAGTTTATAGCTTGCTGGTTTTTAGACACTAATATTTATTCAGCAATTCTATATTATCGAGATTTGTGCTCACTGCTTGTTTTCACTATGAACTAGAACTCACACTGTTTTTACATTGTGAATTTCACAAACACTTTTCACGCAAATTATACTCATATCTGAGGAATGTAAATTAAATTTCAAACTGGTTCAATAAAGACAAAATGCTCAAATAAAAATATTTGATTAAATTGTCTTCTTTGGAAGAATTAACCAATCAAAAGTCAATGAGTTCATCCAGTCGAGTTCTCTCAATAGTATCTCAACAAGCAACGAAGAGAAATTTGAAATTGTTTTCCTTATGACATTAAAAAAAATGTTCTCATCAAACGGACAAGGAAAAAGGAATAGTAATCCTTTTATTACTAGTTTTGCTGAGAGTGCTATTGAAGATATTGCCTCTTTTAAAAGTGAGTTTATTGTAGTGTGATTAATATCACAACAATATATATAACCAAACTTTAAAATTTCGGTTTATTGTTTTTCTATTGTTGTTTATTATTATTAATATTGCATCATAACAGCAATGGTAAAGGGATCTTCACGATTTGAATTACAAGAAGAAGATACACTCCCGGAGAAGGAAAGAATTATTCAAAACGAGGTAAGTGTCTTCAAGCAAAAAACATAATAAGATTTTAATTAAATTCCCAAACAGTTATCACCAGGTGAATATAGTATAATAATAGAATCAGCAGGAAATTCAAAATTTCAATTTATATTTAAAGTAACATCTTCTCAAGGACAAGAAATATTCCTAGCTGATGGAATTCTATATGGGAGAGGTCAAAAAGGAGAATTTAATAATACATTTTCAATATCGGAGGAGAATGGTAATTCAAATGTAGAATTAAGACTTATTAATCGTGCTAGGTTTTGGCAAAAGCCAGCCTACAAATTTCAACTTGTAAAATGTGGTGATGATCAAATTCATTCAGCACAAGAAAATCTTGTTAGGAGTTTTGATACTTCTATTTCTACAATGAAGAGAACTTCATCATCAGGATCATCAAAAAAGAGTAATACATCAAGTATAACAAAATCAAATTCATCAAATTCTTTATCTGGAAAAAGGATAAAGGTAAAACTCTCTTACAAAGAGGAAACAACTATTGTATCTGTATTTTTAGGAATGTCTATGGATGGTTTATTTGAAATTATTTCTAGTCATTATAATAACTTTTTAGCTTGTGATAATTTACATGATAAAATTAATATTAAATATGCGGATGATGAGGATAAAAATGAATTAATATCAATAAGAACTCAAACAGATTTGGATCATTTTGTTGAAAGTTCTGTTGAAAAATTTCTAAATTTTCAAAATTCTGTTTCAGCAAATGTTTATAAAAAACCTAAACTTATTATTGAAGATTCTGCAAACAAACTTAGAAATGATGGTCTACCTTCTAGTCCACTTACAACTACTAAAAAATTCCCATCTAGGAGAGTATCTAAAATTAAAACTTGGATAAAAGGTAATATGATTGGTGCAGGTGCAAATGGTAAAGTTTATTTAGGTATAAATTCTGAAACTGGACAAATGATGGCAATTAAAGAAATTGAAATCAAAGGAAAGACAAATAGAGAAGAAGTAAAGAAAATCATGGAAGAAGTTGAACTCATGTCTCAATTTGATCATCCACACATTGTACGATACTTGGGAAGTTTTGTTGCTAATAACCATTTGAATATATTTTTGGATTATATTCCAGGTGGATCTATGGAAACTTTATTACTAGAATTTTCATTGCCTGAAAATTTAATTAGAAAGTATTCAAAACAAATTCTAGAAGGGTTGAGCTATTTACATGAAAATGGAATTGTTCATTGTGATATCAAGAGTGGTAATATTCTTGTTGATGAAAGGAGTAATGTTTACTTGACAGATTTTGGATGCTCTAAAAAGTTGAGCTCTTTAGCACTGGGAGATGAAACAACTCAAACTATTAATTCAAATATTATTAGAGGTACACCAAATTATATTGCTCCTGAAGTTATTAGAGATAGATCATATACACAAGCTGCTGATATTTGGTCGTTTGGTTGTACAATTTGTGAAATGTTTTCTCAAAATCCTCCTTGGTCTCATGTTTTATCTAAATTTGAACAACCAGTACATCCCATTCAATTAATGCACTATATCATGACAACAGAAGATGATTCTGTTGAAATTCCATCAAATTCTTCACAAGTAGCAAAAGACTTTATTAGAAGCTGTTTACAACGTGATCCATCAAAACGTCCAACTGCTAAACAACTTTTACAACATCCATTTATTACAATAGATTTAGTAGAAGCTTTGAGTACATTCTCACAAGTATCTGTTAATATTACACCGAGAACACCTCACGAATATACAACAAGAAGTAAAAAAGGTGATGATGAAGAGGAAGAATATTTTGAAGATGATGGATTTACTTTTGATGATTATCCAAATAAGTACTTTTCAGATGATTCTGACGATGAGGATTTATACAGTAATAATCCAATTTATCGTACATTGAGTACAAAGCGATCATTAAGACAATTAAGTTCGAGACCTACATCTTCACACACAAATTATTCTACAAGATCTACCAAAGATGGTTCAATATATGGTAAATTCCGTGATGATAGACTTGCTCCTCCAAAGATTTCTGGAGCTCCAATTGATATTTCAATTTCACCACCAAATGAAAGTGTATTAAGTGAGGCAACTGAATCAATAGAAGTTTGGAAACAAGACGACGAGCCAGAATCTGCTCAAACAGAAGTCAGAAAGACAAGAACTCATTCAGCGGATCTAAGAAAGCATACAAGTGCTCATGGATTTGTTGGTCTGAAAAACGACAATGTCTCCTCAAGATTTAGTACAATGTCGGTAAGAGCTAATGAAAATGATATCAAGAATTTCTTGAGAAACACAGCTCACAATCAACAATCTTCACTGTCTTCTGCAAGAAAAGTGGAAGCACAGTCGACGGATCAACCAGAGACAACAATTACAATAACAAGAAGCCAGGCTTCAAATCAATAAAAATTTTATTACTTGTTTCCTCAGTAAGATTGAAATTCTCCTTCGAGAAATTAATATTTGGAGCAAAATCCTCAAAAATGGCAATTTTATTTCTTGTTGGTGTAGTGAGTGTGTAATTCGTGGTGAGCCTTATGACCGCATGGTTCCTTATAATATTCGTTGTATAATTGTTGGATTTCTCTATTGTCGTGACTCTTTCTTGTGATTGCAGCTTCGTCCAACTTGTAGATGGCTTGTAATCTTCTCTTGACTCTATCTTGGTGTTCCAATTTTTCAACAATCTTTGGTTCACCACCACCACCTACACAACCACTTGGGCAGGCCATCATTTCAATAAAGTGGAATTGATCCTTTGGATCCAAAGTCTTGGTATAATTTACCAACCTCTTCAAGTTACCAGAACCGTGAGCAACACCAACCTTAACATCCACACCTGCAATGTTGATAGTGGCAGAACGAATACCATCCAAACCTCTAACTTCTTGCAAGTTTAATCTTTCCAATGGCTTCTTTTCAAGAATTTCATAAGCAGTTCTCAAAGCAGCTTCCATGACACCACCAGTAACACCGAAAATGACAGCAGCACCAGTACCTTCAGCAATTGGAGAGTCATAATCTCCAACTTCATTGCCAACACTCTTGGTTTCCAAATCATGGACTTGATGCATCTTGAAAAGTTTACCCAATTCACGAGTGGTCAAAACATAGTCAATATCTGGAACAATGTTACCATCCTTATCTGGAACACCCATTTCTGGTCTTTGAGCTTCACCCTTCTTAGCTGTACAAGGCATGATAGAAACGTGAATAACCTTCTTACCCTTAATGTGTTGTTGCATCTTTGGTGTCCAGTAATTTCTAATAACAGATCCCAACATTTGTTGTGGTGATTTACAAGAACTGACGTTTGGAATAATTTCAGGGAAATCACTTTCAACCAAGTTAACCCAACCAGGACAGCATGAAGTGTACATAGGGAATGGGCCTGGAGTTTCACTTGTAAGTCTCTTGATAAGTTCAGTACCTTCTTCCATAATGGTCAAGTCAGCAGAGAAGAGAGTATCGAAAACATAGTCAAAACCAAGCTTTCTCAAACCTTGAACCATTTGAGAGGCAGTATAGTGACCTGGTTCCTTACCAAATTCTTCAGAAATGGCAACACGAACAGCTGGAGCAGTTGATGCAACCATAATATAATCCTTTTCCTTATTATCAAAAGCGTTCATTACACTCTTTTGTAATAAAAGTTCGGAAACTTCATCAAGTTGAGCCTTAATGGAGATGGCACCAACTGGACAAATTTGACTGCATTGACCACATGAAATACATGGAGATCTTTCTTCAGTTCCATTACTGACTTCACTCAAAACGAGGTTCAATTGTTGAACTGATTCATTGTGACCACGTCCTGACATGGAGAGGGCATCACGTTCTTGAATAAAAGTACAAGTTCTGATACAACGAGTACATCTAATACATTTGTCTGGATCAATTTGAATATCACCAATTGTCATATACTCTGGTGTTCCAATGTTGGAAACTAAAACTTCTTCTGATGAAGTGTTAGTAAAGTTGTCACGCAATGAAGGTGGGAGATCCTTCTTTGAGATGTGATACTTTTCCAATAAATCTTGAAGTTCACACATTCCGTTTGCAGAACATGATGGACAATCCAAATTGTGGTGAGAGAGAAGGAATTTAAGAATGGATCTGGTATTTTCGTGGGTGGTTTGAGTACGAGTCCAATAACATCCTCCTTCCTTAACATGATTAGTGCATGATGGCACAAGTTTAGTAAGACGTTCTTCTGGTTTTGGATATGGACGACGAATGGCATAACTCATTTGTTGTTCTACATCGAGTGGGTTAATTTCCTCTTCAACGAGGCAAATTCTACAGTTAGCAGGTGAGTGTTCCTTCAAACGTGGATGATAACACAATGTTGGAATATCAACTTGGGATTTCTCTCCCATAATATCCATATTCTTAGCAACAAACTTGTTGTAAAACAATTGTGCTTCCAAGATTGTCAAATTCTTTGGAACACGAATAGGAAGACCATTGAGGAAAATATTTACAGTATCTATGAGTTATTATTATAAGATGATTATCAAGTAATGTTGTATAATTTTCAAGATGATGAAGATAATGAAACGAGATAATGAAAGGGATTAATAGATTACAATCATGATGATAATTAAAAAACAACTTCGGAATAAAACCTACCACTATTCTTTGGATCGTTAACATTTGATGTATATTGACCAAAAGCATGGGAATGGGTTGGTTGATTAGAATTTAAAGTAGCAATTTCTTCAGGATGGTTATGATGGTGGTGTCCTCCTTTTCCTCCACATCCTCCACTTCCATCACAAACACCTCCTCCACAAGCATAATTTCTCTTCATTGTATTCACAAAGCTATTAGGAATGAAACTCTTCTTGAGCGCAGTCTTGCTCTTATTAGCCAATCTCAGAGGTAACTTCATTGTATTGAGTGTTGATTTTAAATTGTTGTTGTTGTTGTTTTTGTTTTCGCTTGAAAAACTAGATAGCGACAAAATTGCTTCGCTTTTTTTTTAACTGTTTTGGATCGATCTGTTTAGGTGCTGAGATTAAGGTCTAAAAATGGAATTATTTAAAATGTGGTTTATTTTTTGAACTGTTTAAGTGGGTTGACTTGAAAGATTCGAATGAAGTTTGGAATAAAGATTACAAATTTGAATGGGTAACATCTTGTTTTCTTGTATGAACTCAGTTGAAAAGTTTAGTCTTGTTTATTCTAAAATAGTCGATTTCCAAGTTATTTTTGTATTTTCTTGCATTGAATTCATCAGAAATACTAATCATTTCATTCGGAAGATTTAATCCATCTTGAGAAGAAGGCTTGATCTTCTTTTTAAGTTGTGTGTATGCATTCACTTTCATTGTTTATTTTGTTGTGGTATTTTTGGCGCCAATTTTATTGTAAAGTCTGTTGTAATTCAATAGAAGCATGCTTGATTGATTTAGGATCTATTCGAATAGCTTCCATCACTATATCTTTATCGTCCCTCAATTCATAACTGGCATATTTTAAAGAATTTGGAAAATGTTTCACAGCATGTAATATCAATTCCTTATTTGTTAATAAATTATTGGAAGCAAATTTCAACGAATTTTCATTATTTTCAACTGCTTTCATGAGTAGTGATATATTATTTCTATATTTTTCAGATAAAAATCTTAAAACCATTCCATTTTTGGAAATACATTCTTCAATAAATGTTTCATCTTGTTGTAATTCATTACTTGCAAATAAAAATATGAAACCATCACAACTTTGAATGGATTCCAATAAAATATTTCGATCTTGTGAAATTTCCTTTTTCAATTCATCACTAGAAATGTACATGATTGATTTTCCATAACTTTTCAATGACTTTAAAACAATTTCTCTATCACTTCTAAATTTGTATGGAATTTTCATCAAATTAAATTCATTTGTTTCGAGTTGTAAAATAAAATTTCGATCCGTTTTCAATTTTCCATAAGTTGCACAATAGTCCAAATATTCCAAATCTATTTTTACAGCACTTTGAATAATATCTGGATCGTTCCTAAATTCTTTTTTCATAGCTAAAATTATATTCAGCATTTTTGGATTTGTTTTTACAATATCCAATATCAATTCCTTGTTTAGATCATCGAAGCCAAAACGTGCTTTAAATTTCAATCCATTTGAAAATGCAATTGTGCGTAATTCGCAATCCTTAGTTAAACCCCCAAGTGCAAATGGAAGGGCATCTCCATTTGATTTAATGGCGTGCAACACAATCTCTCTGTCTCTTCTCATCCTATTGGGAAGAAATTGTAATGCAAGTCCATTAATTGATAACATTTCCTTAATAAACTTCCTACCAGAAAGTAAATTCTGTGAAACATATTTGAGTACATGTTCATTTGTTTTGATGTATTTCCTAATTAAATCCTTATCAGATTTAAATCTTTCACTCGCAAATTCTAACGCATTTCCATTGGATGTTTCCATAGCTATTAAAGTAATATCTTCATCATTTTTGAATTCTTCATTTACATATTGAAGATTTTCTCCAGAATATTTTACAGAGTACATTACTAGTTCTCTATCTTGTTGAGATTTGATATATTTCAGAGATAATCCATTAGTAAGGGCAATTAATTCCAAATTCTTGTCATTGCGAATAGATTCGCAAGCAAATTTAAATTCCTCTCCATATTTTTGAATAACTTGTGAAACTATTTCTCTATCAAATCTGAAATCTAAGGAAATTACATCAAGGCATGGATATCTCTTAGCACATTCTAAAACTACTTCTCTATCTCGCTTTAGTTTGTATCCGATATATTTTGAGATATTTTGCGTGGAATTTTTAAGGGCTAGCATTACCAAATTCTTATCGTTTCGTAAAGTTTCGGATGCATAGGCAATCAAATTACCGTTTCTTACAAGAACGTATTCTAATATTTCTCTATCATTCCTCAATTCTTCGGAAGCATATTTGTAATTTGTTGAATTGTAATAAATTGCCTCTAATACAATTTCTCTTTCGTTTTGCAAAACATTTGATGCAAATTCCAAAGCTCCATCATGAAAACAAATGGCCTTTCTAATAATTTCTCTATCATTCCTTAATTCCACTGATGAAAGTTTCAAAATATCAATACTGTGTGGTATCAGCTCCATTACAATACTTCTTTCATTATGAAGTAAATCAAAACACTGAAAGCAATTTGGATCCACTTTTAAAAATCTCTCAACAATCTCCTTACCGCTACTCAAATACAACTTATATTCTGAATAATTATAAAATTTTTCTATAATTTCAAATAAAAATTCCCTATCATTAATTCTAATTGAATCATAAGTATCATTAGCCATGTAACTTGTTAAATCTGTCTTGGATTTAATACAAATTCTCACAAATTCCTTATCTTGTTGCAATTCATTGGAAACGTGCTTCAGATTATAAAAATCTGATTTTACAGCCATCAAAGCCAACTCTCTTTCTTTTCTAAATTCATCACTTAAAAACCTAAATCCTGAGTTGAATTTTTCTTTTGTGGCCTCTATAGCAATTTCTCTGTCATTCTTTAATTCCTCTGATAAAAATTGAATACAAACTCCATTTAATTTAACCAACTCCAATACAAATGATCTTTCATTCAACAGATTTGGTAATTGTTTCAATATATATGGATTATTTTTAGCAGTAATTAATATCAATTCATTATCATTCTTATATTCTGGTGGAATGAATTGGAAACAAAATGGAGCTGATTTAAGTGCCAACAAAACTAGCTCTCTATTAATTAAATGATGTGGAACATGTTGAATACTAGATCCAGCAGATGAAAGTGCATCTTGTATAATAGTTTCATCATTCTTTAATCTATCAGATACACTCTCATAAGAACTTCCTTTACACTTGACTGCCATTTTGCAAATTTCTTCATCATCTTGAAAATCTTTAAAATATTGTAAAGGATTGACAACACGTTTTGCCAATTTAATTGCCTTCTTTACAAATTTTCTATCTTGTTTCAATTTTTCACCAATACATTCCAATGATGACAATCTATTCTTTATTGCCATCATAACCATTGTTTCATCACTTTTAATTCTTTCCGATGCAAATGTCAATAAATCTCCCCTAAATTTCAAAACCTTTATAAAAACAAGAGTTGAATCATTATCGAGGAATGGATGTTCAGTTGGAGAGAGGAAGGAATTAATTTTTCTAACACTGTATCGTTCAAAAGCGAATAATTGATTTAAATGATGAACATGAATATATTCATTTCTTTCTAGTAGTTTTGAAATAACATTCCGATAATGATCTTGTAATAGAGAGAAACAATCAACAACCATTATTGAAGATGATGTTTCTTCAGTCAAACTATTATCTTGTTGATCAACAACTAGTTTGATGCAAATATCATGAAAGAAACAAGAAAACATTTTTTATAAAAAACAAATTCAATCCTAACATTGAAATATTTATATAAAGACAAATCAAAAAAGAATAATTGTTTTTTCTCACACCTGTGGCTTTGATTTGTATCCCAGCTAAGGTCTTGAAGCTGAACGGAAAAAAGTTCACAACATGGTTTGGTAGTTTTTTGATTTGGATGAAATCTTTTTGGGAATTCCCAAATCAAGAAAAGTTAAATGTCTCATTTCTCTAATGTATTTTTCTCCCTTTCTACCAATATGACTACGACTAATGTTGAGAGTGGTTAATTGTTTCATTTCACTTATATACTTGGCTCCCTGCTGACCTATATTATTCTTTCCAATATTTAGTTTTGTTAATTGATTCATTTTACTAATGAATTCTGCTCCTTCTTGTCCAATATTATTATTGTAAATATCGAGAATTGTCAATTGTTTCATTCTAGTACTAATTAATTTAGCTCCCTCAAAACCAATATAATTGGTTGCAATATTAAGGGAGGTCAATTGAACCATCCCACAAATAAGGTTGACTCCTTCTGAGCCAATTCTATTGTTTACTATATTTAGTTGTGTTAATTGGTTCAATCCACTAATAGATTTAACACCTTCTTGACTAAAATCATTATTACAAACATTCAGACTAGTCAATTGTTTCATTTCACTAATACGAGCAACTCCTATATCTCCAATAATATTGTTTCCAATATTCAAATTAGTTAATTGTTTAAATTCATCAATAATTCTCCAAAGTTGTGGAATTCCATGTTTACAAAAAAAATGTCCATTAATATTGAGACTAGTTAATTGGTTCATTGTTTTGAGAGGTTCATAATAAAAACTATATTTTACTGTCCTCTTAACGGTTAGAGTTGTAATATTTGGTAAAAATTCAAGTTTCCTTGTTTGGAAATTCCACAATTTTGCATTAGAACATGTTAGTGAAAGTAGTTTTACTCTTTCCCTAATGACATTCATCCACTGTGTTGAAACAAGTGCACAATTCATTACAATAAATTTAAAATCATCATGGAAAGAAAGAATTTCAAAAAGTGCATCGTCAGAAAAGACTATTTCAAATCTATTCGAAACAGAAAGATCATTGGCAGAAGGCTCTATATCTTGACTCATTTTTTTTATTTATAATTATTAAATAAAACTCTATCCTGGCTTTGTTAAATAAACTGGTTTATATTTGGAATGCTCGATCACGTTTGAAGATTTTTTTATTTTTGGTCATTAATAATATCAAATCACTCCTAATATAGAAATACCCAAACATGTCATGTGATTTTCAAAAAAAACAATTACAACAAACTCTTGATCAACATCCTCACTAGATGATCATAAAATACTAACAAATCAACAAAAAATAGATAACACACAACAACTTGAGCAACCTTATTGGAAATTCAAAAAAAATGTCATCAAAACTTTTTTCAACTTTACCTTCCACTCCTCTATCTTCATCATTATCTACACTTAATCAGAGAAATAATAGTGGTGGTAGAGATGATCAAGTTATTAATAATGGAGGCGGAGGAGGAGGACTATATCTTTCATCACCCACAACACCATCAAATTCTCTTTTATCGGAACAACAACAATTAATGATGACGGAAACACCAATTGTAAATTTAGTAGAATCAGTAGAATTACAAATTAATAGTCATTTTGTTCCACTAATTGAAAAGTTACAGAATGAAATACTAGAATCACGAAGTAAAATATTTAATATTATTGAAGGCTATGAAAGTAAATTAGCTAAAATTCAACAACAACAACAGCAGCAACAACAACAATCAATTTCCAATAATAATTATTCATCACCTTCATCATCATCGGATCGTAATTCTAGCGGATCTGATATAACAGTCTATACTACAGTTAAGAAATCTATGGAATTACATCAAGAACAATTAAATAGATCAAGATTAGAAAAGGAAAAGACACAACTAGCAATACAAATTAAAGATTTAGAAAAGAATGTTGAAAAATTACAATCATCTAATGCACAACATTTGAGAAATACTAAAAATATTGAAAAGGAAAAAACATTATTAGAAAAGCAAATTCAAACTCTAGAAAAGGCAATTCATCAGAATAGTGAAAAATATCAACAATTACTTGTACAAACAAGAAAGGAAAAGGAAAAGATTTTGGCAGAAAATAGAGAAGAAATTAAGAATATTGAAAATGATCATCTTGAAGAAATTAAACAATTAAAACAAATGATCAAACGAGAACAAGAAAAAACCAGTACATACAAATCTAAGTTTGAAGATTCTGAAAAACAATTATCTTTCCTTCAACATGAATATAAGCAAAAATTTCAAATATTGGAAATGGAAAATCGAAGATTACAATCAGAAGTTAAATCTCTAAAGCAAACATCTTCATCATCCTATACTAGTGGAAGCAGTTCTGATAATGATTCAAAATCTTCACCTTCCTTTTCTAGAAATGGTAGCTCCAGTAATTTTAATGTTGGGTCAGAAAGTCCAAGGTATTACGGAAGATATAATTCTAATTTGTATTATTAAAAATGTAAATAATATTTAAATGAATTTATTTTTATTGTAAACTATTCCATTTGCATAATACCACAAAGCAGTACGTATTATCCATTTTTAATTCTATTGCAGAAAGAACCAAATAAACAACTCTCAAAAAAATGTTCAGACAATCAGCATCCAACCTTCTCAAATCATTCGGACGTAATATGACTTCCGTTACTCGTAGACAATATTCTACTTCAATTGTCGACGAATTAAAATTAGGAAGACTTAACCACGTTGCAATTGCTGTTCCGGATCTTGAAAAAGCTTCATCATTCTACAGAGATATTTTAAAGGCTAAACTCGTCAGTCAGCCACAAACATTGCCAGAACATGGTGTTACAGTTGTTTTTGTTGAATTGGAAAATACAAAATTTGAATTATTATATCCATTCGGAGACAAGTCACCAATTGAAAACTTTTTGACAAAGAATCCATCTGGTGGTATTCATCATGTTTGTATTGAAGTTGAAGATATCAATAAGGCATTGGAAGTTGTAACACAAAAAGGAATTAGATCTCTTGATAAGAAACCAAAAATTGGAGCTCACGGAAAGCCTGTTATCTTTTTACATCCAAAGGACTGTGGAGGTGTGCTGGTCGAACTCGAAAATGTCTAAATGTCACAAAACAATCTGATGTAATTTGTTGAATAAACTTGGAATTATTAATCTCTTGTTTGTAAAAACTTTCTTCATTAAAAACAAATTGAGCACGAAAACTTTGGTATTGATAATAGTCTATTTAACAAATTTATTGAGTACAATTTTGTAATGCAACAACAATTAATAATTGTTACAAGTGAGTGTTGGTTTAGTTTTTGCAATCCATATTGTCATTTTCAACCTTAATTTCAGGCTTCTTAAAAGGGTTAGATAAATCTCTGACAATTTCTGATTCAGTTCTCTTGAGCTTTCTTGGTGGATTTGTTTCTCTTTCCTTCTTGTATTGCATTGGCATCTTTTCGTTAACTTCATCAAGTTTTCTAGCTGTTTCAAAATCAATAATAGCATTTCGAATAGCGTTTGGACCTTGTGACAGTAATCCTCTTGGTAAAACACCACCAGCCAAACCCTTAAGCATAACTATCGATTCATGTTCTTCTCTCAAAGTGGTATACATTCTGCAAAGACGACCAACACTACGAATCTTAGTCTTAATAAGATCAGCTCTTTCTGGAGTAATACTTGTTTGACCCAAAGTTGGTTCTTCAGTATCAGAGTCAGCATCTTCTTGTTCATCACACAAGTTCAAAATAACATTGAACATGTCCATGACCTTTTCAACAACAAATGGTAAGGACCAGTTAAATGTGTTCATAAAGTTAGGTAAGAAGTATGGGTGAGCAGAACAGTTAAATTGTCTAATGTTCATCAAGTTATTTTGGAATCTAATGATAGCACCCTTGTTATTATAAACATCACAATAGTTTGGAGCAGAGAAAATGCAAATAACAGTTGGAAAACCTGTAGATGGACCCTTCTTATATAAACGATAGCCCTCATCTTGAGCTTCGTGAGCTCTGATAACAGAGAGCAAGTTATTTTCCTTCAAGAAGCTATTAACGGCCTCAAAGCTGAAAACGTAGGAACATCCTCTTAATTCGTTATTTACGTATTCACTGTCGGGATTAATCTCTTCTTCTTCATCATCCATAGGATCAGACCACAATAAATCACACATTGGACCATTGCTTGGAGGTTCTCGGTATCTATCAATATCATTAATATCATCCAATGTCTTAATATCAGGTGAAAGACCACCATGAACACACAAAAATCTACCGTTCAATAAAGCTCCCAATGGTAAGCAATCAAAACAATTCATGAAACAATCATAGATCTCATCACTATATTTGAAAAGACATTCTTGTTTAAAGTTGAAATAGGCAGACAAGTGGCGACATTCTATAAAGAAATAATTAATAATAATATTAATATTAAATACATACCGTGATTACCTCTCAACATGAAGAAGGAATTTGGATATCTGATTTTGTAGGACAATAACAAGAAACAAACTTCTGTACCAAAATAACCTCTATCAACGTAATCTCCCAAGAAAAGATATTTAACATCTCCAGAAGGATCACCACCAATTTCAAACAATTTAACCAAGTCATAGTATTGTCCGTGAACATCTCCGCATACTATTGTGTTTGATACAAAATGTTGTATAAAATTTAAAATTGTTATATAGTTAGATAGGGAGGATCAATTATTGTTATTTTCTATTGTACAATAGAAACCTACCTGTAATTGGATCTTGTAATTGCAACAAGTTTGGTTCATCTCTCAAAATTTCTGCAGCCTTGTTTATGAGTCTGATGGCATCTTTTGGATTTATTCTGCCTTCTCTGAGTAAATGTTTCTTTAAATTTTGTATGTTTGGAAGTCCATCATTATCGAAAAGGTCATTTGCAGGAATATAATTCCATACAGGAGCTGGAACATCCTTCATCACTCTTTCTTGAAAGTTAATACCTCTGATATCATCATCCATAAAGACTTTCCTAGAAGGAACGGTTGATGTTGTAATAGTGGTATCAGACATTTTGTTTTTGGAGAAAAGAAGTGGTCTGATTAGAGATAAATGTTGAATACAACAACAATTATTTTTTTTTAATTTTATTGGTGATTAGATGTTTCAGGACGGTGGTTGTTTTCCGCCAAAACTTTTTTCTTCTCACTACAGACAATTTCATCATCATTGCAAGAACACGTGAGTGCACTCAAGTCTTGTTGCTTCTAGTGTTCAATGAAATGATCCATTGTTACTCATATTAAACCTTCTAATGGATAACAAGGTTAACGAACAAATATTTGCTTCATGCGCTTAGTAAGGATAGGTGGAGATTTTTCTCTCAACATATTATTGTGAGCGACTTCAACCAGCTGTAAAACTCTAATACAAAAAAAACCAAATACAAAAATGTACAAATAAGTTTCAATCAATAATACTATGAGTAAGAGTTAACAAGAAGTTGATTTTGAAAGGGAAGACAATGACAAGTAGATTGATTCAACCAGGATATGTTATCACCGACGAAACAAAAGATTTTGATTCACAATAACCTTTTATGTAAAATACTTTCTTTTTGAAAAAGGGCATTAGCTGTTGGGCACTGACAAGTCTATTACAATGCTGTTAATACATTGAACTACATGAACTACAGTCTGCAGTATGTTCAATAAACTTAAAAGGTCCCTTAACAGTTTGAGATAATAACAGAAATGGAAGTTATGAATGTTAGCTTTATTTCTTTTGAGGAGGTTGAGAATCTTCTGTTGGTAAATCTGTAACATCTTCGAAATTTCTCTTCTTTGATCGTTGTTCGATCTCCTCAGGTCCCAATAATTGATTAGTAGCAGTGTATGGTTGAGCCATTTCCTTCAAATATTTCCTGGCAATACCAATAATCATATCAGTTGATAAATTGAGATAGGTATCCTTGATTTGTTTAGCAATCCATTTTGGAAGCTTATTTCTCTTATCTGGTTGATTATATCTTTTATCTGCCAAAACCATGATACCATAATCGGCCTTATTTCTGATAACACGCCCAATACATTGTGAAGCATGTCTAAGAGCATCAAATGTAAGGAATGTTTCTTCTTTGATTGCAAAGTTTTGTCTCAAATAATTCAATCTGGCTTTAAGAATCTTACTTTCAGTATTTTGAAATGGAACTCCAATCATTACAACACATCTACCGTAATGACCGTCAAAGTCAATACCTTCTGCAACCTTTCCTCTTGCAATACTAAAGAAAATAGCTCCTCTACCACAATCACATGCCTTTCTATAATTTTCCAAGGCAATTGCAGTTTCAGCAGTATTTGGAGTTTCAATAAATACAAGTTTGTGGTTGGTGATAGAACTCAATAAACCAACACTGTTCCAAAAGGAAACAATATCCTCCATATATTGATATGATGTGAAAAAGCAGACGATGCCATCAGGGATGTATTTGGATAATTCCAAAAGTAAGCTTCCATAGTTTCTTTGAACAGAGGCATCATTTCTGAATCTATATTTTGTTGTGACTGCCACTTGATCACTACCTCTGGTCAATACAAGTGGGCAAATACATTCTCTGGTTAAAGTCATTTCAAGAGATTTAGAAATGATTGGTTTGAATTTCAATAATTTTGGATACATATCCAAAGGTGAGAGTGTACCACTTGTTAATACTACAGTTTTGAATCTACCGAAAATAGGTTTGCTAATAGCTAAAGATGCATCCATACAACTGAATTGGAGAACTGGATCAGGATTTGTTGGTGTTCTTGGATCGTGTGGTTCTATAATAATTACAAATCCTTCCTGATAAGTACCAATCAATGTGGCAAAATCCATTATAATCTTAATTCCATTAAACTCGTATATATTCTTGATTTCTAGAGTATTCATAAGTGATAATAAACGTTCAGAGCAAAATCTTAGAGACCTTGAATCAATATCTATATTTTCAAGAACATGGTTCAAAAATTGTTCAGGTGTCTCATTGACAGACTTTTGTGTTTGTAATCTTTTGTTTACATGGGTTGCAAATCTCTTCATAAATTTTACAAAGTGGTGAGCTTTTCTGATATTACCAGGTACAGCCTCTGTCATAATATCACCTGGCAATACTGGATTAGAAAGTAATTCATCATCAGATCTTATCACATCAGAACTTCTTCCAACTCCAACAGCACCTAGTCCATCCACAAGTCTTCTATATTCCTCCTGTAATCTTTGACTATTTACTTTTTCCATGTTAGCAATATTTTCTTCTAGTTTTGTAAGATTGGATTTAGCTACACCAAGTATATCTCTGTCGATATTAATTGATAATGCTTCAATACAGACGTTATCAATGTTGTGAGCTTCGTCAAATACTACGATAGAGTTAGCTGGTAAATTCTTTGAAATAATTGAAGAAATTTTTGGATCCAAAAGGTATGAATAACTGTAGACAACAACATTTGCATATTCAATGGCTCTTCTTGAAAGAAAGTAAGGACACCACCCCTTCTTTTTTCCGAAAACTTTCAAATCTCTCATAGTATAAACACCATTTGGTAATATTGTGTCAGTAGGATTGGCTTCAATAAATCTTTCAAAATAATTACATAATTCAATGTCATCCACTGTTGCTGTAGCATTATTATTTGAAATCACTGGTTGAATAGTACCATTACTAGATTCTACCTTTTCTTTAGCTTCAGCTCTAAGCCAACTGGCTGTTAAACCTCTACAAACACTGTCAACTTGGGCACCATCATGAAGAAAACTTTGACTTTTTGGGTGAATACAAAGATTTTTTCTACTGCTCAAGCCAACCCCAATAATGGGACTGTCAGTATACTTTTTTCTGTATTCAATCAATGAACCTAATTCCTCCAATACTTTTTCCATTTCCGGTACAGTTCTTGTGCAATAAATTAATTTTCTACTCTTTCCTTCCTCTGTTAATTGATAAGATGTAATCAAAGATAAGAGAGAAATTGTTTTACCAGTACCCGAAGGCATTTCTAGAAGACAATGACCTCCCTTTCTGATAGAACTATAAAGATCTCGCATATAATCATATTGTTCAGGATATATTTTGTCATATGGAAAGAAGACCTCCAAGCCATCAAGTTTAAATCTAATTTTGCGTTAAAAAAAATTCGTGATGATGATTGATGAATACATACAACATTTTTTTTGTGAGAATAAAATTAATTATTCTTGTGGAGAGTTGAATGATCAATAATGTCGTTCGCTAAATTGAATCCAAGCTGAATTAAAAAGAAATTCACTAACTTCATCATTCTTTATTTCAAATAATCTTTTATTTGTTGGTATTAGAAATTAATAGCATTGTTCTCCATTATCAAAATTGCAAATTGAATTATTCAAAATTGAATGAAAGTAATGACAGGTTAATTTATCTTTTTAAATCCAAACCTCAATGAGACAATACTAAATCCTTATTTGGATTATCTCGAGAACCCTTTGATTGAACGTTAACTGAATGTTCTCAGTCATCAACCAACATTTTAGAAAAATAACTTCTTAATTTACCTTACTTTAAAAATGCCTCCTCTGTACTTGTCAGTGGAAGTAAAACAACCGAGAACTATTCCGACCACAACAGGAAATGATGAAGAGAATGAACAACATGCATATAGTAGGAAAAAAGGAAGAGTTTTGGAATCAGTTATTTGGAGACCAACAGGATCAGACCAACATCAAAATTTGAAAAGACAAGATACAACAACAATAACATCGACAAGCCTTTCAAAAACTGTAAATATGGAATCGGACCAAATAATGTATGATGATAAAAAAAAGTTTAAGAAAAAGAAGGAAAGTTTTGCTTTCCCAAAACAGAAAATTAATCCTAGATATGAAGTAAACATGAATAGATATAAGGCAGAATATCAATTTGTCAGAGAGCAACTAAGGTCGATGGAGGAAAGAATTAGAGCTCATGAGGAACATGACGATAGTTTATTAGAGGATGGTGACACTATTAATATTCCGGATGCAGTTTTGGAAGATTATAAAATAATAGATGAGTTCGATCAAGCTCCACCAGTCCCTCCACTTCCTTCAATAGGAATTCCTTCAACAAAAAGATCACAATCTGCTCAATTGAGGAGACCAAAAAGTGTTGTAAATATTCAGCATCCACCTTCAACTCCAAGAATAAGACCACAACAAAAATTTGATAAGGGTGTACATAGAGACCAAGTGTATGAAAACTTACACGATGTTTCAACTTTTGGAAGTATGACTAGATCTGTAAATATTTCGAGACCTCAATTATTCTATTCAAAACAGAAGAGAGCAAGCTCTGCAGGTCCTCAAGGAAGGCCTAAAACTGAGGAAAGTTCCAATTCAGCAGCAAGTAGAAGAATTGATACGAGAAGCTCATTTAGTGGATGGAGGAGTGCTTTACATGATTCATTAAAATCTCCACTTAGACAAAATCATTCTCTTCCCAGTTCAACAAGGAATAGAAGAGACATTGGTAGTGATTTTGATTTTGTTAGACCACCATCTTCCAAAAGTACTACTAGTTCTAAAAGGTCATTAATGTGATTAGTGTATAAGGTGTCTTGTGTAAAGTGTGTGAATTTTCTCTTAAATATTCAAGTGTTGTCGACTGCCTTCTATGCTTGACAGGTCCTACTACCGATAAGTGACAATAACAGGGCTAACCCTTCATATCCTCCATAGAGAAGATACGTACGAGTCGCTGTATCAATGATAAAAACCAGCAAACATCACATCAGTGAAATAAATATTCCAACCCATTACCAAGCAGAACCTAACACATAATTAGAGTAGAAGGTTCTGCAAAATCCACTCTAATGACCTTCGAAAACATTGTTGTTCATCAGCAGTATCGACATGAAAATCGACACGCCAAAAACACCTTAGGGTTGGGTGGTAGCTAAAACTACCGAGCGTGGGAGCAATGAATAAGAATATTTATTCCACATCAACATGTGTATGAAAGCCAAATCATACAAGAAGAAAGGAAATAACCACCAACATGATGAATTATTTCCTTGGCAACAATCAACGGGAGCCTTTCAAATATTTTTTAAAGCCAAATTTTATTATTTTAAATTTTTAAATAACAATAAATTGGGCGGTTCTTCAACATTAATTATTTAATTATTATTGAAGATTACACCATGATAATAATTGATTCGGAAATGATGATTATGACGATTTATTTACAAATTGATGAAATTTTTTCCTAGTATTAATTTTGTTGTCCGTGAACAGTGATTGCATAAACTCCTTCAACTTTGTCTTGCAAGTTTTGATACCTAGCGACCCAACTCTTTTGTGGATTCATCAATGTAATTAATCCTTCAAATGATGTTGTTGTATTAGAAAGCGTATCATTATCCTTTGGACAATTTTCGCATCCATTTTGTTTAAATTGATCAGTAGTTTTAACAAGACCACAAGTCAAACAAGCTCTCAATTGTCTAAAATGAGTTGGAATAACATCGGATTCGTCAGCAACATTATTTCCATGATCCTCTTCATCTTCATATTGTTGTTGTTGCTGTTGTGGAGGTTGCATCATGTTTGGTTGATATCCGCCATAGCCGTGATGAGCTGGATAGTTGCCATAATAACTCATTTTTTTAATATTTGATTTTTGTATTTTTAGATTTTAAAAAAAATTTGAATAATCAAGCTTACACCACAGAATTTTTAATAATATTTAATTTGATCAAATTAAATCCGGAACATGTTCAATAGTAAAATGATGAATAGAAAATCAATATCATTTAAACTTATCAATGCTCATAATACACACTATAGAAAGTATTCATTTAATGTAAAGAAGGAAATTCCAAAGCCTAAAAGAGTTGTTGTTACAGGCTTGGGTGTTGTTTCTCCACTCGGAAATTCTGTTGAAAAGATGTGGAGTGAATTAAATTCTTTAAAGTGTGGTATTAGAACAGTACCAATCGAAAATATGACTGAGAATGAACAAAATATTTGGAGTAAGATTTCAAATCGTATTGGTGGATTTATCGATCAATCAGAGTTGGATCAATCAATTGAAAAATGTCTTGCATTTACAGAATCAACAAATAGAGATAAGAGTATTACAAAATCTAGATTATCAAAATTTATTCAATTTGGTATGGTTTCTGCTTATCAAGCTATTATCGATTCTGGATTGGATATCAAGTCAATTAAAGATAGAAGTAGTATTGGTGTTTCTGTGGGCTCTTCTCTTGGAGCTGCAGCTGAAATTGGAGAAGCATTTACAATGGTTGAAAGCTTGGTAAGTTTCCAATGTAATATAAAACATTAGAAAGCAAATCATTCAGAAACATACAAAGGTTAGCCCAGTATTTTATCCACGTATTTTGAACAATATGGCAGCTGGTTATATTGCTATGCAACACGATTTACAAGGTCCAATGGTTAGTTGCTCAACTGCATGTGCTACAGGAGCTCATAGCATTGGAGAGGCATTCCAATTTATCAAATATGGTCAAGGTAAAATTATGCTTGCTGGAGGATGTGAAAATTCTTACTATCCAATATTCTATGTTGGATTTGCAAGAGCAAGAGCATTGTCTGGTATTACAGATCCACAAACATCGAGTAGACCATTTGATAAAAGTAGAGATGGTTTTGTAATGTCAGAAGGAGCAGGTTGTTTGGTCTTGGAAGAATTGGACCACGCCTTAGAGAGAGGAGCAAGAATCTACGCAGAAATTGTTGGGTATGGAACAGCAGCTGATGCTTATCACCCTACTACACCTTCACCAGATGGTAGAGCAGCCATAACAGCTATGAAGAATGCTTTGAATGATTCAATTGTAGATATTAATTTGAATGATATTGACCATGTAAATTGTCATGCAACAAGCACCCCAGCAGGTGATAAAGTAGAGTTGCAAGCTATCCAATCCCTGTTCGCAGAAAGTGGACAAACTGTATATGTGAATAGCATGAAAGGATCTCTTGGACACATGCTTGGAGCAGCAGGTGCAGTAGAATCTGTGGGAACTGTTCTTTCAATTTACAATAACTCTATTCCACCAACTCTTAATTTTGAAACTCTGGATGATGATTTGACAGGTATAGAAAAATCAAATATTCAAATTGTTAAAGGTCAATCATGCAACACTAATGTGAGAGCTGCCTTATGTAATTCGTTTGGATTTGGCGGAACAAACTCGAGTTTACTTTTTGCTAAATATCAATAAGAAAAATAGGTCTTAATACAATGCTTAATTAGTACAGCAATTTCAAAAGGAGAAGTTCAAAGTTTTTTTAGTAGTGATATCCTAAAGTGCAACAATTAAATTAAATGTGAAATTTGATATCTTAACGTTGTTCGAACAGTCACATTCTAGACAAGGGTAAATATGAAAAAAACAACACAAACACTAGTGTATTTCATCATACTTCTAATCACGTTTTGTTCAATAGTTCAATGTGAAAGAAAGAATGGTGTGACCCACGCTCAAACTTCTTCACTGCTTTCTTCTATCAAGAATGGAGATACAATTGTTGGTGTAAGAACTTTTCTAATACTCTTTGTGTGGAAAAACAAATTCACATCCAATGAACAGACTGTTATTGCATCTATGAATAATCACGATGAAACACGAAATTTTATTATGAATTGGTTGAAAAACAACAAACTGACAGTTGGCACAAGACCTGAATTTACCAAGTACCTAACCAAATTCTTTGGTATTTATCAAATACCTATTACAAAAGGAGATTCATCTACAACATCAACCTTCTCGAACATTTATTTACACGTAGACATGTGCCAGAGAAGAAATTACATGCGAAAGTATGATTCTATTTTACTGGATCCTTATATTTTCTCCTTCTATGTGAGATTTTACAGGGATGTACAAATGACAGATGGTAAATTTATGGAAACTAGTGATTTTGTGGCCTTTCCACTGATTCCATACGAAGTTTATTCATTTTCTACAATCAAATCATTAACACTTGACAGTTCTTTATTTGATTATGAACAAACTTCATGTTTAGATGGTCCAGACGTATCAGATGCTCAAAATTTTAGATGGCTTTCTGGATATTCAAACTTTTCACAAACAGATCTTCTAATAATACAAGGGGTTACAGGAAGAACTCAAATAAGTGCTAATTATTCTATAATTTCTCAACAAGTTGGAAAATTCTCTTCAAATTTTACAGATCTTTCGTACTATTCAATTTCCTCTTTACTTTTGCCTTCAACATGCTATATGTGTGAGACAAGTGGCTGCTTTGGTGAGGATTTCTCTCCAGTTCTAGATTATTGGATTATACCTCAATTCTTGATTGTATTTTCTTACTTTGTTTTGTTCTTTGGATTGAAACTTTACAAAAAGCCTGCAATGATCAGAAGAATTGGATTGCCATACTGTTCACTATTAGGATTTTCTCTAATGATAACATTCACGGGTTTATCTAGGACATGTGTTGGATTCTGGTATAGTGTTTCCTTATTGGTAATGATCTGGTGGTTTTTTATATATATTACAACAATTGCACAATTTTATTTTTTGAGGAATCTATATTCTCTGATAGTTAGATTCCCAAAAAGAGAGAAATTATTGAAAATGATGGCTTCTAAGAAAGGTGGTTTCCTAATGACAGTCGTCATGACTTTTTTCTTGTCCATTATTGTAAATTGTGTCAGTACATTTTTCTTCATTAATGAAGATAAGTCATTGGCTGATATTTATAGACCAGTTGTAATATTGGTTTTACTTATCCTGCTCTGGATTATTGGATTAGTGAGCGTAATATATGATGTCATTACTCAAAGAAAATCTATTATTCGAGATGGTTTGAGAAAATTCTTTTTCTATGACGATCCTTTTTATCTTAGAGTCGATCTTCTCACTTTAATCCTTCCTGTCATCATTGCTATTACATCAGGTTTAGAAAATTTGTTAGTAGATTCATCAAATACGTATATTGTTCAAATTTTGGCAGGAATATTCAACACTCTGGCTTGTTTTAGTTTTACGTTATTGAGTGGTGGGAATGTTCTAATTATTGAGATATACAAAATGATAGCCAATAGAAATGTGAAAAAGAATGAAAGTTTAGAAATTGAATTGGAAAATTCTGAAATATTGAAGATTTTTAAGGAATATTGTCAGAAGGAGTTTAGCTCAGAGAATTATGAATTATATATTATTTTGAAATCATTGAAGGAGAGTAATGTTGTAAGGTTAACAGACATGAAAGATATTGAAAGTCAGTTTATACAACCTTATTCCAAGTTTGAAGTGAATATTCCATCAGTTTGTAAGAAGGAGTTTTATGCTTTGATGAAAGATTGTGATAAAGATGGGCAAATAGGATACGAAAGACTGTGGGATTGTTTAGGACCTGATTTATTGCTAAACCTATCTGATACATTTAAGAGATTACAAGAAACCTCTACTTACAAAAAATGGGAATCAGTTCAATCCTACACGAAACACATAACAGATGTAAACCCTTAAACGGATTTTATTGTAAACTATTCTTTCGTTTAATTCTATCGTGAATTACTGTAATTTACACTTTTGGAACAAACTTTCAACTTAAATTAAGCAATTTATTGTTGTCTAATTGGAACGCTTCAAGTTGTTGTTTAAATTTTGCTAAGTTACAAATTATTTTAGCACCGCCAATAACTTCCATTTCATCAGATTTGAATTCCAAATTGAGATTAGGATAGATTTCTCTAATTTCACGTGTTAATCTATCTTTCATGCCGTGTATTGAGGAAAACCCGCCACAAATTAAAACATCCTCAATACTATCACTGTTAATCTGTAGAGATTTAATTGTTTTTCTCAATACTTTGAATGCATTAACAAACAATTGGTTTCCAATAGTAAGTAAAGTTTCTGCCTCAAATACATGTTGATTATAATTCACCTCCACTCCATAATTAGTTCCATAAGTGATACCTTCCCACTTTTCCTTCATTGTTTCGTATTGTTCCAGTGGGGTTGGAGGCACCATCAGTACTACTCTGAGAGCTCCATAAATATTATCCCAAAAATTCATAGAATGAGGAATGGAAGAAACATTGAATGGCTCAAATATTTTCATTTCATTCAGTGGCTCATAGTTTCTGATTGGTACACAAGCAGTACCACTTGCTGAAATATTCAATAAAATACAATTAGGTTTCGAATAATTGTAAGCAATCAATTTGGAAGAGTCTATTAGACATGATAGCTGAATTCCAAGCTCATTAATTATTCTTTTAACCATCAAAATATCTTTCTCTGTCCAAGAAAATGGGACAGCTAACACAAGTGGATGTGTTTGAAATTTGACGTTCAAGTCATTTTCATATAATTGAAATAGGAAAGTCTTGAAATTTAAATAATCTTCAATTCTTCCACAAGCATCAACAAGAGGAAGACGAGATATCAAATGTGAATTCCTAATGTTTGCTGCTCTACTCCCTGCAAGAATGTCGTACATACCAAATCCTGGTAAATTGAAACTGAAAAGTTGTTAATTAATTTAGTTAGGAAAATATTTCAATAACTTACTGTGGATGATGTGGTTTACCACATACCATAATATCCTTATCTGCAGTCTCTGAATTTTGTAGAGAATAACGATAGGAAGAAGTTCCTGGATCAAGTAGAACAGGAGACCAGAACAAATCCATATACTTTCTTGAAATGAACATTGCATACCAATCCTTGTATTCCTTAGAATTTTCATTGTAAATTATTTCATTTCGATTACATTCCACTGGCATTCCATTATCACTAAAGTAAACAACCAAATCATCAAGATTACTATTGTCTTCGTATTCAATTTCAGGATTCGAAGAATGATGCCACTCTTGATAATATTTCTCCTTCCAAATGATTGGACTTCTAGAATAAGAGTTCAATAAAATAGAGAGAGGAATCATTTGTCTAGCAATTTCTCTACTTGTTAAGAAGGAGCAAATTATTCCAATAATTTCCTCAGGTAATCTTTCTACATTGCTCTTCTTACTCAAATCTGACCATTGAAGAGATGGAGACATGTTAGTTTGTAAATCCAATGCATGAAGGTATTTCAACAGAGATTGCTTGGTATCTCCTTGCTTTTCCAGTTCATTCGATTCCTCAATTAATTGTCTAACTTTGACATATTCCTCTGTATTTCTATAGTCAGAACGAGGAACACTCAATGCATCAACTCTCTTAAATATAATCTCAGTTCTCAATACAATCTTTTCATATCGTACAACAGAACCTTGATGATAGAGATCATGATTGAATAGTATGACAGAACCTTCCTCAGGGTTTTCATCATGTAAAACTCTAAAGGTCATTCCAGATCCATCCTCAGCTTCTTGATCTCTTATCTTTTGAAGGAACGTTGTGGAACCACCTTGATTTACTCCATTCAAATAAATAAGAAGTGTGAAAATGCTCTTTTCATTATCATTTCTAACAAATTGTGCATCCTTATGAGGTTTGAAATAAGTGTCTGGTTTGTAAGCTGAAAAACGAAAGCACGGATTAATTTCCATTGGTTTCCACACTCCATTATTATCAAAACCATAGGGTAGCACATTCTTAAAATCATTCTCATTGAGGTATGGCTTAATTCGTTCCCACAACAAGTCGGCTAACTTTTGACTTTTTAAAAGAGCTCTCTCACAATTTCTATATTCTTTCGGATATTCAGATTGGATATTAGTATAGAAAGGTAAAGATGCAACTCTTAATGCTGCACATTCTTCTGGTGCTAGTATAGAACTAATTCTAAAACACTTGTCCTTATTTAAAATTGTATCAGGAAGAGATTCGTCTACTGAAGTTTTGATCGGATCCTCTGTTATAAAATTAGCAGTAATCAATTTTTTAGGAGGTGAAATCACTTGACCAGGAGTCAGTATTTCACTTCTTCTCCAAAACTTAACAGTTTCCTGTTCATTTTCTCTACTTGGTTCGTGCCTCTTAACAAATGGTGGCAGAAATGAATTTGTATCCCAATCAGTAACTCTACTCTGATATACAGAGCTATATCTCTTAAAAATCAACGCAGTTGAATCAAATGTTAAGAAGGTGTTACTTTGACCACTGTTATCATATGCTTCTTGTGATAGAATTGAAATATTCGTTGGTGAAATATAATCAGTTGTTCCCCTTCTTTCATATCTGTTAATTAGGGATTGAATTCCCTTTCTCTTTCTTACCTCAATTTCACTTTCCAAAAAGAATACATAACCAGATGCATACAATAGCATTGTAGTGATTGGATAGGTCACAAAGAGTGAATGTCCAAACAATTGAATTGGATTCGAATAAAAAGAAAAGCTATCTGGATAATCATTCTCCACTTGTTCAGAATTTTCATCAAAAATCAATCGAGTTGGAGTTTCAAATGTGGATGATAATCTTCTTTTCATTTCATCCCTTGATCCATTCCAATAAAAACTAAATACTTGTTTCATATCTTGTGAATGATTTGCATTGTCCACTCCAACAAAAAAGAATAACCATCCCTTTTGAGGTAAAACACCTTTTGGACTGTGATAAAATCTCAAATCATGCAAATTGATTTGAGCAATGAATTTGGCAGGATTTGAGTCAATTCCTTGTGGCCAATTGATAGAATCTGGTAAATCAGGACAACCACCAAATTTGGAAGCTCCAATTTCAATGCAATCTTCATTTTGTACTTCTTCTGCTGTTGGAATAATCTTTAAAAGACAAACATCTTCATTCATATTTGAAACATCTTCAAATATATTTGAAAATCTTGATCAATTAAATTAAAGATTAATTAAATAAATATTTAAATAAATATTAAAATATTTACAATTTCTTATAAATTGCTTCCCAAGAACCCAATTCATCCAATAGAAAAGCATATGCTCCAATAGGAATTGATAAATCCTTTTTATCATCATGATGAGTGGCACTTCCATCTTCTGTAATCGGAGCAGATCGAACAAAATTATGACCAAGGAATGGATACTTCTTCCGATCATGAAGAATATTATCAATCAAAAGCTTGTAATGATGATCAGTATCATCAGTGTTGGACATTTTTTTCAATCTAACAATCAATATTCCTGGAATATATTAAGAACTTTAAGAACTATGAACATTAAGTATTGGAATGTGTATTGGTCAATATTGAAGAGAAATAAATAAATTTATGAACACAATGCTTTTAAATTTATTTTGTACATGTAGAGAGTTAGAAAGAAACAAAATATTAATCCAATCTCACAGGATAAGTAGGTCTATAAGAACCAAGTTCAAAATCTTTGCCAATGATTGAATTGACAATTTCCTCATTTTCAACATTGGTTGCATTCTTGTTGAATGGACACATGCAAGCACCAGTGTTTGGATTTGTCCAATAATGTGAAGTATCAACGCCACCGGTTCCCTTTGATTGACTTCTTAACCAGAAAGCTCTGTCGTAAGCTTTCAGTAAAACATAATCGAATGGTTCATTCTCAAAATAGAGTGGATCTTCTTCTTGTAAAATGTGAACGAACTGATCGAGAATTTTGTGTGAAGGGAATGTTAATGCATTTCCAGAAGATTTCAAGAATTCAGTCAATTCAGGAGTTATACTATCAGAATTCAATAATGTTTCTTTAACATCATCGTTAACTCTGTATGACATGTCACATGCTCCTGTGGTTTTGAGTCTTGTGAGATATTCCTTCAGTGGTCCTTGATTTGCAATTTTATCAAAAGCTGACGCTAAACCAAGTTTTTCAATTGCCTCAGTACAAAAATGTTGACAATTTGATGACTTGTTATCATAGTCACGTGTTCTGTTCCATGTACAAATCAATTCCGATAAATTTTTAAAAGCATTATCGACATTTTCTTGTCCTGAAATTGTTGCAATGTCTGTTGCAAAAACTGCCTTGCTACTACTCTTCTTTCTAACTGTCACCAGTGAAGAATCGACCCACTTTTTCAAAATGTGAATTCACATCACAAACATATTGATGATAGATAATTATTATTATTATTAAATATTATGTAACGATGATATTATAATATTATCATTCAATTAGAAAGTAAATTCAAATACGTTCCATAAAAATAAAAACAATAACAACATACCTCAACATAATACACACCGACAATGAGAGCAGTGTGAAACATTCCGTAATCCATAGATTTGATAGTTTTGTGAATTCTTGTACCAATTAATCTCAATAATCTATGAGCCATACCAGTATCCATTTCAGTAATGACCAATTTAACTTTAATGAAAGGTTCCATCATTTTGTTAACTTGTCTATCTTTATCTGACAATCTCAGTGGATTAAAATATCTATATTGAAATCTATCTGGGAAAATACAATCTTGACAAATAGTAGCTTGAACAGAAGGTGGATAATCTTGACAAGCCAATTCAACCTTCTTTAAACACTTGTCATAATCCTTCTTTTCTTCACCTGTCAGAGAGGAAACAAGAAATGGAGGTGCAGCAACATATCTTTCACTTCCGTTAGCTAATCCTCCAGAAGTACTATTCATTTCAGATCCAGATGATGTATTAAAAAGAGTACCTCCCTTTGATCGTTGTTGAGTTGTTGTTGCCGATGATGATTCACAATTGTCTTCCTCCTCTGATTTGTCCAACAATTGAACCACTTGATGACCATTTTGTGTTGAATCTGTTGTTGCTGTACCAGTACTAGTATTCGATTCTGATGATTGACGATTATTCGAAACAGCACTATTTGGATCATCAGTATTGTTTGTTGTTGTTGAGGTTGTAGTTGATGTGGAATTATTATCTAAACGTTGTGAAGCATTGGATGCTCTTGATGGTTGGAAAAGTCCTGCTTTGATTTGTTCTTGTTTGAGTTGATTGATGGAATTGGTTATACCTTTAGCTGAACCACTGTTTTAAAGACCAATTAAAAGTGTTAATATATGTTGTCAATTAATTGGTAAAAAGTGTTTAGTGTTAAAAAGAAATTTTGACATGTGAAATAAAGAATCATCAAAATTAAAATCATCATCACCAAATAATATTAATAATAATAATAATTGTACAATTCGAATTTTGATAATAATAGAAATTACATCAATAAATTGTTATTAGAAAGTAAAAATTAAAATTATTCGAAAGGAGGCTATATAAAATTACAAACCTTGGAATTCCTAGCTTTTTTAAATCTTCTTCTGTAAAATCGATTAAACACTTTCCGTTCCATTCTTCCTTTTTTAAAACTTTCATACAACATTATATATTCGAATAATTAAACTTTAAAAATCACTTACTCTGTGTAACCTTCTTTTGATATTGATGTTCTCTCAACCATTCTTGAAAGTCTTTTACACTCCATTCTTCTATTGGTTTTGATTGAAGATCAGTTACTTCTCGTGTGCTTTTAAAGAGGGATTTTAAACGCTCCATATTTAGGGATTTTTTTTTAATGACAACTGTCAGGAAAGAGTATGCCACAATCACGTATTGGTGGTTAGGTTGCTTGGCTTTTTAGAACGAATATGCAGGAACTTGTTTGCCTTTCCAGAAATAACTGGTCGAAAGTCGACGAAAGAGAAAGTTGTAAAGAGAATTTTTTGAATCCTTCTTGATAATGTTGAACCTGGCTGGTTACATGGAAGATTGAAAGTAAATTGTTTGGTGCGATGAAAAATTGGATAATAATATTGAATGATACATGCATTTTCAGGTTGAATATCGAAGTTGAAGGGAAGTTGGACGAAACAAAAACGTGGGGCGTTTACAAAAAGTTCAACACTTTCAACGTTAAAATTAGCGCGAGAGAAAACTGTTCAATAGTTGAGATAAAAAAGTGCTGATGAAGATCCACTCTTGTCATTCAATCAATTAAACTAAAGTAAACGAAAGTCAACAATACCAATGTACACACCAATGAACATTTCTAATATTAAAATTGATTAACATTTCTTCATTACAAAAAACAATCAAAATTATATTCGAATTATTTAGTATTACATAATTTAATTTCTCTTCTCAAATGAAATTGAAATTGGTTGACTTGGATGAGGAACACCAATTAAACGGTGAAGAGCAGGAGATGGAATTTCACCATTGATTTTTACATTTCTAAATTTGTAGAAGAATAGAGCAATGAATGTAACCATTTCTACAATACTGAAGGCTTTACCTGGGCATTCTATTATAAAGTTGAGGAATTATCATGATATTTGATTGGGTTGATAAATAATTTATAATTATTAGGAGGATTCAGTATTTAAAACGGTTTGAGGTATTTTTTTTTGTAATGTGTGAAAATATTGGTAAATTGTAAAGAAGGTACTTACCATGTGGACCTCTTCCCCAAGCAATAAATTGCTTACTTCTATCACTCAAACTATTTTCACCACTTTCTAACCATCTTTCAGGTCTATATTTGAGAGGTTCATCATAATAACAATCATCCAAATGAGTAATGAATGGAGAAATACAGAGATTGTGTCCTTCTGGAATGATAATGTCTCTATCTGGAAGTTTAATTGGATGCATGACCTTTCTAATTAACATTCCTGGTGGAATAATTCTAATAGCTATTTGAAGTTTCATTTAAATAATTAATTGAATAGTAATTATTATAATTATCATAATAATTGTTTAAATATTAGAATGGAAATATTCAATCATATTCTTACCTTCATAAATACAAGCTTTAACATATGGGAATAAATTCAACTTTTCAAATGTTAAATCACGTGGATTTTCCAAATGATTGGCAAAAACTTCATCAACTTCCTTTTGAAGGTTTTCATAAATTGCAGGTTCCTTACAAACGTAACAAATAGTCCACAAAGATGATGGAAGAGAATTGGCTTGGGAGGCCCAAAGCATAGCCAAACCAAAGTGGTCAATGGTTGATTGATCCTCAACAACATCCTTGAGAGCTTCCCTAAGCAATTGGAACATTCTCTTTTCATTATCAGGAGTGGTATCATCCATATTGGTTGATAGTGATGAAATCATCTTCAATAAAAAGTCCTTAGATCCCTTGAATGTCTTCATCCATGATTCTGGAACATAACCACTGGCTCTAATTTCAAATTGTGAATCAATGGTTTGAAATGATTTACAAGCATCTTGTTCATTTGAAATGAATGCCTTCTTATCATACAATGACTTAACAGTACTCCAAAAAAGTGTTTCAGTAATGGCTTTGAAAAGATCATCAGTTCCCTTTGGATCCCAAACATAACCCATGACATTTGTATTATTTTCAGTTGTCTTTTCAAAAACATCCATTAAATTTGATGCAATTTCTTTGGTATAGAATGGAAGAGTTGTGCTTGGACTCAATTTAGCTCTCATAGTATTAACCATGGTAATGTGTTGAGACATGAAATCATTAACTGGAATTCCAAATACTCTACTAATAAATTCCAATACAGCATGATCGAAACTAATAGCCAATTTATGTTCTTCACCACTTGGTTTCTTATTTTTAACACGAATCGAATTACCCTTTGCAGGATTAAAAAAATATTGAAACAATTCAGCATCTGTCAAGAATGTGAAACATTTACCAGCAACATGAAGAGTAAATACATCACCATACTTTTTCTTGCATTCATTCAATAATTTAACTGGCTCTGTTCCGAATCTCTTTCCTACTCCCATGAATGGCCACAAAAATCTACCTTCCATTGGCGGAGATTTTGCTGGTTTCTTTGGTATTAATTTAATATAGAGAATAGTAATCAAAACAATGATCACACTCAATCCGACAGTGAAATAATTTTGAGAGGAGAATAAATCTACCATTGGTGATGATGTTGCTTCTTCCATTTTTTTCTGTTGTCTGTCTGTGTGGTTTTAAATTCGGAGGACGATTCAATAGTGATGATTTTTTACTATTTGGTGATTGTGGAGAAATGTGAAAAATACTAACCAATAATTATTTGTAATTAACAATTAATTTCATTAAGGAGATAAAACAATAGATATATAACCAAACATTAAATAATTCTTTATTGTCACATCTTCCAAATAATAATTGAAAGGTTTATTAACTCAGAATTTCTCCAACAATTTTGTAATTATAATAATGATAGTCCACAAACTCAAAATTGCATATTTCATTTTCATCATCTTTCTTTAAGGAGAGAACATATAAATGAGATTTTACCTCCTCTCCCTGAATAGATCCATAATAATCCAACTCAACTCTCACAATGGTGTGAAAGATCTCATCATAGTTTTTACATTCACATTTCTTATATTCATTCAGCCAATCCATTACCTGTTCATCTGCACCTAATTGAATAAGTGAACTTCCCTCCAATTGAGAATCGTGATAAAACGAAAATCTGTGAGCATAGTGAAGTTTCTTAGAAAGATAAATCAAAAAGGTAAAAATATACTCTCTACATATTGGAATATTTAGCAAATTCATTTTCAAGTATCGGTAGAGCATCTTCTTCAAAGTAAGATTGAAGAAGTCATTCAATCCTCCTTTATGACTATTTGGCTTGGTATCATCATCGTCATCGTTGAAATTTCCATGCAAAAATTCGTATGGTAGGTGACGAAGAGTAAATCTTGAGCACTTTCTAATGTTTTTCAGAATTTTATGCTCCACCTCACCATCGAAACATGATCCAAAAACATACGACAAATTCGAATCCACAACAAATGTTTTGCCATCCTTGGTTATATTTCTGATGAGCTCTTTATGCTCATCCCTCCATTCAGCACAGGAGCCAAAATAAATATCTTTCCAATTAATATTGCTTCCTTTCTTTCTAGTTAATTTAATCATGGGTAGGAAAAAATACTCTTCATAATTATACACTATCTCTTTCTGTGCCCAATAGATTTTCTCAAAATTAAACTCCTCGTTCTCATTTCCGATATTGTAAAATAATCCAAAGATTTCTTTTTTTCTGGATGGGATGTTATCTGGTACAATTGTTAAATTAGTGTTAATTAGATGAGGAGTGAAAAATTGCTGAGCTGACACCACATGTTGATCACCAATATAGGGATAATTATTATTCTCTGTGAAATAGAATGATCGATTACTTTGGCATGATCTAACACAACTCCATCCTCTGATCATTTCATATATTATTTTGGCATGATCTTTTGTTAAACTAATGTCAGTACCATTGGTAGAATTTTGGATAGTCAATTTGGAGAGATGTTTAGTGGATGATTGAATAAAACATTTCAAAAACATGTTATACGATTCCGTACTTTCGATCATTTGAAACCAATCTTTACAAACTAGCGACATTCGAATAGCATCAGGGAGAGAAATAAATCCTCCCATTACAATTGATTGAAATATATCTTTAATAGAAAATAATTGTTTAAAGCCTTCGGAGAGTTGAATGCTACTAGTTTCTTTACTAGCATTCATCTTTCTGCGTTTAAAAAAGTTTAAATCTGTTAGAGGCATTTTTTTGTAAAATTGTTTCTTCCAGTTAACAGTTTGAACTTTCAATTGGTTCCACCTGAAAATGAAGACTAGCAAATCTACTTATTCTAAAGCTAAAAGGTTGAATGGAATCGAACACACAGCCAAAAAAAGTTACAGTGTAATTTATTGGCAATAATTGAGAGAATCTATGATATTTTGCTAACTTAACCTCCTCTCAATCTCAATACTAAATGCACAGTTGAATCCTTTTGAAGATTGTAATCACTTATAGTTCTTCCATCTTCCAATTGCTTACCGGCATAAATCAATCGTTGTTGATCTGATGGAATACCTTCCTTATCAAATATCTTTTGTTTCATATTCTCAACAGTATCAATCGATTCCATTTCAATTGTAATTGTCTTTCCAGTTAAGGTTTTTACAAAAAGTTGCATTCCTCCTCTTAATCTCAACACCAAATGAAGAGTTGAATCTTTTTGAATGTTGTAATCATTAATAGTTCTGCCATCTTCCAATTGTTTTCCTGCAAAGATGAGTCTTTGTTGATCTGGTGAAATTCCTTCCTTATCTTGCACTTTTCTTTTCACATTTTCAATCGAATCATTAGATTCAACCTCCAAAGTGATGGTTCTTCCAGTGAGTGTCTTGACAAATAATTGCATTATGTTTGTTGTTATGTTTTTCTTGTTTTGTTGTTTTTTTGAATTCAAAACACCATGCACTTCCTTGTTTTTTATACTTGTTTGAGATGTATATTTTTAGAAAGTAGTTCTTATGCAAAGAAATTCTGTCAATGAACCGATTTTTGTTTCTGGACACAAACTCGGTTCATGTTTAATTCAATTTGAATCTTGAGTAAACTGTTGCGAGTACAGCTGATTCATTTCTCAACGACGAGTGAAAATGATGAAAAGTCAATGTTTAGGACTATTCTGAAAAGATATGCCAGTTATTGCCTTAATGAATTGAATAATAAAAATTATTTTCTTATTTATTTAATTATTATATTAAATATCATATTTATTGGGCTTTTAAACCTCAGAAGTGAAGAAACTTCAAGAACACAAGATGCAGAAATCAGGTAATAATAAGAAACCAAAAAAATGACTGAAGAAGATATAGATATCCTAGCTTATGATTCGGCCATGAGGGGGACCATTGAATATGGTCATCTTGAAGAGAGGTGATAATAAGGAAGCCTTGACTCCTGTTCTCAAAGGAATAACATTTTACGAGAGCAGATGTGGTTATACTCAACTCCCAGATGAAGTAGTACATGGTGTACACCTCCTGTGATGATATCACACTGTTGTTCTGATGCAATTTTCAGAATTATTGTTTGTTTATCATTTGTAATTTTGGACGGGAAGCCTGCCAGGAATATGGCGACTATCCCGCTACAGTCTTTGACTGTATGAACAGTGAAGGCAACGAAGACAGAATCTTGTTGGTTCAGGTTTTGTTTGAAGAATTTGAAAAGGTTGATCACCCTCGTATTTATTGAACATTTGCCATGTTGAGTTGCTTGATCCAAATTTTGGTTTGATATTTTCTTAATCAAATCGAAATTGAAACTTCATCTATTTCAAACATTACTTCTATTGGAAGTGAAACAAGTAAAACTTCCAAATCTCAATCACAGAATACTGTTGAAATGAGAAACAAACAATTCAAAATGTGGTGAACTCCATAAAATTTTGTAAGCCTAGGCAACCATTGTAAATAAAACCAAAATATTCAATTATGCACAGTTGAATTTTCGTTATTCTCTTCTGAACTGTCTGAATTTCTGATTCAATTCACATCCTACATAAATTTCAATATAATTATGTCAACTCGGTGTTTACTTCATGTTCAACAATTTCAAAGAATTCAAATCATAAAAAAACAAACAATGACAATAATTCAATTTTCAAAAATAAATACATCTGGAAAGGTTTTTAAGATTTGTTTGAATTTGCACTCTTTGCTTTCTTCATACTTACCTAGAAGGACATTTCAGAGATCATGAAGACTGAAATGTGAATCTGGAAACTCTCCTCCTTTCACTCAGAGGATGAGTAGCTAGAATTTGGTCAATAATCAAAGTGGTTGTTCCTTCTCAATTTTGTCCTGTGAGTATTCATCTGGTATGATTTCTCGCTCTGTTAAATAATAGAAACATTTTGGAATTTTGAAAAAGTTGTAAAACTCTTAACATGGTTTGCAAAAGAATATTTCATTTTGAAAGGACTTCTATAAAGGAACACTTGATTCGAACCAACAATCATTTCCTCTCATGATAAAAGGTTGAAAATAAAAAGACTACAGCACCACAGGGTCCCAAGTTGTCTCCAACCTCAGTACTGATGTGGCTCTACGATGCTTAACTTCTCAAATCGGACGGGATGAGGTGCATGAATCGTGATATGACCGTAGTCATTTATCTCCTTAATTTCTGGTATTTAAATAACAATATATACTTGGAACAAAACGTAAAGATTCTTAGTTCAGCAAGGTTTGGTTGAAGAATTTGAAACGGTTGATCAATCTTCTATTTATTGGACACATTTTGCCTTTACCAATTTATGATCGAAGTTCAAAAAGAAATCGTAGCAGAATAAAATTCAATATTTATGAATTTTTAACTTCCTGGATTAATTTGCAAGTGTAGTGCTGGGCTGATTGGAATGAAGTGAATCTACACCATCCCATTTTAAATTTGTAATATCCTACATCAATCTCACCAGAATACTCAGTTGGATGGAATTCTCTTGCGCCCTGTGCCAATATTTGAATACCATAATCTCCATTCCTTGAGTACGAGTTCACTAAGGCTGCAACTGAACCATCTGATTCCCAACATGGGCGGTAGTATTGTCCGAAACGCTCTCTGCGTGGTCTGGTATCTGATCTGAAGAACATTCCAAATCCAACTCTTCTGACACTTGTATCTGAATTTGTTGAGCTGCATCCATTCTTTTCAAAATATTGGACTAAATCCTTTGGCATGCACAAATCATAAATCTTTTTGAGATTTTTTGGAATACCACCATTGATACCACAAATATTTATAAAATCGCTCACATCAAAGATGAAAGCATGCTCACTTTGATCCATTTTTCCAATTACAATGTATCTATACAAATGTTCCTTATCCTCATTGCAATAATTAGTTTTCATTTTGAAATACACTTGATGATCATCCTTATCAATAATGGTTATAAGAGAATTGATCAATGATTCTTCCTCATGTAAATTAATCTTCTTAGCAACCTCTGTTATTGAATTATGGTACGGAAATTCAATATCAATTCGTAAAGTGTCAATTGACATGATCTTGTCTGGGTACGAAATTTTATGCTTTTCAATATAACTCGTTACTCCCTTAATATAATTTGGAATTATTGGTTGAGAATCTTGACATGTGAAAATTATATTCATCATGACATTATCTCCTCTATTGATTTCTCGACAAACTGCCTTCGAATTCTTTACCTTATCACAAAGAAAGTCTCTGGTTCCGTTAGAGATTTTCTTTTTGAATTGTAAAGGTCTAATATCAAGTTGTAATTTTACACAATCTCTAACAATGGATATAAATGTTTCTGTTGGCAATCTTTCTGAAGAAATTGTTTTCTTTTGTTTTGCTTTGGTGAGTTTGATGGTTTGCTGTTGTTGTGATCTTTGCATTTTTTTTTGTTGATCTTAAAGTTCATGGAAAGGATTACCGAACGTTTTAGAAAGTAAACTATTCATCAGAATATTTAATTATCAACATTTCCACTTGATGAAATTGATACTATTGTGTCTATGATCATCTCATCTTTATTAACTATTAGCTAATTGTTAACAATCATTAGAATTTTGCAATAACAATTGTAACAAACAACACTACATGGTTACAGTATCAGGAATAAAGTTGTTACAAATGCAACATCACTCTATTCTCAATTTAAATGAATTTTACATTTCAATCTTTCAGGATAGCGCTTAGATGAACTTTGAAAAATAGCCAATTTTAAAAAAAAATGTCAACACATGATGGTGGTGAACTCTATCACCAGCTTCCATCAGAAATCATAATGGAAATTTTGTCCTATTTAGAATTTGAAGCCAAGTTGTGCAGTAGAAAATCTTCAACATTTTTCAAGTATTATTTTGGAAGATTTCCAACAGGAAATATTTGCTTCTTATTCAAGAATTTGTGTTGGGACCAAACGAGGGTGGAAGAATCATTTGAAAGACAAGTGATAAATATTGAACTTTGTGCCAATGATGGAAAGAGAATTGACTTGATAGAAGGTGAAAAATCAAATATTTTGAAACCAAACCTCCAGAAACATAATACTAAAGAAAAAGTAATTGAAAATTTGGAAAGAACATTCAAAAATGTGGATACAGATTTGGTTAAATCAATTCAGTTATCTAGTGACTATCTTCCAGAATATGTTTCTCAATGGGCATTGAAAAAATTTCCAAGTTTGGAAAATATTTATATTAGATGTGATTATTATTCTAATAGTGATTATGGTCTCTCCAGCTTGGCTTCTTTAATTGCACAGTGTAGAAATTTGAAGAAATTGACATTGGATTGTATTGATTCAAGCTCATTAATTGAACATTTTATTGAAATATCAAAAAACACTCCTCAATTAGAATATTTCAAAAACAAGTCATTAACATCAATTTTTACAGCGCCAGAAATATTTGAAAATTGGAAGAATCTTAAAGAGATATATTCCGTTATTTATCTAATAAGAGGTGAAATTACAGAAGATCCAACAAGTGAGCAAGTTGTTGAATCATTTGCAGCCATAAATAAGTTGAAACATTTAGAGAAGATTACTTTGCATGGAGAACGAATTGAAGGATTTGGAGTACCATTTTGCGAGAATGTCAAAACATTGAGATTAAGCTTGTCATATGCTGATTTTTCTGATTATTTGATGGATTCAATTTCCAAAAATAGTCAATTGAAAGAGCTTTCATTTGAGGATGGTGGATATGGGGAAAATCTCGCTAGGTTGAACCCTGAAACGTTTAAACAATTGGAAACCTTTAAAATGTTTAGTATTACCAATGAATTAGCAGAACATTTCTCTAAATTCGAGTCCATTAAGGAACTCTCCATCAAATATGCTGAAATAGACCAGTTTGGATTGGAATCTTTATTGAAATTACCAAAATTAGAAAAACTAATTTATTCGAAGGGGTTCAACAAACCTGAATTAGATTTACCACAAAACATGAAGATAGTTTTTGAAAAACTACAATATTAGGTCCAATTGCTTAATTAGGTAGTGGTATGAGATTGTTTGTATACTAAGAATTAAGGAGATAAATGACTACGGCCATATCACGATGAATGCACCTCATCCCGTCCGATTTGAGAAGTTAAGCATCGTCGAGCCACATCAGTACTGAGGTTGGAGACAACTTGGGAACCTGTGGTGCTGTAGTCTTTTCTTCTTTTTTGAATAATCCCAATAGACTGATTGAATATATTGAAACTATTTATGATTTTAAAGATGTTTTTAGTAATAATTTAAATTATAATACTAATTATTTATTTCGTTATCTGAAAATATTTCTGAAAATATAATTTTATCGTAAATACTTATTTTGATAATAACAACATTGGATTTGAAAGATTACAACTATTTGAAAATAATGTTATTGAAATCAATTTTTATTGGAAATGAGCAAAGAATTAAAAAATTTAATAATTTTGATAAATTTATCTAAAATTGATGAATATTTCCATAAAATATTTAAATAGAAATATGTTTACTGTTGTTGATAATAATAATTACATTATCCACAAAGTGAAACGTATCAAATCTAACTGAGATTTTTTTTGTTAGGTTGATATTTAGACGAGCAAGTAGATAACAAGTGCTAACTAGCCAACCAGTAATTGATATTGCATTTTCATTTAATAGAAATGGAAAAATAACTACATCACCAAGTTATCAGATGTGACTCAACGTCTGACGGGATGAGGCCTAGTAGTTAACCGTGTAAACATATCTTTATATTTAATAATGTAGTATTGAATTCAAACAAAATTTCAAGCCAAGACAGAAATCAAAATCGAGTCCATTTGAAAGACCTTTATTCAATCTTATTACTTGTTGTAAATATTTTGTAAACATTTAATTCCATACTCAAATATTCCCTCAATAACTTGTTGCCATTTCTTTCCTTCACCATGTGGACATGTAAATTCTGCCTCCCATTCCAATAATGTGTTATCTACCTTATCAGTTCCATTTGTTGTAATTGGCTTGACTGAAATAGTTGCAAAGTAATCATTATTATATCCTTCCCATGGGATACCATCAACTAGGGAGTAAGTGTAAGAAGAATTCCGTAAATCCATAGCAATTAATCTTTCACGTTGAATAATACCATTTTTCATGGTGAGCTTTCGAATACCTCCCACAGTATTATCCGATTGATTATTGTCCATTTCACTGCTGGCAACAGTATCATACCAAGTTGGCAAACCATTGAAAGAACCAATCAGTGACCAAACAGTTGATGCACTAACATTTGGAATAACTCCACTCACATACACGTTAACAGTTTCGAATGCTCTTGTTGACATTTTTTCTTACTATTCTACTGCATACTGAATATCCCCTTTTTTTATTCGAAACGTGAATAGGAATTTTGTGCTTACTCGCTGCTTAAAAGTGCACTATTTTTCAGAAGCAGAATATTTTTGCTGATCTGCGCAGCACGTACAAATCAAGTGCGACAAAGCTATTAATTGGGAAAGTTGAAACAGTTGCAGCAAATAAAACAAACAAAAAAAAACAGCAAAATGTCAAGCGAAATCACAGCAACCAATAGTAAGAGCAGTATTCTTATTACTGGAGCAACAGGAACTATTGGAAAGCATTTATTGAAAGCCCTTTCAGAACAGAAATCATTTGGTCAATCAGTGAAGGTTTTGGTGAGAAATGTTGAAAAGGCAAAACAAGAACTTGTAAATTATGTAAATAATCTTGATGTAGAATATGTTCAAGGTGACTTGAATCAACTCGAATTAATTCCATCGAGTACATTTGAAAAGATTGAAAGGGTTTTCGTTTTAACATTGAGTGCACCAAATCAACCAAAAGTGGAAGAGCAATTAATTGACAAGATTCTTCAATATTCAAAGTATGATTTGAAACAAGTGATAAGATTATCTGGATTGGGTGCTTCAACAACTATTGAATCGAATAGTTTATTCAGATATCATGGCGATTCTGAAGTTGTAATTGGTAATTTACTTTCGAATAAGGCACCAAATGTTTCCTACGTAATTTTAAGACCTAATCTATTCATGCAAAACTTCCTTAGAGATGACATTCATTCCATCAAAAACTCATCTCAATTCTTCAAGCCAAGAAATGACCATGGAGTTCCATATCACATTAGTCATGTCGATGTTAGAGATATTGCTGATATGGCTGCTCAAATTCTCACCGAAAATCCAAATATTCACGGAGGACAAGTTTACAATATTACAGGACCTCAATCTTTAAATTATGATCAAGTAGCTGAGATTATTTCCAAAGTTATTGGAAGACAAATTACTTGGGCAAGAATTGATGAAATTGAGTTGGCTAATCAATTAGGTCAATTACCAAAGTTTTTAGTATTTGGACTGGTGAGATTATTCCAATTTTACAAATTGAATGGAACCTCTGCTAATGTACATGCAGATTTTGAGATTGTTACTGGAAAGAAACCAAGATCTTTGGAACAATTCATTCAAGAAAATAAACATCATTTTGAATAATCTGGAACAAACATTAAAAGTGTTAATTTGAAAAAGACTACAGCACCACAGGTTCCCAAGTTGTCTCCAACCTCAGTACTGATGTGGCTCGACGATGCTTAACTTCTCAAATCGGACGGGATGAGGTGCATTCATCGTGATATGGCCGTAGCCATTGTCTATCTCAAAATTCTATTATTGAAAATTTGCAACTTGTTGGTTTTAATGCTTTTGACTTTTTTAAATTATCTAAAGGGTTGCATGTTCTCCAAATAATATTAATAATTATTTGTAAAGTTTCTCAATTTCAGTAAGGAGGAGATGAAACAATTTAGAAAATATAATTTAATCCATATAATATTTGTTTTTTTAGGTTTTTATACAATAATTGGGTCTCCGGTGACTTTAATCTTCTTATCCTTAATTTCTTGTTCAAGTTTTTGTTGGTAAATCTTATCTTCTTCATATTCCTTGGCAACAAGGTCAGAGAAAACTTTGGACAAATGTTCCGTTATACGAGTAACTTCAGCATCTTCTCCTTCATAAGATAATTCAGCTTCCACTGGGAAGTCAAGTTCATACGAAAGAGCACCAGCTGAGTTATCCTTGTTTCCGAATTCTACAGCAAATTCTCTACGTGCTTGCACAGACAAGGCTACTAAAGCACGCATAGTTAAAGGTTCTGTTTGGGCCAATTCGGCAAGTACTTTACGATTAATTTGGCATCCACTAAGAACAAATCCATTCATAAATTGACTATATTTTACTCCATGTTGTTCGGTAGCAGCTTTAACATTTTGTATCCAAATACTACTCATTGTTCTTTTCTTTTCCTTTCTTCCACGGTAGGCATGTTCAAGACCATGCTCCACTCTATTTCTTGTTGTTCTCCAACAATTTTTACTTCTGCCGAAATAACCTTTGGCAAGTTTAAAGATGAGGTCCTTTCTGTTAGTCATTTTTTTATTTCGATTGAAAATTTATTTTGAATTTTTAAAAAAATTTAATTAAATATTTATTTGTTATTGGTCCAAGCAATTGTTCCTTGCAATCCTTCTAGATCCAGGCGTATTGGGAGGAATGGTTTAATAGATGGATCCTAGTAGCATGAGATGTCCTTTTTCAATATTGAATATTTTTGAATATTGTTGCAATAACAATATTATTAGCAGCAAGAACAAAAATCTTGTGTAGCAATGTAAAAGGAACAACAACACGTTTCAGGTTTACGTTGAGAACAAACTAATGTACTTTTGGAATGAAAATGTCAATCACCAATTCTATTTTATGCTCTGATAAATTATTCTGTCTCTGAAACAGAAACAATAAAAAAGAAGCAACAAGCTAAAAACCTTCAAATTTCCCACCAAAATAAAATGAAAGAAGAAAATTACGACTTGTTCGTTAAAATTTTGCTGGTCGGTATGTTTTTGTAAACGTTGAAAGTATTTAAATTTCAATAGGTGATTCTGGCGCTGGAAAGGTAAATAATTGTTATTAATGAATGGAATTTAATAATAATCGGATGATAATAGACTTGTTTAATTTTACGATACACAGACAATGAATATAATGATACATATCAAAGTACAATAGGAGTTGATTTTAAAATTAAGAACAAGTTAATGCAAAATCAAAAGGTTGCTAGAATGCAATTGTGGGATACAGGTAAGTCTCTTCTTGAAATTAATAGTTTTGTCTTATCAAGTAACAGCTGGACAAGTATGTTTAATAATATTAACAATAAGTGAAGCTAACGTGGATAATAATAATAATGGATGATTAACACAATAACAACATTATATAGGAACGTTTTAATAGTATTGTTGTTTCATACTATAGAGGTGTAAATGGTATTCTAGTAGTTTTCGACTTGACAAATGAAACTAGTTTCCAAAATACAACCAAATGGATTCAACAAATTAAATCCAATGCTCAAGAGAATGCTCTTATTACACTTGTAGGTAACAAGAGTGATATGGTTCATAGAAGAGTAGTTGATCGTAGCAGAGCTGAAGAATTAGCAAAGAAATTTAATATTCCATATTTTGAAGCATCAGCAAAGGATGGTTCTGGTGTAAAAGAACCATTTGACAATATGTTGGATCGTTTATATCAAGCAGGTAATTATGCTGAAAGTGAATTTAATAGAAGAAAGAATAATTCTTCGGAGACTGGAACAAAGACTGTGACCTTAGGATCTCAACCTCAATCACATCCTTCATCAGGGAAGTCAAACAATTCTGGAAGTGGAGGAGGTGGATGTGGATGTTAATTATTTGGTGATAATTTATCATATTTTCCTTGTATAGATTAGAAATTTTGGAAATTCATTCAAAATTATGTACATAAAATTATTGTGACATCTTGTAACTTAGAATTTATATTTCTTGTTTGAATCATAGTCGCACACAATTGAATTGCTAGTAATGGATAATGAGATTTCTCCATCTCCTTTTAGAATACTTAATTTTCTAAAGGCTTCAAATCCTAATTTTGCTTCAAGTGGCCCAATCATGTAAATTTCGTCACTCTCAGTTTGAATTACAACTCCAGATTGTACAGCATAAATTGATTTAACAGGAGGATTTCCAACTTCTGTATATTCAGTCAGTAAAGTTGGTAAATTGAAAGTAGTTGGGTTATTCTTCACTTGCCAACTCAAATCTCCAAATCTATAAATTTGATTATCTTCAGTTACAATAACTGAAAAATTGTTTGATGCAGCAATATGCTTAACACCAATTCCAAATTTGACTCTTTTTACACAACCTTCAACATTTTCATTTTTTCCATTTCCAAGTTGACCAAACTCATTATTACCACAAACATATAATTCTCCATTATCTGTAAGGAAGAGCATGTGATAAAAACCACAAGCTACCTGCTTAATAACCTTATTCTTAAGTAAACTTTTTACAAGAGCTGGTGTATCAAGACGTTTGAATGGTGTTTCATCTTCATCTTTGATTGGAAATTTCCATTTATCACCGCTTCCATAACCACAAACAAATACCTTTCCTAAATTATCTCATTAAGTACGATTTCAAATGATATCTACATACCCTCTTCACTAATAAAAGCTGTAATGTTTTCACTAAAGCTAATTGATTTGATTTTTGGTAGTGGAATTTCCTCAGCTAATCCTTTTTCGAAAATATCAGCCTTTTCAACTTTGACAGGCTCCATTGTTGCAATAGCTTCTCCAAGTCCTAATTTAGCTGTCTTTGAGTTACTGTAGGCATATACCTGTCCATCTACAGTAGTAAATAGTATACTTTCTTTAATACAGTATACTGATTTAATAACCTCAGTAAAAGTATTCTTAATCTTTTTGAAATCACGCCATGTGGCATTATTTCCAGTATTATTTAACTCACTTGATTTTCCAGCACAAAACACTTTGAAATCATCTAAATCAAACAAGTCAACCTAAGGTAATCCACACTATTACCTACCAGTAACAATAACAACTAAACTCTCTGAATGTCCAAAAGCAACAATACGATTTGTGGCATTCAAATTATTAACAGCAAATTCTATTGGAATCCATTCGCTTGTACATTCTAATCTTCTCAATACATCATCCAATTGTACTGTTGGAATCAAAAACGTATGATTTCCTAAAAACGAAAATCTACTACTATCGTCCAAAGTTATCGGAATTTGAATATGATCTGGACACTTGCTTGGAGGAAGAACAAGTGACAATGAATTTTGCTTTGATTGCTTTTTACCCATTTTTTTTGCTTGTCAAAACCTCCACCTTTAGACATTTGATTGTTCTGAAGATAATCTTTCAGTTTACCTCATTGTATTATTTTCATTAACAAATCAACGTTTTGAGTTTGCTCTCTTGCTTCTTATTATCGCTTGGTTGTTATTAAGGAATCTTTGCATGGAGGCTTTCCCGCTATTTTTTATTAAATTTAAAAAAAATCCAAAGACAAAACGTGCAGAATCGCTGATCTCGGAGCGTTTGAATTTTCATCTAAATTGTATGTGATTTATTCTCATCACCATCGTTAATAGATTGGAATTAGAATTGTGTCATTTTAGCGTGGTATAAGAATTACGCTATTATTAATTGTTTTTAAAAACATTTTTTGGAATAATTTGAAATGATCGGAGCAACATTATTTTACTTTTCTAATTTGTCGTGTGTACTGGTTGGACTTGTATACCCATTAATTGCATCGTATCATACTGCCAAACAGTTCATTCAAAAACAAGAGGAATATGAAATTGTTATTAAATTTCAAAAACTTCAAGAAAAGAAGAAGAGAGAGGGAATTGTGAATACAGGATTTGAATTTAATACTCCCGAAAGACAAGAACAACTTTGGAAGGAAGAACAAGTTGAAATGTTGGAAGGAAATCACAAGAAATGGCTTGCTTATTGGATGATCTATACTATTCTCTATGCTATTGAATTTATTTTGGAAGATTTCTTCTACAATACCCTCCCAATTTATTACATTTTCAAACTTGCTTTTGTTATTTATGTCATTACCTCAAAGAGTATTTGCATATGGTTCTTTGATAATTGTGTTTATAAGTTAATGAAGTGGGAAAATTTGGAACAAGATATTGATAAGGTTCTCAGTTTCGCCAGAGGAAAGTTATACACATACGTTGGAAAGTACTTTGAGGGAAGTAAGGAAGCTGGAGCTGGATTGTTACTTGGATTACAACAAAATCTTTTACCATTTGTTATGTCCTTCATAGGTCAAAAGAAAGAATAAGCTCTTTCTAATTGTTAATAATACATCTAAATTTGTAAATTCTGTTATCTTCTGTATTTCTGCTTTTGCATTTGGCTGGATTGGTCAATTTGGATTTTGTAAAATAATGAAACTTACATGAAATTCTGTTTTTCTTGATCCAATTGTCTCTTCTTACTCATTTCCTTATATTCTTCAGCACTAATTGGTGTATAAATCTCTGATGGTGTATTGGTTCCATATTCATCATGAAGAGAAAATTCTTTCATAATTTTATTTAAAATTTCTGGATTATGGAATTGTCTTTGTGATTTCAAATTTTCCAATAATGTTACAGTTTTAGCCTTCTCCAAGAATGTTTTAATTTTTAATTGTAGAGGATCAACAAATAATAAATCGGCCGATGATGAAGTGGCTGCCACTTGTTGATTTGATGATGAATTACTACTTGATTGTTCACTCATTTTTTCTTTCAATTATTTGCTTCTTCAATTAATAAGAAAAGTTGTTTTTCCATGTGGAAAACAAGGATTTAATTATTACAGTGTTGTGATGAAACATATTACATAGTGTTGTATTGTTATTAATATTTGAATAAACTTCAAGAATTTAAAGAAAAAAATGTCAGGACTTTTCGGGTAGGTGATTTTAATAATAAAATTTATTCACCACAACAATTTCCATCACAATCATGATGATAATTTATTATTGAACAATTTTGAACAATAACAGAAAGGAGGGAGCCAATGACATTATGGGTTTTCTTTCGACTTTTCAAGTTCGTGCAACAAAGGAAACACAAAATGATACACCTACAACAACAACACCACCAATCCTTGTGGATATGCCTTCAAAACCAGTTAATTTTGTCTTTAATAAGCCTACCGATGAACCTGAAAAGAGCGAGGATAATTTAGTGGAAAAGGATTCAAGTGAAGGATCATCTGCTTTGGAAGGAACCTCTAGTGTAAAGGAAACAAAAGGAGGCTTTTCTTTCACTACACCAGTCACAACAAAACCCAATTTTGGTGGAACTAGTAGCAGTGGAGGTTTTGCATTTAATCCTGGTAGTGGAAGTTCTTCATCTTCGGGTTTTAACCCAGGACAAACATCACTTGGAACTGGTTCTGTACCTTTTTCATTCGGAGCATTGGCGAGTACTAAAACTAGTGAAACTACTAATACATCAACAGAACAACCAAAAGATACATTTGATTCATCAAAAGGATTTACTTTTGGAACAACAACTACTGGCAATACTGAACCAAAACCATTTTCATTTGGACAAACAAAGGAACAAGAAAAACCAAAGGAATCAATTGGAGGATTTAATCCTGGAGCTAGTCAAGTTTTATCTTTTGGGTTCAACCCTGGAAGCGGATCTTCCAGTTCTAATACTGGCTTTAATCCAGGTAATACTTCATTAGGAAAAGGTGCTGTTCCATTTTCATTTGGAAAACTTGCAACAAACAACGATGATGATAGTAGCAGTAGCGATGAGAGTAGCTCAGAGCCAGCATCAGTACCAAAGCCATTTTCCTTGGGTTCAACTACAGAAAAGGAGGCTGCTAAATCCAATACCGGAAACACTCTTTCATTTGGATTTACACAAGAAGAATCTACAACAAAACCATTTTCATTCAATTTTGGATCAAGTACAACTACAGAGCCTACAACTGGTTCATTCAATTTTGCAAAACCTTCAGAACCTGAAAAGCCAAAAGAATCAGTTGGTGGATTTAATCCTGGAACTGGTCAAGTTTTATCTTTTGGATTTAATCCTGGAAGTGGCTCTTCATCCAGTTCTAGTACTGGCTTTAATCCAGGTAATACATCATTGGGAAAAGGAGCTGTTCCATTTTCATTTGGAAAGCTTGCAACAAACAACGATGATGATAGTAGCAGTAGCGATGAGAGTAGTTCAGAACCAGTGCCAACCAAAGCACCAACCTCCTTTTCGTTTGGAAATACTTCAAGCGAACCACAATCCTTCCCTTCATTTGGATTCAATAACAAATCTGAAACCACTGCTCCAGTCATTAACTTCCCAATGAATCCTCAAATTTCCAAAACCTATGAAGATATGGAAGATGATGAACAACCAATAACATCAATCACCTCCACACCTAAGGCAGTAAGAAGCAAAAAACCACCAAACACAGTGTCATATGTTAAAGCTGGCTCAAAGTTTGATTTTAAAAAGAAGGTTGATGAAGAAGATTTACTCGATAACGATCCATTGGTTTTAGAAGAAGACAAGTTTGCGATGAATAGGCCAGCATTTCAATCAAAACCAAGCCAAGTTGTAGACTTGAACAGAACAGCACCAATCCAGGGCTCTGTTCCTTTCAATAATGACTCTTTTGAATCAAGCACTAATGGAGTATCACCATTTGCCAAATATTTGGAAAAGACAACAGATCATAACGACACTATATTCAGTATTTCGAACAGTCCTTTGAACGCTAAATCACCACCAACACAATCAGTTTATCAAAGATCAATCCTTTCTAATAATACAGCTATGGAGGAAGATAACGACTCTTATAATCCTGAATATTTGGAATTTACTCCAAACTCTAATTCCTCTTTATCTAAAGAAGATTTATGGTGGAAGATTTTGCACGAATCTGCAGAAATGTTCCTTTATATGCAAGATGCTTTCCTAGAGGACAAACTAGATAAGAATATTTTGGAAAAAACTATTTCCCAATTCAAATCAATCATCTACCAAGGTATTGGGGAACTTAAACAATTTGGTACCTATTTTGATATATTCTCTGCTGTTGATATATTTTATTTTAACAGATTCTGCAGAGGAGGTTTACTTCAAAAACTTGTAAAATGGTACATTAGAAGTTCTGTCTGTTTCAGTAGGGAAAGTGAGTTAGATCAAAATCTTTACAGACTTTTGGTTATTGGTGAGCATTCATCTAAAGTTGTTGAAGCTATCAAGCAACAAAAGAGTGCAGAGTTAAAGACAATGCCAAGGAAATTACATGATTTATATACAGCATTCTTGGAAATTTTATCTAAACGTCCTAATGTAGTTAATTACTCTTCGATATCAGCTACATTCGAAGAATATCTTGATGAAATGCAAGTTTGGAAGAGGTTAGTCCTTAAGCTTAAAAAGGAATTACAAGGTCAAGATGATGGATCTGATGAATTTGCATTCCTTAACACTTGCATTGAAATACTTATTGGAAATGAAAATATCATCACAGATGTCTCTGAAAACTGGATTGAAATTCTTATTGGTTTGGCATTATATAAGTATCAACATTTTGCTGATATCAATGAAATTATTGATTTGGCTGTTCATGCCAAAAATCTTAAAGAGGATGAACCAAGTCTTGTTCTTGAAGCTATTGGTTTGATTGTTTTTGGTGATAATTTGGAGGACACGTTGAAGAATATTGATCAAGGTTTGGCTTTATCAAATCAAAACCAAGAATTTTTCAAATACCACTGGTTCATGTCACATATTGCTACTTTCTTCTACCATATCAATTTCCTTTATCAAAGGATTTATACTGCAACCAATGCCAATAGTTATCTTGAAAGTTTGCATATTTTCAAAAACGAAGCAATCAAATTATATGTTATTGAAGAGTTACTTCCTTATTATCAAAAATTGATTGATACCAATCCATGCGAAAACTTGGAAAACGATCTTTGGAAGATTGCTGTTGATTATCTTTCTTATTATGATGACGAATCTCAAAAGCAAATTCAAGATATTATTACCAATATTATTTTGAATATTCATATTACAAACGAAAATCAAATTGATAAGATTTACAGATATGTTAAGGATACACCATTTGCTAAGACTGTTTGCGGTAAACTTCACTTGAAATTAGGACTGGCATATATTGCTGAACATAATTTTGCTGCTGGTATTTATCATGTTTACAAATCAGGTAATATGGATGAACTGGAAGATGTGATAAGAGACAAGATAAGCACAACTCAAAACTTGAGATATGTGCATTATGGTCTTGAGGAATATTCTTTCATGATTGAAATGCCAGAAATTCAATGGATCTCTTCCTTCTTTAAGATACTCGATAATTGTGAAGCTAATGCCCACTTGTTACCTTCCACTCTCTCCGAAATTCCCAACTCTGAACTTAAAATGGAATTATTAATGTCCATCAATTTGACATTACTTCAGTACACTGAATTACTTTCAGTAATGGAACATGTTGAATATATGGAATTTGAGTTCAAAGAAAATATAAGCAACGACACTCAAACAAAGCTGTTAACACTTTCTGAATTGAGACTTTTATTGGCTCAAACACTTCAAATAAAGATTTTGCAATAAGTTTGTACAGTAACCATCACTAACTTGTTTTTTAATGTTGCTTTTAAATTATAATTCGATTGAATTTGAATTAAATCTGATGGAACATCAACAATTAAATATGGAATGGATTCAAAATTATAACCAACTTCTTGATAACTCTTAAAGTGTTGTAAAATGTACCATTTGATTGCCTAAAAGATTCATATCACATTCTTTCACTTCATCCAAATAGAATTTACCAATGGAATGATTGGTATTTTAATTGTAGGCATAGGAGGAAACTTTTGTCTGTCAAAATCTCACTGGTACTTTCTGTACAAGATGTTACTTCCAGCTTCGGCAAATTCTGTTGCTGAGATAGCCAGTGATTGAAAAGTGGATAAGGAAGCAGCAATAGAACCTCCGATCCATGGTAGAAATCTTCTTTCTGGAACATCTTTTACAGCAATTTTAGTACATGAAGAAGTCGATTCAACCAATTCATTTCTCAATCTCTCAACAATACCCTTCATCAATGTTGACCCACCTGATAGAATAATATTATTAAACATGAGTTTCCTACAATCAATATCACACTTTCTGATTGAAGTAATGACAGACTCGTGAATTCCCAAAATATCCAATCCAATAAGGTGTGGTTGAAAGAGTAATTCTGCACATTTGAATCGCTCATTACCTGCTTTAATTATACTTCCATCAGGTAATTCATATTCCACTACTGAAGTATCATTCTTACTCGATTCATAATCCAAAGCAACATGACACAATTTTTCTTTCATTATTCGCATAACATCATGGTTTAAAATTGTGTCACTTGCAAATTCAGAACTAGCTCCAACACTCTCCATCCAATACCTTGTCAAATCGTATCCAGCAAAATCCACTTCCATTATTGCATGTCTCAATGCATACCCTTCCACAACTGGAATAGATTGTGAACATCCATCTCCTACCTCCAAAACTATTCCATTCGTTCGTCCAGTTGCCATCAATGCCAAAACTCCTTGATTGACCAAATGAAAAGCAGGTACTTCAAACTTTTCAAACATCAATTGAGTAATCTTTTTTCTATCCAATTTCAAACTTGATTCACTCCACAACACACCATAAGTTTTCGGATGTGATCTCAACCATGTCCAATATGAATAATATAATAATTTCTCCAAACAATCCCAATCCTGAATTAAACCTCTTTTCACTGGATGAACTATTCTAAATTGATAACGTCTGAGGAAGGCCACATCTCCAGCAGTCTCCTGCACTCCAACACTAGACTTTGGAAGACCAACGAGTGTGGGCATTGGTTCGGATCCACGTGGATAATCATCACCTGCAAATCCAGCTTTTGTAAATGCTGATCCTATATCGAGTACAATGGCTGGCAGTTCTTCTTCCATTTTTTTTATTATTTATTTGTTTATTGTAAACAAGATTGACCGATTCAATTACAATCAAACACTTTCCGATACGTCAAGAGAGAGAATAATTTGGCATTAAGATAATTAAGATACTAGGAAGATTGAACACATTCAAACCTGATAGATTTAACACAAGACACTTAGATTTTTGCATGAATCTAATAAACTCTAATCAGCACCCAGGATGGATTACTATTTGTGAATTCAATTTCAAAGACTTTAGAAAAAATTTAGAAATAGTTCTGTTTTTAATAATTTGAAAAAATGAAATTAATTGGTGTTACTGGAGGAATATCATGTGGTAGGTAAGAAACAAGCATCATTTGATCAACAACAATTTATTTAATTTCGGAATATTTAGGAAAGGTAAATTACTATTAATATCAACAATTAATTGTTGTAATTATTTACATGATGAATATACAGACAACTATAACACAATATTTGAGGGAATATGGTGAAATTTATTCCGATCAATATCATGTTGTCATTATTGATAGTGATGAAATTGCTCACTCCATCTACTCACCCGAATCTAAATGTTACAAAACTGTAAAATTGTTTTTTGAAAGTTATTTGGATAGTGAAACAGGGGAGAGAGTTGATATTTTCAATCATGATGGGAAAACAATTGATAGAGCCAAGTTGAGTGCTGCTGTTTTTAAAGGTAGGTAAATTGTGGATTGAGTTGAGTTGATTTGTGGAAGATGTTAAGGTTAGGAAAATGATTAATTCAGCCACACATATGGAGATATTTAAAGAAATAATGTTTAGAATATTTAAAGAATTTTTCAAATCCATGACAAGAATTGGAAAGGAAACTTTGTGTTTTGTGGAATTACCTCTTTTATTCGAAACCAAAGTTTTTAAATATATTGTTTCGACAATAGTTTGTATTAAAACATCAGATGAAAGACAGTTACAATGGCTAATGAGTAGAAATGGATATAGTGAAGAGGAAGCTTTGCAAAGAATTAAATCTCAACTTCCAGTTGAAGAGAAAGCTAGAAGAAGTAATTTTGTAATTGACAATTGTAAAGATAAGACATATTTGAAAGAGGAAACTTTCAAAGTTGTGGATAGATGTGCCAAACATGCTTCTACATTTGGATTGAAGGTTTTTCTGATCGCTATTGGAATAATTATTTGTGGATTCATTTTGAAATTCTTATTTAATTAAATTGTTTATTTACACAATTGACTTAAATACGTCAACTCAGTTTTCATTTGGAAGATGATATCATATCCCATATTTAATCGTTTTGGTTCATGATGAACAACTGAGGCAACTATTTGTTTGAGAGGTTCCATATCTAATTGATAGGTTTCCTTAATTTTACTGGTTAGTAATTGTTTGATTGAGTTAGTAGAATCAAGTTTAACAACTTGTGAGCTTGACTTGTTATCTGTTGCTGGTGATTTATAATCGCCTCTATAAATTAAACTGAGAATTTGTTTGACTAATTGTTCTAGTTTGGAAATTCTCTCCTCGTATTCACTCATGGAACTGAGTGGTGTTGATGAAAATGATTGGAAATTCGAATTGCTAAATGTTCGTTGGATGTGTGTCGGTGAAGAGAATGAAGTTGTTGCAATGGATGATCTGACAGGACTTGAACATCCACCATATGGTGAAGTAGCACTACTACTGCTCATTAGGAGTGGATTGGAAATGGATGACTCAGATGAATAAGAACTGGATGTGAATCTATTACCACATGCAAAATTCATTGAATCACTCCCAATTGAATATTTTGTTGGTGTGGTGAAACATACACTATTATTGGAAGAACATGTTGACGATGTTGGTGAAGTATTGTTTTTCAAATATTGGACGAGTAGTGAATGGAGCAGAGTTAATTCTTGTACTATTTGAGATTGACCAATAGGACATGTCTTACTATCTAATGCCTGACTCACATTGTGACTAAATATTGAGGAAGGAACCGATGATCTGAAACCAGAATACCCAAAATTGTTGTTATTAGCATTAGTAGCAACGCTGATCTGTGTTGCCACCCCTCTATTGAATTGATTTGAAGAGTAAAAGTCGTTGATCATTTGTTTTTTAAAAGAAGAAGAATTTATAGCAGCTTCAATGTGTTCTTGTTGTTTGATCTTGTTGTGGGCTGTTTTTAGGTTTGAGAAGTTTGAAAGACTAAAAAGGATTTCTATAACTGAGGAGGGACTTTGTATTCGCCAGATTTTTGAATTGAAAAAGTCGCGCCGATTTCCATCAATCTTATTGTTGTATTAATGTGTGATACATGAAATCAATGAAGATAAATATCTAATGATGTGATGGTGGAATCTTCTAACTTGGTGAGGGTACTGTTGTACATAGTATTGAGGAATCATTTTTATTTTCCAATAAGTTAACAAGTACTAGTACAACTATTTACAAATTATTCAGCAATCTTTTGTTGTTCAATCATGGAACCTCCATTTCTTGGATCCTTAGAAATTCTATAGTAATTTTCCACAAATTCTGCTCTTCCAAGCTTTTTCACAAACTCTTCGTCGTGAGTAATGACAATGAGTTGGAAGTTTGACAATTTTCTTCTATCTTCAATCAGGAATCGTAAAGATTCGGCCAAACTGTTAATATTGTCCAAATCCAGATTAGTTGTTGGTTCGTCAAGAGCCAAAATACCACAGTCAATACTGAATGCTTCAGCAAGAGCTAATCTAATAATCAAACAGGCCAATACTTTTTGACCAGCAGAAGAACGTCCTCTCATTTGCAATTCCACATCACCTTTTACCATTACAACTCGGTAATTATAAGTCTTTCTACTATTTTCTGTTTCAGTATCACATTTGATGCAAATGGTATCAATATCGTTACCTCTGTAAGTCTTTTGCCAAAGTTCTTTGATAATTTCATTAATTTCAGCCATTTTCATACTATGGTATTTTGTCAATGCCTTTTCCAAAGCTTTTGAGTATTTATCCAAATCTTCTACAGCATGCTTGGTAGTTACCAGTTTGATCAATAAGGATTTGTGCTTGTTATCGATATCCTTGTATTGATCAGAGTTAAGATCATCTTGAATAGATTTAACTCTATTCTTTATGGTACTTCTGGCACCTGATATTTGTGATCTCTTGTTCGATAATTCTGTTTGTCTCTCTTTGAGGGATTTGATATCTTGGTAACTATCTAAGGATGCATCACTACCTGTGATTTTTTCAATTTCAGCAGAGAGTTTATCACATTCATCTGATACTTGTTGATTTTCCTTCTTCTTTGCTCTGTATTTGAGATTGGATTCAATATTCTTTTTGATAACATTTTGCTTTTCAAGCATGCTGTTGTACTTTTTGAGATTCTCGGAAAGGGTTTCATATTCCTTCTTATTTTCTTCCAATCTTACCTCTAGTTTGGCAATTTTCATTTGAACAGTACTGAGATTGTCTTCAACGTTTCTTTCTCTGTACTTCCTAATTTCCATTGTCAGGGCATTCAATTTTGAAAGCTCTTGTTGATACTCAGTGACTGTACCTTCCATGATGTATTCTTCCTTTCTATGCTTTTCTTTCAATTCTGTTAGTGAGGTGTTAAGATTTTGCTCCGTCTTTTCAAGGGTAGGTATATCTTGTTGTTGTTTTTCAATATCAGTGATTGTTTGTTGCAAATCTTTTTGTTTTTGTGCAAGACTTTCATTTAATCTTTCCATTTCCTTCAATTCAAATTGTAATTTTTGTAATAAATTTTGCTTTTGGTGAACCTCGTTATTGAGTTTTGTTAACTCACTCTGGGCTTTCTCCAATTCAACTTGTAAGTTTTGATTTTGTTGGGCAAGTTTCTCTCTCAAAGTTTGGGATTCTTCAAGATTTCGCTTCAAGTCTTCGTATGGTACAAGATCCTCTGGAAGTCCAAGTTTTTTGAGTTCATTTTCTTGCTCAGTTAAACGTTGTTGACTTGAACGAATAGCTGATTGTAAGATTTTCAAATCAGCAACACTAGGTAAAAGATCGTTGGCTTTCTTTTCTTCTTGCTTGAGAGTATCGAGTTCTTGTGTGAATTTAGAAACAATAGAGTTGAGTCTTTGTACTTCTTCATTCAGAGATGCAAGTTCTTTTTCTGCATCTGGAAGATCCTTACTCTTCAAGTTTTGGATAGTTGTAATAATTGGTTTGATTTCTCTAATCTTTTCTTGTTGTTGGATAGCCACTTCTAACTTGGCTTTCTTCTTTTGGAGAAACTTTGGAGTTTGTTCAAGCTTGGTCATTTGTAAACTTTCAAAAGTAGAGCATTCTTCTGTGTTCATGCCTCTTTCACAAACAGGACATTGATGGTTTGTACGAGCGTGCTTTACAAAGTTTTCATAACACATTTTGAGAGCCTCTGTCAAACTGACCTCGTTTCTTAAATCAGAAACAGCTTCTTCAGCTTCACTCATAGCCTCTTCCCAAGACTTACCAGAAGGAAGCACTGATTCGACATTCTTTTCTTTGGTTTCAATGTCTCTCTTAATCTTCTTTTCCTGGTTTGTAATAGATTCAAGTTTAGATTTGGTTACAGAAATGCTCTTCTCTGTCGATTGAATAGAAACGTTTTTAGCATTAACTTGTTCCGTGCTTTTCTTAATAAGGTTTTTGATCTTTGGTTCAATGTTGGCTGTTGTTACATCATTTTCTTGAACACCTAAAACAGTTTCGTAACGTCCTTTAAGGTCTAGAAGCTTTTCTTCTAGGGAAGAGTTGTGTTTGGTGAGTTCTTCCTTCAGATTTTGTATCTTGAAACTAATTTCCTTCTCTTTTTCTCTGGATGTGAGTTCCTTATTGATGGAGGAAATCTTTTGAGTGATTTCTTTAGATTGCTTATTATTTGATTCTATTTGATTTTTGAAACTTTCAGATTCTTTCTTTTCTTGCTTTTCTTTCAGTGCTGTTTTTAATTGTTGGAATTCTTCTTCTGCCTTCTTAACAATAGCTGCATTAGTATTAATCTTACTAAGTTTTTCTTTCAAATCTTTTTCTTCTCTCTCATATTTCGTCTTGAGTTGCTCTGTAACTTTAACTTGTTTGAGAACGGTTTCCTTCTTTTGGTGGGCAACGTTCATTTCCTTAGTAAGTTGATCGACTTCTGACTTGTGTTGCATTTTCAAGGTATCAAAAGCTTTCTTGTTATCTTCATAAAGTTTTGAAATCACTTTAGAAAATGCGTCAATTTGACTTTCATTAAGTGGCAATTGGTCATATCCAGAAATCTTGTATCTCTCAGCTAAAGTGAATATTTCAGCACTGATATCCATTAATTTACTCTCATGAGTTTCCTTAAAGGACTTGAGCTTTCCCAATTCTTCATTCAGGCCATTCAATTCCTTGTTCACAGAATTCTTTGTTACTTCATTTGTTTTCAGTGAGCTTTCGGTGGTTATCTTGCTCTGGTTCAAGTTCTCGAGTTGTTTCTTGAAATTTTTCTCAAAATCTTCCACCTCCTGGTCAGTCTCAGTGAATTCTTGTTCCAAACCGGCATAGAGCTCAGCTACTTGCTTTTGAAGCATTTTCTTTTGAGTATCCTTCTCAGTGAATTTTTGTTTCAAGCTATTGATTTTTTCGATAACGCCTTCATATTTTGATACCTTATCACCAATTTCTTGCATTTCTGTTTCATATTTTTCCATACTTTCCTTCAATTTTTGTAGTTTAACAATTTCTGATTCAGCTTCTTTTTTCAGCTTGACAGATTGAGATTTTTCTGTTTCAGCTACAGCCAATTCCTTTTCATAATCCGAAAGTTGTTGTCCTATCTCTTTCTTTGTTTTTTTAATAGCCTCCAAAGCTTTAGAATATCTGGTACTAGAGAAAATATCATCCAACTTTTTCTTTAAAGATAAACTGTCACTGAGTGGCCAATTTACTTCTTCCTGATGGCAAAATATAACATTTTCCAAAATAGCTTTGCTAACACCCATACATTCCGGAATCAATTTATCCATATCTGTACATTTGTAACTATTACTCTTCACTTCTCCATCTTCTCCTTTAGTCTGTAGTACAGCCTCCAATTGTTTAAACTGAGTTGTTTTCTTTTTCTGTGAAACTTGAAAACTTCTTACTGTGATGTATCGTTTCTTGTTGCCAGACTTGAATTGAAGCCTAATTTGACCTTTTACTTCCGAATCACCCGAAACTTTGGGATCGTGTATAAATGATTTACCACGATCACAATTTGGTGGCAATTCACCTGTTGTTGCACATTTCAAACATTCAATAATTGTCGTCTATCATAATTTAATATTTGATCGCATATTAATATTAATATTTATATAATTTTACTAGTACAAACCTTTCCCGCACCATTGGCTCCCAAAATAATTGTCAAAGGCTTGAAGAATTTGATCGTTTGTGCTCCACTTGTGTGATCGAAGGAACGAATTCCGCTCACTTGCAGCCAATCTAATGATGTCATTTTTTTTCTAGAAATAAGAGGAAACTTGAAAGAGCTTAACTTTCATTCAAAACATTGAGTATTAAACTAATATTTGGCAAATTCTTATTTGTTTCTTCTCTAATTCTATCCCAAAATTGTTCTGTTGTAAATAATCAAATAATTTTAAATTACATAAATTTTACTTTTAAAAAATGTCAGCTCAAATCAAATTAATTTATTTGTTGATGGTTTTGTTGGTCATGTTGGGAGGAGTTTTTGAATATGGCCATACAACAATCATCACCACTTCGCAAAATAATATTGGAGGCTTGATTACATTAAAAATTAATAATCCGAATCAATATAATGCTTTAATTGATGATCAATCAATGATCACACTTAAAATTTCAATTTATGAATTACAAATTGTAGAAAGTGATAATAATTCGTATCCATATATTCCTGATTTGGTAGAATTGACAACTTTGACTCCAAAATTTACAAATTTCACAAAATTACAAATGTTGTCCGATAATTATCCAAAAAGTACACAAATTGGATACAAATTCAATGTTGAATTGAATCAAAATTATATAATTCTTGGACAGATTGTTTCTGGAATGAAAACTACAAGCTTCAATGGATGGTATAGAGATGGACCAGCCGAATATTTCAAAGTTATTAAATTAACAAGTGAAAGAAATAGTTTAAATGATTTGGATTTTATTGTGGAAGGAGTGACTCCATATCCAAAGGAAGGTTATCATCAATACGGATATTTCAGATTTATTAAAGGACTTCCTGTGTTATCTTTGTTTGGAAATGAAGCTCAGAGAGGTTATGCTCATGGATATCTTATGGCTCAACATGTAATTGACTTTTTCAGATTTTATATTTTGGAAGGAACAATTCAATCAGCTTCTAGTTATCTTAATGTACACGTTCCTGCTTTGAATAGTGCTGCATTCACCTATGATAAGGAATTTATGTCTGGTATTCAAGGAGTTTATTCTGGAATGTTGGATTCCAAAGTTGATTTGACTATTCCTGAGCTAGGAAGAAAATTTCTGCCAATTGATATCATTGCAATTAATGGATATATTGAATTGGAATATATTGGTAGACATGGTGTTCCAAAAATAGTAGGAGAACTTTCAACTCTTAAGGGAGGAATCAAAATGAACAGAAAGAAATCATCTGATAGTAATGCTGCTTGTACTCAATTTTCTGTTTGGGGTAAATTTACATCTGCCAACTGTCCAAAGGAACAACAATCGAATATTATTTCTGTTAGAAATATGGATGGAGAAATCGATATGAAGAAAGTTACTGTTCATTCAGTATTGATTACTACAGTAGAATCTGATAATCCTCAAGATAAGAGATATGTATCAGTAATGTGGCCTGGTTTCATTGGAACATTGAGTGCCATCAATGAAGATGGAGTCTATTCAATGATGAATTACGGAGTTAATCAACCTGGAACAATATGGTCACAAGGAACAATAGTAGCATGGATTGTTAAGGATATTATTCAAAAAACATCAGCTGCCATGGCAACACCACCCTTCATTCAACAGCAAATTGAATCTAGAAAGGGAACAATGGGTGGATCATGTATGACTGGATGTATCTTGGTATTTTCTAGACGTGTTAATAACGTTTCGAATAAGTATCCACCATCTTTTGTCTATGAAGGAGATTGGAAGAGTGGAATGATGAGGGTACCTGGTCAAGCTTACCCTTATTTTGTAAACAATTCAATTGGAGCATCAAATCACAATCATCTTTATGGTGTTGAAAGTGGAGATCGTGATTCAATGAAGAACTTTGGTCAAGGTAATGGATTTTCATCAATGTGGAGATATCAAGCAGCTTCAAATTTGATTGATGAGTGGGCTCGTTCTATTGAATTACCAATTACTGAGCAAACCAAATCGTCCCATCTTGCTGAAATTGATTGCAATTCTCAAATGAGACAAGTATTGCAAAGGGCTTGCCGTGGTTACACTGAACATAGTATAATGTTTAGACCTATGAATGATGGAAAGATTAATATTGATATTTCTGTAGCTCAACCAACATTCAATGGTTGGGATGCTCCATTCTTGGATTATACTTCATTAGAATTTAATGAATTTTTTAAAAAGTAATTTATATTAATGATTTCAGAAAATGAAAATAATTTATTGACCCAGTTCCTTATTCTTGTCAAAATTAAAAACAATTTGAATGTCATCCTTATCTGTAATTATTTCTTTTGGTGGTTTGCATAAGACTATTGTCAATAACACAACGAAAAGAGTGGAAATAAATACTCCAAAAATTCCAATCCTGAATCCTCCAGTAAATGCATTAGAATCCAAATGCATTACAGTATTGGTAGCCAAGTCAACCATTCTAACTGTTGGAATGTTCTCATAAACATATAAAGTCTTTCCATCCACAATTTTGATTGCACTTGGATTTGCTCCTCCATATCCATTACTCATTCCAATATCAATACAAATAACACTCATTTGTTTCTTTGGATCATAACATCTGATGGTAATATCTTGTTGAATTTCATGACCAACCACCATATGTTTAGCACCAAGAATTTCCAAAACTCTGTATAAACTTTCACAATTTCTTCCCTCTGAATAATCTCTGAGCCAAAGTGGACCTCTGTGACCTAGTAATGAGTTTGATGATCTCACATGAATTGAAGTGAGATGATCTAGTAAATTTGATATAATTTCATTCAAATATTGCACAATATCATTTGGTTCCTTGTTAGCAAAGTCCTCCTTCTCAATGAATGATGGTAAAATACCAGCGTGCACATAAACTACACCATCAACAATTTTCACAACCTTTCTACTCAATAGGAATTTCCTTATCAATGAAGACTTATTTAACATTGAATCTTTATATTCTTCCGAATATTCATTAATATTTACATAGTGAAATGCTCCTAATAAATTTAATTCCTCGTGATTCCCTAACAAAGTTGACCAAAATACATCATCAATAAATATTTACCTATTAACATTTCAACTTTAGAATTATTTGTATTATTCATAAATAGTCTAACAAGTTCCAATCCATATTCTCCTCTATCCAAAACATCTCCTGTCTGAATAAGTTCAACATCTCCAGTATTGATCCATCCACTCGTCTCATCTCTCGTAAGATTTAAATAATTTAATAATTCTAAAAACATTGAATAGTCTCCATGCAAATCACCAATTGCTACAACTTCCGAAGCCTCCGATGGTTGAGCACAAAATAATGTACACAACCCGATAACTAGAATAATCATCATGGTGATGGTGGTGAGCAATTCCCTTCCAAAATTATATTGTTTGCCATTGTGATTTCCTAGTGTTTGGTTTTTGAGCATTTTTTTATTTGCATTATTAATTCAATAATTATTTTGTAATAATAATTATTGAATCTCTTTTTGTTGGATTTTCATAGGTTCAATTTGAAATGGTAATAATTTAACTGAAAAGTTTCGTTACATTTCTGGTCAGATTATTTTCAATGGTTTCTTTGGTAACTTTTGTACATTCGCCTTAAGTGAAAATTTTCCTTTCCTCCTCTCGCGTTCTTTTTGAAACTATTTTTACAACCATTTAGGTCCTTACAAATATTTCAATTCAAAAAAAAGATGATCATTAGTGCCCTCAAGAGAAAGTCAACTCAATTCTCCAATCTCTTTGTGAGAACATCTAACAGTGAACATGTGCGCAGTTATTCGTTATTCTCTAGAGACCTGAAACACTTGAAGAAGGATCACCACAAGACTCATAAAACTGAACCATTAACAGCTAATTCCAACTTGTTTTATGCTGGGCATTACAAGACATTCAGTCCTGTAAAGACATTCAAAGAGGAGCAACGTATCAATCATTCTTCTCTTTTTTCCAGAGATTTAAAGGCAAAACCTCATTCCTCAAAGACAAATTCAAAGTAGTTTGTTAAAAATTATATGTACAATAGTGTAAAGTAGTGTAGTAATAAATTAGTTGATGCGAGTCTTTTGGTCAGTTGTCAGATTATCTACTCTTGTCAATCGAGATGGTTTCAATGTACTGAATATTTCTCTTGCATAATCAGTATTGAGTAATCCAGCTTCCTGTAGTAGGAGTTGCAATTTGAACTTTCTGTCCTTCATTAATTGATCTGCAGTATATCCATAAAGTTTGAGCTTTTCAACTTGCTCTTCTTCCTCCTTTTGCTTGTTTAATAGTGATTGAGTTGGTTGATTTAGACGTTTTGTATCAATATCTATTTCCAATAAATTCATCTCCTCATAAACACTTTCTATGAGCTTATTGAGTTGAGCCTCCCTTTTAAGAGCTTCCTCTTCTCTCTTTTTTTGTTCTTCTTTTTTCTTTTCCAACTTTTCAAACTCTTTGTTTTTTCTAAAGTCTACTCTTTCCTTATTGAGTTTTTGGGTTAGGACTTGTTCTTCTTTCAATCTTTCTTGTTCTTTCTTTCTTTCCTCCTCTTGAATTTGATTGATTTCTTCCTTCTCTTTGAAATATTTCTCTAATTGTTCTTTAAGCTTTTCTCTTCTCTCTCTTTCCCTCAAATCTCTTTCATCTTCCTCTTGCTTTCGGATTTCTTCCTCCTTGGCCTTTCTCTCATTGTCTACCTTGGTTTTTTCTTCCTTCAAAATCAATTGTTCCTCTAACATTCTGCGAGCTTCTTCTGCAATAACATTAAACCGTTTCCTTTCCAATTCCTCTTTCTTCTTATTCTCCTCTGATTCGATATAAAAAGAGATTGTCTCTTTACTGATGCTCTCTATCTTTTCCAAATCTTTCAAAAGTCTTTCCTTGTTTTCCTTAATCTTGTGGATCTCAATTTTGTGAACTTTCTTGTACCACATATCATGATCTTTGATATCTGTTTCCGATTTCGTTGGAAGAGTATTTTTCAGTAGCTCCCAATATGATACTAGATTCTTTCCAAAATGCTCTCCATTTTGATATTGTCTATAAACATGTTTATATCTTTCATGATCCTCGCTTGCCCAATTATGTGGAGTAAGAACAACTTTCCCTTGTTTGTATAGCTCAATTATTTGATTGATCTTCTTCTTGAACTCCTCAAGAATTAAGGTTAAAGTCGTGTCTATGGAATAGTTGAATGATCTCAAAATATTATTGACAAACTCATCCGCTGAGAATGTATTATTATCAATTTCCATATCAATAGAGTTGGGATTTAAGCTCTCATAATTTTTAAACAAGGTATTGATTTCGTTCTCTAAATTATATATCTCACACGTTGTCCTCTCAATTTTATCCAGAATAAGCCGATGAATACTTTCTCTAATTGATTTCAGAGGATTATTCTGTCCCTCTTCAACTTGGTTCATTATTTCGTAATAATACTCTTCTCTCTCGGCCTTCATTTCGTCCACTATTTCACTTTCCAACTCTCTTTGAATTTTTCTGAGCTTTTTCCATTCGTTTCCCCACTCGGTGTTATGAGCAACCTTTTTGATTTGTTGTTTTTTGGTAGATACTTTCTTTGTGAGTTGAGTTAATTTACTAGCAATACCCCTACTATCACTTTTAAATTTTTCCAATAAATCCTTTTGTGATTCGGTTTGTGATGTAAAGTGATTATTCATCATACCAGTATTTAAACCCTTTGTAAATGGAACATTCCTAACAACTCCAAACTCTGACGTTTTCTTCACTGACTCACTTTGAGGTCTCATTAAAGTGCCTGCCTTTGCAGAGGTTCCTCTTGAAATCAGTCCTTTTGCTGAATCGGGTGGTTTGACATCTCTTCGTTTCATGATTCCTTTTAATAATTATTCCAATATTTCCTCCTCTAGCAATTAACTATCATTCGTGATTCTGATTCAATTTCAATGCAGATATTATGAATAATCTATTATCAAGAGGTTGTAGTTCTGCAAAGCTTTGAATTTTTTATAAATTTAATAATTTTAATTGTTTGTGGCGCCATTTCTTTGAACTGGTTTTGGCGCGAACTGTTTACGATTAATCGTCTAACCTCAATTACTTGCACTTCTAAGAAAACAACAACAAGAATAAAAAATGTTCAAACGACCAGTTACAGGAAAGCTGAAAACAGCAGCTGCCCAACAGGCAAAGAAACCTGTTGCAAACACCAAAAAGACGGAACAAACAGAAATTGATATCGTATCAATGATACAACAACGTGATTTTTCTGGTGCTATTGCAGTGTTGGAGGTATGTTTAATAAGAAGATAAGTCGGAATAATATTTTGTATTTTAGTTCTTTAAGGGGCTCGGAAAGGAACATCCAAGAGTGAGACCAACACTTCCATGGTTGGCCTATTGTTGTTTTCATTTAGGAGAATACGCTAAAGCAATTGAATATTTGGAAGAGTTATACACTAAAACAAAGGATTCATTTGTATTCCTTCATATTGCTTGTTGTTATTTCTTCTTAGGAGAATATGAAGAAGCTTATGAAGCTTGCATTAAAGGTCCAGATAATCCACTCCAAAATAGAATTTTGTTCCATGTTGCAGATAAACTCCAAAAAGAGGATTTAGTGAATCAATGTCACAAAAAATTGAATGATAACAATATTGAAGATCAATTGAGTTTGGCTGCAATGCACTTTTCTAGAAACCAAGTTCAAGCAGCTGTAAATATTTACAAAAATATATTGATGGAGGACAGTTCATTTGAAGCATTGCAAATCTATGTAGCTCTTTGTTACTTTAAATTAGATTTCTTTGATATTTCTTTGGAAGTACTGAGCAGTTATCTTCAAAAACACCCAGACAGTCCAACAGCACTTAATCTTAGAGCTTGCAACATCTTCAAGACATATTCTGGAAAGAAAGCAGAAGCTGTTCTCCAACCAATTATAGAACTCCAACAAACTTCACATACTGCTGAAAACTATTTGATCAAGCACAATATGGTAGTTTTCAGAAGTGGAGAGAATGCTCTTCAAGTGCTTCCTCCTCTTCTTGATATTTTACCAGAAGCAAAGCTAAACCTTGTAATATACCATTTAAAGAATGGAGATGTAGATGAAGCATATGAATTAATTAAGGATTTGGAACCAATGAAAGCAAGTGAATATATTTTGAAGGGTGTTGTTAATGCATGTAAAGGACAATTACACGATTCGAGAGAACATCTCAAAAACGCAGAACACTACTTCCAACTTGTTGGTACATCAGATACTGAATGTGACACAATTCCAGGTAGACAATGTATGGCATCATGCTTCTTCTTGACAAAACGTTTTGCCGATGTAATAGTATATCTTCAATCTGTAGAAAACTTCTTCCAAGATGATAGTGATTTCCATTGGAATTATGGTATTGCTCACGCATTTGTTGGAAATTATAAGGAAGGAGAAAAAGCACTTTCAATGGCTGCAGATGAAAGTTACAAGAGAGATTATGTATATAATAGTTGGTTAGCAAGATGTTACATTATGAACAACAAACCAGAGTTAGCTTGGGAATTATATTTGAAAATGGAAACCTCAATAGATGCTATGAATCTGCTCCAATTAATAGCTAATGATTGTTACAAGATTGGATCGTATTACTATGCTGCTAAGGCTTTCGATGTTCTGGAAAGATTGGATTCGAATTCTGAATTTTGGGAAGGCAAGAGAGGTGCTTGTATAGGTGTATTCCAACAAATAGTAATAGGAAAGGAATCGAGTGAAACTTTACGTGATATTGTCCACATGTTGAAGAATTCAAGCAGAGAAGAAAAGAATATTATCCTTCAAATTATTGCCAAATGGGCTCATGAAAACAATCTCATCTCAAATTAATAAATTATCATATATTGTATTGAAAAACTTATTCACTCCACAACTTTCTAAGAGGTTCAGACTTAACTTTCTCTATTGTTGATTTGGTGATTTCTGCAATTTCTTCAGATATTTCTTCAATACTCTTTGTTCCATCGATAACTTTAACATTCTTATAACCATCTTCTTCAAATAAAGTTTCAAATTGTTCCTTAACAGCTTTTTGGAATTGTTCCTTTTCATATCTTTCATTTCCATATTCTTTTCTTGTAGAGGCAATAGATGGATCCACTTGAAGATAAATCACCAAGTCAGGTTCAATAAGACCAACATCTGGTGATTTACACCACTTTCTGTCAATTCCCTTTGCAGCACTATAAACAACACCAGAGTATGCATATCTTCCACAAACAACATGCTCACCGGAGAGGAGTGTTTTTTGAATCCATTGCATCTTATCCCATCTGTTAGCAGAAAACATCAAGTGAATAGCACGATCATTCAAATTATTCTTGTTTCGCAAATATTCATCACATAATTTTCCAGTTTCAGTTGTTCTATCAGGGAAGGCAATTTCATGAACTACTCCGAATTGATTTTTCAATAATTCTACCAATTTATTTGTTTGGGTAGTTTTTCCACATCGATCTAATCCTTCGAAAACAATAAAGGCTCCTCTAGAAATGTTTGTAGACATTTTTTTGATAATTTAAAAAACGTTTGGAATTAAATGATTTATTTGGCGGGAAATATTATTCCGTCATGAATCTATTAAATTCCTTCTCCAATTCATTAGCTCTCGAGTGTTGAACTACTTGTTCTTCATCTCTTCCAGATTCTCTTGTTGATTTTCTCTTTGAGCTGTCAATTGTTTGTACAGATGGGAATGTCGGCATATTTTCCTTAGTTTGTGGAAGAGGTGCTTCTTTGAAGAATGGATGGGCAAGTGCTTCCCTTGCTGTAATTCTAGATTCTGGATCAAAACATAATAATCTATTGAAAAGATCACATCCTTGATCAGAGAGTTGATATTGAGTTTTTAAAAGTCTAATTAATTGAGCTCTTCCTTTCACATTACTAATATCCCATTTAAATTTCTTAATTGCTGGAAGTTGTGAAAATCCAGGATATTCTGATTCTGTTGGCTTTCCTAAAACTTCAAATATTTTCTTCATTTGACCAATTTCACTGTCAGATGTAAATAAATATTCACCAGTAATTATTTCATAAAATATACATCCAACACTCCACATATCAATTGGTGTCGAATATTTCTTAGCTCCCAATAAGAGTTCAGGTGCTTGAAATTATTTCATCAACATATTTAAAACATAATAAAAAACTCACCTCTATACCAAAGTGTCACCACAACTGGAGTATAATTATCTCTAATTGGAGAACCATATTTTCTCGTAAGACCATAGTCACAAATCTTTAAAGATCCCTTATTATCCATCAAAATATTAGAAGTCTTCAAGTCACGATGAATTAACCAACAATCCTCATGCATATATTGCAATCCTAATAATAATTGTATCATTAATCTTTTACATTCACTCATACTAAAGCTATATCTATCAAGAACATCCTTCAAAGTATGATCCATATAATCCATAACAATAAAGACTTTGTTTAAATCAGATCCACATACAACCTCTCTAGCACAAACTAAATTTTCATGTCTCATCTGGAGAAGTGTATTCATTTCACGAAGTGCTGTCAATGGAAATCCCTCCTTACTAGTAAATTCCTTCATTAATTTAATTCTCTTTAAAGCTACAATCTCTCCTGTTTCTTTACATTTTCCTCGACTCACAACACCAAATGTTCCACTTCCAATATTATTTAAAAACTCGTAATTTTCCACTGTTGAACATGCAGAAAAACCTGTAATTTGTTCAATATCAAATTCTTCCGAAGGTATTGATGTAAAATCATTATCATTACTTTTTTCTATAATAACTGTCTTGTTGGTTAAATCCTTTTCTTCACCATCTGTGTGATGATTGTCATTAGTTGTTGGTGAAGATGAGGTTGCTAACTTTTTTGATGGCTTTTCCTCATCAATTGCATTCTGACTACTTTCATCATCACTTCTATAGCCTTCCGAAAGACTACTCAGTGAGGAGGAATTATTGTTTAATTTTCTCTTCATCCTGATGATCTAATTGTGATATATTTTTATTTTTAAAAGAAATTAAAACAATAATATTAATAATTTAAATTAATGAGTAATTATTTGATTTTATTTATTATGAATGTTTATTTACATGAAGATTACTATACAATATTAAATACAATATCATTAACCACTTGCCAATTAAGGTACAATTAAAGAATTATATAATATAAAATATTAGAAAATTAGATTATTTTTAAATCTTAGAAAAAATGCCACAAGACAATTCTCAACACCAACAACAATATTCAAATAATACTGGCAGTAACCGGGATCACGGTCACACCACTTCAAACAGGTTCGGTTCAGGATAAAATTCATATCTAAAACTAAACAAAAATCAATCTAACAATAACTTGTATTATGACGATTTAATAGATCGGATCAAAAGAAACCTTTTCAAAGAACACTGAAAAGTAATCCGTTCAGTAATACAACACATCAGGAGAGAAAGGAAGAAGATGGTCATCAATTAAAACCAAGACATACACAAGCATATGAACAATTACAAGAAAAGTTTAAAAATCCAGATGAAGGCAAACAAAAATTTAGGGAAAAGAAGAGAAAAGTATGGGAAGAACGTAGAGGCAATCATTTTCAACCATCTACTTCTGTTATTTTGAAAGGTTTGTCAAATCTTGCAAGTGAAGATGATATTTCAAATTTTGTTTTTCAAATTCATGGACTACAACCAACACGTGTCAGAATTGTTCGTGATAAAGCAACTGGACAAAGTAGAGGATTTGGTTTTGTTGACTTTGCTACATTAACCGAAAGTGAGCAATTTATGAATTCTTCAAATGGTGGAATGTTTATTGGAAATGATTATGTAGAGTTGGAGTACAGTCACAAAACACCTCACTCGGAGGAAGGAAAAGAAAATGAAAAAAGTTTCAAGGATTGGTTTTGTGGTCATGTAAGTTGTTTTGATAACTGAATATTTGATTAATTCTTTGATAGTGCAATACTAAAAATTTTATGCATAGAACTAATTGTTTCGGTTGTTCTATTCCAAAAGACGAGTTGGCAAAAGATGCCTCCGATGTTAACGAAGAGGTCACACCAACTACAGAGCTTATTGTGAGAGGTCTTAACCTTCTCACTAATGAAACAACGGTATGATTGGTTTATAATATTCATTCAGCTTATCAATATCTAGTTATTGAGTGTATTTTCTACCTTTGCCCCAATCAAGGCATGTAGAATTATTAGAGATAAGACGACCCAAATATCCAGACAGTTTGGTTTTGTGGAATATTTCTCTTTAGAGGTATGTTTTATTGATATTTTACATTTCTACAATATTCAATATAGGATGCCACAAACGCTCTATCAAAAGTTTCTGAACTATTTATTGATGGTGTTCGTGTTAACGTTGCCTATGCCAAACGTCAACAGTCACAAGAAAATGAATCTGAACCAACAATAGCCAGTTGGAATTCCTTATACAGTTATACTGGCACAGATCAAAAGCTAGAAGAAAAGCAAAAAATAATAGAGAGCTCCTCGGCAGATACTAACCTTTCAAAACAGGATAAAGCACTCGCAGAAAGTGGCTTTATCTTTGATTCAGACTCTGGTTACTATTATAATAGTGAACTTAATTATTACTATGATATCAATACCGGATACTACTATGACTGTGCAGGAGGATTCTGGATGTATTATAATGAGGAAGATAAAACTTACGTTGCATTCCCTGCTGAAGGAACCGATGCAAGCGAACAAAACGACAATTCTGAGGAAAAGAATCCAACAACTGAAGGCAAAGTAATTGGACCATCTCTTCCTAAACCCCAAGAAGAGGAAAAGGAGCAAGTCATTGAGGTTATCAGTTCAGGAGGATTTGTTCCTAACCCTGAATTCAATGAACAATTAAAACAATTGGAAAAGGATATTGAGCAGGCCACCTCACAACTCAATAGAGAAAATGGTAAATCCCAACAAGGAGTAAAACGAAAGCGTGATACAAAGCCAGTAAATGCCAAGGAATTGGAAAAGAAGGAAATTGACGATAACAATGTCGGTAAGAAAATGTTAGAAAAGCTTGGTTGGACAAAAGGTGAAGGATTGGGTAAGAACAAGTCAGGTATCACCACTCCAATCAGTGCCAAACAAACAGAAAAAAATACTGGTCTTGGCTTTGCAAAATCCAACACTGGAGGAGGTCTCGGACAGGCAAATAAGAAAAGAAAGGAGAGTTACCAAAAGGAAGGAATGAAAGTTTTGCAAAAGAGGTTTAACGAGTTGGAAAAGCAAGAATAAATTATGTGAAGTTTTTAGAATGCAATACCTTGCAGCCTTAATTAGTTTGAAATAGTTTCAGGAGATAAAAATCTATTTTCACTTTAATTCAACAAAATCCTGCAAATCAACAATATCCTAGATTTTATTATTAGTTTAATGATGATCGGAAAAGAAAGAACAGATTTGTGAATTTTAATTATTGTTTTATAAAATTTATTGCTTCAATGGAGCGTTCTTAGCAGCGAGCTTCTTCACAACTTCACTTCCGTTCTTTTGGACCAAAGCAGAGAGCTTTTCTCTGATGAGAGCGTTCTTCTTCTTCTTCAAGATTTGAACCTTGACTCTATCGAAATCAGTCAAGTTTTGTCTCTTAACTCTCTTCAAGTGCAACTTAACAAGTGGACTGGCCAAATAAGCAGATTGGACTTCAGATGATTGGGCAGCCTTGACGACTTCTTCAGTGGTGGAAGCAGAGGTAACAGCAGCGAGGGCGTTAACCAATTGAATATCACCAGTACAAGCAATATGTCTTGGGATTTGTTCACCTTCAACCAAAACTCTGTTGGCATCGAGAATATCAACAATAACGGCTAACTTTCCCTTGTTGGCACCAGATGAGAAGACGACTGGTCTACCGATTTGAACCAAGAGTTGACTGAATAACTTTGATGGCATTTTTGGCGTGAGATTTATGGATTTTTTTTTCAACAAACTTTTTCAAAATTCTAGGTTGTCTAACCTACTGGTAATTTACAATGAAAAAAAATGAGGCATGATTTTTAATAATACCAATTTTCATGCTTTCATCATCAAGCAATAATAATGGTAAATTGAAGGACATTAAAGATAGTATTACCTCGATTAATAGAACTTCTGTGGTGAATATTTAGATGAGCAATAGTACAAATATTTTTTCTAGCATACCAAACATCGATAATACATGATACAATTCCTTCGATAATTAGTATTGGTGGATATCATCATGGAATTTTCGGAACAAGGGAATAATTACTTTTGTTACTAAACACCTACTGAGGGTAGTAAGAAGGTGGTTTTGATTGAGAAAATTGGGATTTTTACCAACTTTTTTTACATATGAAAAACTTCTTGGCCCAAATCGGGAAATGTGATTCGAGAGAAATAATTATATTTGTTTGGATTGAATGTTTATTGTTGTTATTGTACAAATTGTGTGGAGAGTAAGCACAATTATTATTCATTCTGACAAGCAATATGGAGACGCTGAATAAACCATGCATAATTACAAAAAAAATCAACAACTCAATTCCATAATCGCCATCATCAAATGCTTCTAATAATTAACTGCTACTTCCACACTGCAAAGTAAAGTCCTTCCGACTGACCTATCATTGATCATTGCTACTACTTGCACCACTACTGTCTTGTACCTGTTTTCTCTTCTTTTTAGGGGGTTTCTTTGAATTTCTATTTCTCAAAGAACTTTCATTCAATTCAAGACCTTTATGGTATTGACTTAGAAATGTTTTTAACTGTTGTTCATGATTGCTTAAATTACTTTCTTCAAGGTCAAACCACTCGACTATCTTGTCCAGAGCATGATTAATATGAACGATTTTTTTGAAATTAGCCAATTCAGTCTTAGTAATAACCTTCTCTTTTTGTCCAAAAAGGATGATAACTGTTTGTACTGCAACAACAGAAGTATCAATTATTTTTCTACCACTGGCCAATATCTTGAAACTATTGATTAATTGAGAGTCACTGTCAATTTGCATTTTCATAATATCATAATGTGCTATCAATTGACTGTAGCTGTCTAAGAGCTTTATCATATCTTTTGTACTAACTACTAGAAATGGCTTGTTGGTGTTTGGGTTGCTTATACCATCATTTCCGAACATGTACTCATAATTGTGGAGTAATGCAGATGCTGGAATATTGTCATTACTATTCATAGCAATTAGAGTAGTATTATTATGATTTGAAATGAAACTCAATTTGTTATTATTTGAAGAGTTGTGTAGATTAGTGACAACTTGATTATTAATTGAACTATTTGTAAGAATAGGATTACTATTAATATGGATTGGATTAGTAGGAACAAGACTATGATTACTAGTATGATTATTTTGAATAGTATTTGGAATAGGATTATTTGCAATTTGATTGATATTACTACTACCACTATCGGAATTATTACTTGTTATTCTATCCAGATCACTTATAATAGGTTGATCTACATGCATACGATCAACATTCATTACACTTTCTTCACCACCAATATCCATTCGAGTAGATCTGCTATCAAATATTAATAGATTATTAACAGGCAGTATATTTCTTCTGGATGGAGGAGGATTGCTCAACAATCGATTATCCTGTTCCGTCATGTATTTAGAGAGCAGAGAGTAGGGATAATCAATAATACTTCCCGTAACTATTTCAACACCATTTACAAATTGTTCAGCATGTTCAAGAATTTGTCTAATTTCTACTTGGACTATTTCACTTCCCTCAACTGGTACAGATTTCAAATTACCAAATCCAATATTGATATAGTCATCTTTGAATTTGCTTGTCAAAACTACAGCAACACCAACCTGCCAAATTGGCTCAATTTTGACAAATCTATTGTTGTGAGCAACTATATTCTTTTTGCATTCCGAGAGGATGTCACGAAACACATTCAAAGCCTTTTCATTACCAGCTAATAGGTTGATAATGATTTCTTCCTTTTCCCTTTTTCCTTTACTAGTGAACGAGTTATCCTCGTTTCCAATGTCAGCCTTCTTCTTGATTACATCAAATAACTTTCTTAGATCCTCAGTATCCATTAGAAGGCTATCTTCACTCTTCTTTTTCTTCTTGCTTTTTCTATCACGTGATTGATTCAGAAAGTCATCAATAGAAATAGATTTGTCTTTCTTTCTAGCCTCCAAGATTGCATCCACTTCCAATAGTTTTTCTTCATACTCGGGGGAAATGAAACATGCTTGATATATTGCTATCTTGTCACTTTTGATACCACTACTACTATTAGGCTTGGAAGACATTTTTTTGTAAAGGAGAACAAGGCTTGTTGATTGTGCAGACTCTTAGTATGGAGAGAATGAGAGCAAAATGCCTCAACATTCCAAACGAAAGGAGAAGATTGCAAGAAACATCAAAACACAACCAACATCCACAAATCCAAACATATTTAATGTTAGAGAGCCAGTTGGATCAACAATAACGATTCCGTAATGAGTTCATCATGTAATCATATTCATCATCAGCCTTTTAATTTTACTTCATTGATTATTCTGTAGGCAGGTGGGTTAAACAACATTCAAACACCACCAAATTATTCACACCAAGTCAATTGGGAGCAACTGAAGAGAGCTTTGGAAATAGGAGGTCTTGATGTTGTTCTCATCGTCATAATGAGGAGAATGCTACAACTATTGGAAATCCAAATCATCATGATGAAATTAACTTCATGTTTCGAATAAGTCTTATTAAATCTGATGTGTTGGATTCATTTTGAAAATGGAAATAATTCTTTCAATGTTAATGATTTTTGTTCTTTCGATAATACCAGGGTCAAATAATAATATTCAAAAACTACATCCTCCCAAGAAGATGGCCTTCTATAGTTCAGAGAGGTTGGTATTGAATAATTTGTTGTAAATATCTCTTAAATTAGTAGGTAATAATGATGAAAGAATGATAGGATATGTAACCTGAACTTGAGCATTCTCTTCTTGTGAAGAGTTTTCTTTGATTGTATTAAATTGCTCTAACATTACCAATCCTCTGTTCTCCAAGTCTGACCAAGTTAAATCATTCTCCACTTTGTCACTTTTTGTTACTAACTTTCTTGTAATCACAAGTTGTAATATCTTATTTTTGATTTCAGAAGAGAGAAATGATGAAATATCATATCTTTCCAATAGTTTTGATTTTGCATTATTCCATGCCTAATAATAATTTCATAGATTGGTTGGCTCTGTTTCATATTGGTTTCCTCAATTTTCTAATTAATAGTATTGACACAATTTTCAATTAACCAAATAGCTATCAACTCCGAAACACTTCTGTTGATTATTTTGCCATTCATTAGTGAGGTAGTTGTTGCTTGTTTGGATGCTTGTTTTAAAGGTATCAATAGCAAGCAGTAAATGTTTCCCATCAAGTGCATTCAAAGGAGAATAACCATCATCATATTTTTAATTGATTTGTTTGAATCATCAACCATGGCATTATTGTTTAAACATACAACATTGGTAAGACATACGAAATTCAACAACAATTCGTGTTTTATCAAGTTTCTTATGAATAGGTTTTGTGTGGTAAATTGGCTTGGCAAGTAAACAAGACAAAACAATTCCGATGAATAAAAACAATTTTTTAAATTCAACACAAAAAAATGACTGAAAATACAAATGGAGGAACAATACATGAAAACGAGAATGGTGGATCATCTTCATCACAGAGAGAACAAATACTTCTCAACCTGGATCCATACGAAGAATTTAGGATACAATTTTATGATACTGATGGCAAGGAAACTATTGTACCAAATCTAGGTGCTGAAGAGAATTTTGCCAGAATTATACAAAACAAATTCGATTTTACTCCTACCTATTATCAAAGACAATTGGAATCAATTAGATTTGATGACTCACAACAACTTCCTCCACCAACAATAAGAAAAGTCCCAGAACCAGAATGGGAAAAGACTGTAAACAAGTTAAGACAAGCAATCTATGAAGTACAATTTATTCACGACGTTTCCAAAATGATGAAGGAGACATCGGATGATCAATTAATAGAAACTGTGAATGCTCACAGAACTTTTAATGAAGACTTGAGGACTAAAGAAAAAGCTGGAGAACTTTTCCCAAGTAGAATTGAACAACTTATCTACACTCATGGAATTTTAAAGAGTGGAAGTGAACAATTGAGAAAAAGATCGGAAAGAACCAGTGACTTTTATCAAACTATTTTCAAATTACAAAAAAAGTGGAAAGTGAAACAATTTGGAAATAATAACTTTTTTGTGGATCTTGCTTATAATTTCCCTTCTATGAAACTGTATGAAACTATCCTTGTAAAAATTATCAGAAAGAGGGAAGCTAAGAAAATCGATTTAATTATTCCAGCCATAGCAACCTACGGAAGACGATCAATGCTTACCTCTGTCATTTCAAAACACTACCCAGATACACTCAAGAATGTTGATGACATTTTAGAAAAAGCTCAGCAATCTGTTTTTTATTTGGAATTATTTGATACGGTATGTGTAATTTTTGATGTGACCATTTTCTAACAGTTCAATAGCTTGTTGCTTGCGTGTCAAGACCAACCAACACAGAATTTACTGTTGTAGAACTAACAGACTTGGAAATCAAAATTCAAATTAATCAAAATGTAATTTTAGTAGTGACACTTACAGAATCATCATCTTCAGTATGTATTTCTATTATAATTTTCATCTTACACCTTAAAGCCATTTTGGGAGACTCAAACCAAGTTGCTCAATGCTCCAGAAGCAGCCGCCACTCTATTGAACAGTGAATCAATTGATGTTTTACTTCAGGATTGTCTTCTTCAAGTTCATGATATGGTCAGAGACAATACCTTAACATTAGAGTAAGTGTTTTTTTTTGATAATTGCCCATTTAATCGAATATCTCAATATTATAGGAAAGCTTTTGTACATTTTGAGAATGTCCTCAAATATCTCAGACATAAATTACTGTGTTTAAGGTTTGAAAATACACTCCAAGAAAGTTCAGAACTCTTTTCCACCCTCAATATTTCTCCATCCTTCTTTAGGTATCCAGACGAAACCATCTACCACATTACCACACATTCCAACGCTTTCAACATTCATTTCAAACATAGAGACATTCTTTTGAATAGCAAACGTTTTTCCTCAGTCAAGGAAATGATTTATTTCATGGATTTAACTCAATAAACTGCAACCTGTGTTCCGAATTGGAATCAAGAGTCCTTTTAGAATTCATAATAACCAACAAACCATTTACCTTCCAATTCAAATTCCAAGAAAAAAAGCAAACAAAACAGAAAGGAAGGTTTGATCCATAAATTACAACCAACAGGATATTTACACTGTCTGTTATCAAATAGATTCCGTAAATAATATTATTAATATTATGATTCTTTCAACTACTGGAGTCAATGATCAAATGTTCAATTCTCCTCATCAGCAGCATCAGCAACATCAATTACAACAATATCAAACAACAACATTAAATGTTACTCCGAGCCTTGCAAATAATTTATCATTCGGAACCTTGGAAAGTCCAGATATGAATCGATTCTATGCTCATCAACATCAACAAGCACTATTCTTTGATCATAATCAACAAGTAAATCACAACAATATCAACAATGCAAATGCAAATACAAATAATAATACTTTTACATCGTCGGCACAGCATTGGCTTCCAACAACACTAATTGGAAATCGGAATGGAGAATCTATTCACAATCCATCTCATTCATCTTCTCCGATCAATATACATGGTGGTAGCCTTTCATCAGATTCTGGAAGTAATTATCAAATACCTTCACAACAACATATTCCCACTACTTCAACGACTCACTTTAAGCCAATAATAGTTAATAATAGCAACAATCATTCATTAAAACCGATTGCCGAGTCGCCCTCTCCATCATTAGAAAGTGAATTGAATCGATATTCGAATAGTATTCCTTCTGTATTTCCTGCCTCACCAAGTGGAAGATCTTCAATGATGGATGTCTTGGGACCTCCTCAAAAAACTAAACCCGATTCAAAATGTGCCTCAGAGACGATTTTAGAGGTTTTTGCAAATGTTAATTTGAGTCAATGTAATGCAGACGTGTTAAAAGTCAAGTTGAAAGTGGAAAATGTATATGTGAGTGATTGTAAACAGTGGCCAGTGGTTTCAGAGACAAGCCTTATCAAATGTTCTGAATTATTCAAAATGGAGAAGCCACTAATCTATCATTACAAATTTCATCACTTACAAAAATTGTGTATTTCAATTAGTAATGAGAATAATGAAATAATTGGTGAATGTGTAAGTATTAATGATTTTTCAAACAAAATTAGTTAACACAACATAGTTTTTATTCTCAAATGATTTGATTACTACATCATCAGCACTATTAAGGAAGAATGTCTATGACGAGAATAGAATCAATACAATTGGATCTATTAATATAATGGCAGAAGAGAGCTCCCTATACAATAATCTAGTTACTTTGCAATTTTCTGCTCGTAATTTGGATGGAAAGGGATACATTCAAGATACCAGTGATCCTTACTTGGTGATAAGTAAGCAAGATGTTGAGGGATTCTATGAGAAGGTAATTGTGACAGAGTATAAACATACCAAAAATCCAACATGGAAACAAAGAAAAATTGCTTCATTTGACATTTCTAACACAAATTTTGATACACCCCTAAAGATTGAAGTATTTGATTGGAATATGTAAGTAATATATTCAATAATAGAAACAAAATTGACATTCATTGTAGCGATAAGAGAAAACACTCATTTATTGGAGTTTTTGAGACGACATTTAACGAATTGAAGGTTAGTTTGTTATTGAGAATAATTATTGTATTGATACGTAATTATAGATTTCACAAGGTAGAGAATTTTCACTTGTTAATGAAAGGTACAACCAAAATCCAAACTATGTGAATAGTGGAATTGTAAAACTGGATGTGTTCTCCATTGAATCAAGACCAAACATTTATCAATACTTGAAGAGTGGATATTCTTTGGATTTAATTGTAAATATTGATGTGAATTTTGAGAAAAATAATTTGGAATCATTTTCTTCAAGATACTCACAATCTATCCACATGTTTGGTAGTATGATGGAGAATTTCAGATCAAAAAGAGAACACAAGCTCTTCTATCATAGAGGAAAACTAAGAATGGACAAATCAAGAGTGAATCAAAGTTGTTTTGAGGTGGTTGGTGGATCAAACCTACAAGACCAAAATTTGATAGCAAAACAAATGATTTTAATGGATAATATAGAAAGAGGTGATATTGTTCCAAACGGGCAGGTAAATTTGTTGGCACCTATTGTACACAACGCCAGAAGTATCATCAAGAAACAAAGTATTTCAGAGAAATGCTATACCACAGTGCTTGTACTTACCCATACTGATATCAATGATATTAACTCCACAATCAAAGAGCTACAACAATGCTCAAGTATTCCTATGAGTGTAATTGTTGTGGGTATTTCAGAAAGTGACAATTTTGCAAATCTTGTTGAGCTAGACAGTAGATTTAGAAACTATTTTGAAATGAATGGAAATCAAACCGTGAGAGATTTATTTACATTTTGCAGATTTTCAAATATTTCCACTGGCTTGAAATCTATTTGTGAGCATTTTATTCAATATGTCGAACAGGAAGGAGAGTGTTTAGAAACTAGATCTATCACTGTACCTTCTCCAAAACTCTCTTTTCAAGAGGTTCCACAACAGAAAAGATCCTATGACATAAAATTTTGATTTAAATTCCCTTAAATTTATTATTTACGCATTTCCTTATGTATTTCACTCTTAGCTTGAGAGAGTAATGACTTTGTCTTTTGAACTGCTTGTTCAACAACAGATTCCACTGATGCTCCATTATTTTCACCCTTTCTTCCCTTTGAAATATCTTCATAAATAGTTTTCAGTATTTGAGAGTATTTTAAGAATGCTGTTTCCTTTGGATTTTGATTAGCAAGCGTCTGAAGAGTGTTGATACACTTTAAAGCTGTTTCATCGGCAGCAATTGTGAAAAAGTTAATGAATGGGGTAAAGGTATGTTGGTTAACAGCGAAAGCCAATCCGGATTGCTGTACAGCATTGAAGAAATATTGACAAGCTGCTTCATAGTTATGGAGTTGAGTCAGATTAGAACCAATGACAACATTATACATGCCAATAATTGGTTTGCCAATTCCAGAATATTCTTCTAAAACTCTTTCAGCCTTTTGAATGTTTCCTGTTTGCACATAACACTTCATTATGGCATAAGCAGCATAATCTGTGAGTTTGTAATCAAATTCAGAAACTAAGAATTGTAATAGTGCTTCAACACCAGCAGATTGACCATTGAAGGCCAAACTAACAATGGCTGACTGAAGAATTTCATTGGATGGACTTACGCCAAAAACGTGCATATTTCTCATAATATTTACAATTTCTGTAATATTTCCATCAATACTATGTCTTCTGATAAGTATCAAGAAAGTAACACGGTCAGCATTAATTGAATAGTCAGAAGTAGTAAACAATTGGTTCATAGTACGGTTATATGATTTTTGCAAAGATGATGACTTGTCAAATATCGATGTTACTACCTTATCAGCTTCTTGCAAATTACCCCTTGAAATAAGTACATTCAACAATGGATTGATGATAGAAATGAATTGCTTGGATTGTTTTACAAGAGGAGCATTAATAATTTTCTTGTTTGCCAAATATGCTAACTCTGCAAATGCAACTTCCACTAACTTGTAAGATTGTTCTACCATTCCAGCATTAAGGTAGGTCTTGATTATTGAATTGAATGTAGTCAAAGAGCTATAAATATGTGATTTCAAAATTGAAATGTCCTTTTCAGTTTTAAAATTGGATGGTTTAGAGTACAGATTTTGAGAGTGAATGGAAAGACTGAATAATTCCTCTGCCTTGTCAAGTTCTCCTAATAATTGGTAATGATTAATAGCTAAACTAAAAGACTTGGAAATAATATCCCATTCTTTAGGAGTGAGATTTAACTCTTCTCTCTGTAAAAGATAATTCAACAATTCCTCGAAAACAGTTGTTAATGAATTAGAATCTCCATTCTTATTAATCAATTCTATGAACATTCCATAACGAAGAACAGACATGTCGAGTTGATTCTCAGTAACAAACTTGGTAAATCCTGATAAATCTTCCATAACTCTATAATATGAAAGCACTGCATCTTCAACAATACTTCTCTTGATATTCAATTTCATATAAGTATTATTCTCCAAAAGATATAAAGCAACATCTCTAGAAATATATCTCATAGATCTTGTTGGAAGGAAGAGTGATTGTAAAATAGTATCCTTTTTCAAGAAATCGAATTTTCCTTCACTAATGTATTCTTGAATGAAGGGAAGAAGGTCTTCGCTCAATGTTTTACACATTAATGAATATTGTCTCTCTTCCGGTAATTCATCAAATTTACTAGACAGAATAGTCTTTCTAGATTTTCTCAATAATAAAACTTGAAAGGTATCCTTCAATTTCTTTGGTGTAGAATATGCAAAAACCTTGCTTGAAATGATGTTAGTCAAGAATTTAGATGTGAATGGGTCATCGGAGAAGGTATCAAGAATATCTTTAACCATTTCCTTCTTTTCAGTCTCAATTCTCTTCTTTTTTGTTGTTTCAATAAAGGTTAAAATTGTTTGTTGATTTGATGGTTTAGAAACTGAAAGAGATGAAGAAGATGAAGAAGATGAAGAAGAGGTAGTAGAATAACTCTTCTGTTTAGCATTACTAATAATTACATGACTATTCAATCCATTATGATTATTATTATTATTATTGGATGATACCAAGCTGGATAATGAAGCTTCTATAAAATTGCTATTATTCAAAGCGATGGATCTGTGTCTAGTCAATGATGAAGTCATTCCGTTGGTGCCATGATGAACAACAACATTGTTCTTCTTAAATTGATGATGAGATTGCTGCTGATGGCGAGCAGAGGTGTGAACCAAAACTCTGCTCACTTTTGACTTTTGCAAAAACATTTTTTTTTTAAATGCAAAAAAAAGTTAATTTTATTGTGTGATGAGAATCTTTAGAGTTTTACAGATTTTAGTAACAAGTATTGAATTGATTGGATTACACTGTCATTGAAAGAGTTTTGATTGTTGTAAAGGAATGTTGGTGCTTTATCAACAATCAGGTTTTGTTTTTGGAAAAGGAAAACTCTGACTTTTGAGTAACTTTCAAGTAGACCTCTTCTAATGTGGTTTGAGAAATTCCCCAATCCTTAATGATACCATCTATTCTAGATGATTGCTTTTCCATTTCTGAAATCAAATCAGAAAGTTCACTCACTTGATGCTTTGGAATGTTAAATATGAAATTTCCAGCATTTTCACTCACAACCTTGAGATCTTTAACTTTATGTTGGATTAATGTGAGAATACTATCTTCGTGACCTGAATTGGCCACAACCATCAAGTTGTAACCACTTCCATATTGAGATTTGATTGAAAGTGAGGTTCCAATACATTTCAACTCACCATTGGCCATGATTGCAATTCTATCCGAAAGATAATCAGCCTCATCCATTGCATGTGTTGTCAAAATCATGGCTCTTCCTTTTTTCATGTTGTGAATTAAATTCCAAGCTTTCTTTCTTGAATAGGGATCCTATTTCGAATAGAGTTGGTAAATGAATAATTGAAGAGCTTACTTACTAATCCAGTTGTTGGTTCATCGAGAAGAATCAATTTAGGATTTCCAATACATGCAATACAGATGGATAATCTTCTCTTCATTCCACCAGAATAAGTCTTTGTCAAATGATGTCCAACTTTTGACAGCTCGACAGAATCTAATAACGATTTAACTTGCTCTTTACATTCTTTTCTTGGAATTCCTTTCAAATCTCCAAATAATTCCAAATGTTCTTCAGCTGTCAAATCATCCCACAAAATGTCATGTTGAGGACAAATGCCAAGCTGTTTTCTAACAGCAGAAATGGAAGTTTTAACATCTAAATCAGAAACATATGCCTCACCATGTGATTGCTCAAACAAACCTGTCAAAATATTCATTGTAGTTGACTTGCCAGCTCCATTATGCCCTAACAAACTGACACATTCATTATCCCTCACAACAAGATTCAACTCTTTGAGTGCTTTCTTCTCTGAAAATTTGTCAGCATACTTTTGAGGAAGTATTTTGTGTGCAATTCTTGAAAAAAAGCCAGAAAATGTTTTCCTTAATGAAATGATTCTAACAATTGCTGGTTGACTCCAATCTCTTGCTCTTTTAAATTCTACCTTGACATCATCTGTTTCAAATTTGGAGAAGGTAATGTTATCATCTGATGGTGCTTTGTGTTCCTTTGAACGAAAGCATTGAATTCCCCAATAGGAAGGATAGAGAAAAAAGATTGGTGACTTTCGAATACCGTTTCCATCAGAAATGACATTGTCACAATACCAATACAGGATTAGAAAGAACAAACCGTCTAGGAACAAGAGACCAACTCCAATCCAAGAAGCAGGTACATAATCATAAGAGTTCTTTCCAACAAAAAAATCTGTAAAAGAGTAACCAGGACCACTAACAAATCTTCTCAGTGCAGAATCGTATTCAGGTAAGGTTTTAGAAGCAATATCAATGAAAACCTTTGCAAAATTAAATGGTGGATAGAATGAGAAGATGATATAGAAGAAGGGAGAAATTTTGTCTGAATAGAGAAGATAAACAATTCCTCCATTCGAAACTGTCAAGTTCAATATCTTTCTCCAATATTATAAATTACAAAAAATATTGAGAACTTACAAATGATATAGCCAAAACTGTAAATCCAAGAATTAATGCATTTCTTGATTCCTTAATAAAAGTTGACAGAAAGAATGAAAGGCAAATAAGTGAAAATGAGAAACTAAAGAATAAAAGAAACAAAACAACAAAATTTGCATTCAAAAATATGGACATTTGAAAGATCATTCCACCCAACACATTCACCAAAGCAAAAACTAAACTAATCACTAAAAATGTGATTAACCATGAAAGGAAATATGCCGATTCTTTCATTCCCATCATGATCATTGAAAATCTGAGACGAAACTCTTTTTCAACCACCAAATTATTCAAAGAAACAATTAAAATAAACATTGCGGATATGCTGAAGAAGGTTGGGCCTGAAATTTTGAAAACTAAAGTTTGTCCATCTTTGGTTGTCAATGGTTGAGGAAAACTCTTATAGTCAACTTGGACAGAGTATCTAGAATCCATCAAATCTTGAGTTCTATTCAACTCTTTCATTCTTAAATAGATTATATTGTTATCAATTATGTTTTGTAAACTCAACAATGGAAAATGTAATTCCTCTCTTGACCTATTATAGTAAAGTGTGTAAGATAAAGTATCAACTGTATCCAAAATGGAGTTTGGTATGAACGCAAGACCAAACATTGTTTCATTCTGGTGGCTAAACATCCATGCTTCCATTTCTTTTACAGATGTGAAATTCTTAAAGTCCTTGTCAAGTTTTAATTGATAATCTGACACAAGTTGACTCATGACAGTTTCTCCAAATGAAATTCCATCAGATGTGTAGACTATCTTGTAGCATGGAACATTAGGTGCTGCTTTACATTCATAGAATTGTAACTTTTTAGAATTTCCTTCTCTTGGAATTTCAATTTCATGAATATTTCTTGTTGGTTGAGTAAGAATTGATTTGTCAAAGTTTACTTCCATGATTAGAGACATGATGAGTAAGATGGCAAGAATAATGATTGGCGAAGCGAGTTGTAAACATGTGGACTTCCATCTTCTTGTCTTTGGAATAATTACATGTCAGACGAAACTATAAAGAAACACTTACATATAGCAAGGCATTCTTCTTGAGTAATACAAGTGTTTGTTTCAACACCTCAACAAGATATTTCATTCTTTTTTATGGAGTTTTCAAATATGAGACAATTTTCTTGTTGCTTTCATCATCTATCAAGTTTAAACTACTTTCGAGTATATCTTTTCGACTTATAGTTGACCTATTTAGGATTCGCCGCAGCCCCAAACTCCTTTTCCACCTCCTTTTTGCTTCCAACAACATTTACATTAGAATCATGACTAACTAATATAATAGTATGGACTAAACAGTTCAAAAGTAAAGAATCCAAAAAAATTAAAATATTTAATAATGAACAGTGACTTGATAATGGACACTAACTTGTCCAAAGATTTGAGTCAAGTTAGGGGTTTACTCTTCAAGTCATTCTCATTGCAAATGAAACAGAAAAAGTAAGTGTTTCTTTCGAATTGTTTCGAATTATCAATACGAAGGTCCAACTGCTGTCTATTGTTCTTTCCAGTCATTTGTTTGGTGTTTATATTCTTGTTACAAGTGGTTACTAAAGATTTGACCAATAATTTTCTTTCTGAACAAGGTTTGGCAAATACGAAAGTCAACTCAACCTCAGTTGAGCTATCTCAACTGATGGTTCAAGTGAAGAATTCACAAAACTTGACTTTCAATCCTCCAGAATCAATTTATTTTTCTTCCAATAGAAGGGACTATCTGGACAATATTAATTTTGGGCAACTTTCTTCAAAGTTTGGAGTTTCGAATGGATTCTTGAAAGATTTCAGTCCGTTTTCAAGAAAAATTCCATCCATGCAAGTGAATGGTACTTTTGAAACAACTGGTATGATATCAATTCCATACTCTGTCTCATCATTCAACAATAGCACAGAAATGGAAAATGTCATTTATGAAAAATTGGCATCTGATGGAAAATCCAAACATGCTCTTGATGCTGTCGGTGGTTATATCATTAATCAATTGACAACATCAACCAGAGCTATTTTAAACTACACAATCCAATACGATTCCAATGAAAAGTCACTTTTCTGTGACTACTTGTCCAAAACCATTCCAATCAGCTTTGTAATCACAAGTTGCAGAAATGTAATGGGAGTTTCCATGCAACATTGGATGAATGACGCCTTTTTGAAGAATATTACTGGTAGATACAATATCAGAACCTATACATCTCAAATGAGTTATACCATTAGTTTTCCTTCGGCTAACATTTCGGATTTGTTGGGTTCATTGTTTTTCCCAATGATATTATGTTTGCTGTTGCCTTCTTTTACGTTTACAATTGTCATGGAAAAGCAGTTCAAGTTGCGTGAAATGATGAAACTTATGGGAATGAAGATGAGATATTACTTTCTTGTTTCGTATATGTTCTTTTATGGAATGTATGCAATTTCAGTTGTAATGTTTATAATATTCTCTGCACTCTTTAATTTCAGCTTTGTTACCAAGACGAACCCAATAATTTTGAGTAAGTATTGTTGTTGGAAAGATGTTTGTTTCCTAACTTTCTAATAGTTATATTTTTCTTATTGTGGGGAAATTTGCTGATTAGTTTCTCATTCTTATTATCTTCATGTATTGGGACTACTATTGTAGCCACAATAGTTTCCTATCTGATTGTTCTTATTGGACCAATGGTTGGCGTAATTCTAGATTCGTCACTTTATACGAATGTTCCAGAGTCCAAATATGGTATCTTGACAATCTTTCCATTCCAAATCACTCATTTCGTATATGCTACCACAGCTGCGTGTAATTCTGGCAATGGTTGCATCACCAACTTTGTCGATATTTACAACAATAGCTCAGTATTCTATTCGTTGATTTACATGTTGGGAATGAGTTTAGTATACATGATTCTTGGATTGTATTTAGATGCTGTCATTCCCCAACCATTTGGCGTGTCAAAGAGTCCACTTTTCTTTATGAATTGGTTATGGAAACCTTTTAGAAATATTCTAAAGAAACGAATCTCTGGAAAGAGAGTAAAACCAACAATAGATGAAGAAAATCAAATAGCAACAATAGATTCAGATGTTGCCGAGGAGAATAATCGAGTAACTCCACCCAATCTTACTCGAGATCAACAGGAAGAACATATTCGAAAGTTGAAGAATGATTTTGGTGTTGTTCTCTTTAATCTAGAAAAGAAATTCAACTCAAAAACAGCAGTCAACAATATTTGTCTAAGAATTGGTAAATCCGAATGCTTTGGTTTATTGGGATTGAATGGAGCTGGTAAATCAACAACTATTTCAATGTTGTCAGGAATGTTTGGACCTAGCTCTGGAACTGCTTTCGTATATGGTAAAGATATTCGTACAGAAATGGATTCCATTCACAAGATTATGGGTCTGACCTCTCAGTTCGATATTTTATATCCAGACTTGACATGTGAAGATCATTTATTATTTTATGCAAGATTGAAAGCTGTCAAAATCAAACATGAAAAACAACACATTCAATCTTTATTGAAACAAGTTGGTTTAGATAATGAAACTCTCAAGATGAAGAATTCTCCACCTTCAAAATCACTCTCAGGAGGCATGAAACGTCGCCTGTCAATTGCCATTTCCTTAATAGGAGATCCTAAGGTAATTCTCTTAGATGAACCAACCACTGGATTAGATCCACTTTCTAAAAGACATTTATGGGACATTATTTTAGAACAAAAGAAGAATCGAACTGTCATTTTGACAACTCACTCAATGGAAGAAGCTGACGTTTTGTGTGATAGGATGACAATCATGTCAAATGGTGAATTTAAATGTTTGGGATCTGGATTGAGATTGAAAAATAAGTTTGGAGATGGTTATGTATTGAGTATAAGTTATCCGAAACAATTCGAAAGTTTGGCTGAACAATATGTGCTCAAGTATGTTCCACAAGCAAGAAAGGATTTAATTCTATCAGAAACAATGTCAATTTTCAAAATTCCACACTTTCCAATATCACTTTCTAATAACATTTACATTGAAGAGGAGGAAGAAGAAATCAAATCTCTCTCAGGTTTATTCAAACACATGGAAGAAGGAAAGGTTGGAAATGGAATTGAGGAATTTGCCTTGAATCAAGATTCGTTAGAACAAGTTTTCTTAAACATTATTGGCATGCATTCGAATAGAAATACTGACACTAAAGAGAATGAAAAATGGAAACGAATTTTGGTCATGTTGAAACAATGTTTGTGGTAAAATAATAAAAGAAAATTTCATTCACAGATCTGGATTTTTCATACAATTCGTATTGAGAAATGACATAGAAATTGATGATTAACATAACCACTGATATCTTAAAACATTGTAGAGACCAAATTACAGAAAAGACTTCAGTGCCAAACAACTCTTTTTCCTCCTTTATCTCTTTCACCAACTACTCCACCATGTAAGGTTTGACCATTGCCTGGAGCTTTCTCACCACGATTTGGAGCTCTTGTCATTGGAAGTACTTGACCAGTGGTCTGATTTACACCATAGTGAACGATATGAGGAGCGTTTATGTTGCCTTTGTATGGCTCTCCGTGACCTGTAGCAGTGTTATTGAAAACTGGGAGAGGTTTAGGTGGCATGTTGTTTTCTTTTTGAAAAAATCATCCATTTCTTTTAAAATGTCGACAATTTGACTCATTCCTTTGATTGCTGATTAGTTGACGAGTTTTACAAAATATGAGAAAAATCCAACAAATTCACAAATTGATGGCCCCAATATTGAATATTCATTTTAATAAAAAGAAAATTGAAATTTATGAATTGAAGATACAACGAAAGTGAAAATCTCAATAGAATACGCTTCAACAACCTCCACTAATTATAGTCAAGTCAAAAATCCGCACAAAAACATGCTGAAAAAGAACAATTTACGTATTAAATCTCAATTCTTCTTTTTCGAATAAATGTGTGAGGCAGTAAGCAAGTAAAGCAATGAAATTTGAAACTCTACAAGTGAGGAAAGAAAGTAACTAACAACCCAAAGAAAAATAGAGGAAACTCCAACGAAACATGGTGATTCTGAATCTGTACTACTTGAATATGAATCTCATTCGAATCTTCATATTTATGTAAATACAACAACGGACAACTTTCCATCTAAAACAAATCCCCAACATCAATACTATTCTAACATGAATATAATGTTATGCGAAATGACAAGTGACCAATTCAAACAATCTCTTGCCGAATTTCTATGATCCTTCCTAAAATGGTAGTGATGAAAGTAGGAAATATTGAACTGTTTTGGTAGCATTTAGTTTTCGTCTGGTTTCTTTCGCATTTTATTGACGAATCTTTCAACTATGGCTTGTGAAAATACTGTTATCATTATTCTAAAAAATGACTAGATATCATTCCTGTATTACTCTTTGTCTTTCATTGTTTATTCTATTCTTTAGTCAAGTTTCCATCTCACAATCTATAGTTTCGAGTATTGAATTCAACCAAGCAGTAGAAGCTGCTACTTCTAGAATGGTCGCCTCCTCAACATTTATCGATTATGTGAATAAGAATTTACCTCTGAGTCCTCCTACATGTTCAGTTTCTCCTTCCTTTCCTTCACGAAACCCAATTCCATCATCTGTCTCCTCACTCAAGATGTGTTACGAAGATGCACAAGATATTGAACAGGCTTGGATTGGTTTGTATCAATTGGTGGGTGAAAGCATTGTTTCGAATATTAATTCGAATTTCAGACTTTCATTAAAGACACAATTTGTGTTGGTCAATACAACAGAAATGGGATTTTTCGAAACTATGAAAAGTTATGTGAATGATGGAAGGTGTGATGTGGTAGTTTCCGATACAACCATTACAGCTGACAGAGTTGCCGATGTTAACTTTGCCACTTGTCCATATGGATATTCACTTGATGCATTCTTGAGAAGTGATTTAGATATTGATATTTATCCTAATGTTACTTCATTATCTGAAATGGATAAACCAAATTTCAAGATTGGTTACTATATTGGATCAATTTATGAAGATATAGTCAACCAGACATTTAAATATGCTGAAAGAGTACCAACTAGTTATGATGAACAATTCAATCTTGTTGGAAATAAGAAAGTTCATGCATTGGTTGCTGATGCTTTTGATTTAAATAGGTGGAAAAGTAATAATGCAAATCAGTGTACGAAATGTTATGTGAGAACATTTGGAAGTGGTTCATATTATGGAGTTTTTACTGCCAAGACAAATCGTTCGAGTGATGGAGAAAGTCAATCATCACCATCAAGGGTGATTATTGGATTCATGATTGTAATTTTAATGAGCTTGTTCACAATTTTGTAAAATAATTTGTAAAGTATGATTGAGAAATTAGTAAAAACAATTTTGAAATTTTATTGAATGACCAATTTGACGCCTCTGATGATATCATGCAATTTAATCAAGACTGGTTGGTGCTTTTGAGAATCAACAATTTGATTCTTTGAATTGAAAACAGAATACTTGGAGATTGGCATGTGAACATAGGAACCAAATGATGGAATGTTACGATTGAATGATTCAACATTATCAACCCTTTGCAAGTTGACATACTCCTTTTCGTAGAATGAATATTGAGAAATCTTATATCCTGATGGTGATGAAGGAACCATTCCACGAATATCCAGCAAGAATTTCAAATTCTTGAAATCTTTTCTGAAAGAGTTTGGAGCAGAAATTGAAACAGAAAGAGTATTGTCAGCAGTATTCTTAATATATCTAACTTGGATTCCATGTGATTCAATATCTTGAACTTGTTCAGTATTATCATGTGGATAGTGAATTGCAATAGTCAAATAACCTCTGTTAGTTCTGGAATTACCAAACAAATTGACATGATCTGAGGTAATATTGAATGGCAAGATGCTTCCTGCCTTATAGAAAACTGGGAATTGATCATATGAAGTGTAATTGAGAGTCATAGTTTGACCTCCTTCAATAATACGATCATGATTGAAATAGTCAACCCATTTACCCTTAGGGAAGAACACCACAACATTAGAAGAAGAATCAACCATTGGAGTAACGAGAATATTGTCTCCAAGGGTGTAGGTCCAAAATTCAGGTGTGAACATGGTGTAAGAACTGAAATATCACATTATAGAAAACAGTATAAAGATAACTTACCATTGTGGTGTCATGATACTCTTGTCGTTGGCATAAGCATTAATACCAGCAGAGTACAAGTAAGGATTCAATTCATAGTGAATATGAACGTATCTTCTGTAAATATTTGTGACATTCAAACTAGGAGTATCATATCCCCATGCTAGTTCATTATTGTAATTTTTACCATTTTCCATTTAATACTTACGTTCATGAACACCATTACCACCATTTTCCATCAATCCATTGAATGTTCCCATTTGGAACCATCTAATGTATAAAGAAAGATCTCTCTTTCCACCTCCACGATAACCAGCAATATCAGTACCTGGTTTTAGGAAGACTTATTAAAACATGTCTTAAAAAAACAACATACCAAAGGAAACATACTTATTCCAAGCTGAGTGGAACATGTTCTTAATGGCATTTTGCAAACCCTCAAATGTTGGATCTTGATCACCAACCCAACCACTGAAAACCTTTTTTTAAATCAAACAACTTTAAATAACATAATACTTTCAAAAAACTTACAACATCTCTTGGAGCAAAATCAAGGTACACATATCCTAAGAACGAGTCAACTGGACGAGCCATAATTAAAGCATCATCTCCTCTAATTTGTCTAGTATAATAGAAGAAATCTCTATAATACATGTTAGCATATTCACGTTCTGAAATATGTCCTTTATGGCCATGAATGTAAATAAATTCAAAGACATATGGATCAGTTCCATCACATTTCTAAGAAAGGATTGAGGTCAACCACATTGATTTTTCCACTTACCCATCCATCAATACCAACAGACTTGTCAGTTTCATTCAAAATTAATAAATTATTCAATTGATTATGCCACCAATTCAATGCATCAGGATTGGAATAATCAATAAAACTTCCGTGTCCATGCCACCATTTAACAGTGGATCCAGAATTCAAATAATATCCTTTCTCTTTTCCTTCGTTGTAATTTGATGAATCCACATTAACAACACTAGTCACCCAACAAATAACTCTGATATTCATAGAGTGAAGTGTTTTCACAAATTGATACATGTTTGGGAATTTGTTCCTATCACAATTACAAGCCATCATGCATGATGAAATTTTCGTTTGATGATGAATAATTCAAAGAATAACCTACTTGTCAATAATAAAGTTGTTAATGCCAGTACTCCATTCAGAGTCAATATCAATAGCTCCAACTGGAATATCATAAGAAAGATAACTATTTACAAGATTCATCAATGTTTGTTGATTTTCTCTACCGTGATCAATCCTACAATTTCATTTGACATCCACAAAATCATCAATAACACAAAATCATCATCACTAATTGAATAAAACTATCAACACACTGATCACTTACCACACCCAATGATGATGAGCCCACTCTGCATACGGAGCCTTTTGTAAAGGCACTGGTGGTACAACATAATCTTCACTATCTATTTGTACACTCTTGGCCAACAATCCAATCGCCATCAACATCATTACCATCATCAGGACAACAAGAACCATAGCACTCTTGCAGCTCATCTTGGTTGCAATCGTGTTTGACATTTTTTTAATGCTCAGTCGCGTGTTTTTAAAGGGTTTTTTTGGCGCTCGATATTGAGGATGAATTATTTGAGGAGTTTACTTTTTGAAAAGGTGAGAGTTGTTATGGCGGGTAATATGAAAGGTATGTTGTGAAGGTTAAAAGACTTATTAAGATTAATTTGCAAAGCACATTTACTTGGGTTGATTGAGGTGTGAGCAAATGGTTCATGTTGCTGCATTTTGGATTATGGATTAGTGAACAGAAAGTTGAGATACAATGAATCAACTGCCTATGATAAGCTCAGAATATGTAATAGTCAATGTTTTAAATAACATTTAACTTCACATTCTTCACACAATCTTCAAGTTGTTTTTTAAATTTAAAAAAAAAACGTTGGATAATTTTGCATTCAAAAAAAATGATCATCCCTGTTCGTTGTTTTACTTGTGGTAAAGTTATTGGTAATAAATGGGACAAGTACCTCCAACTTTTGAATTCCGAATATCCTGAAAAGTAAGTGTAAATACTGATGATTTAATAGATGGATTTGTTGTTAGTGATGCTTTAAATACATTAGGCTTGAAGAGATATTGTTGTAGAAGAATGTTGCTTACCCACGTCGAACTTATTGAAAAATTATTGTTATATAATACTACTGATAAGGATGAAGAACAAGAAGATCAAGCAACATACAACGCTTAAATTATTCTTACATAATTTATATTGTGAATATTAATTCACCTAGATTTTTGATGATGTTGACCACAACAACAAGTTGACGCGGATTTATTTGTACAAAAACTAATTGGATAATAATCTACAACATCATTAACTCATCCCTTTTTAACCTCCGTCTTTTCCTTCCTGCTCTAAATAAATTATAATAATTATTATTATTTATTTGTATTATTGTGATGATAGTACGATGGTGGAATTTATTGGATTAGACAACTATTTAATTTAGAGGACTGAACTGTACATTATTTACATCATGTATGGTAGAAGTGTCGGGAAGTAATACTTGAATATCGACAAGAGAACCATTGTTGTTACACCACATCTTATACCGAATTGAAATCTTCGAGAGAGTGAGTTTTCCAAAAGAGCTATCAGTGCAACAAATCCCAAGAAGAATCCCAAGAAAACTCCACAGAAGAAATGATAAATATTTCCCACATTATTCGTATCTATGATTGTATTGGTTGGTCTTATTGAGCTGCTTTGATCGTTTTCTGTTTGAACATGATCATTTTGCATCCACTGTTGCTCAATTTCAAATAAATCCCTTTGAGTGAGTTGACCTCTTCTGTGCAATTCCAATAAATTTGAATGACTTGCATAGAATTGTCTCCTCACTTCATTAACTTCCTCTCTGGCAAGACCAGCATTCAATAACATGTCAAATCCTTGTCGAATATCAGTTGATGAAGAGCTAGTATTATGTTGTTGTGAATTATTACTAGGTTGTTGAATGGGTGAAAATGTGCAATGTATAAAGTTTTCAGGTTGAATATTAAATCTCGAAATCGGAAATGTAGGAGGCGTTAGTAGTCTTCCATGATGAATTAATTTGAGAATACTCTTTGATGGAGAGTAATTTTCATTAGATCGTAAAGTTTTATCCTTTTCCAAACATTGTTCTCTGATGGCTTGTAATAATTCACTCACTATAGTGTTAGATCCTGATTTTAAAATACACTGATGAGTTTCCGAAGAGTGTGGAAATCGTATATTGAGAATAAATTGACTATTACTCGTATTAATATTTGAAGAACTATTATCGGATAGTGTGGGTGACGGTGATTCACTAATATTATTATTAAAATAATTGTGTACTTGATGATTTAGTATTGGTGGTGATGAATCATTGTTGGAAGGAATGGTTATTGGTTTGTTGAAAGACATTTTTTAATAATATTGATTTTAATAATTTAAAGTGTTGATTTAAAAATTGAAAGATTCGGATAAGCAACTAATTATTGCTTCTTGATCTTCTTTTCCTCATAATTGAATGGATTAGTGTAGAGAACCATATTCAACAATAACAAGAGTGGAATGATAAAGTAGACAGAATAGGTAGCCAACAAGACTGGATTGTGATTAAGGAAAGCAGGATCAAATATGAAGGCACTCATAATTGGAACGAGTGTAGTCATAACGTGTGTGGCATAAATAATTGATGGAATACGGATCCAGTTCTTACCAGCAATGAAGGCATAACAAGCAAAGAAGAAGAATGGGAATTGCAAAAAGACTTCACAAACTGTAAAACTAGCAAACCAAACTGGGAAGACAACCATCAACTTGTCTTGGAATGGTTCTAACCAGTGATCATTCAAAATTTGTTTAATGATTGGTGGATAGAGTTGTGGGATCTTATCAACCAAGAGAGGCTTTATAATTATTTAAACTATAATGATACAACATATGTGATAAACTTACTTGAGAGTCAATCATGATAGTGATTGGAATGTGACTCAAAAAGTAGATGAAGAAAATCAAATGCAATGGTCTGGAGAAGATGCTTGGTACTGCCATTTTTTTTGTTTGAAGTTTTGTGAATTGGCGCGCATCTCTGTCCGATCCAAAGTTGCTTAGTGTTATTAATTTCATCATATTTAACATTCATGTGAAAAATGTCAAGTATTAATTAACAATTTAGTTTTAGATATAATATATTATAATTCTATAAGAAAAAGAAAAGGTTCAATCAAGTTGGGGCATCTAGATGGATGCTAAATTATTGGTTCTTGAATGTTTCCCGCCTTCCAAAAATTTGACACAAAATAAAATTAAAAAAAAATGGCAGACGAGAATAAAATTGATGGGGAAATATTCAACAAGCGACTTGCTCGTCTGTTTGACCACTTTGACAAATACAAAGATACTCTATATGATAATTGCACAATTTTCCAAGTTTTTATGGGCAAGGTAAATCAAGAAGAAAAGAACGATTACGATGTACACAAATTAATGCTCTTGTGGCTGATTGGATACGAATTCACTGATACTATTATTTCCTTTGAACCTCATACAAAATCTGTGCACTTCTTCACTAGGTAAGTAACAGATCATGACAAAATTCGAATACGATCAAACTTTAGTGCTAACAAAATTAAAATGTTGCAAGACATTCCAAATACATCAGGAAAGATCAAACTCTTTGAAAAGGATAAGAAGAGAACAACTTCCGATTTCTTTGCTACTCTTTCACTTTCATCAAATACTGTTATTGGTGTAATTGAAGGAGAAAAACACACAGGACCATTACACAAGGAATATATTGATACTCTCAAGAAGCAAAAAGTTGTAGATGTCAAGATTGCCCTTCAAGATTTGCTCTGTACAAGAGAGCCAGAAGAAGTACAACTTGCTAAAGCTTCTTCACAATACACCACTAAGTTCGTCAAGAAAATTGTCACCGATATGGAAGGTGTTATCGATGAAGGAAAGGAAATCAAACACAGTCAATTTGCCGTAAATATTGAAAATATGGTGACAAAAGCTGCTGCAGAAATTGATTTAACATTAGCTTTTAATCCTATTATTCAATCTGGAGGTGGATATAATCTTAACTTAGATTTCAATGACGAATCAGTTAAATCAGATGACAAAATCCTTAAATTTGATAACATCATTTTAATGTTTGGTATCAGATACAAATCATTCTGTTCAATGGTTGCAAGAACTTATTTCATTAATGCTAGTGTGGAAAAGGAAATGGATTACGAAATTTTGTACAATGTCTACCAATTCCTTGTCAAAAAGAAGATTAGAGTTGGTCAAACAATGGATAGTATTTATGCTGCTGCTAGGGAATTTTTAAGAAAGAAGAAACCAGAGTTGGTTCCACATTTCACAACGAAGGTTGGTTTCTGTATAGGATGGCAACCTTCCTCTCCAATCATGCAAATGGCTGAAGGCAATATGATGGAAATTGCAAATAATATGACATTTGTTGTTCAATTAGGATTTGAAAATGTTCCAGAACCAGGTCGTGCTCCATATTCTATGTTCATTGCTGATACAGTTGTAGTTTCAACTGAAGATTATGGTATGCCAAGATCAAATGATCAAGTTGAGGTTCGTGAAGAATGTCAAGTTTTGACTCGTATTAAGATTGACTATAATCAAATATCTTACTCAATTGAAGATGAAGAAGCAGCTGAAGAGGTTGAACCAGAAGTGATTGATCAAGAATTCGGACAAAGACAAAAGCGTAGTGCTGCTATTGCTTCAGGTTTGGTTAGAGGTGTTGAATCATCTGACTCTACTCTCAATGATGAAGAAAGAAGAAAGAGACAATTATCTCTTCTCCAAAGAAAGAGAGAAGAATACGAAGGAAAGGATGAATCTTCAAGCACTTCATCAAGAAAGAAAAAGTTGTCAGCTGATGAAAAATTCGCTAAAGGTGAAGTTGTTAGTTATACTGGACCTATTCCAAAGAATCTTCAATTGGTTGCCAACCAAATCATTGTCGATAAGAGACATGGATCTGTCTTGTTGCCAATTAATGGTTCTCACGTTCCATTCCACATTGCCGCTATTAAGAACGTAAACACAACTGACGAAGGTGAATATGTACATCTCAGAATCAACTTTAACAATACTAAACTCAACTTTGGTAAGGTTTACGAACCAGCCAAGTTGTATAAGCACCTTGTCTTTGTCAAGGAAATTTCATACAGAGCAAAGGATTCCAAACGTTTGGAAAGTGCTAGAAGAGAAATCCTTGAATTGAAGAAACAAATTGGTCAAGAAGAAAGAGACAGAGAATTCAATGAAAATAATAAGGAAGTTGATCAACCAAAACTTAAATTAGTTAGTAAGGGTCAAAAGGCTCCAAGACTTGCTGATATCTTCATGAGACCTGGTAAGAAACAAGTTGGTGTAATTGAAGCTCATGAAAATGGTTTGAGATTCTCCAGTAACAAGGGTGCTAAGATTGAAATTATGTACTCTAATATCAAACATGCCTTCTTCCAAGAAGCCAAGAATGATATTATTGTTCTTATTCACTTCCATCTTAAGAATCCAGTTATGATTGGTAAGAAGGCCTTCCATGATATTCAATTCTTTACTGAAGTTATTGAAGAATTTGATCACTTGGTCGGTAGACACAGAAGACAAGCTGTTTCTGAAAGAGAAGCTATTGAAGAAGAAGAAAGAGAACAACTTTTGAAGATTAAATTGAATAAGGAATTTGCTTCATTTGTAAAGAAAGTTGAAGAAAAGTCAGGCGTTGATTTTGAAATTCCATTCCGTGATTTAGAATTTACTGGTGTCCCATCTACTGGTAAATCAAATGTAAATTTAGTACCAACTCTAAATTGCCTTGTTTCCCTCTCTGAAGCTCCTTTCTTTGTGTTGACAATGGATGAAGTTGAAATTGCTCACTTTGAAAGAATGAAATTTGGATTGAAGAACTTTGATATTGTATTTATTTTGAAAGACCTTACTACTTACCACTCCATAACATCTATACCAGTTGAACATTTGGATAAGATTAAGGATTGGTTAACAAACAGCAATGTATTATACTTTGAAGGTGCTCAATCTTTGAAGTGGGGTCCAATTCTTAAGACTATTCGTGAAGAAGACAACTGGGATCCATACAGTGAAAATGGTTGGACCTCTTTCCTCGTTATGAGTGGTGAACAAGTTGAAGAAGATTTAGAAGAAGAAGGAGCCGAAGAATATGAACCATCATCAGGTGAAGAAGAAGACGTTGATGACGATGATGAAGAAATGTACATTGATTCAGATGATGATGAAGACGATGATGATTTCGAGGAAGAAGAGGAAGAAGATGCTCCAACATGGGAAGAATTAGAAAATGAAGCCATGGAAGAAGATAATCAAAAACGAAAGAGAGATGAAGAAATCAGTGATGATGAAGAGTATCGTAAGCCAGCTAAGAGTAGCAAGAACAGGAAATAAACCCTTACAAAACATTTGGTCTTAATTGACCCAATTTTCATATTAAAATAATTCTAAACATCTAAAAATATCATAAAATATTAATAATCAAATAAAAAATGAGTGAAAAGGAATTGAAAGATCTTCCATCATCAGCAATATCGGAAAACACAAACAGTACTACTCCAGCCACTACCTCTACCACTACAATAGAAGAACAAATAGGAGAGGAAAAAAGTCAGTTAGTTCAAAGCGAAGTTGATTTAGAATCTCAAGTATTTGAGGATGATGAAATTTATTCATCAAATCAGCCTTTGATTGGAAATAATGATGAAAATAATTCCGAGACAGATGTAAATAGTTCAACTAATTCCGAAGTGGATGTTAAATATTTTGACCAATCGATATTTAAAATTGTATACAAAAGAGGCATATGGCTGATATTATTATTAATTTTGCAATCATTTTCTAGTTTTATTTTGGCCAAGTTTGAATCTCTGATAGAAAAACATATTATTATTTCCCTTTTTTTAACCATGTTAATAGGAACAGGAGGCAATTCAGGATCACAAACAGTTATTGAAATTGTGAGAAGAATTACAACAGGTGAATTTAAAAAATCAAATATTTTTCAAGTTGTGTGGAGGGAATTTAGAATTGGTATTCTATTGAGCTTGGCTATTGGATTAATTGCTTTTCTGAGAGTTTATATTTACAGAGTTTTCAGTCTCACTCCACAAGAAGCAATGGGAATGTCACCATTCATTGCCATCTTTTATAATCCAACTCTATTGAAAGAATTAATAGCTCTTACCTTGAGTGTTATAATGATTGTCATTGTGAGTGTATTTGTGTGTGCACTCATTCCACTATTCATTCATTTTGTTTTGAAATTCGATGCTGGCATATCCTCTGGTCCAATGTCTTCAGTTGTAATGGATCTTTTAGGTGTAACTCTCACTGTTCTTGTCTGTTCTCTTTTACTTTAGAAAATAAACCATAGATAAAACTTGCATTAGTATTTAAATAATAATTTTAATTTAAACAAAGTTGAATTGTAAATCTGAAAAGTGGAGTGAAGAGGAAATCATATTTCGTCTATAATCTGATTGAAATAAATCGATTGGATTATGAGCATGATACCATACTTGAACACTCTCTTCTGCCTGTATGATTGTTGGGTTGAAAATGAGGGAGGGATTAAATGATTCTTGAACTATTCTTTTCTTGCTTTCATCCACAATCTTTGTCTTATTCATAACAAATAGAGGATAATCTAAGGAACAGGATATGTGTAATTTGGTTTCAAATTCCAATGTAAAATCCAATGAGTACACTGAAATGCAATGATTGAAAGTAAGTACAGAAATTTTGGATCTTCCAACTCCAACATCAATAATTCTCGAGTCTTGAAATTTGTTCAAAGTTTTGGCAGCATCAATTCTAGTCCATAATTTACTAGAAAAAATACTAAAAGAAGTTCGATTCAGTGCATAATTATTAATGATTAAATTTCCAGAATCCAATAAAATTACAGCTGCTTCATCTGCTGCGGAGACCTTTTGAATGGTTTCTTCTGGGAGTTTTAATTTGTCGAGTGGAATTTGAACTATATTTGGTGTTTGTTTGTGGTTTGGAGTGAAAAAAGACCCAAAATTTCTGCCAAATCCAAATACATCTTTCCTAGAATTGGCCACAATAAATATATTATCCCATCCGCAACTAACATCATCAATTGATAGAATTTCACTAGGTATGCTTGCTTTCCTGTTTTGCATATGAATGTAAAAATTATGTCCAAATAGAAAAAGGTTAGTACTTGTCCACCCAATCCAAAATGATCCACCAACTGCTAGTCCAGTAAATAATTCAGCTGATTTTGTAATTATATTCTTCCCACCATTTCTATCTTGAATAATGTGATAAAAATGTCCTAAATTAGTCAAGAATGTCATTTCAAAATAACCCTTATCTGAAATGTTTTTAACATACTCCCCTTCCTCCAAAGTAAAACACGTCATTTCAAAAACACTTTTCAATTCACCTCTTCCATCTGTATTCGAATCTGCTATTCTAAATATATCAAAATCATTCCAATATTTTACAGAGTTAAACAAATCATTCGATCTCCACCATTCCAAATAATCTCTAATCACCTGTTCCACCAACTCCAATCTTGGCACAACAAGAACATACGGATTTAAACCAGATCCTCCCCTAACACACGTAGCCGATGTTCCGCTCCAAATCTCACTCACAAATAAACTCAAATTTCTCTCAATTTTATATTGTTGCATAAATTCAGGCTTTAAATAATCATAAAAAGATTTTTCTCTGATCAAGAACGAATACTCCCTAAATTTACAAACAACATCTCGGAAGGAATTTTCCATCATGTTCCTATATTGTTTTCCTGTGGAGAATTTTATCAATGTTGATGGAGCAGCATAACCTGATGAGGAAGACAAAAAAAGATCCGGTGCTGAATTATAGTGTGAGAATGGGTGTGGGATTTCTGAAGTCATTTTTTTTCTTCTTGATCAACCAAGATTTGAATTATTGTAATCATGATAAACTGCATCAGGAAAGCTATTTTCTTGATCTACCTGGAAGTTCATAAGGCTGCTTTTCAAATAAATAACTTCGAAGAAGTTGAATGAATTTTCCATCTGCTTTCAATTCTTCAGATGCATATACCAGTGAACTCTCATTATTTTTAAAAGCAAGCAATACAATTTCACAATCATTTCGCAATTCTTCTGATGCCTCACTAAGCAATAGTCCGTTTTGTTTAACTGCCTCTGTGACAATTTCTCTGTCATTTCTCAATTCACTAGAAGTTTTTTCAATGGCATATCCGTCTTTTTTAACTGCTAGCATTGCAATTTCTCTGTCATTTCTCAATTCATCTGATACATATTTGAATGAAGAAATATTTTGGTTGATAGCTAGTAACACAATTTCCCTGTCATTTCTCAATTCTTCTGGTGCATATTCAAGAGCAGTTCCATTTTGTTTAACAGCCTCGACAACAATTTCTCTGTCTTTCCTTAATTCTCTTGATACACATTCAAGCGCCCATCCATTTTGTTTGACAGCTTCCATTACTATTTCTCTATCATTTCTCAATCCAAAAGATACATATTGAAGTGCCATTCCATTTAGTTTAACAGCTTGTAAAACAAATTCCCTATCACATTTCAATTCACTAGAAGTATAGTCAATTGCTGATCCATATTCCTTGACTGCAAACAAGTCAATTTCTCTATCATTTTTAAATTCTTTAGGCGCCCATTGTAATGCCCTTCCATATTGCTTAACGGCTTCAATAAGCAATTCTCTGTCTTTTCTAAACTCTTCAGATGCAAGCAAAAGTGCGTTTCCCTCTTTTCTAACAGCCTCACTTATTATTTCTCTGTCTCTCTTTAGCTCATCAGACGTAAATTCTATTGCACCGCCATTCTGCTTAACCGCCTCCATCAATCTCTCTATCATTTCTCAATTCTTCAGAAGCAAATTGAAGTGCATGCCCATTTTGCTTAACAGCATGAAGAACAATTGTTTTGTCTCTTTTCAATTCATCAGATGCATGCTTGAGAACCCATCCAGTTTGTTTAACAGATTCCATTACAATTTCCCTATCATTTCTGATTTCTTCAGAAGCAAATCCAAGAGCATGTCTATCCAGCTTAATAGCATGTAACATAAACTTTCTATTACTTCTTAATTCAATAGGTATGTATACGAGTACATATCTTCCTAAACATTCCACAAACTTCTCAGCAAATGATTTCAATTTCCAAAGATTCAATCTAGTAGAAATTTCAGCAAACTTTTCCCAAGATATTTGCGTAAGCTGTTTTATAATAAATGTTTGATCTCTAATTAAATCAATCTTCCAAATATCTGCATTGGTCATTAAATTAAACATATATTCACCCGAGTAAATATTCTTCAGGAGATAGTCAAACTTTTCTCTCTCTAATTGTTCATCCTCCGCAACATCTTCTTCATCTATATAAGCAAAGGAATAATAAATCGGATTCCATATCAATTTAAATTTATCCTTCATTGGCACATCTCTGATTTTACTACTTAATAATTCTGATTCAAAGGATATTAAATCCAAATATAATACAACAGAATCAGGTGCCATTTCCGATAATTATTTCAAAAACTATGTATAAAGGAAGAATTCAATATTATTGTTTATTCAAATGCCCTTTCTGTTCTAAATGATCTCTTAGTCTATCTAATAGATCACTTTTCTTTCCACTCTTTGGCAATCCAAATCTACCTAATATTGACTTTAATTCTACTACTTTAAAATCCGCTTGTTTACCATCTCGGAACTTTTTCACAATGGCCTCTAGAGTAAGCACTTCAATATTTTCATCCATTTCACTATTATTAAAATAATTATGAAAATTAGTATAATTTAAATAAGGATCTAATTTGGTATTGCCGTTAAGATATGAAAGAGTTGAAAATAAAGTTTCTTGAATACTTTTACTCATATTTGAACCTGTTATTAAGTGTAAAAGATTTGATAACAAATCATGATCCAATTCATCCAATTTATCTTTTACTTCTTCATTACTCATTTTTATTGAAAAAATGTTGTTATTAGAGGTTCTGAACAGCCGAGAAATCATTTAGTGAAATGTTACATAATTTAAGTATGGAAAATGATAATTTAATTTAGTGATCATTTAGGCATTTTTCATGTTGTGATTAATTTTATCTACAATCTTAATATCAAAGAAATATGGAGTTATGAAATAATCATTAGTTCCACTAATTTCTTTACACAATGTGTAGTAAATTTGACGACAAATCATGAAATAACTCAGAAGAATAATAAGCTGTTTATGGGGTTGATGCTAAAATCTTGATTAAGTGGGTTCTCCAGCAAAGAAATAATAACTTCTCTGTAAGTATGGTATTTATTCCTAGAAAAATGCCTCTATTCGCTTCTAAGCAGGTCAATGATATCCCATTTCTGAAACCACGTGTACGTACAACCGAAACTGAAGAAAAAGAACAACAACAGTCAGACACCCACTATCAAGAAGAAGAAGTGTTCCATCGTTAAAACTTTGTATTTGTTGGATGTGAGTTTTAAAACAGCTCTTGGAAAACTCAAAAAGCAACAGAGCAGTTCAGCAACCACTCATATTATGAGAGAAATGAGAAATTCAGGAAAAGGATACAATGATGTTGTATCTCGTCTTGATAAGAGAACGTTCAATTCAACTTCTGAAAAGAAACAAATTGATATGGCAAGGAGAAATCAAAAGAAATTCGAAAAATAAGAGATAAGAGAATCTAATTTAAATTAGTACACTTTCCCTGATTGTAATTGTATAATAATGTTTCAGTAAATTGTTTATCCAAACTCACTGGCACCAAAAACAACCTGAATTCATCTCTCTAATGTAAACTCCCCTTTCCCTTTATCTTCTGATGATATAAAGAATCAATTATTGAGGATAACAGTATTGTTTTTATTAAAATTCAAGCAACCCCATAGTGTCTTCTCTGAATCAAGCAGGAACAAGGGGCAGCGAAAGGGAAAAGAACAAATTTTTGAAATTCATCCAAGAATATATTTATTCTTCGTCTTATGAATTGGGAAAGAGATTATTTCAATCAAACAGTGTACGTGTTAAGCGAAGTGATATCTTTTCCCGCCTTGGAAATTATTAAAAAATATTCATGTTTGTTATGTTTGCTTGTTTTAATACACTTGCCAGTCCGCGTACATTCCTTAGATGAAAGATTGACACATGGTGTGTTCATTGGATGTTCGAGTTGAGTAGTATTTGATGGGAAACAATAAGAAAAAATGTCGGATGCTTTTCCTCCGTTTGAGTTGGATCTTGTGAATGCTCACAAGTGGATGGATTTTATTCATGATAGGATTGGTGATGATCAACTCTATCAAGTGCCAGATCATGGTAGGTTTTTAATTATTTAAATATTTGAATGATTAAATTGTGATCAGTACCAAAACCAAGAACAACCAGACAAGAATATAATACCTTTTTGAATAATTTTGTTATGAATGGCAATGGAAAGTTTCCAAAAGTTTCGGAAAAGGTAAATAATATTATATGGTGTACTAGTGATTTTAACAATTCATAGTCCAAAGATTCCTACCGATCAACCTATGATTTCCATGCTGAAGAAGGAGGAAAATTGAGTCCTTTGGGTAGAATTTGGATCAACCAATATCAAAGAAAAGAGCAATCTTCTCAGAACAAGCAAGATGAGGAATCGGTGGAGGAAACAATAGCTGATCCATCCTTGCTTGAATTAATTAGAGGGAAATTATCATTCGATTTAAAGTTTAGAATTATTTCAATGATTCCTTCAACTTCCAGAATTGTGAGACAATATGAAAATCAGCAGTGGAGTGAATTGTTTCCTGATGATTTTTCAATTGATTGTAATGTGAAAGACTCTGCATTTGTTTCATATCACAAGTACAGAATTATCTCCAAAGAGTTTAATAATAGAATGCAAAAAAAGTTGATGGAATTAGATTCACTCAACTTGGCAAAGGTATTTAGTATGGGCCAAACACCAAAACAGCTTGAAAATTTGGTTAAAACAGCTTATTTACTTTCATTTATCAATTCCAAAAGAAAGTATGTTTTGGGTAGGACCAAAGATGTTGAGAATATCAATATTTACCAAGACTTTTCAAAAATTCATTCATGTTTACGTTCCTGTTGTGCAGAGATGAATAATTTGGTCACTCATTACTTTGTAGGAGGGACACTCTATTTTAATTCTAGCATAGCTTTCTTTCATTCTGATAAAACTGATCTCGAACTTGAAGATCAAGACAAGGACAAACAGGAAGAAAAACAAATAGTTCAGAATGAAGATACAGAAGAGTTTGGTGGTATATTCGTTGAGCCAGAGTATATACCAAAAGATACTGAAATAGCACCTCAAACTGAGGAGGATATTGTAAAATATTTTGAACTCCAAGATCTTAACTATGGAAGACATAATTTTGACTATATAATCTCTAGATCAGATAGAGAGAATCAGAAGAAAGAATACAAAAAAATAGCATTACAAAACAAATCGTTAGATTTCAAAGGTAAGTTCCATGCTGTAACATGTACTGACACAGTGAAAGGCATTCCACATGGAGACATGTCCCTTGAGATGATAAATGATTCACTTGAAAAAACAACCTTTAGGCAATTAGAAACTTTGTTTCCAAATGGAAAGCTTCCAGAAATTATCCCCTCCATTAAACCTCTTTCACCGGCTGCTGGAAAGGAGAGATATTACAGTATTTTGATTCGTAGAAAATTGAAAAAAGCACTGCCTGAACTGTTTAGTTCAATTTATGATGATAATATCACACTTTTTAAATCTTTGACAATTTCGTCTGAAGGAAATATATATAACAATCTTATTTTACACTTGCTGCTTGAAAATGGAAAAGAAATTCCCCAAAATTTGGATGAAGATTTATTACTCTCCAAGAATTTCAAAAAGAATGGCTTAGAGGAAATAACATTTGTTAATTTTGGCCTCAGTTCACTTTTTGAATGTATAAAAAACTCTAGACATGTACGAAGAGTAGGCGTAAATGATCATGATAATTTGGCTTTGTTTACAAAGAAACAAGTTGATTTTAGAGAAAGTGTCAAAACAGCAGTTATTTCCTCACTTGAAAATAATGTACAAAAGATTGATGTTCATCTTCATCGTGATGCTTACGGGATAATGGATGAAATTGAATTGATCTGTACACATTTCCCAAATGTAAAAGAAATAAGAGCATCTATCTTGTGCCCAAATATACATTATACTCCAATGAATACATTCCAAAATACTACTTCTTCAATTCAATTCAAAGACATTAGACAATCATTATCATATGACTTGGAGAAGATTATTTTCAAGGCACAAAGTTGCCCTTTGACAACAATGGGGTATAATGAAGAAGTAGTTGATGCAGAAACTGTCGATACTAATCCTTTATTTGAAAATACAACTTTAGGGGAAGGTTGTTTGAGTATTTGCTTTTCCTCAATTAGAGAATTTGAATCTCATAATATTGAGTCTTTAGAGAAAGAGTTGGAAATTGACTTACTTCACTATCCAACCTTTGTCATTGCTATTTTCGAATCTAAATCTCAACTTCAAGAAAAAAAAGAAATCATAGATTATTTTCTTGAAAGGGGATTTAAAGAATCATACTTTATTGACTCTTTTAATTCCTATTCTGAAGATACAAGAGCACTTGAAGAATACTTAATATTTAGAAGGAAACACTCAAAGAATCCAATACTCAAAAACGCAAGAGCTTATAGTACCCCTTTAACTCATGAGAAACTTTTTTGTGATATTTATTTAGGTCTTGATTTAATTTCAAATCCTCAAGAATTTGAAAAAGCATGTTTCGCTGCAATTGCACACAAATGTGTAAGAACTCACATTCCAGTATCTTCTCATAGTTCAGTTTTTACCAAATTGTTCTTGGCAAAATTGTTTTATGAAAATGCAGACATGGACTTATTCATCTATTATCTAGATCACCATTTAAATATTTGCACCGAAAAGGACATTATTGAAGAAGCAGAAAGATGGGCTTGTGATACAGTATCTAATCTCTCACATGAAAGAACAAGAAGAACTCTCCAGCTCTTCTTTACATATATCTCAAAACCAAAACAGCATACATATTACCAACACCAAAAATCTACATTTAATTTGGATAAGATCTCCTCTTATATCGCTTTGTTGGTATGTGCAAAAGAGTTTAGTTTGGTAGAGGCTTGCCTTACCTTAGCCCAACACTGCTTCAGTAACTTCAATGAACTATTTATCAAACCATTCTCTACAAGTAATTTGAAATCTAAAGTCAGTCGGGTTAACAACATGGCAGCAGTGATTGAGGATTCTTATGGTACTATGTTTGAATATGAAACAAAGATCGAAAGAAGAAAAGAACTATTGAAAATCATTTATCACAAAGGGATTACAGACTTAGAAACCAAAATTGATTCATCCATCCTTGATGAAAATTGTATTGAAGACAAATTAAGAGACCAAACTACAAATATTTTGGATCTACTGTGTTCTTGTGTTGGATCTGAGATTTTAGTACTGTATGCTATTGATGTAATGACATCATCACAATTATTGTATCAAGATAGTTGGGGAAATACTTGTTTACATATTATTAGCGAGCAAACAATTACAAATATCGAACTTTACGAAAAAATTATTGAAAAGCAACCAAAGATTGTCAATGTTCTTAATAATGATCTCAATACTGTGCTACATGTGATTGCCTATTTACCATTCCCTTCCTTATTCACCGTGGGAAAGGTGTTAGTCGAAAAATATGGGGCTGACAAGGACCTGATCAATGCTTATGGCCTCACAGCATACGAAATTGCCATGCTAACTATTTTGGAGAGCAAATCCTTGAATGATGAAAAACATTATGATCTCTCTTGGCTCTTACCAACAAGTGGAAAAACAAAGAAAGATATTTTCCACAAAATGATTTTAGATAAACAGGCCAACTAGTCGAATTATTAAAGATACTACCAATTCATTTCAATTCTATTGAACTAGCCTACATTTAACAATCTTACAATTTATTTACAATTAATCAATCTTGATAACAATCTTGCCGAAATGTTTTCCACTTGCCAAATATTCCAAAGCTTCCTTAGCCTTTTCAAACTCAAACACACTATCAATAACAGGTTGAATAGCATGTTGTTCGAAAGCTCTGTTCATTCTTTCGAATGATCCGCGAGAACCAACAAATATTCCTTTCAAATTAATCAAATTAGAAAGTAATACTCCAGCAAGATTATTATGATCTTGAGCCTTTGAAAGAACACCAATCATATGAACATGACCCCCCTTTCTAACTGAATTCAAAGATCTAAACAAGGTTCCATCACCACCAACTTCAACAACATGATCAACACCTCTTCCATTAGTGAGTTCTTTAACTTGAACATGCCAATCTGGATGTTTTCTATAGTTGACCAAATGAGTTGCTCCCAAAGCTTTGGCCTTCTCCAATTTCTCATCACTTGAAGATAAAACAATTGTCTTGGCTCCAGCAGAAATTGCAAATTGTAAACCAAACAATGAAACACCACCTGTTCCAATAATCAAGACTGTACTGTTAGGACCAACCTTATCAAGTCCATTTTCAACTAGAGCAACCCATGCAGTCAATGCAGCACATGGAAGTGTTGAAGCTTGTTCATAAGTTAAATAGTTTGGAATCTTGACTAAACCATCCTCTTCAAATACTCTGTATTGTTGTAAAACTCCTGGAACAGAACCACCACCTAAAGAACGAGAAATTGCATGATCGTTAACTTCACCATCTTGCCAATTTTCAAAGAAGGTTCCAGCAACACGATCACCAACTTTGAATTGAGTAACATCTTGACCAACTTGGACAATTTCACCAGCACCATCTGAGAGTGGAATCAATCCAGCACTACATGGAGCAAGATAAGTACCAGTAGCTACCAAATAATCTCTATAATTCAAACTGGCTGCATGTAAACGAACGAGAACTTGTTTTCTTTGTGGCTTTTCGATTTTTTCATTGGAATGCAAGACAAGATTCTCAATTCCAGTGAATTGCGACCATTTGTAAGCTTTTTGAGTGGAAGGAATTGTTGGAGTAGACATTTTTTTTGCTTGAATTTGTTTTTGTGTCTTGCTTTGGTTAGTCTCTACTATTTATTTGGAAATGATGGTTGCGAAGTGGAGTCGCACTTTTGGATTGTACATTCTTGCGACCGCAAGTATTTATTCTTGTTGAGAATGTTTCAAGAATTTCAATGGGTAAGTTCTTGTTGACCATTCATTGGGTGGTGGAAAGTGCAGTTTCCATGGATGAGGTAAGTTAAAAATTCTTGGAAGTCCTCTCTGCTAAGGATTCAATCTGGCATCAAGTCTTTTCAATCCCTCCCTTCTTAGCATCTAAAATCCATACTTCTATTCGATTCTTCGCCAGTCTGCTTACGTATAAGCGTCATATTTTACAACCAATTTATTGAATATCTGTACAATACTTTGCACCTTACTACACAAACAACACCATTCAGAAAAGATCCTTCTTTTCCAACACATCCAATGCAGGGAACCTCCAAACACAAACATACAACCTTCCTTTTCAATCAGCCACAAATATTCTTCAGATACTTTTTAGAATCTTCTTATGGGCTCGCTTAATCTCAACCAATAACGTAACGGCTCCATTCTTTCACAACGATTTTTTAGAGTCCACACACTAATTGGGAATCTTTCCTGTTTGGCTTTAGTGAAACAAATTACAAAAAATTCACACAAAAACAACCTTAAGAAATCCTTATTTGAACCTTAATGATGGTTTTGAGGTTTTCTTCAACAAGTACTAGACAGGTTGAATACTGTAGCATCAACTGCAGCAGTTACGTTAATAACACGAATATGAGGAGTAATATTCATCAGAATAACAATCATCATGAACAACAACAACTAGGAATCAACCAATCTCAATCTAAGAAATGGCCATTATTTACAATATTACTAATAATTCTCTTAATTCAAACAAGAACAATACTATCCCTAGCGACTCCTTCATCGAATTATGTAACGGTGGTTTCTCATAGTCATTATTGGTCCTCCGAAATATCATCCTCAATAGACAGGGTGGAGAATAGAAATATCTACACTGATGAACAATGCTCATGCCCTAATTGTGTCTGCAATAACCAACTAAGTATGTGTCCAAGACAATTGAAGAGTGATGAAATTGTTATTCTTGCCTCGTTGGAAACGTGTGGAAAATACAGTCAGGTTGCAAGTGTAGGACTCATAAATATTGAAACAATTGATGATGATTTACCTCCATTCAAGTACTATCTGGTGGATGAGGATAATAAGAAGAAGGCAATTAGAGGACAAGGTTTTGATTATAGCACTCTGAAGAGTGGTGGAAGTGAAGCTCATAATTGTGTCTCCGATTCAAAGCCACCAGTGAGATTTCCAAGAGATGGAGGAAGAGTATATCTTATTGCAAAGAGTGTTGTCAATACTACTGATGTGAGGTTTAATATTCAGATGTCGTGTGTCATTCCTCCATTCTCTTCAATTGAGGTTTCTGCTTCAAAGTTTGGTGATTGGAGTAAATTCTATGCTGGAAATCCCATTACATTCACAGTTGCATTCAAGAATAGATTTTCATTGGTTGATACTTGGATTCAGGGATCTCTTTCTGTTACAAATTACAGAAATCAACCTGAAGTACCAGTTGTTGATGGAATTGGTGTTGTCAAATTCACTCCTGTTGGTTCTGGAGTTGTGACACTTGTGTTAAAATTTGTTCCAAGCACAGCCATGCATGGAAATGCTATTGCTGACATTACAGCACCTTCTGCACTCGTTGTTAAAATGGCATCCAGAGGATCTTTTGAAATTGTACCAGCTACAGTAATTGTAAATTCTGAATTCAAGATCAAGTACACCATCTATGATAATGATGGAACTATTACCCCAGTACTCGATTTGAAAAAGTTGTCATTCGTGAGTCCTGACACTGATCTCAACTGCACTTCTCCTAAAGATAGTTATGGATCTGGAACTGTACTCTGTGTTGCTTCTTCACCAAGCTCTGGAGCTCAAATTGTAATCATGATGGACAATTACATTGTGGTGAGTAAGACAGTTTCTATTGTGGAGAATGAGTCACTCTGGGTTAACATCTTGGTCGTTGTCCTGTGCATTGGATTGGCTGGAGTCATTATTATTTTAACCGTTTTTGGTTATTGTGTTTGGAGAAAAACTCATCCACACACTAAATTGGTGGACGAGAGAGATGATCATGTCTTTGAAGAGGAACTTGTGGTCGATATTGATGATACTGAAGATACAAGTGAGCATCAACATAGTCAATGAGTAAATTTAGTGAATCATGACTTGTTTAACCATTTGATCTACAGTAGATTACAGACATTCTGATTTGGTGAGAGTGATACATTCAATTTTGGTTTCTTTTGAATACAATCAACAAATTTTCTCAATAGATCAAATTAGGCCTTGTTTTATGTCTAACATCACAATAAATTGATAACTTCATCAAATTCTCCATTTGTTTCCAAGTTTGAAATTTGGAGAGACAGTTAATAGATGTGATGAGCACCCAAATCTTTTCCAATGCCATTTAAAATTCAAGTTACAACTCCACTCATTTAGACAATCAAAACAAAAAAACAAAATGAACAACAAGTTGACCCTTTCTCTTTTTGTTGTCCTGTTGCTACTTCAGTGCATGGTCTACGTTTTGTCAAGAGAAATTTCACTCAAAGATCTCAAAAAGTTGACCAAGCCAGTAAAACAATCTTGTTATACCTATGATGGAGTTGGAGTGAATAAGAAGCACCCAACTTGGGGTTCAACTGGCGAGCCATTCCCAAGACTTACCAAAGCTGCTTACACTGATGGTATTAAAGTCCCACCAAGACAAAAGTACTCTGCCAGAGAAATCAGTAATGTATTCTGTAAACAAGAAAAGTGTGACGATTCTAACAAGTATGGTTTGAGTTCAATGTTTTATGCCTTTGCCCAATTCATTGATCACGATATTGATTCAATTGGAACTGGTATCAATACTGAATCATTCCCAATTCCAATTCCACCTGGAGATAGATTTACCACTCCAACTATGCCATTCACTAGAGCCAATTTTGCAAGTGAGAAACAAATTTTCATTGGTCAACCATTGAATCAAGTCAATCAAATTACTGGTTACTTGGATTGTTCACAAATTTACGGAAGTGATCCAATTAAGGGAAGAGCATTGAGATTACTCAAAGGAGGTCTTTTAAAATATGATGAAAAGTTTGGTTTAGAGTTCCTTCCTTCTGCATTCCCTCATACTAATGGATTATTCTTCTCTGGTGGCAGAAACCAAAGTATCGTAGCAGGTGATGATAGAGTAACTGAGGCATTGCCTATCACCTCAATTCAAACCTTATTCTTGAGAGAGCACAACAGATTGGCCAGACTTCTTGCAAAGAGATTCAATGTCTGTAAATCTGATGCAAAGAGTCCAAAATATGATGAATGGTTATATCAAACAGCTAGAGCCATCAATTGTGCACAAATTCAATCCATCACTTATAAGGAATATGTTCCAGCATTGATTGGTAAATCTCATTCTTTTAATCCAAAAAAGGTCAAATTCAATCCAGATGTTCAAGTGACACCAAGTACAGAATTCGCTACTGTTGCCTATCGTTTTGGTCACTCTCTTGTTTCATGTTTCTTGAAGAGAATTGACGAAAATGGTATTGAGAAAGAAAGAGTTGAATTTAAGGATGCTTTTAATGGTTTCAATCGTTTCAAGAATAGTAAGGAAGAATTGGATCTTATTTTGAGAGGTTTGTGTAAACATGCTCAACAAAATCTTGATGAAAAGGTTGCTGATGGTTTAAGAGATTTCTTGTTTGGACCTAATGTCAGATTTGATTTGGCTGCCTTCAATTTGCAAAGATCTCGTGATTGTGGTATTGCCTCATTCAATGATTTGAGAAGTCAACTTGGACTCAAGAAATTGACAGCCACTGAAATTTCCAATTCCAATTCTGAACTCAAGCAAAAACTAGTTCAATACTATGGTGAAGAATTGAGCGATTTGGATCCTTGGCTCGGTATTTTGATGGAACCAAAATCCAGAGATTCAATGTTGGGTAAATTAGGAACCAAGATTGTTAAGGATCAATTCTTAAAGTTGATTAAGGGTGATCCATGTTTCTACACTCACAGAAAGGAATCTTGGGTTAAACAACTCAGAAAGTCCATTGAGAGAGTTACTCTTTCTGACATTATTGTTGCCAATACTGGAATTAAGAGAGGAGATAAGGCTCTCGGATCTTCTGCATTCAAATCAAAGAATTAATATTGTATCATAACAAAATAAAATAGCCAAATTAACATAAATCTGTTCCTACCTTCTAGAAGATATTCCATGTATATTCGAAGGTCTCTCTAACTCAATGTCAATAAATGGGATCATCAATTGGTGTACGAGTGATTAAATATATTCTAAACTTTATTTCTGACATCACTTCATTTCAAAATTATTAGTATTTGCGACCATGCTTGTGGCTGCTTTCTTCTTCATTAAAATAACAACTAACACAATAACAGCGATTCCCACGCCTAAAGCACCTAAAGTGACCACTGGTACAACAACAGCAACAACAATTATTCCAGTAGTGTTTTCAGATGTGGAAGAAATTGCTTCGTTATCCTTTTTCGGTTGTGAAATGGATGTCTTTGGTAAAGGAATTGAATTTGATACTGATGCTTTCTCTTTTCGGATTATTAATAGAGGAGATAATGTGACAGTTTCTAATGAAATTAAAGTTGAATTAAAACTCAAAGTAATTGAAGCCAATAGAGAACCATTAGAAAGAGAAGATGGAAGCGAGAAACTTAAAGGTGAACGCAATTCTTCTTGTGTAACTTGATTCCATAAAAATTGGTTATTAAGAAAGAAAGTGACATTGAAATCAATCTTCTTTCTTGAATAATAATCAATAAATTGTAAATCTTGAATGGAGAGAAGTAAAATTGTCGTGATATCTTCCAAATAATCAATTGAACTATTGAATGTAAAATTCATTTGTTGAGAATTGAATCTGAATTGACACTGATTACCAATATAGTGAGGTCTACAGTGACAAATGTCATAATTTAAACAATCTCCATGCGAATTACAAACATTGACATCATCAGATGAGTTACCAAAGCAATAAGTCAAATTACAATTTTTTCCAAACCATCTGCTATTGTCAAAGCAATTGCACATGTCAAATGATGCACAAGTTCCATTTCCATTACAAACATGTGAGCTTACTTTCTCAACACCAAAACATGATGTTAATTCACAATTATTTCCATAATATCCTACTTGACATGAACAATTATTAAAAGAAGTACATATACCATGAGAGGAGCAGACACTCGAATCATTTCTTGCAACACCATAACAATCATACATTTCACAATTATCTCCTCTAAAATTGTCAAAACATGAACAATTATTTGGTGAAAGACAAAGTCCCTTTGAAGAGCAAACACTTGAATTATCATTAAGAATGGAATTACAATAGAATTGTTGACAGTCATTTCCCAAATAACCCAATTCACATAAACATTGATTAAATAAAGTACAATTTCCTTTTCCTGAACAAACTTTTGAATCATTTGAAGGTATTCCATTACATTCAAATAAATCACAATTCAAACCATGATATCCTTCAATACAAGAGCAATTATTATGAGATACACACATTCCATGAGATGAACAAACATTCGAGCTATTGTTTTCAACATTAAAACATTTGAACTTCTCACAACTACTACCATAATAATTCTCCTTACATTCACATACATTAAATGAAATGCATTCACCTTTACCTGAACAAACAATGCTCGAATTAAGATTAGTATATCCAAAACACTGATATTCACACAATCCATTCTCCATTAGAATACTTCCTTCCACACAAATCGGTGTTAGTTTTCTAAGTCCTCCAGATTCTGCAAAATAAATAATTCCATTCAATCCAAAAGCAATAGCAACTGGGTAATTCAATGTTGTTTGGTTTGTTATTAACCCATCACCACTTAACTTCTGTTGTCCTGTACCTAGAAATGTAGAGATTATTCCTTTAGAATTAATTTTACGAATTCTAGCACCCCCATACTCAACAATAAAAATGTCACCACTTGGGCTTATTCTAACACACTGGGGAGACGATAATAAGGCATCCTTTGCCAATCCACCATCGCCACCATAACCAGAAGTGCTAGGTTTACCTGCTATTGTAAAAATATACCCATCTTTTGTAATCTTTCGAATAACATGGTTACTTGTATCTGCAATTAAAATTTCACCTTCTGAGGTGACTGTAACTGTCCTAGGGTGAAAGAGTTTGGCATTTACTGCTAACCCTCCATCACCACTGTGTCCAGATGTTCCCGTTCCTGCAATAGTATGAATGTAGCCAGTACTATTTATCTTTCTAATAACGCTATTGCCAGTATCTGCAATGTAAATTTCACGATTAGGAGAGATGGTAACTCCCATTGAGGTAGCCAACAGTGCATTAATTGCCAATCCTCCATCACCACTATAACCACTTGTCAAACTTCCTGCAATATCTGTGTTAGTACCATTCTTCGTTCTTCGTATTAGGTTGGTATCAGTGAAAAAAACTTCAACATCATCAATACTATTCGAATAAAGAGCGAGGCCATCTGCATGCATGTAATGTATTGCTATAGTTGTGAATTGACCGCTTTTTGATAATCTTTGAACTTTTAAATACGAAGTAAAGTACACTTCATCTGTTGTGGAACTTACGGCTACATCGTGTATTGAAGTATCCACGAGTAGTGTGGAGCGTGTGTACTGTGTTGTTTGGGCTGTTGTGAAGATGGAGATTTGACAAACTGAGTGAAGACATATTGCACCAAGAAATAAAGCAAGTAAGCATGTAAGCTGTAGCAGCTGTTTCGATATTTTCATTTTTTTGATGCAGTTAGTATAAACATGAGGCGTCACTGACACTCCATTGATTGACCTGTTACTAGCTGCCCATTCAAAAAGATTTCGTTAGTGATGCAATTTAAACTCCTAAAATATGCGCTTTTTGGCAACTGTCAATCATTAAAAATATTTCTTATTACGCAAGAAATTGTAATTCCTGAATTTGTGGAGAAATAGCAATTGAACATTAGCTCAAATATATATGAAATCAAGCCAATCAGGCCGAAAGAAAAAAGGTTGAATTTCTATTAAGAACAGACCTCTTGAGAAGAGGCAGAAAAAATTAGCGTTATCTATTTGTCCATTCTCACACGGATGTCTTTAGTAAAAGGCGAAAGACATTGTCTGCTTATAAGAATGGTAAGACAACTGTTTAAAAACAAGAAGCACTTCCTCGCTTATTAATTGCCCCCAGACCGAACATTTTATTCTACTAAATGTTATGGGTAATTTTTTATACAATAATATTTTTTAATATTTTTTTTGAAGGCTTTCAAACCTTTTGGAAGATGAATACAAAATGATGATTCAAATAGATATTGTTGATGTTAAGGTGAATTGTTTAACACCAACTTACAAAATTGTTTTGAAGTAGTTGTACAAATGTAAAATTGAACTTATTCTAATATTAATATACTAATAAAAGAAAGTAAAAAAATGTTTAAAAAGACACTCAAGCAAACTCAATCACACAATTTAAAATCTTCGGATCGTAGAAAATTATTAAAACAATTACAAGAACAATATCGAAATATTCCAGCACCTTCTAATGCTGATGATGAAGAGGGTGGTAGTGCTAGTAGTGATGAAATAAATCCATGGAGATTACTCGTACCAACAAAGAATCAAAATGTGGAATTATCAAAGTTTGTTATTTATCATCAAACTGCTGCTTCGGAGGCAATTTTAGAGGAAATTCAGGTCGGAAAGAATGTTCCTAATAAGAAAAAGAAACAACAACAATTGCAAAAACAACAATTGAGAGCAGCATCAGATGTTCAAACTTTTAATGTAATTACTGTAGATAATGTTCCAATGTTCTTTTCGATTGAAAAAGAGGAAATTTACTATCCAACAATATTTGCTCTTCAAATTGCACCTAATTTAGTGGATACTATTTATATTGCTCAACCAGTTTCTCATTATCTTTTGCAAGGTGCTGATTTAATGAAACCTGGTGTGAGTAAAAATCAAAAGAATCAAAATATGAATTTAATTGGAGGAGAAAGATTGAATAATAAGGGAAGTCATGGAGGAATTGGTCCATTCAAGAAGGGTGACATTAGAAGCATTCAAGTGAGAGGAAATCCCATCCCATTTGCCATCGGTGACATGATTATGGATTTTGATGAATTTTCAAAAGCAGATAAGGGGAAATGTTTTGAAACAGTTCATATTTTCAATGACTTTATGTGGCAATTTGGCGTGAATCATGCCCCTTCGACATACTCTCAACCAGTTGGATTTACATCACAAATTATTGAAATCTTATCTGTGGAAGAAGATGAAGATGGTGAACAGCCAACCACTGAAAAGGTTGAAGTGACGCCATTGGCTACAGAAGGAAAGTCAACTGTAGAAGGTAGTGATGATGAAGCAGAGCCAAGTGGTGAAGGTTCTTCTGATATCAAGCCAGAAGAGATGGACTCTCTCTTGGAATCATACTTCCTCACTGCTTTAAAGAGTAGTGTTGAGGATGATCAATTACCAATGGAAGGAAGTGGATTCTATACTAAAATGTTTGAATTTAGCGAGGACATAGTTTTGGATATTAAGAAATCAACATACAAGAAGTGGAGTAAATTCCTCAAACAAATGCAAAAGGAAAATCTTGTCAAGATGAAGGATGTTAAGGGAACTTTCTTTGTGACAAATATCAATAGAAGCCATCCAAAATATTTGGCAGCTAGAGAACTTTCCCGATCATCCACATAAATACCATGGGAATGGGATGCTAAACACTCTCTCCGAGGATATCTTCATCCAATGATTCTATCTAGTGGATATTATGTGATGGATTTTGTGGAGAAATTATATGGAAATGATGAATCATTGATGGGTTTCTTATCGTATTGGATGCCAATTGCTGTTCAGTCAGTGTGCACAGCATTGTCAGATTATTTTCTCTTTTTAATTGTTGCCAAGTATTTAAAATCGAAAATGACTGCCTATTTGACTGTATGTGTTAATTTAATTGCAATTGTGGAATTTGTAGTTATTGATTTCATTGACTAATTGGTTTAATTTATATTGTGGAGTGAGGACTTTTTCAAATACTATGGAAATGAATATTGTGTTAATTGCTATTTATTTATTCCCTGTTGATCTAATTCAACAAGATGAATGTCACGATGATAAATGTCACTCCCATCATCATAATCATGATCATTCAAAGAAATTTAGGCATTACTGGATGTTTTTTGCAGGATTTGGATGTGTTGTGAGACCAACAAGTACCATTATTTATATTCCATTGTTTTTGTTTCAATTATTTAAGGAGAAGAATATTTTCAAATATTTATTAACATTCATTGGATATGTGTAAGTGAAATTATATAATTAAGAGCTTAAAATAATTATTGGAAACGGAATATTTAATTGAATAGTATAATTTGGCTTGCAATTTCAATCCAGATTGACTCAAATATGTATGGACAATTCACCATTGTAATTTTGAACTTTTTGAAATTTAACATTGTTGAAAATCTTGCCCATTGTATGTTTTCTCATCATTTCTTTTAAATAATTACTGTTCTTGATTTTATTAGTATATGGAACTCAACCATGGCATTGGTATTTTACTCAGGGATTTCCTGTCATGTTATTAACACATTTCCCTCTCTATGTGTGGATTAATTTTGTGAATAGGGAATATAGTAGAAAATATTGGAAACTTAATTGTGTCATTCTCTTACCAGTATTGGTCTATTCATTACAAGCTCATAAGGAGTTTAGATTTATCTATCCAATTTTACCACTCTGTTTTATTTCAATTGGAGATTTTATTCACAATAAGGTTCATATCACTGATAGAGGATACAGACTCTTACTTGTAATTATGACCATTGTTCAACTGGGTGCTGTATTTTATCTTGGAAGAATTCATCAAAGTGCTCCAATTAAGGTGGTCAATCATTTGAGAAGTGAGAGTCAACAATTCTTCAAACAACAATTGCCTGTTACTGGGCAAGAAAAGGATATGGTAGTTCATTTATTAATGCCTTGTCACCATTTGCCTGGTCATGCATTCTTATTTGAAGGAAGACAATCCACGAGACATATTAAGCTATTCCACTTGGACTGCTCTCCTTTTGATGGAGATGATTCACAAGCTGATAGATTCTACAATAATCCTCTAGAGTTTGTACAGAAAGTATCCAAGACACACAAAGAAGCACATTATGTAGTAATGTATGATCATCACAGTGTTCAATCTGTTGCCGAATTTCTCATCCAACAACACAACTTTACTCTACATCAACGATTCTTCCATATGCACTTAACTCATGATTCTAGAATAGGAAGACAAATAATAATTTTAAAAAAGAATTAAAGGTAATTTTAAATAGTTTTATATTGGATTTATTTAATAAGACTTGTTACCTCTTCTCTTATTGTGGTGTTGGTGGTGGCCTGTTGAGTGAGAGACCTTAGTGACGCTCTTCAAATCACCGAAACCAATAGTCTTCAACATGTCAGAGACTTCATCAGAAACTTCAATACCTCTGTTGATAATTTCATCGACATAAGAAACTTCTGGAACGTAGTCCATTCTTCTTTCTCTTTCTTCTTCTTGCAACTTCAAGGAGATACCTCTGACGGTACCCTTCTTGATTCTGGCCATCAAGTGAGTAGTGAAACCGGCAATCTTGTTTCTCATTCTCTTAGTTGGAATGGTGGCGATTTCTTGACAGACCTTCTTGTTGGTATCGAAGTCGGTAGTAAGAGAATTGTAATACTTTTCGACGATGATCTTTGATGCCTTCTTGACAGTCTTGGTTCTGACTTTACCCATTTTCTAGTAAGATGAGGTGGTTTAGCAATCTCCATTAACGTGAGTGATACTTACGAATTAATGATTTTTTTTTCAACAAATTTTATGCAAATTTCTGGTTGGCAACCACATTAGTGAATTTTACAATGAATATTTTTTGACCTTCTTGCCTGCTTTCAAAATTGCATTCAACACACAACACAACAAAAGAATAATAACATTCTACTCGCCGATCTCATACCGATTTGTATATGATGTCATTCCTTGAAGCTGAGTTAGCAACAACAAAAACTTCATCATTTGCTTTAGAAACAATAACAAGAAATTTCATCATCACCATTTAACAATAATTAAAAAAATTATTAGACAAAGAAGACTTTGCAATAATGGATGATATAATAATTGCTCAATGGTATTGCTACCAATAATCTTCTACACAAGAAAGTGTTAAACCACATAATTCCACTCTTTATAAATCATAATACCGTTCATCATTGATTGGTACCAAAAGCAAGAGGGTAAAGATATTACACCAGTAACAAAACACAACCAATAATGATTCTAAACAATTGGCATGATCATAACCAAGAATACTAAGTCAGCAAAACAGATGACAATAACACATTCATATTAATCCAAAAGTCATCAAACTTCTCTTTCCGATAAAAAAAATGTTTCTCAAAGCTATGGTTGTTTGTTCTTCTAACCGAAAGGAAGATCAAGAGGAGGAGGATGAATTAGATCAAGGTGAGGAACAACAACAACAATCACACGTTGATAAATCTTCATCATCATCAACAGGAACTCACTCTCATTCTAATTCTAACGATTCATCAATTATTACAATTGATTTAAAACAAAGTCTTGTAGTGGTGGATGATGTCTCTGATTCGAATGCCAAAATGATTGCTAATCAATCGGAAACTATACGAAAATCAGTTAGAACACTATCAAATTCACTTCAATATCAGAAAGTAGAGGATCAACCAGAGGATAATGTTACCATTTCGAAAAATAGCAAAATTGAGAATGCAATAATATCATCAAGATTTGATCTGATTGATAATGCGAGTGATGTATCCATGACTGGTGATACTTTTAAATTAATAGCATCAGATATTGTGAGATTAATTCCAAAAATGAAAGTTGATGGAATTGAACTTGTTGAATCATCTTCTCCATCAAATTATGAAATTGAAGAGGCAATTCTGAGACTTTTTGGTCAATTATTTCAAAATCTAGGTTTAGTAGAGTGTTGCCGAGCAGATTTATTCAATACTAATAGTCAGGATGAGGGTGAGGAACTATCTGTTGAAACTATTAAGAATGATATGATTTCAACAATGGAGAATGTTTGGAAGGAATTGGAATTAAAACCCCACAGATTGAATACTTTTAAAAACATTTTAAAGATATTGAGTTGCATGCAACAAGAATCAATCTCACAATCAGTGATGGATGTCAAATCTAAATTCAAATCAGAGTTTGGAGGAAAGGTTCGATTATTTGATGGAAGAATGTGGGTTGTAGAATTGTACTTTAATAATTCCTCAATAGAGGTAGTTCACTACAGAACAGAAAAGTTATGCAGTAGTGGCAGTAAAATTGGTCAAGAAATCAGCAGTACCAGCACACCTAGAGTATCATCTGGTATTGAGGAGGTGTGCAAATTTGTGTGGTCTACAACATTTACCTTCCAATTAATTGATGACGAATTGGAATTGGATGCAAGACCAATTGTTGATTTCCAATCAATAGAGAGCATGAATGACAATTTATTGATTGTAAAATCATTTCTATCCGAAATAGGTGCGACCATAGAGGAGGAATTAAGCAGAGAAAAGTGTGAAGAGTTACTTAAGGATCACTTTCAACAATTTTTCAAATTCAACTAGGATTACAACAGATTAAATCATCTAACTAGATTAATATTTTTATGTTTATAATAAATTATAACTAAATTAGTGCTTCTTTTCAACAAAGTTTTTAGATTCCTCATCAACAGTAAAGTACTTTTCAACATTAGTACAGACGTCCACAAATTTCTTAACTAATTTTCCAACTTCCTTACCATCTACGAAACGATGGTCAGTGGTGGCAGTAACTTTAACTTGTCTTCTAGCTTCAATTTGTCCAGTTTGTTCATTGACAGCTGGTTGACTCTTGGCCAAACTATCCGAAATGAAATTAAAATTCATTTGAGGTGGAGAAAAAACTTACCCAATACAAATGAAGAATGGACATCTTGTGAATGGAGCTAATGGAACAAATCCTTCCTCAATTCCAAAACCAGCAACTCTATGAAATATTAGTTCATCCAAACCATGTCAACACAATCAATACTTACGATGTAATGATACAAGTACCAAATGGATGGGCTTGAAGTCCCAATGCAGGAATATTCATTTGCAAAGCACAAGCCAACCAAGCCATAAAGCTAATAATTGGACCAGCAATAAGGGTTGGCAAGAAAGACATTGGTTGATTTGTCTTTTTGTGATTTTCGTTTTTTCCACTTCTCAATTTTTCAGCTCCTTTAACAACTTCATCGGAAATGTCTTTCAAAGTCTTTTTGTTAATTGATCTAATTGTGACATTGGATAAATCATTCTTCTTAGTTTTTGGATCTTCACAAGCAACAAGCAAACTGACATCAATAGTCTTGTTTGGAAGCAATTTACCCAAAACCATTCTACAGTTAATTTCAGGACATGCCTCAATTGCCAAACCAGCAGCTCTACTCATGAAATGAGTAATTGTAATCTTTTGACCAATTTTTTCGGAAACCTTGGTCAATAAATCTTCAATTTTCTCTAGATCAATAGTGACACATCCATAAGTGGCTGGCTCTGAAGGGGCTCCCCATCCACTCATTGAAATCTTTCTTCTAGCACTCATTCTAGGACTATGTAATAGTTAATATAATAGTAGAATCATCATTATCAAATCATAGTCATCATCATTGTGATCGGTAACAAATTTCATATCAAAGGAATGTTCATTAAACAGTTCATCATCAACAAATTAGCAACAATCACACAAAAATCAACAGTCAACAATTAGAAATTTGAAGAAACATACGGAATTTGATCCCAAATGAAACAGACACCCACATAGGCCAACACCAGTGAAGCAGCAATGGTGAACATTTTTTCTTTTGAGAGATTTGGCTGACGGAGAAGTTTTGAGTTCTTAGGTGTTTCTGGAGCATCATCATGCTATTTCGGAAGAATTATAGCATTTTGATAGTTCATCATGTTAATACTCCTAGATTAATATTGATTTAGAGACACTGATTACTGATTGTTTGGATCCTTATTATAATATCCTATTATGTATTTCATAGGTTGAGAGGCAAATCATCATATGGTTTATAAAATAATATTGATTCCGAAATGTTGAATTTTAATTAGCTTCAAGTATTAATATTTGTACAATAAATTAAAGAATTAATCATCATGATAGTAAATAATATTAAAGTGCAATTTCGGAATTTTCCTTGAGCATTCCTTCAGCATAATTTATCTTAATCTTCAAGCATAAAAATCATCAATTCAAAAATTGTTTGAAAAAAAATGATTACCCTCAACGACGTTGATAACCACGAAAATACTAGTACTGAAGAAACTAATAGTACAACCGCCACCACTGAAGAACCAAAGCAACAACAATTTTCTACTTCATCGGAACCTATTTTCCATACTATTGGCTTGAATGATTCTGCTCCTTTGGAATTGGAAAGCTTTTGTGTAAATTGTGAGAAGAATGGTGTTACTAGAATGTTGTTCACTAAAATTCCTCACTTTAGAGAAGTTATTATTACTAGTTTCAGCTGCCCACATTGTGGAATGAGAAATCAAGAAATTCAATTTGGTGGTTCTTATGGTGATTTTGGTGTTTGTTACACTTTAAAGGTTGAAAAGAAGGAAGATTTGGATAGACAAATTGTCAAGTCTGACTTTGCTACTTTGAGTATTCCAGAAATTGATTTTGAAATTCCAGAAAATACTCAAAAGGGTACACTTACAACTGTTGAGGGTGTTATTAATAGAGCAATTGATAATTTATTGGATGGACAAGCAGCTAGAAGAGTTTTGGACCCTTCTCTTGCTTCTGCTATTGATAACTTTATTGAAAAGGCACAAAAATTAATTAGTGGAGAAGGATTCCCATTCACTATTGTTATTGATGATTATTCTGGAAATTCAAATGTTGAAAAATTAACAGTACCAAATGATCCTCAAGTTTTCACTAGATATTATCAAAGATCTGATGAACAAACTGAAAGACTTGGTCTCTCACTAGGTGCTCAAAATTACACTGAAGGAGGTCAAGAAAAACCAAAGAGTAGACTTGCTGCTAATATTCCAACATCAATTATTTCTAACGAGAGAGAAATTGAATTATTGCAAGAAAAGATGTCTGCACCAGAGGAAGTTTTCACATTTAATGAACCATGTTACGGTTGTGGTGTTTCAGGTAACTTGAAGATGATGCCGTTGGTTGTTCCATTCTTTAAAGATATTATTTTAATGTCATTCACTTGTGACAAGTGTGGTTACAAGACTACTGAAGTTAGAGCTGGTGGTCAAATATCTCCATACGCCACTAAATTAACTCTTCGTGTCACTAACCCAGAAGATTTGAGTAGAGATGTTTTGAAGAGTGAAACTGCTTCATTGGAAATTCCAGAACTCGACCTCCAGGTTGCTACTGGTTCTCTTGGTGGTAAATTTACAACTGTTGAAGGTTTATTAATGAATATTAAGGACAAGCTGACCGAAGTCAACCAATTTAGAGTTGGTGACTCAGCTGAGGAAAAGGAATCATTCCAAAAATTCTTGACTGGTATTGATGAAATGCAAACTGGTGGTCGTATGCCTTGGACTTTGATTATTGATGATCCAGTGTCAAACAGTTATATTCAAAACTTGTTTGCTCCAGATGTTGATCCATTCCTTACTGTTGAACAATATGAGAGAACTTTCGAACAAAATGAAGATCTTGGTTTGAATGATATTAAGACTGAAGAATATTAAATAAATAATTTATTAGTCAATTGAACTGTTCAAAATGGCATTTTATTTCTTCATTATTGTTAATCTCAATATTACTACCTAATTGATCGAAGTCAGGATTCCAGTTGCTATTTTGAAATGGTTGTTTAAAAAATTGCAAAGTTGGAACTACTTACTAGGTCTTCCATGAGCACACTGGAAAGGCAGTTGACAATTTGATAATTGTTGTAACAGTTGATTACATTTCTCAGTGGATAGCACATCTCCAAACATAATGGCTCCACGGCATGCTTTGGATTGAATGAGTTCTAAAACTCGTTTTGGATACCAACAGGTTGAATCAAATTCCAGTTCAGATAAAAATGACATCATAGATTCAAAACCAAGCTCAATAGAGTCTTTCTCGACGAATAAACAAGGTATAGTATTGAGTTTTAAAAATGCGTTTGTTGACTCTTCATGAATGATAATAAAATTCCAATACCATTTGGATAATTTGTCTTTGTTCTGTTTCAATAAGGATATGGTTTTCGATCCCTCAACCTTGGTGGAGTTTAGTGTTTGCTTCGAGAGTGGTTGTACCCATGGGCCAGGAGACTGCTGCGCATAATCTAATATATTTTGTTGAATCATCTCCATGCGAACTCTCTCATCTGCTGCATGTTGATCAATAGCAATAAGTAGGAGACTGTTCTCTGTCTTTAAGGATGTGAGAATAAACTTCTTCTCCCATTGATTGATAAATTTCAATTGTTTCATTTGGTTCTTGTCAAGAGAAATATTCAACAGCTTCTTCTTTTTTGGAGAGCTCATAAACTTGGGTTGAGGTTTTGGAATGGTTTTGATGCCATTAATCTCTTTCGATTTGTTAATTAGTTGGTTAATATTTAAACGGTCACCCTTAATTTTGTTTTCACTTGGTTTTCTATTGTACATCTTATCATAAAGGGAAGAAGATAGTGGTGCAAACTCTTTTCTCTGTTCTGATTCTTCATTGTATATTTGAATAGTGCTTGATTCATTATGTAGCTTACTATAGAACAGAGCATTGCGAAGCTCAGAGTTAATCATTTCAGAGTTATGTGGTGGAGCTTTCAATATAGAAGCACAGAGTACAAAACTTCCAAACTCTTCTCCTTTCTTAATTAATGTTTCTATTGGATAAACCCTATTGTTTACAATTACAATCTTGATCTTTGAAGTTATGTCATTCTTATCAACAATGCCACTGACTTGCAATTCTCCAAACTTGATGTCTTCTATTGGAAATAAGTTTCTCCTTCTCGTCAACTCTTCATATCGTTTCCTTATTCTTTGATGTAAGGCTTGTTCCTTTTCCGAGTTGGACAAATCAAAGATTGACATTCCATCACAAACCAATGCAATTTGAATATCAACCAATTTGAAGCTTTCTACCTCTATAAAGTCTACAATTGATCTCAAGTATTGATCAGGATGCTCTTCTAATTGTTTCTTCCTCACTGGATAATTACTGAAAATTCCTTCAACCATTACAGAGGTTCCTCCTCTTTGGAAAGTTGTGATGGGAGCTTGTTCAAGGCTTTTCCTTTGACCATTTACAAATATTGAAGAGAAACAGAGAGGATAATTATTCCCTTTGGAGGTAATCTTGACAGTAGAGCAGGCTGTAATTATTGAATGAAGAGACTCTCCTTTCAAATCAGTTTTAGAAGAAACTATATTTCATTGGTTTTATATATTGTAATACTCTTAATTACTTACCATTTCTACACTCTCCGATTGTTTTCAATCCAGAGAAATCAATTCCTACTCCATCATCTTTAACCTCAATGGAAAAAGAAGGCTTCGATTTGATATTAATACGAATAAAAGTACTTTTAGCCTCAATTGCTTTACAAACATAATTCAGAAGGAATATATTAAATAACCAAACTCACCATTATCGATCAATTTCCCTAAAATTGTCTGAATATCCGGCAACTGAACACCACTTCTCAAATGAAACTCTGTTGCTTGGTCGAGCTTTTTAATCATTTTTTTAAGGTTCTAATATTTGCTTGCTTTATAAAATTACAACATGTCGACGAGGCATAGATTTTGATTATCAATCTGAGTGACCATTGTGTTATAATCAATGAATGGTTCATTTCCTAGGGCAACACAATAGGTAGCTTGTCTATTTTCCAACTCGGTGATGGTTTCTTCTTGCATTGTATTTAAATCGAGAACTTTACAAGTGAATCCTTCAAAAAGTACTGCCTTAAACTCATCCGAATAAATTCTGTCAATGGAAGATGTGAAATTCTTCTTTAAGAGTGGCTTTTCGAGATTTCTCAAATCATACATGGTAAATAAGCCATCCTTTCCTCCGCAACACAGAGTGTGTGAATTCATAGCAATTGAATAGACTGACAATTTTTCAGTGTCTCCATCCTTGATATGATCCAAGGTTTTGAAAGGTTTAGAAGCATTACTAATAGTTCTCATGTCAAATAGATTAGTGGTACCATCCTTTCCACATGATGCAAGGAAATTATTCCATGAATTATATTGAATTTTGTAAATCAACTTTTCATGTACATTGTCCAATGTTGAAAGAGATGCTCCATGATTCAAGTCCCACAGCTTAATGGATAAATCATGAGAGGCGCTACAGAGAACATTCTCATTGATCATTTCAATGGAGACAACACTTCCTTTGTGTTCTGTCAAGCTTTCAATGCAACTTCCAGTTGTAAAGTTCCAAATTTTGATAGTTTTATCACTTGAAGCACTAACAACTCTATTATTGAAGGATGTACTTGTAGTATTGAGGTAGAAAGTGCCTGCTCCTACATTGGTCGACTTTAAATTGAATGGGTCAGTAAAGAGACATTTAATGTCCAGAACAGTTCCTTTGTGACCTACGAATTTCTTAGCAATTCTATTATTTTTAACATCCACTAGAGAAAATACTGGATCATTAAATCTCGAAAAGAATAAATACCTATTCTTATCGGTCATGATATTCAATACACCTCTTTCTTCGTTGGTAAGTCTTGAAAGCACATTTTCATTTGGTAGATATCCTTCTAAATTTCTATACTTTTTCATGAAACAACAGAATGAAACAGGGAGAGTCTGTGTCAATATGTCATTCGGATTACTCTCTTGTTTATCTTCCAATTTGTCTGACTTGAGAATATTCAATTTATATTGTCCCTTTCTCTCATGATGTAATTTGGCATTAAAAAAAAGATCAAAGTAATCCGACCAATTAGCAACTTTCTTCTCTATTATATTTGTAAATTCACCGTCTCCTCTATTTTCAATAAAATAATTAATCTTTTCGGAAAGTGATGGAAATTCCCTTCTCCACAACTCTTTCCATATTCTTTCTCTATGATTCATATAGCATTCGTTAAATATTTTACAACTTGAGCGAGTGAGAATGATAGATCTTCCATCCAAAAAGCTCAAAATCCCATGAATTACATCCGAGTGAAGATGATGAATTGTGTGGTGTGAAGACATTTTTTTCAAGATTGGAATTTTCTTTGTCAAGGAGAAGAACATTCATTGTAAATTCCAATAATTCATACGTAAGAGATGATTCATCAATCTATTATTAAATATATTAAAAAATAGAAAGACAACAAGAAGGTACTACTACCTCAGTGTGATGGCCAGTACAAACGAATCATTTGATAATAGTAGTAATAATTTAATCGAACAAATCATGCAGGATAGTAGTTGTGATGGATCAAAACGAGTGGATGCTGAATTTTACAATAGAGGATGTGAGGAATTGGCAAAACAACTCATCGGAAAGTTGTTGGTTAGAATTGATGGAGATAAACGATTGTCTGGCATGATTGTAGAGGTTGGTGAGTTTATATTGGAATGAAAACAAATTATAATTATTTGTTTTGAATTATTGTTCATGAACCAAAGAGGCCTATCTAGGAGTATTGGACAAGGCTTCTCATACCTATGAAGGTAAACAAACAGAAAAGAATAGGAACATGTACTTGCCATATGGTCATTCCTATATCTATAAATCATTTAAGGGACACAATGATTGTTTCAATATAACTAGTAATGAGAGTGGAGCTGCAGTATTGATTAGGGCAATTGAACCAATTGAAGGATTTGAGGAAATGAAACAAAATAGAATTACAATGAATCAATTGTTATCGCCCAAATCTCAAATCAATCCAAATAATATCATCATTCATAATGTTTGTTCTGGACCAGCTAGAATTTCTCATGCTTTGAATTTAACTAGGGAGGAATTTGATGGAGTTGATCTAAAGAGTTCGGAAACAGTATTTTTAGAAGATTTTGAGCCTGAACTAATTCCCTACACTAGGACTGATGTAAAATCGTTCAAATTTGGAAACTTTACATTAGCGGCCTGTCCCAGAATTAATATTGATTATGCTGATGATTGGAGTGAGAAGCCATTGAGGTTTTGTCTTTTGGAAAGAAGAGGTTTCCTTAGTTATCAAGTTAAATGATAGCCACATCATACACGTGGATGATTTTTATATTTACAAATATAATGTACATTATGCTTAGTTTCCAGAGCTTCCGTGCAAAATAAATTCTGCTGCACATTTCTTTACCTCTGTCATGCAATCTTTGAGATCCTTTTTGAATTGTACTTCTTTATCTTGAGGAACGTTTGCTTTCCAATCAGCATTCATTTGAATCAGCTTTGATACACAATCCTTGTTACTCTTATTTTGTTCACTGAATGTCTTTGGACATAAACTTTCAGCAATACATCCTGTAACTGATTTCATATATTCACTTTCGGAAATGTGTGTTCTTTCTGGATCATTCTTTGTCTTTTCATCATCAACTTTAAGATCAAAATATTTAGCACAATTAAGTTGGGTAGCCATCAACGATGGGAGATAATCTTCATAGAGCTGATTGCCAACTTGCTCTCCAAAATGAGCATTTCCTTCCGAGAGTTTGGTCAGGTTGAATCCTTTCATTGATTGAGACATTTTTTTTGAATTTTCAAAAATAAAGATTGAAGGTTTTCAAGTTAAAATGGTCATCACAAAGTGTTACGGGTGAGTTATCTTCCCTTCCAATTAGCACACGTGTTTATCATCATTGTAGTCGGTTTAAAATAGCTCTACAATCAAAATGATTCATCAACATTTTGATTGAAAAATAAGTGTGTGAATCTGGATTGACATTAATGCAACATTCCGTGTTGCACTTGCCACTTAAGAAGCACTCTATGCTATTGCTCCCTTCTTTTGAATCGAACTCTAATAGGACAGGCTTGTCGTTAGAGTCTGACCTTCGAGAATGGCGTCCTATCTTAGTCTTCAGAGTTTTGGTTTTTCTCTTCTCCAAAAATTTGTAGGTGTGATTTGCTGATTGTTGTGGGATTTTTGTTTTTTTAAAAATATTTGAAATTTTTATTCTTCATCAATGAACAAATACATTAAATTGAGAAGTTTGAGAGTTGAATGATCAATTGTTGGCGCTACAAATCCATAGCTAGGGAAAGAGCTTGGGATAAATTTTTGGCATTTGCAATTTCTTTTGTTTTTTTCAATTTTTCAATTAGTAAATAGGAAACTCCATCTCTCAATACTCGAATTGCCTCCTCATCAAATTCCACTGTGGTTGGAGGGTTGAACTTCTTCCTGGCCTTCTTTTTAAGCTTCTTCTCACTATTATTAAATGATGATTCGAGACTTTCCAACTGTTCACCAAGTACTTGGTGAAGTAAATCATCCTTGGAAGAATTAACAAATTGTCTGAATACATCCAGAGGAATTATATCTTCTGGATGCTTCATATTTTCAGCATTTTGAATTTTAGATGACTTTCTAGTCTCCCTCTTGTTCTTTTTTATACCTTTGGGAGTTGACTTTTTCTTAGAAGATCGAGTCTGCACATGATAATCGGTTGGAAAACGATCCACTTCTTGTAAATCTTCATCGTCACTGATGACTATAATTTCGGATGATGAAAAGCTATTAGAAGAAGATGAATTAGCAACTGTTGATGTCGTTGCTGCTTGTGTACAAATTGATGATGAAGAAGAAGTGTTCAACAGATCATCAACAAACCGTTCTTCATCACTCCAAGAGGTAGGCACCAAATTGTCTCCTCTAATCATGGCGATGATATTTTTTTAAAGTTATTTTTGGACAGCTTTTTTAGGTAGACAAGGGCGCCATAATTGTTAGCCAATCCTCAACGAAAAAATTTGTTCTTAACTATTGCTGCTAAAAATAAATTAAAAGCCTGCCGTATTTATTCTATTACTATTGAATACTCTTATTGCCTCCATGCTTCGATTCGATTAAATAAGAGGAGAACATTGGCAAGAATGAATCAACAAATCAGAAATTCAGGTGAATGAAGGTAAAACAAGACTTCTAAAACCAAAGACAAGATTTCGAACACATTTCAATAATACCGCAAGTGTTCGAAACAAGAACACAGATCCAGCTTTCTTAAATGTTTTTCTTAAATGTTTGCATGAACAGAATTCCAAATATCAAACATTGTTGGACTCAGTCAGTGTTTGATGGAGCATTATTTGGCAGGAAGATAATCCAAAAATTAGTTCTGTTATCTGACTTTAAAAGAAACACTTCATGTTTAGAAAAGAGATTTCACTTCAATCATTCAATTACTAAGTGTACTGATGTGAATCTCTTGTCTCTCTAAACATGCGACCCACTAACGCACTTGAGAATGTTTAAACAACACCTCCGCCATATGGCGGCTATTTTGTTAAGCGACGTGAACTTTCGTTTGCCAGTACCTTTAAAAGATTTGATTGTATTTGAGAGTTTGAAACTTTAAGCAAAAAAATTAAATTGAGACAATATGACAACTCTGAAAGAAATTCAAATTTTCGAACCTGCTTACAACTACATTGATGACGGAAAAGAACATGGGCTATTGAGTAAATTTGAACCAGGCACACGGGTATTGCCAAAAGGCTATCAGCTTGCCCCAATGTTTCGTACTCTACCAGTAGATATAGTTTTAGAAAAGGATGTTGCAGTAACTTTGCGTGACGGGAAAACAATTTATGTCGATGTTTTTCGACCAGTTGTCACAGAAAAAGTCCCAGTTATCATTGCATGGAGTCCCTATGGCAAAAGTGGAGGATCGGCCCCAAGAACTACAAACCTTTTCAATATGTTGGGTCTTAATAACGGTATGCTCTCTGGATTAGCCAAGTTCGAGGGACCAGATCCTGCCCATTGGTGTGCTCAGGGCTATGCCGTCTGCAATCCTGATGCACGAGGAATTGCACATTCAGAAGGCGACATTAATATGATTGGAACTCAGGAAGGAAGAGACTGTGCCGATTTAATCGAATGGCTAGCCATTCAGGAATGGTGCAACAGCAAAGTAGCGATGAGTGGAACATCTTATCTAGCCATCTCACAGTGGTTTACTGCTGCCGAGCAACCACCTCATCTGGCTGCAATCAACCCATGGGAAGGTTTAAGCGATGCTTATCGTGATCTATCTATGCGTGGTGGGATGCCAGATCTTAACTTTACAAAACGTCTACAAGTCAATCACGTCAGTGCTAAAAACACGATGCGTGAAGATGTTTATGAAGAGGCAATTAGTTATCCTTTGGCTAATAATGCTATTTGGGAAGATAAGACTGCACGCTTAGACAAAATTACTGTACCCGCCTACGTTGTTGCAAGTTATTCCAACACTCTACATACAGCTGGTACATTCAGAGCTTGGCGAGGAATGGCATCTACAGAAAAATGGCTTCGTATCCATAATACCCAGGAGTGGCCCGATTATTACACAGATGAGAATATGGAAGACTTACGCCGTTTTTTCAATCACTATCTCAAAGGAGAGAACAATGGTTGGGAACAAACACCTCGTGTTCGTTATGCAATACACGACTTTGAAGGTGGCGACCTTATTAATCAACCAGCAAGCGAATTTCCACCGAATGATGTTACAAATCAAAAGTATTACCTTGATGGCAGATTCCGTAAGCTTACCACTGAGATTCCTCCACAAGAAGCAAAGGTTATCTATGACACTGAATCTGATCCGGGACTTGCTTCTTTCATTGTACGTTTCGACACAGAAACTGTTATGGTCGGCTATCCTAAAGTGCATCTTTGGGTTGAAGCTGAGGGAGCAGACGATATGGATTTGTTTATTCTCGTTCAAAAACTGGACGTTCATGGCAATCATCTGCAACAATTTATCGTGCCTAATCAAGGTGCTATGATGCAAGATCTCACTGAGCACGGTGGGTCTGTATTAAGATACAAGGGATCAAATGGACGTCTGCGTGTTTCGGCACGTCATTTGGACGAAAAACTATCAACCAATATTGTTCCAGCCCACAGCTTTGATCGTGTAGAGAAACTTCAAGCGGGAGAGATTGCAGAAATCGAAATTGATCTTTTCCCAATTGGTATGGTCTTCTATCCTGGCGAACAGTTGCGATTGGTGGTTAGCTCTAAAAACGATTTGGGAGCAATTATGCCAGGAACACCTGCTTATATTCCAGAAAACAAAGGAAAGCACATTATTCACACAGGCAAATCACACGCCTCATATCTGCAACTACCTATCAAAAAATCAGACTAGATGCCTGTCACATGATACTGGACCAAATTGTTGTTACCAAGAGATTGAGGTTTAAATTGTAATATAATAAATATTTATTTCTATCAGCATCTGTTTACCCTTCCATATGTGAATGTTTTGAGATGGTGCTCTAAAAAATAAGGAAACATTGGATTGTTAGGGAATGGAAATAAAAGCAAAGTACCTTAAATAGGTAAGGTACTTTGCTTCTCCTTAAAAGATGTTGGTTCCCAACTGAGAAAGTCACAACTTCCATATCACCACTAGCAACCAAATAAACATTATTAAATGGAACCTCTCACATTTTGCAAAGAGCAAATAGGTGGAAATTGTCATCAAGGACCTTGCTATTAGAAAGGTAGCATTCTACATTTGAAAGGCATGAGCAATGAATGTCTATTATTGTTGAATTTATTGATTTTGCAATTGGTTTTTAACATCTTTGATTCTTTCAAGTTTCTTCTCTTCCCTTTCCATAACTCTTTTTTCCAACCCATTTTCCATCTTGAGAATTTCCTTTTCTGATTTACTTTTCAAGTAAGTATAAGGTAATTGATCACTATTCTGTTTTCTATTTTCTTCCACAAGACCAGAAATTCACTTATTTAACCTTACCCAAATCAAAGTGTCTTCAACAAAGTGGACAAGTTGTTCAAAGGATAAAGGAAGCTAAGATTTTAATCACTTCTTTGGTTTTGTTAATTCTGCAATAATTGGATAAACCAATTTATAAGAGAAGAATCCAACACTTCCCCACATTGTCAAAAACCAGAGAGGAATTCTTCCAATTGGGTTCGATGGATAATGCCACTCTCCACTCAATACACCAGTGATTTCGATGAGGTAACCTAATAATTGCATGTAAACAACATGTGCCACATCATGTACAGAGTGGAACTTGATCAAGATAAGTGAGAGCAACAACGATGAGGTAATGAAAAGAGTAGATGAATCTCTGATTACACCAAACAGACAAGACATGAGCAAAGCAGCAACAAGGTTGAAAAGCAAGTCTGAACGATTGGTTTCTGAAAATATGGAAGGCTTATCAGCTTCTTCATCCTTTGATGGGAGAATGGCTTTTATCACTCGAAGAGTGTGTAAAGTGTAGAATGGCCACATGATAAATTCCCAATAGGGTTGCAGTAAAATATCTTCTTTGGCAAACTTGAATATGCCAATACTTAAAGAGTTGTAATTTAACACAGTGAAGCAAGCACATACAAGCACACAGAAGACCCACTCAGTGTTTGAGAACTTGAGCATATTGAGACCAGTCACATTCCAACAGATCAAGAAGGAAACAAGCTTGAGAATACTAATTCCCTTCACAAAAGCCAATGTCATCAATGTAACAGCAAGTTGCAGCAACAGAATTGTCATTTTGTTTTCTTCTTTTGAGAAAAGAGATGTGTGGGTTGTGATTTGGCCTGTTGTCTATTAAGTTAGAGGTGTTCCATATTCGAAGATCATAGGTAACCCGATTTAGCAACATCACAAAGTAGAAAGTTCCAGTTCATCAGATCTGTCTTTTATTTTGATTAACCCCAGCTAGAAGGGAAAGCTTTTGGATGAAAGTTTATTTTTGATATCCAAATGAAAGAGCTTCTCGTTGGAAGATTGAGGGATCCATCTTTGCAAAATCTGAAACTGAATCAGCAGGTTTTGATGGTGTTGTTTTGTTGAAGGTATTTCTTGAAGATGGTGTTCCAAACATGCTTGAGCTGGTTGTATTAGCAAATGGATTAAAGACATTCTTTTTCTGTTCTGTTGGAGTTGCAACTTTGAGATTTGCAAATGGATTGGTTGTCTCAGTAGCAGGTGGATTATCTGTGGATGATGATGAACTGGAAGGAATTATGATAGATGCAAACGGATTGGAATCTGATTCATTTTCCTTATTTACATTATCTTGATGTGATCCAACACTTGGAATGTTTAACGTAGCAGTAGGACCTGTTGATTTGGTTTCTGTTCCTAGCTTTACTGTTGGTTGAGCATTGTCAATTGGTTTAGGTTCCGGTTGTTTGAAAGCAGAAAGATCCAATTGTGGGGTCTGTTTGTTTGTGTCAGGTGCTATTACTGGGGTTTCGATTGTGGCTGGTTTTTGGGATGGTCTTTCCTCTCTTTTGGAAGTGTTGGTTGTTGGAAGTACAAATGTTGGAGGATTAGATTTTTCTTCAGTCTTATTTTCAGTGGAAGAAGAAACTGCTCCTGCAGTGAAAGTAAAACCAGCAGTAGTAGAAGAAGTTTCTGAGGAAGAGGTTGTAGGTTTTGGTGGTTGCCCTTCTGAAATAGTATCTGTGCTTCTCTTTGCCAAACTTGACAAGTTAAAGGAAGATCCCAAATTGCTATCATCAGCCTTGTTGGCATTTTGTGTGGAAACCTTTTTTTCTGGAGATGGTTCACCCTTTAATAAATAGAAAGCCAACTCTTTTCTTTGTGCAATATCCTCACTGTATCTCAAAATCTTTTGATTTCTAAATGTACTTGGTGTGGAGAAACCAACTCTACCAAACTTTTTCTTAGGTTTCTTTTCAGAAATTATACAATCCAAAATGATACTATCATTCTTATCCAGCTCTGATTCTCTAATCATTGAATTGTCCATCATTAAAGAGTCATCAATATTAGAAGAAGGAGGAGTGGTTGGTAATATTAATGGTTTAGGCTTAGGAGATACTAAAGTAGGTGTAGTATTGGACATGACAATATCACTTGTTTTGGTTCTTTTTTGAGCCTCTCTAGAAAAGCTAGTTTCAGAAGGTGGAGGAGCAGCCCTTTCAAATCCTAATGGTCTGACCTCTTTAAATTTTGATTTTTCACTGCTTGATCAAATTCCACCTTTTTCTTCTTCAAAATGCTAGAATTTAGAATGTCACTCTCATTTAACTGAGTAGACAAATTCATAGATTGATTTGCAAAATTTCCTAGGGGATCTCTCTTTCTTAAAATACCTTTTGGCGACTTCTTATTATCACCGACAGATATCATGGATGCATCTGCTAACATTCCTGTAGTTTCTCCCTCACTAGTGTTAACAACTTGAATAGGTTCTTGTGGCTTATTTTCCATTTCTGTAATAGGTTCCAATACAATTGTAGATTGGTTCATAAAACTCGAGTTTGGTAAGTGAATAGGTTCTTCTCTAATTTTCTTATCTGGAAGAATTGGAGAAACTCCCACCCCCTCCAAAAATTTTGAATTATTGAAATAAATAACTTTCTTCTTAGAGGCAGAGCTGTTTGGAGTAGATAGTTTTTTCTTTAATTGTGGGCTCTTATAAATTGGTTTCTTGTCCAAACGGTCTACTGTAGGTTTTCTATAAATTGTGCTTGTCAGGTCGGTCTCGGAATTTAAAGTATTTGGGTGAATTGAAAGAATTGTAGATTGTGATGCTATTGGAATGGTGCTAACATTCAAGTTCTGTTGATTATTTTGTTGAATATTAAATGTTGAAATATTATTGTTATTATTTGAATATTCAACATTGATATTATTATTATTGGCCATTCCTTCTTGTTGTTGAGTCACTTCATTTTGTTGTAAAACAACATTTGATGAATTATTATTAAACTTATAAGAAGGAGGAATATACGGAGACCAAGACTTTTTCCTCTGTGATGACGATGTATCTACAATGTATGATGTCATATTCTTTCCAATAATTTTTTGAAGAGTATTTTCCAATGAAGATGTATCTTTCCTATTCCAAACTTTCCTATTAGACCTGGGCACAGAGTTTCTAAATCTAATATATAAAGTGGTAAATAAGAGAATGCAAAGGGTGATAAGAAGGATAAGGAGAAGCGACATTTTTTTTAAAAAATTCAAAAATGATAAAAATAATTTGTGGCTTTTTAGCGCCAAAACAAGTCCAGAAAATATTGGAAATACCAAGCAAAGAATTCCAAAATGTTTTGTTGTGGAACAAGTTAGTTGTTTTATTAACTATTTTATATTGAAACATTTTGATTTAATATTTTACAATTATAATATTATTTACATTATCTAATTTGACTTAGCAAGTTACGTCTTGCACGTCCAACTCTGTGTGGTGTTCGTTTTAAATGTAATTTCTTGATCAAAAATTCTCTTTCTCCGAGCATATCAAAGATTGGATCTAATGGACAATCAGTTACTTGTTTCAAAGAAATAATATCCCTCGGAATACAATCAGAATCCTTGCTATGTCTACCATTGTAGGCATGATAGGCATTACTCAAACTGTTACCAGCAGCACCAATAGATGAAAAAATTGGTAAATCCAAAGGAGAAGTTGGAGAGGTAGAATCCAATGGATACGTCACAGAGAACATTGTTTGCATATGTGATCGAATAACGTCTCTTGTGATTCCTCTTGATGACGATGGAAATCCTGGAAGGCCTCTAAAGTTGGACATTTCTTCTAATAATTATTAGATGTGATTCTATTTTTTTTGTTTTGATAATTTTAGGTTATTTTGAGTATGGTAAATTGATGGCGTAGTGAAATTGTAAGTGAATTCACTCTGGTTTTGAATATCTTTTGTTGCTGATCTTTTTTAATAAAAATGATTTGAAAATTTCATTAATCAACCAAAACTTTTTTATTTACAAAACTCGGATATTTACAAAATTTTATGGTTCAGGAAGAAAATTATTGATTGAGTGGAGTCATCTTGTCGAATTGAGGAGCAACAGTATCAACCAATCCTTCCAAATCATCAAAGTCCCAAGAGTTAATCTTGATATCACCTCTCAATATTTGGAATTCTCTTGGAATTGGTTGTTGTGCATTCAAGTACATGTGGAATTCATTGAAAGTAAATACAGCATTGGATTTGGTTAATCTTGGAATTGGAGCTCCTCTTTTGACAAGGTCATCATAGTGAAGAACAGCACCACCATTGAATGCAGTTGTTTCAAAAGTAGAATCATAACCACCAACATTAGCAGCCAATGCCTTCTTATTATAAATCAATTTGGAAGCAAATTGAGAACAACTAGATCCGCACAAACCATCAGTCAAGATAATAAACTTGTTAAAGTAATGAGTGGCTGGCTTGAAGAAGAAGTTACCTTCACTGGCACAATCAAGATAGAATTGTTGAGAGTAACTAGCAATAACTCCACCAAGTTTCTTTGTTACACCTCTCTCATAGAAATCAGCATTTGGCAATAGTTGAAGATTTGTAGCATTAAGCATTGAGTTTGGTTGAATGAAGAATGGACGAGCAGAATCAACAAGTGGATTTTTCTTGAATTCAAAAGGTTGATAGAGTTTTGACAGATCAGAATATTCGGCAATCAAAAGTCTGGCCAAAGCAATCGATAAGCAAACATATCCACCACCATTTCCTTGTAAATCAAGAACGAGTGACTTGACACCAACAGATTGAGCATGAGCAACTCCTCTTTCAACAATACTCTTGAATTCATCCCATGGATATTGACTGTATGGATAATTTGGAGCAAATGATTCAATCTTGAAAACTGAAATCTTACGAGTTGTGTGGTACAAGTATGCGATAGACTTATCAGAAGCAGAGTAAAGGAGTTTGAGATTACCAGCAGCCATTCCTCTAAGCTTGCTTTCAAAACCAGTTTTCTTGTAAACAATCTTTGGAATTGACAATTCTGGAATGACCATTCTTGGATCAACAGCCATAGTTGGTGCACGTTTTTGATTATTGTTAACTCTGACTTCAATTCTTGACTTGGAAGGTTGAGCAGCCATTAAATTCTTGAAATCTTTTGGACCATTAATTTGTTGAGAGAGCAAAACAACCAATGGGAGATTGAGAGAGGAACCATCACTGAAAACATAGTTCAATGAATCAAATTCTGGCATAATCAAAGCACCAAGAGACATTTCTTGCATCTTGATAACTTCATTGAATCTGGAAGCAGCTTCCTTTGACATGAAAATAGTATTAGCAATGCTATCTAAAAAGTCCTTTGGCTTGACTCCATTGATAGTTCTAATAGTTTTACCAGCAGCACCGGAATTAGAACCAGTAATGGCACTATAGAGACGATTGTCAGCCTTTACACTAATAACTTGTCCAACATTAGTAATTGAGCTAGTCAAATCGAATGGGAATACCAAGTAAGAATTCTTGTATGGATTTGGAGGCATGTAAATTGTGTGAGCATCATAGAGACTGAAGAAGAGACCCATCAATTCTTTGTGGAATTGATAGTCGAAATCATAATTCTTGTTTCTGATTTGTTGAATTCTATTCTTCAAATTTACAGAAATAGAATATGCAGATCCAGAGTATGTGCTATTTTGAACCATATATTCATAAGAATAACCATTAGAAGTAGCAACAGCAATATCAAGGGTGTTTGCAATCATATCCTTGTCAGCAGGAATATTTGGCAAGCATGCTCGGAAGGAGGCAAGACTTGTCCAATAATAATCTGGATTAATTGGCAATGGTGTATTGAACACACAAGGAGCTCCTTGTGAATAGACTGTACATGTTAAATATATACACACAAAGAGTGCAATAAAGATGCTATTCTTAATCATTTTGTTTTTTTGTTGTTGGATATCATTAACATGTTGATCCAGTTGGTATAAATAGCTGTCAGCAGGAGTTTTACGGAGACAAGCTCCGGTAAATAGGAGAGCTGCTCCAGATAAGGTGCACTTCTACCGATTTGTTGGTACATTCGTTCCGGAATTAAAAACAACATTTTGGAGTTCCTTAACCTCTGCAAAGGGAATGTAATCTTGTCCAACAGGAAGTCCCATCTCTTTCCTCTCTTTGGATGTCTCAAAGACAGTCTCATGCTCCTCGAAATGACCATCACAAACAACACAAAGGAAATCACTGTTAAACATTTGGCATTTACATGAGGCATGCTTGCATCGTTTTGAGCCGTTTGGTTGATGATCCTTAAATGTATGTTTGCATTTGCATTTTACGGAGAATTTGCTTGCATCAACTTGGTTCATTCCATTAATTTCTTTAAACCTTACAGTAATTACTTACAGTTACTTCTTCTCACAAGCCAAACTTCTCCAATTTCCTCAGGAGTTGTAGGAATAAATTCGAATCGTTTACATTCCTTACATGATAAACATTGATCTACCTTATAGTTGTGCCCCTTTTTGAAATGTTCCTTGAGGGAATGACCACAAAAACATGTAGAATTCGGACCAATCCTTGAACAATCTTGAATAGTTCCAAATTTTTCATCTTTTCTATTTGACCTCCATACACCGTAAAGACCTGATTCAATGGAAAATAAGGCTGCTTCCATTTGTCCATCCATTACTGATTGCGAAGTGGGAGTTAAGCCATTGAATTGAATGTTATGAATTACTCCTTGAAGAGCATTCATGTGAAAATTTGATTTGTTATTTTCCAATGCCATTTCAGATTGTTCATTTGATGAATGAGAAACAATGAGGGGACCTCCATTACATCGATGATCATCAATAGCAACTAGTGCTTGTTGTTGATGATTCCGAACCAACAAACTTTGGTTATCTTTCCGAATTTTGTCATCTTTGATTAATTGTCGAATTTCTGATTGCTTTGTATTTGTTTTTAATTTAATGGAGGTTTCTTTTCGAGTACTAATCACATTGGATGAAGAGGCTGAAGATACCATCTGCTTCTTCATTTTTATCTTTTGTTTAATTGATAATTACAGAAGGTTCTAATCATCAAAATCTTTGGCGCCAGAATATTATTATTTATTAAATTAAAAAATGTCTCAACAAAACTCGACACCACAAAAAGATATTAGTTTTACAAGTGATGATTCAGAACTGAAAACCCCAACATCACCATTCTACAATCTAAAGGGAGAAACTAAATTTATTACAGCTCAAGAATATGCCAACTCACAAGATTATCAAGAAGAATTAGAGGAGGGTGAATATGATGAAGAAGAACAAGTTATTCTTGATGATCCATTCGGTGAAACTGAAGAAGATCCATTTGGGGATGGAAATGAAGATATTTTGGATTATGAAGACTATCCGGAGGATGCCGATGATGACCAGATTCAACAACAACCTCTTCACAATAGTTTTAACACAACCCGTACTTCTATTAACACATCATTTGCCACAAACAAAACTAGCACAACAATTAATACATCTTTCACATCTAATAGATCCGATAGAACAAATCTATTGCAATCACCTAGTGACAGCTTTATTTCAGGACGAACAACAAGAACTACCAGAACAACTAGAACAACCATGTCTGTAAGATCTATGCCTCCTTGTTATGAACCACTCCAAGATCCTGGAAAGAGAGGCTTAAGAAGAGCAACTTTATTATTGAAAGAAGAGGAAACTAAAGGAGTTGTAGCTGACATGATACCTAGTTTGAATATTGCTCTTTTATTGATTCTCTTATTATTGGCAATTGTTCTCTATAGTAATGAATTACATGATGTGATTAGACCATTTGTAAGACTTGTTTCTTCATTCTTACGGAGGTTAAATATTACAGTATGGACTGATTTTGATGAGCTAGAATTGTAATTTTTAGTAAATTATTTATTTAATACCTTAGTAGAACTTGCTCTTACTTTCTTGGAACTTTCTATAATAGATGAAACCAACAGTAAAAACAACTTGGAATAAGATGAAAATGACCAACAGCCATCCATTGCCAAATCTTTGCATTTCTCCTAATGATTCTGTTTGCTTGGAAATACCAGAGTGGATTTCACCATGAGAACGTTGAATATTGTTGACATCATTATAGATGTTTGTAATGAGAGAATCCAATTTACGTAATTGAACATTCAATGTATCAGTATCTCTCTTCAATTCTTGAAGGGTTCCACTAACATCTCTCTTGGTATTTTCACTGAATTCAGTAAATTTGGCTTGTACTTCTTCTTGCTTCTTTGAAACTTCATTAACAAATTCCAAAATATTAATAATATCGCTCTTAGTAGATGACTTCTTAATAGTTCTGGTAACTTCCTCGAGAGCTTCCAAAATAAGTAAACCAGTTTGCATATTAAAGGTAACATGACCACCTTCATGATGTTGAACTGGTGGTTGATCCTTTGAGCTTGCATCTTGGCTTTCATCTACATGTTTCATCTTTTCCTTGAGTTGATTAAAGATCTTTTGTTCTTCCTCCCAAGCTTGTTCAGTTTCCTTCTTCTTTCTTTCAATTTCACTATGAACTTCGTGTTGCAAGTTGACTTGTTGTTGTTGTTGATGATGTTCGGCTGGCTTACCATGATTCATGGCTTCTTCGTCTTGCTTTTGCTTATCGAGATACTTTTGGAATTCCTCATATGGATCGTACCAACCTCTGTGATGATGAGATGGTGGTTGAATTCCTTCATTTGAAACTGGGGCAGGATTAAGATCATAAGTAATAAAGTTCAAAGCATCATGATTATCAGCCAAACCACCAGTAGCAGCAGTAAGACCAAAGTAGAATCCTTCCTTCAAATGAATATTGTTAAGTTCAAAACATTTAACAAAGCTACCAGAGTTTGCTGTATCCAAATAAACTCCTAACATGGAATTTTGATAAGTAACACGAACTGAAGTCTTTCCAGCACTTGGATTTCTAATATCAGCACGACAACGGTCCAATTGATTAGCCTTGAAATCATGATCTACATCATAGTTAACATGTTGACCATTTCCGGAAATAGCAATAACAGCTGGATTATCACCATCCATGTTATTGTCATAGGTATCAAACAAAATACCCAATCCTTCAAAACTATCAGTATAACCCATTAAAGTACCAGTCTTGAATGGCTCTTTGGCATACCAGAAAGCCATACCATCCGCACCAGGATTATGATTATTGTGAATGTGAATATCAAATTCAACTTGCCAACTCTTCATGTGAACAGGTTCAAGATTCCACAAATAACCAGTTCTAGACTTGATGTTTGGAACAACTCTAATGTAAGATTCAGTAGCAATAGAACTTCCACCATATTCCCAATGAGGAACAGATTGTTGTCCACCAAAGAGGAAAGGTGGTCTGAAAGTGTGTTTTTCCATTACAACTTTATCATTACTACTATCATTGTCGCCAGAACTTTCATCATCTTGGTCGACTTGTTGAGGTGGTTGTTGTTGTTGTTGTTGATTGTCGTCATCTTCGTCATCATCATCGTCTTCTTCTTCTTCATATCTCTTCTTCTTCTTTAAAATCTTGTTGAGTCTTCGTCTTCTTCTTTGGGCCTCTACAAAAATTGATGATGAAGAAATCGAGGTTGATTCATAACGATTAATATTACTATTTGATTTTGTTAAAAGGCTCGATGCTGTTTGGTCTATTGATTCCAAAATAAAAGGAACAAGAAACAAAACAAGCAACAAGGCAAACACGAATCTAGAATTTGCTCTCATTACACACTTGTTTATAAAAAACTAAAAGAAACTTTTTTGATGATCAAAACAATCTATTTGTTTTCTTTGGTCGGGTTGTGGAGAAGAACCAAAGTTGTTGTCCGTGCGGAGAGAAGATTAGCAAATTTTTTTCTTCTGATTTTTTAAAATAAAAATTCAACTCCACGTGGCTTACGAATAGTTTAAGATCTTTCATTGTTAAAAGGGTTGTCATTATCATTTGAGAAGCTTTTAACAGATGGTTGGATAGGGAATCTTACTGTTTATACAATATTACTAGGATTTGTTATTGGTTTTTGTTGAGAGGAGTTGCTTCTCGATTATTGTAAAGTATTTTTTGGATAACGTTATCCTTTTGTCTAATGGGAACACTTCGATGCAATTGAGTGCTTTATCTGTGGAGATTAGTGTTGATACTTCTTAGCTTGATATGAATTTTCTTGTTAACAATTTGTTTCTCAAGATTAGTTCCAAAAAGTACAATGTATCCAAAGAGTTTTGGTATCTAACAAGACTTAATCCATTCCACCCAATATTCAATAATCAATACCATAAATTTGAATTATGAGTTTATGTTGATAAATAGCCACATACACATCCAAATTCAGTCAATACTCACTCTCTTCATTTTTTTAAAAATCATAATTTAGTTAAAATCTATTAGAAGATCAATTTCAGAACTGAAATGAAATAATATTGCTTCATATTTTCAAAACCACAACCAACACATTCTCTCCTTTGAGGATCAGTTCTCATACCACAATACTCTATTAAAATTTGACAGAACCGCATAGATATCACACAGCAAACATCTTGCTTATTATAGAGGTGTAGAATAGGTGGGAGCTTATGGCGTTAATGAAATACCACTACTCTTAAAGGGCGGGGGAAAGTGTCATTCATCTGGTTCGATTTCTGTAGGTTCTGTTACCAGTGGGTGATAACACCTTCGCTTTTGTGTTTTTGAGTTTAATTGATTTTTGGGTTTATTTAACATGCATGTATTGGATTATTTAAGAAATTGTTCAGGTTAGTTTATTTGTGTTAGGAAGAGTTAAATTTTAGCATGTGCCATATAATTAATTGGAGCAATTAGACAGGAATCGTTAATGACAATGACTTTCGAATTATCCTGATTTTCAGAGTTTAATTCCTTGTTTTTCAAATAGTTTCGAATACCAATTACCAGACAAGAGAAACCTATGGATATTAACAACAAGGAAAATAATCCTAAAGCAATCGAAGAAGGTATTCCATACTGATTAGTTGACTTTAAAGTTACAATAACAACCACAGCTATCAAACTGCCAACAAACAACGCAAAGACACTTGACAGTATTGACATTGAGAGTTGAAAAACTCTGCTAGTTAGAATGGCCATGAGTAAAGTGTTTTTTTATCTGTAGCAACAAATTGCTGTGGAGCCAAAAGGAGTTTTAAAGAATCGTATATGGTTGGTGTGAGGGTTAAAAAAACTCCTTTTGGATGAGTAAGGTTGACCAGAGAAAAATTCCTATTGGTTGATCGATTTTTAATCCTTTTGTCCTCTCATACCCTTTTGAAACTTCTCATATTTGTGCATCTGTTTACAAAGTCCATTGTGATCATTGTACTGTAGAGGATTCTTGCAGTCTTCAATTAATTTTCATTTTTCAACACAACTTTTGTAAACTATTGAGTAATAACACATATTTAGGAGAATGAACAAGGGAATGTGCATAACTTAAATAATCAGTTATCTCTTTTGAGGGTTGACAGTTTCTGATGGAATTGTGAAAAAAATCCAAATTTAATATATTTAAAGGCATTGAAAGAGATCTCGAATTGAATACTTTAAAATTAATAGTATTATAAAAAATGGCTCCAACAAGAATAATTGATGCAATGACATTATCTGAAAGTGAAATGAATGACTCGATTGCCTTGTTTCATTTACTTGTTCGAAACACGGACAATGAGAAGAAACCAGTGAAACCAATAAATCAACAGAGGATGACCATGAAGGATTTAAAAAGTTTATTTAGAAGAATAGGATACAAGATTTCGAATGAGGAATTGAAAGCAATTATTCGAAACATTCACGAAAGTTTCTCTTCTCTTGGTTTGGGAAGGATGGATGGGCCAGTAGATTCTATAAATTTCAAACAGTTTCTCCACTTGATTCATGATGAACCAGAACTAGATTTTGGAAGAGAACAATTATTGGAATCCTTTAGAATACTTTCGGAAAAACCATCTAATGGCAAACCAGTTCAGAGAGGGTTCATCTACATTCAAGATTTAGAAAGATATTTATTCGAATTCAGTCCACTCACCAAACCTTCAGAAAACTCAGAACATTCCACCCATTTCGCCTATTCGAAATCAATTATTTCACACGAGGAATACACCAAATTGTTAACCATTCTCGATCCCTACTCGAGTGGAAAGATTAATTATGAAAAATTTGTAGAAATGTTAATAATTGAAAGTTCCAAATAAGGAATTAGATAAAAAAATAACAAACTAGAGTTCTCTCATTCATCATGTTGAATTTTCAAGATGAAATGGATAAATCGATTACAATATCATGATAACCAAAACGCAATGCCAAGACCAAATTAAATTCCCGCCAAAAAATAAAGTGAAAGACATCCCAATTCAAAATGTTACCACCTACCAAACACAATTATCCTTTTGTCCACATAGTAAGTGCATCTTTCACGACACAAACTTGGATCTTGATTTTTAGTTGTTGTGCATCATGAACTCAAAAGAGCCCAACGCCTCGGTAATAAACTAAACACAAAAAATCAGCACAAAACAAAAGATGAATTTCAAGTCGAGGGTTGTTATGTTGTTGGCGGTATTGTTGTGGTGTTTTATGGTTGGTTTATGTGTGGGTCAGTTAGTTTCGAATAATACAAGTGTGGAGACGAAATCTGCAAGTTATGAGATTTCAGTTCTGGTGGAAGAGGAATCTACCACAACAAAGGCAGTGGATATCCTTCTGGAATACCCACTTCAAATGGCTCTATCAAATGATTCAAGTTTCATGTACTTTATTCATGATGTAAAAACTATCGGAAAGGTTTCGATGAACACTAATTTTTATGAAGTTGTTTATTCGGATATTGGTGTTCAATGGGCAGGTATTGCCGTAACCCCCAACAATATTATCTATTATTCTGATGAATATTTAAATGCAATTCACAAATTTCAAAATGGAGTTTCGAACAAGGTAGTAGGGACCAGTATAACTGGTTTGTACAATGGAAATAATCTGAAAGGAACTCTAACAGCATTGAATCGTCCTATTGGTTTATTCTACACTGAAATATTCTCTAGCCAGGGAGAATTATATTTTGCAGACGAATCCAACTCATTGATTCGAAAGTTGGTGATTGCAAATGGAACTGTTTCGAATGTTGCAGGAAATGTTGTAGCGGGATATAGTGGAGATGGTGGAGAAGCAACTTCTGCTTCATTGAGATATCCTTCCAGTGTTTATGTGAGCAATTCAGGTGAAATTTATATTGCTGACACGTTTAATTGTGTGATTAGAAAGGTTTCGAATTTGGGAATTATTGGAACAGTTGCTGGTGTAGGAGGGCAATGTGGATACAATCAAGACTCGATAAATGCAACTGAATCAAAACTAAATTTTCCAACAGGTATTACAGTTTCGGATAGTGGAGATCTCTATATTGTGGATAAAGGAAATCATAGGATAAGGAAAGTATCTGCTACTACTGGATTGATTGAAACAATTGTTGGAGGAGGATTCAATACAGGATATGGTATATCAGGAACTTCTGCTCAACTCAATAATCCAACTCAAATTTTGTTGAATAATCAAAACGAATTATTTATTTCTGATACGAATCACCACAGGTTATTGAAATATTCTAATGGAATAGTTACTTTGGTTGCAGGTTATTCGAATGTTGAAGAATCAACCTCTCCAATAGATAACGTAGAGCCAACAATTGCCAAACTTAAATATACCTATGGAGTGGCCACCAATTCAAAGAATGAAGTATTCTTCTCTGATGCCTATAATCACAGAATTGTAAAGATTGAAAATGGAGTACTAAAACAAGTGGCAGGAAAAGGAGTTGCAGGTTTCGACAATAATATTGATGGATTACTGGCCACCGATGTTTCACTCAATTACCCATACGAAATTGCAATTCAACCCTCCACACAAGATTTATTCATTTCAGATACACATAATCATCGGATTTTGAGAGTTGATTCAACAAGTGGACGAATTTATAGATTCATGGGAAGTGGAATTCCTGGATATAATGGTGAAGGAAGTGATTTACTGAATTTACAATTGAATAATCCACAAGGTTTGAGTTTTTCTGGAGATATTTTAATTGTTTCAGATACTTTCAATCATAGAATTCGAAAAGTCTTCAATTCAACCAGTTCCACCATTTTAGGAACTCAATTCGGAGGCAAAGAACCACCTAGCACTTTAGTTTTATCTGATATCATGTTGAAATTTCCAAGATTTGCTCTTCTGAAAGGGACAATATTGGCTGTGGCTGATACGAAAAACTATTTAATTAGAGATTTTGACATTTCAACACAATCAGTATACGGAAACTCTCAAACTCTTAGCACTATCCATACCCCAACCTCAATTGTTTATACCAATGCCAATGAAAAGTATTATGTCAATGCATTTGGACACTATGTGCTAGATATAAGCATAAAACAACAAAAGCTTATTGGAACATTAACTAAGGGGTTTTTAGGAGATTATCAATCAGGAACACTTGCGAGAATGAGATATCCACACTCATTTTGTTTGGATAATAATGGAGATTATATAATAGGAGATACTTTGAATAGTGTCATTCGTAAATACTCGACCAATTCGACTATTTTCACAACAATAGCAGGATTTGGAACAAGGAGACTTCCTGACAGAATCGTTAACGATCCAAAAGGAAAGAAGATAATTGTGGGAGTTTCATTGGCTTCCACAGGTGATTTTTATGTTACTGACATTACTTACAATAGAATTATCAAAGGAAATGTAGCTCAAAAAACATTCAACACCTATGCAGGTCCTTTCCTTGGAGGAATTAATATGGCTGAAGGATCCATCTCTTCATTCAAGATGCAGACACCGACAGCTGTTTTTTCACATAATGATAATCTCTATGTAATTGACAATTCACGATTGTTGAAATATTCGAAAGATGGAAATGTGAAAACACTATTCAGTTCATTCACAATCGTCAAAGATTTCATTCATGTGGATTCAAGTGGAAAGATTTACTTTATGGATGCTGTTCAAAGCACAACAACTTATCTTTATGTCGGTTTCGAAAATAACTTTCAGGTTTATTCAGGAAATGGAACTGATGATACTTCAGATGGAATTGATCGATCTCTTGTTGGGATTTACAAACCAGCTGGGTTATTCTTCCATGAACAAAAATCAGAACTCTACTTTTCAGATATCTACCGAATTAGAAAATTCTCAAAAGAGGGAACTATTTCAACCATTGCTGGACTGAAAGGAAGTAATGGATATTCTGGAGAAAATGTCAATGCTGCATCATCTACATTGCTGACAAGTCCCAAATCCATCTTTGTCAATACAATAGGAGAGGTCTTTTTTATAGAATTGAGTCGAGTTAGGAAAATATCAACCAATGGAACACTCTTTACTATAGCAGGTAATGGATCAAATATTTTATCTTCCCCAACAATGTATCCAACAAATACTAGCATTGGAACTCCAATCTCTCTTTCATTCAATTCGAAAACTGGTGTTTTTGCCATGATTGAGTTGAGAAAACGAGTTACCTTAATGAGTCCATACTGCTCAGATAATTTTTCTGTATCTTCAATTGATGCAACAATTTGCATTCCAATTTGTTTTGGAAAAACTGAAGATGGAGCTTGTGGAGGAGCCAATCAAGGACAATGTATTTCTCCAAATACTTGCTCCTGTCAAAAGAATTGGAATGGAACTCAGTGTGAAATCAATTCAAATACATCTGTGGAGGAATCAACAACAAGAATCATTTTAATAGCAACCCTCGTGCCCATTCTCTCAATTCTATTGATTTTGGTACTAATTGCTATAATAATTGTCATTGCTGTGGTGGTGCTATGTAAGAAAAAGAAGAAACAATCTAATAGTTCCATTGCTACAGTTTCAGATGTAGAATTGAAAAATTCAAACCTTTCCACATTGGATATTTCGACCACAACTGGAACTTTCTCAGATTATCCTGACGAGGTTTCGTATTTCTTTAAAACTTCAACTAATGTTAGATCTGTTAAATCCGGATCAAGCTCAAGTATAACAGATGCTTTTAATCCGCTTTCAAGATATTCTAATCTGCAAAAGATTGGAGCTGGAGGATTTGGATCAGTATTTAAATGTTTAGATCAAAACAATAATCCTAGAGTTCTTAAAGCTATGAGATTTAACTCATACTCTGAATTGAGTTTATTTATGAAGGAAGGTCTCCAATTATTGAATATGAATCATCCAAATATTGTCAAGGTGAATGATCTTTTTATTGATCAGGAAGAACTTCTATTCATTGAAATGGATTACTATGAGAAGGGAGATTTGAGCTATTTACTTAAAAACCCTGAGTTTTGTACGGAGGAAATTTTGAGACAAATCATTGAACAAATGGGCAGGGCCCTCGATTTTATTCACAATGAAAAGAAACTAATTCACAGAGATATTAAGCCGTCCAATATTTTTATTAAGGAGATTTCCAATACTAACATTCAAATTGTTTTGGCAGATTTTGGCTTGGCCAGAGACAATAGCACTTCAAACAAATCATACGCTGGAACGCCATTGTATTGCTCTCCTGAATTAGGTCTTGGATCGAATTATGGACCAGAGACTGATATTTATTCATTGGGAGTGACTCTTTATCAACTTATTTCAAAAGATGTAAGCACCTCCATTAGTCACTATTTCCTGACAAAGAATGAAGAACAAGTGGAAGAGATTTTGAAAAATCAAATGAATACTGGTTCTGGCAACAAATATTCTGCCGAGTTGATAACACAAATTACAGAAATGGTTAGACGGGATCCAAGTAAAAGACCCAAACCACAAGATTTTTGTAATCACAAATAATAAAATAATCAATATGATAAAAAGTTACGCCGTAAGGGAGTCGAACCCTTGACCTTCAGCGTGTAAAGCTGACGATCTAACCAACTGATCTAACGGCGCTCTTGGTAGTGTTCAAATTTTCAATAACAGACCAAGTTCGCCTTAATAATCTTAATAAAAAATGGTAAATTGGGTTTCATACGATTAATTGAATGAAATATTGCAAAGATTATAATCCTTAATATATTAAAGCAGTATTAATCCTAAAATTAGACCAAAATTTGAGCCCACAGAAATTCCCAACAATAAAAAGAATGTCATTGTTGTTGCTGTGATTTCCTTCTCATGTAAATTTACAAATTTCTTAGGAGCACTCGACATGAGTATGCTGTTGAAATAACCATTTGACAATGACATGACAAACATGAATATCAATGGAATTGCATCATGTTTAAAAAGCATTGGATTCAAGCAAAATATAAATAAAGGTATCAAGATAAATCTCATCAAAACCAAAACGAGAAGTATTATCTCTTGAGTAGAAACTCTCAATTTTCTTTTAAATAATTCGTATTTGGAAGTTGTTGGTGGAAGTGACTCAATCGGGATGAATTTTCCAGATGGTAATATATCAATCCAATAATATGCAATTCTTCCAAGAAAATCATAGATTTGAAATGTCAAATTTGACCAAATTGGCAACCATGTTTCCATAGAGGTTCCAACATAAATGGATGGAATGGCACTTGAAAGGCCTGGGAAAATTGTTAATGATACGAAAAAGTTCAAGAATATAGTCAAGCAATTAATCCAAACATTCTTGAAAATATTTGTCAAAATGTTCTTAATTGATGTAATTTCAGCATGATCTCTATTAGCATCAGCTTGATCTTCCACTTTCTGATTCAAATAATATTGAACAAATGGTGACCTTTCCAAAATGATAAAGGTAGCAATGCAAACCACGTTGAGAGCTGCACAAAACGAAAAGTAAATAATTGTTGAGGTTGATAATATCTCAATAGGAACTTCCTCATACCCACTCTCTATGGTAACCTTTGTTAAAATCCTCAATAAGCTAATAAATAGACCAGCAAAAGCACTTCCAGACACTACCGTATTCATATAGTGATGAGGTAACTTGCTGGAAATTCCATAAACTGAAGACTGAATAGATCCTGTGCAAACAGCCATTACTGAGACAATCGCCATTAGAATAATAAATTCAGCCAATCTATTTCCAATAATCACATAAAGTAATGGAACAGCAATCAATAATCCAATCAATATTACATAAGGTATATAAATCCTATATCTGTACCTAATATGAGTTCCAAACTTAATCAATAGCAACAATGTCACTAAAGTAATCAAACTATATACAGATGTCATCCACAACATGACTTTTTGTTCAGAATAAAGAGCCAACAAGTAATCCACAGCTGATAACATTGCATTCCATGGAAATAATTCACCCATTCCCTGAATGAAGAATATTATTGTAATCATGTGATATTTGTCTTTTGGTTCCAATGATGAATTATTTACCACTTCCTGTTGTTGACTATCAATTCTATTTCCATGATCACTCAATATTTCCTTCTCCTTCCTCTCCATTATTACTTTTCCATTATTATTTGAAGATAATTCAACATTTTGAAATTCGATATTGTTCTTCATATGATCGGAACCACCAACACCCTGCTGATCATCATCTCGATCATGAATTAATTTACCAGAAATTCCAAAATTATTCTGACGATCATGATAACGAATCATAACACTCTCCTCTTCATCATCCACCATACCATCATGCTGATGATGATGATGAGGCAATTCATTATTGCCCTGGTTAGTAAATTTGGTCCTAGGCTGATGATGGAGATCCTCAACAGCAACCGTTGCAGAAGGTTGTGGAGGAGGCACAGACGAAATCATGTGATGATTTTTTTTATGGTTGTGCTTTAGCTCATCATTGTAATGTGAAATATTTCCCGCCTTTGCAAATTCTTTGAAATGTTAAGAGTCTCAATGATCTGACATTTTCTAATAGATGAAGAGAAAGTACTTTGACAACTCAAAATGATGAGCAAATTCTAATGACCTGTTTCGAACACAATGGATAGCGAATGCAAAAAGGATCTCATAATAATGGAAATGGACCTTGGTAACTAATTCAAGAATAAATGGCAGTTTCTGATTATAATTATAGGTCTTTCGAATAGTCAGTTAGTAAATTATGCACTATGTTTCCAAAATTTGATGTGTAAAGATGCCTGTCGACTAGTTTATTCATCAACGTACATATTTTTCTAATAATTTCCAATTTAAATCATCATTGTCTACAACTTTCGTCTTGCCTATTCGAATTCCTCAATACCAAACTTTTCTCTCCCTTAGAACAAGCTATTTACAATTCATTTCAAAAACCACTTCACTACACCACAATGATCCTTAATCCACACCAATCAAATAAGCTCTTACATGTTCCAAGTTCTTTTTGTAAAGACGCTTCCCCTTTCGGGAGTGTTTTATCATTCCAAGAAAAAGTCAGCACTCAATACATCAACTGAACAATGCACTTCCCCAACACACTATTTGCCCAAACAATTTCCAATCATCATCACAGCTGCCATTCTATGAAGAGCCAAAATTTCAGGCTGCACAAAATTTTCTCAATGATTTGATGGGTGAAGCGAAAAACTCGCAGCGACGGTTGAAATTTAAAAAACTCAAAAAAAAATTCAAACTCTTTCGCGCGCAACTTGAAAAAAATTAATAAGAATGGATACCTCTATAAAGTGTGTTGTTGTGGGTGATGGTGCTGTCGGTAAAACTTGTTTATTGATTTCGTAAGTAGTGTTGATGAGTTTTGTTTTTGAGAGCTTGACATGTTGTTTAGTTTCTCTTCGAATACTTTCCCAGAAGACTATGTACCAACAGTCTTTGATAACTATGTAAGTATTTTGAGAGATTAGAGTGTTTCTAATAATTATTGTTAATATCATTGCTGGTGCTGCTTTATTTCATCATCTTTTACTTGACAATTTACCTGTCAAACTCTTTATTTTGACGTCAATTTTATTGTGAAAATACAGTCTGCTAACGTAATGTACAAGAATACAACAGTATCTTTGGGTTTGTGGGATACAGCTGGTCAAGAGTAAGTAATTTCAAATTTTCATCAACAATATTTATTGTACTTTCTAATAGTGAGTAAGTAATCTTCTAGTAGAAGAATTTTTAGGCTAAATAATTTTCAGCTATGATCGTTTGCGACCATTGTCTTATCCTGATGCTCAAGTTTTCCTCGTCTGCTTCTCTGTTGTCAATCATACAAGTTTAATGAACGTAAAGGCCAAGTGGGTTCCGGAAGTTAAACATGTAAGTAGTACTCTACACCACTTGAAAAGATTTATTTATTCTTTATACTTTTAACATGTTGAACATCAATATATGTTGAAATTTGTGTGCACACATATCTGTTGTTACATGCATGTAAACAAACAACTTTAAATTATTTAAATAGCACTGTCCAAAAGTGCCAATTGTTCTCACAGGAACTAAGGCTGATCTTCGTAAGGATAAAGACTATCTTCAAAGAGAAGGATTACAAGTAGTGTCTTCAGAAGAAGGACAAAAAGTAGCCAAGGAAGTTGGAGCTCAATACTATTCGGAATGTTCTGCTAAATCACAAGAAGGATTGAAGGAAACTTTCAACTATGTTATCGAATGTGTTTTGGATCCAAAGAGTCCAGATCAAAGCTCAGAAAAGAAGAAGTCTGGCAAATGTAGTCTGTTGTAAACAATTGAAACCATTATTATTATTATAACTTCTCCTCTCTACTGTATATTATTCTTTCCGCCACTTCAGAGTCGACTCATTAAATCCCTCATTTTGCGTTTTTAACTGCTGTCGAACTTTCAATTTGAAGATGAACAGGTGACATATCTTGTTCCATGTTCATTCAAACAAATTCTTCTCAATACAATCTCTCGAAATATCATGATTATGAAAATTAATGAAATAACCACAAAAAGATGATGGATACCAATATCTAACAAGGAAATAATCTGATTTCAAATTATTTGAGATACTTTGCGATTATTTCACTTTACACCTTTCAATCCCAACACTTTGTAATCACTTCTTTTTCTTTTTAGAAATGCCATGTGAAGGGTCAGCAAAAACCAATTTGGCATATCCCTTCTGTGATGGTTTTGCCAATGTACTACATTCAAATGCTTTTGATAATGCATGCATACATTCTGTTGATAGATATTTTTCATTGGCTTGTTCATCGTTCATTACAAACTCCAAAGACATTGGATAAATGTGTGGAAAGGCCTCTAAATGTCTAATATCATTGTAGAATTGTGGCCATTTATCAATACCAATCTTATCTTTGAGTTCGTAAAATCTCCTCTTTAAAGTTGAAAGACTACACCCCAACGAGCTACATGCCTGAGTTTGTGGTAAATGCAATACTCTAAGTAAATCTCTCTCCTCAATACATAGACTTCTTCGGTACTTTTTACGAGGAGTTTTGGTTGCTCTCGACCTGCTATTGCTTGTTTTGGTTTGTGAGCTTTGAACCTTTTCACTGGTTGTTGTGGTACTATTCTCTTCCCCTCCACTCAAGCTGTTGTTACATGAGCTACCAGAGCAGGATCCCAATGTTGTTAAGGCATGTTGAGAGGATGGGTACATGTGTTGCTGGAGAACATGATGATTTGTAGGACATGTGATTTGTTGATTTGTTTCAGAGAGTGAAGAGGTAGATATGATTTTAGTTGATGTACATGATGAGGTAGTTGTGAGAGGAATAGTATTATTAAGAGTTAAGATGTGATTCTTTGATGGAGACATGTAATGATTTACCATGTTACTGCTCCTACTACTACTACTAGAAGTATTATTTGGCATTGTAGTGGGCATGGACTTATTCTCTTGGTTCATGATGCAATGCTGTGGAGAATTAAGGGTGTTTTTCTGAGTAGAGTCAATTATGTGATGATGTTGGGACAATTGCTGCTGCTGTGTTGAAGAGTGTGATGGTTGATCTTTCTGTAATGGGTTTAATTGTGAACCCTTATTATTATCCATCATCATGAGGTGATTGTTTGAATGAACCCAGTTCATTGATTGATTGCGATAATGTTCACTTTCTTTTTTTGCGTAATATTGGAAATTACTTTGATATTTGGAGAACGTGCAGATTCGAGTATCTGATTTTGGAAGGCAATCCTCACTGTTTTTAGGGTCTTGGCTATAAACTTGTTGGACATATTGCCCCACTTTGTCAACAGTAAACAATTGAGAGTGACCATGAACAGAGATTGAGAGTTGCGTGCCTTCGTTTTTAGATAATTCGCCATCAGAGCGCGAGGGTTCACTGGGCATATTTGGTCTAGGTGAGTATTGATTAAGGTCATACGTATTTATGGAGCTATTCATTCTTGATATATCCTTCTCTGGGCATTTGTCTTGAGCGCCGACTGAGTGTGTTGTTAACAAAGTTGAGGCTCCCATAGTAACATTATGATGCATTGGAATTGTACGAGAGATGGGGTGGTTGCATGATAGCTCACATTGTGTTGGTGATGCATCTAATGCAGAGTTGGATAAATGTTGATGATGAATCAATAAATGATCGGTGGAAACCTGCTCCCGTTGTTGATGCTGTTGAGATGATCGAATATCATTTATATAGGAAGGTGATTTTCCATCTGGATCCACTATAACCAATGCCATTGATATTAAGGTGAGATGATTTGTAAAAATTCAAAGAGTATATGTATGCAGAGTAGTAGAAAATGAATTCCTTGTAAGTCTATCAATCACAACACGACTGAGTGTTAGACTCCAATTATTTTAGAAAGTATGTTTTCTCTCAGATAAAATCTGAATTTCGACAATAAAAAATCAATAATGTTAGGATTACCGCACCACTAAGCAATAATATTGCCTCAGTTAATCGATGAACGTGATGATGAGTATGATGGTAAGTGCGAATCAAGGTGATATGATGAAGAATACCCCTTGTTTGATTTTTTCTTAAGCAAAACATCATCAACACCAACAATTTCCCCTTTTTGCCTCACCAACAAATGCATTATCACCTGCTTTGCTTAAGATGCTAGAGCGGAAGAAAGGGACTACTGGAACTGAGACCACGACATGGGAGACTTGTTTTTTGGAGGCCAAAAACATGTGAACAGACAAATTTCTCAAGCCTTATTTATCGAAAATTTTCTGATATGGTTGTAAAGAGCTACGGAATAGAACCATTGAACAATCTTATTAAGGTATTCGAACCGCAGGTAGATTCGCTTAATGTTCGATATCGTGTATTGTGGATGTGGTATCTTTGCGATCATCAAATGTGGTATCAATAAGCGTGGCTATATTGAGAGAAGTAGTATCAATTATAATCAGAGATGAAGCTATAAACAAGTGAGTGGTCTTTTAAGGTGGTGGAACTTGAAGAAAGAATATCTCGCAAGGGGGATGACAAAGATGGTATCAAAAATGAACGACCATATGAGTTATTATCCATTTCATTGCGTTCATGTTGAAAAACAGTAAGATTCGAACAATCGCTCTACAAATTTGTTTCTTATTGTGCCTCTCCAAGTGTATTGACTATTCTGTAATTTATGGAATCAAAGGAAAGTGTTATGTAGGGGAAGATGACCTCATAAAAAAACAAATTATTATTATCCAATTTGTTCAATTAATTCAAATTATATTAATTTGTAACCCATCCAGTTTTTTCCAAATGTTGAAAGAGAATGTCAGCAATTCTATCCGAACCAGCGGGAGTGTAATGCAGAGAATCATCCCACAGGTTTTTATCCTCCTCTGAACATGTGCTATAGTTCAATTCATTCATGAAATCAACATGAATAATTTTTCTTCCTGATTCTTGTTCAGCTCTTATATATTCCTTGACTAGTTCATTAACTTTAGCCTTCTTTTCCAACACTTTCACCAGTGAAGGGCTATCATCTGCATCATATTTTGAAGAAGGTATCGAGCAAGCAACTATCCAATCTACATTTCTCGAAAAACAATACTCATACATTCCAATAATATTGTTTGCAATCTTTTCACTTGAAAATCCATAAGCAAGATCATTCGTTCCTCCAATAATGATGGCACCCCTAAACTCATTAATAGGAAGGTGCATTGGTCCTCTATCATTTTCTGGAATATTATCATAATTATCTCCAATAAAGTGCGCCAATTGATCATCAATACTCGGTTTTTTATCAATCAATCGTTTCAATCTTTCCTTCATCTTTTCTGTTGTTTCTCCCGATAATCCAAATTCATAAACTCTTGTACTAGCCTTGGAAATTAATTGATTTAATTTAACAGAATAGGGATGAAAGTTTGTTCCCCGAGCATAGTAACCTTTAGTAATGGAATCTCCGAGAGCAATTATTGGATAGGATATTTTGTCATTATCAATAATGATGGCTGGTTTCTCTTCTGCAGAAGGTTTAGCGACTGACATTTGTTGTTGAGTGGCTGTGTTTGATTTATGTTTTGAAGGAGTGGAAGATCGGGATCCCATTTTTTTGGCTTTTTGTGTGGATTGTTTGATTTTTTTGGACTATTTACAATTATTTACAATGGTTGAACTGATGAAGATACTGCCGGTTGGTACTTTCACTTCCGTATTAGGTTTTCTTATCAATTAGACAAGCTCCACTTCATAGTTTTTTCAACAACCAAGTCCATTCTTCACATTGCTCAGAATTAGACATATGTAGTGCTTAACAAAAAAGATTGACTGTATAATACTACTGAATATCAAGTGATTTTAATTGCTTCATTCCAAATATAAATTTGGCTCCTTCATCACGAATACCATTTTCACGAATAGCAAGTGATGTTAATTGTTTCATTTTACGTATTGATTTGGCTCCTTCTACACCAATTTCGTTGTAGCATATATCAAGTGATATTAATTGTTTCAGTTTTCGTATTGATTTTACTCCTTCTACACCAATGCTATTTCCACTAATATCAAGTTTAGTTAATTGTTTCATTTCAATTATTGATTTGATTCCTTCATCACCAATATCATTTCTACCAATATCAAGTAGTGTTAATTTCAATAATTCCACTGTTATAAATAGTAAGTGATGTTAATTGTTTCATTTCACTTATATATTTGATTCCTTCTACACCAACGCTATTTCCACCAATATTAAGTGATGTTAATTGTTTCATTTCACTTATAAATTTGGCTCCTGCTACACCACTTGAATTTTCACCAATATCAAGTAATGTTAGTTGTTTCATTTCACTTATAAATTTGGCTCCTGCTACACCAATTCCACTGTTATTAACACTAAGTGATGTTAATTGTTTCATTTCACTTATTGATTTGGCTCCTTCATCACCAATGATATTTCCACCAATATTAAATGATGTTAATTGTTTCATTTCACTTATTATTGATTCGGCTGTTTCATCACCAATTCCATTGTTACTAATATCAAGTGAAGTTAATTGTTTCATTTCAGTTATTGATTTGGCTGTTTCATCATCAATGCTATTTCCACTAATATTAAATGATGTTAACTGTTTCATTTCACTTATTATTGATTCGGCTGTTACATAACCAATTCGATTGTTACTAATATCAAGTGAAGTTAATTGTTTCATTTCAGTTATGAATGTGGGTTTTTCTATAGAATCAAACAACCTTTTAGAAAATTTAACATTAACAATACTATTCATAAATTGACTCTTCATGAATAATTTAATTCTTTTCTCTGTAAATTTCTTTTTAAATTTAATAAAAAGTTTTGAACGTTCCTTGATCACATTAAAGAATTGTTTTGAAATCAAGGAACAATTATTCAAAATAAACCACGAATTATCAATCATGGAAATTATTTCAAAACAAATATCATCGGAAAATATTTCTTCTCGTTGGAGCGACACTAGTTTTTTCTTTTTTGCTTTCTCCATGTTGTATTGATGAATAGTTCATCCTCCGAAATTAATTTTCAAAATCTTGTCTGCTTTGTTTGCTATTTTTTTTGCAAGTTTTCTGATGTTCTTTGAAATGTGACATCTTTTATAATTCCCACCAGCTAAAAGAAAACAACTATAATTTGTATTGGAAATTAGGTATTTGGCTAGTTCATTAAGGTGTTAGATCATTGTGAAGCTGGCGTAGCTCAGTCGGTAGAGCGTTGGTCTAATAAGCCATTGGTCGCCGGTTCGATCCCGTCCGTCAGCATGCAGTTTTTTCGCATTAAAAAAACTTAAATGATGATTATTTCTCATTATCAAAAGTCATAGAGGAGTTATCTATTACCATTTGCTTACAAGCCATTGTTTTAGTGAATTTTTGGTCTCGAAGAACTAATCGTAACTCCCTGGATCATGTTCACACATCCTTCTTCCTTTAGATCATAAAAAGAACAGATGGAGTTAACATAATCTCAGAAAATCAAAAAAAAAAAATGGGCTTTTTTAAAAGTAAGAAATCAGCAGCTGCTGTCGATGAAGAAATAAGTGAACTTGAAAAATCATCAACGACACCAAACAACACAGAAACAACATCCAGCAAACAACCAACGGCAACAACTCCAGCAAAAACTGAAGTTTTGGACAAACCACAAGAAACAAGTCAACCATCAATTAGTTCAACTACAAATACAACCACAAATGCAACCGATGACAAAAAAGAAATTGCAACCACAACTACTACCAGCAAGAAGGATCTTCCAACCGATAGTTTTATTCATGTCCAAGTAACTGGAGAGAAGTTTTCCGATAAAGCATCCACATTGTTGCCATTAGTTTCTCATCATGTTAAATGTCATGTTACTTATCCTATTGTTCAAGTGGTTTCTACTATGACATTTAATAGTCCACATGGTAAAACAATTGAAGGTGAATTAGTGTTGCCAATGCCTGATGGAGCAACTATGATGGGTTATGCAATGGAAGTGAATGGTAAATTGGTTGATGCTGTCCCAGTTGAGAAGGAAAAGGCAAAAGCTGTATTCGAAAGTGAAGTTAGAGCTGGAGGAACTGTTTCAATTGTTGAAAAGTTGACTCAAGCTTCTAATTGTTTCAAGACAAAGGTTTATCCAATGCATCCAAATCAAGACAAGACAGTTCAAGTCAAATATCAAATGATGTTGAAAGAAAAAGTTGAATCTAAAGATCAAGAAACAGGAACTCTCCAAGGAAGTGTTTTCATTCCAGTTGCATATTTGGATTTTGAAAAGTTACGTTCTGATACCAATATTGAATTCACATTGAATGAAACTTCTCTACAAGGATATGAAACTGAATTGTCAATGAGTTTATCTAAATTTGGTGGAGAAAAGATTGAGAAGGAAAATCAATTATTGTGGACAAGCAAGAATGTCAGTAAGAGAAGCGCCTATTTCCAAATTACTAAAAACCAAATGAGCGAAAACATGGCAGGTTTCAATTTCTCAATCAAGAAGGAAGCCACAAGTGTCAATGACATTCTCTTGGCAGTTGAGAATGGTTATTTCATGACATCAGTTCCAGTTCCTAAAATTCCAGAACAATTGAAGAATCAATCAAGAATTGGAGACAAGATTCAACTTGTTTGGGATTGCTCTCTTTCTCAAGAAGCAGCACACTCAAAGAAAGTTGCCAAACTTAGAAAGATCATTGAAGGTGTAGGTGCTACCTCTATTGAATTGACTCAATTCAGTTGTACCACCATTAAGAGTCAAACATTCACCAATATTGATGATTTATTGAAATATGTCGAATCTGAAGAGTTTGTCTATGATGGTGGATCTAACATGTTACTCTTTGATAAGAATTTATTGAATGATAGTGTAGATTACTGCATTGCCTTTACAGATGGTGTCCATACATTTGGACATGAAATTGGACCAATGTGCTCATTCGGAAAGCCAATTTACTTTGTCAACTTTTCTTCAATTGTCAACTCAACTCTATTGAAACACATTTCCACAAAGAGTGGTGGCATTTATTTGAATGCTAATGAATTGAGCGATGACGAACTTATTAATTCCATTGGTAAACCAGTGCTTTCATTTGCAGTTGCAGATTTTGAAGATGCAGACTTGACAGAAGTTTATCCAAATGAACCAATTACCTTGGTCGAAGGAGAAATCTTCAAACTCTATGGTATGTTCAATAAGAAATCAACCAATTCCAGTACAAAACTTGCTGTTTCCTTCAGATACGGATCAAACGTCTTCCATGTACAAGAACTTGTCCTTCCAATTAGTGAAATGACTCAAACTGATGCTCCAATTGTTCCTTATTTGTGGGCTCAAAAGAAAATTGAATGTCTCTCAGCATTCCCACACTTATTTAAGGAAGAAATCAAACAAATTGGCTTTGATTTCAGAATTGTAACTGATTCTTCTTCACTTGTAGTTTTGGAAAAGTTAGATCAATACTTGAAACATGACATTACTCCACCAGAGTCTCTTCCACTTGTTTTGGGTGAGTTTAAAAAGCTCAAGAAGGAAGAAGCTGATTCAAAACTCAAACAAGAACAACAAAAGACTGAAAGAATTCTTTCAATGTGGAAGCAACGTGTCGATTGGCACAAAACTGACTTTAAATTGCCAGAAATTCAACCTATTCGTCAAACTGTAAATGAAATTAGACTCAATGAATTACCTTCAAGTACAATTACAAGTACTACAAGTGAAATTACAACAACTGGTTCCATTAATATCTACAATAATAATAATAATAATAACAATAGCAATGATCTGTTGTTACCTCCACCTCCTCCTCCAGGAATGGATGCTGTTTCTTGCCCTATTACATTGAATGAAGAAGTGGAGTTATGTTGTGACGAAGAGTGTGAAGAGTGGTGCACTGAGAATAGTGCCGACTCACTAATTATGAGTCGTGATGAATGTTTGTCAAGTCCACCTCCACCTCCACCTTCTCTATCGATGAGATCTGACTGTTTGCCACCTCCACCTTCTTCAGGAAAACAGTCTACAGCAGTTCCTCCACCATTATCATCTGGTCCCCCTCCTTCAAGACCTTCCATGTCAAGTATTCCTCAATCACAAAGTATAAGTAGATCAGCTATTTCACCTGTACTCAGTAGATCTCGTTGTGCAGAGAGTAGCGTCACTGCAAGTTCATCATTACTTGGTGATATTAGACAAAGAAATATTTTGTCATCAAGTGAGCAACAATCCTCCAGTGTAGCTAGTGTAGTTGAGGAATCATCATCTAGTGTTTCTGGATCAATCTCAATTAAAGCATGGAGTCCAGATGCTACTTATTACTCATTGATCAAATCATCAAGTAATCCATACAAGGAATATCTTAAACAAAGAAAATCCTACAGAGATTCACCAGCTTTCTATTTGGATGTTGCTGACATGTTCCTCACATCACTCAATTCTAGAGAGTTGGGAGTTAGAGTTTTGTCAAATGTTGCTGAATTGGAATTGGAAAATGTTCAATTGTATCGTATTGTTGGATATCGTTTGGATCAAGCAGATGAATTGGAACTTGCTGAATGGGTATTCGAAAAGATTAAAAAGATTTCACCACACGAGCCTCAATCTTACAGAGATTTGGCCCTTGTCAAGGAAAGAATGGGAAAGTATGAAGAATCTATGAAATTATTCAATAGAGTTATCACTGACAAATGGGATTCTCGTTTCGATGAAATTGAATTAACAGTTGCCACTGAGATGAACCATCTCTTACTCAAGAATCCAGATCTTCCAATTATTGATAAGAGATTCATTCATAACTTTGATTTGGATATTCGTATCTCAATGGCATGGGATACAGATATGGTTGTAAGTATTTTTAATCACTTTGACATGTTAATCACACCTTTATAGGATATTGTAAGTTTTATTGTAAGATATTTGTATTAATAATTCAATTAGGATTTGCACGTTAATGAGCCAGCTCCACACGGGGAACATGCATACTTTGCTCATAATAGAACAAGAATTGGAGGATACGGTAAGTAATTCACAAGGTGTATTATGTTAAATTTCATTTTCTCTATCCCAATTAGTGAGTAGAGATTTCAGACAAGGTTACGGACCTGAGGAATACATGGTAAAGAAAGCTCCAAAGGGAACATACAAGGCAACAACCAATTATTTCAGTAGCCATTCCCAAAGCTTAACTGGTGGCACAACTATTTTGTGTACCTTCTTTTCTAATTATATGAGACCAGATGAAAAGAGACAAATGGTAACCATTAGACTTTCTTCACACAAGGAAAATATTGAAATTTGTGATATTGAAATTGTTTAAATAAAATTTGATGATAACTTGGATTTAAATACTCCCTTGTGGGTTCGATTGCAATCTTAAACTATTTTACAACAAGCTCCGTCTTCTCTGCTATTTGATTTTTCTTGACAAATAATCTTCACGTCGCAAAATGCTAATGTCATCATCTTATGTCTTTGATATTTATCCAGTCTCTGCATGAATATGGCTTCTTTTTGAATTCTTCTTTTGTCATCATTGGTTAAATAATTACAAATTTCTGGATAGACAATTCTATAATAATTTTCAAACCATACACTAACTGGACACAACACATTATGTTGTTGGTCCTCTCCATAACCAACATGTATTCCAATAGCATTTATCTTATTGAAACTAACCGACTTGAGATGGTCCTTAAATATAACCATATCTTTACCCAATGGTAAATCTACACCAATAACCATTGCTCCTGAACAAGCACTTAAAGTTCCAACTGAATGAAGGAGAGTTTGTTTGGAGATTTTTGTTCCATATCCAAAACTTCCATACATTACACCAGTCTCAATCCATTCCATGATTTGTTCCTTTAGGAGAGGAATATCATGATGACCTTGTCGTTTCAAAACCTCAATATCTTCACTTGTTGGTCCATAATGGTGCAAAAGAAAGGAGAACAAAGCCAATGAATATCTATCATTGAGAATAGTTTTCTCCACTTTTGAAGGTCTCGGAATCATAAAGCTTGGTACAAAAGTATAATCGTGGTGATCTATAAACATTTCAAAAATCTCCCCACTTGTTTTTTCAAGTATTTCCAAAATAGCCCAATCTTCATTCGGATAACATTTCAGTGGAAACAAAGGTCTTCCATGACTAACAATCTTTCCACACAAAACAAATAATGGATGGGCTGCTTGTTTACCAAACTGGACCTCCAACTTCACCAAAGAATTTCCAAGCTTTAAAACATTGTGGAGTGCAGTTGAAATGAAAACCTTTGAGCCACAATTTTTCATAATTGGAGAAAGTAAAGACCCGGCACCAATTAGTGGTAAATTAGTAATGTGCTCATCATCATGTGGTGTAAACATACTCTTCACTATCACAGAGCCCAAGCAAATTTTGGAAAAATCTCTTGGTAGTTCGGTGTAAGGGAGCATTTTGGGTATTGTTGTGGTCCTGAATGGTGACAAAGATGTCGTCATTAAGGCGGAATGTTTTTCCACAAGTAAGGCTTCATCTAGTTCTATAGTTTCAAAAAGTACTGGTTCGTCGAATCGGTATGAGTCTGTTGGATCTGTTGCCATTTTTTTTCAAGTTTTTCTATTTATAATATTGCAATATCTAATGGTTTAAGGAATTGGCCAATTTCTTAATATTTCTTGGATTAGTTCTACAACAGCCACCAATTACCAACTTTCTTTCTGGATGGTTTTCACTCCATTTCTTGATGAATGGAATAAAATCTCTATCATAAAGCCAATCCAATCCACCCTGTGGTATGCTCCAAGATTTTGTGAGATTATCGTAAATTTCACCACTGTTAGGATAGAGAATGATGGAAATATCCTTTCTGAGATGAGTGTGAATATTTTCAATTAAAATTGGAACTATAGATGGAGAAATACAGTTTGCCCCAACAGCAAAAATCTCAAATAATGATGGATTAAACCTATCTTGATTGACATACTCGACACATTTCTCAATACTTTCTCCATGTCCAGTGTGTAAGCCATCTTTACAATAGAATGATATCATCACTTTGATACCTTTCTTATTCAACTCCTTCAAAATATCTGGAATGACTCGATCACATAAAATTTCAACTTCCTTCAAAACAGGCATTGTCTCCAACAAGATAAAATCTGGCTCAGCCAATATCAATTCTCTCACTCTTGGATAGTGAAAATCATAAATTACTTGTTCCATTCCAGATTTTTCCAAAGTTTCACCCAATTTTTCACTCAATTGTTTCACAAACTTGTGAACATAATGTCCACTATTCGAATCAGCATCCTCATCCAAATAATCACCAAAATATTCCTTTGCCTCTCCAAGTAAATTTGAAATTGATGCTCCAAAACAACTAACACTTGCAGCCACCAATTTCTCCTTCTCTCTAACAACTTTTCTAGCAATCTGAACAGAATCCCGAAACATCCTACTGGCCAATTCAATTCTTTCCTCCTCCTTCATTGAAACATGATCAGCAGCAAGTCCCTCCTGAGAAATTTGATAACTACTACTTGTGCAAATATCACACAATCCCTCATGAACATAATCGGAATGTACCTTCGCGATGGCTTTCGGATTTTCCAGTAAATAATTTGCTCCCCACAAGGAACCATTCAATTCTAGTCCTAATTCTGTCATGTATGTAGAAATACCTCCATCGAGTATTAGAATTTTCTGTAATTTCATTAGTAAATAGTAAGAATATTAAATAATTTTAATATATTATTAAAACAAGATGATATTAAAGTTTCTTAAAAATAAATTGGAAGGAAATTTACTTGATTGCTTTCAGACATTTTTTTTAAATGTAATTTTTGATTTTTTCAATTACAGATTTTTATTAATTATTGAGATTACAATCCAGAGAATCAAAAATCAATATTACGGAATTTAATAATTTCTGTATTTCCATTTGATAAACAATTTGTACAATTTCTCAATATTTCACCATTATCGTTCATTGGATGAAAATGCGTTTCAATACTTAGCAAAACCTTGAAGAATTGAAAGATCCATTTCAACAGTTTTCAATAGACTCAATGAAAGTTCAATTTGGAAACAAAATTCAAATATTGGAAACCACAAGTTAAAACAACTTTTTCAATAAAACTAATCGAGTAGATGATGAGTTTTATAATCTAGTAGCAATCATACGGCAAATAAATACGACGACTGAAGTGTTCTCTGCAGTTTTATCTTTTTTAAATATTACATAATACTTGTTTTATTGCATCTTTTGGACACTTTAAAAAGAAACAAGATCAGTAAATTCCACAACTTTTGGATCTAAATTGTAAGCTACTCTCACAATTTCTGGATTATTTCTCAGAGTTTCACTTGCAAATTCTAATGACATGGGCGTTGTCTTGATGCATTGAAGAACAATTTCCTCATCATTTCTCAAATCCTTATCTAATAGCTCTAAAATTCCTCCATAATGTTGAGCCGCATTAAGAATGGCTTGTCTATCTCTCTGAAGTGTTTTATCTGCATAGGCAAAACCTTGATGTTTGCTAGCCATTACAACTTCCTTATTCTTTTTCATTTCTGGAGAGAGAAACTTTAGAACACCTCCATGTTTGGTTACGGCTGTCATTACCACATCTATATCGTTTTTTAAAGATGGATCTATGAATGGGAAGGACATGGGTGATATTTTGAGGTGGCCAATAATTAGCTCTTTATCTTTCTTTTCTTCATCAGAAAGTTTCTCAATTCTATCTGTCAAATGATTCGTAGCTCTGACCTCTTTTAACTTGTTTTTTAGTTGCATACGATCCTCTTCATCTAACTTATGAGAAAGAAGTTCAAATAAATTAGAATTCCTATTGATGGCCCTTATTAAATATTCCTTATTATTACAATATTTTTCCAAATATTTTCCAAAACAGTATGAAGAATCGACCACTCCACATTCGTACAGCTCATCATCAAATGTGGTTAAGATATCCCAATTATAGGAATATTTTTTAAGTACTTCTAATAAAAATTCTCTGTTTTCCAATAATGACTTGTCAAAATATTTGAGGTCAATATAAAGAGAAGTTTCTCTAAGTATCCTAAACATGAGTGGTAAGTCAGATTTCAAACTAGGATCAAAGTGATATAACAGGTATGGCTGTTTAAGAATCATTGCTTTCTGCAATTCCAAATAATCAGAATAGGATTCTTTGAAATCTGCATCAATTTTCATTTTTTGTGCTAGTTTCAATAGAAAGCTCACATCTTTAACTAATTCCTTAGATTTTGAATAGTATTCCAAGAAAGGCCGGAATAAATTTATATTCTTTGCCAATATTCGAATCCAATTATCGATACTTAAACTATTAGATAAATAAGTTGGGTATTCATATCCTCTCTCATATCTGCTTAACATAAACTCCTCATAATCCGAATAATATTTCTTAATTATTTCAGAAATTTTAAACGAAATATCTCTCCAATCTATCATTTTACTCACAAGATTATCCATAAACTCTTTCCTGATCAATAGAGTTGGGCTAGCAAACAAAAGAGCATCTTTCTGTGTTTCCATTGCCAATTTGACAATTTCCTCATCCGATCTCAATTCATTGGATGCAAATTCCAATGCCAACCCATTTTGTTTCACAGCAGCAATTACAACTTTTCTATTCGAATTGAATTCAGGAAAGTGGACCAATAACAATCCATTAATTAACACTACTCTAAATACCAATTGTTCATCAACTATTCCTGCTGGAATAAATTTACACGATTCAATATTTTGTTTGAGAGCTATTCCAATAATATTTCTATCATTTTTGATAGATTCTCCACAATATTTCAATTGCATTCCATCTCTTTTCAATACAGATTCAACAACAGAACGATCATTTCTAATTCTGTCATTTGCCAACTCCAAAACTCTGGGACAAGTTTCCAATCCCTTCAAAATCAATTCCTCATCCTCTCTCAATTCTTCTCTTGGAATTGTACATGCAAATAGAATACTTCCATCACTTTCCAATCCTGCCTTTATAATTTCTCTATCACATTTAAACTTTTCATTTCGAATAGTTTTCAATGCATTTGTGCCAAACGATCGAACAGCCAACCAAGCAAATAACCGATCATTTTCATATTTTGATTCCAGTTTAGACAATTCCGAAGCACTTCTTCTCTTTACTCTAACTGCCATTCTTAAATATTGTACATTTTCATTGGTGAGATGCAGAGATCGGGAGTGAGATATTTTCTTCATCAATTTTAATAAACTTTTAAATAAATTGTGAATTATTTCATCATTATGTTGATCCTGATCACCTTCTCTCGTTACAAGGTAAACATCTGAAAAGTAATTGTCATCAGTAACTTGTGGCCGCATTTTTTTCTGTCAACTGGACTATCAACGCGTTATGTGAAGGTGGTGGGTACAACAGTTTAAACGAATTAGCTCAAAATTGTGTGTTTTTGGAAGAGAAAGGAAAATTACACTCTGAGAAACTTTAACAATTCGTCTTACCACTCATTTCTATTTCTTAAAGACAAGTAATAAAGAAACTATAATTGGGCAAAAGCAAAAAGACTACAGCACCACAGGTTCCCAAGTTGTCTCCAACCTCAGTACTGATGTGGCTCGACGATGCTTAACTTCTCAAATCGGACGGGATGAGGTGCATTCATCGTGATATGGCCGTAGCCATCCATTTTATTAAAATATGTAATTTCAATGCGTTTTACAATTTATTTCAACAGTGGTAACAACCAAATTTTATTGTGTTTTCCCACAGAGATAATAATTGTCATGAAAAGTTCCAGTAATAATTATCTCAAAATTGAAATCTTGTTTCCATCTGCTAAATACATTAATCCTGTTCTCTCGTCAATACATATCCCAGCACAGTTGACAGAATGCATTGCAATAAGATCTCCTGATGTTGTATATGCAGAAATGTAACATTTACCATCACAATATCCACTGAAATAAAGAACACCAGATTCTCTATCCATGCACAACCCATCAACACTCCTTATATTAACAGAAAATGAGGTACGTTTCCAATCCCCATTCTCATATTCAAACTTTATCATTTCCTTCAAGAATATGTAGAGGGTATTTGGTTTCTTACGATCAGCTTCAAAGCATCCAGATATAGCACCCTCCAATTTAATAGTGTAATCCAATAGTGTTCCATTCTTTGCATCAAGAAATCCCATACTATTCTGACTATTAAAAACCACAGCCTTCTTCCCATCCAAAACCATCACATTAATCGGCTCACTCGTATCATATCCAATCTCATTCGAGTAGGTCCAAAGTGGTTTACAACCCTTCTCTTCAATAAATTGTTTCAAATCATACTTTGAAATTTCCTTATCATAAAAAAGCAACAAGGCATCATTCCCACATTGATCATAATCCTCCTCCAATTCAAAATAAAAAGATTCCGTTGCTACCCTTCCCTTAGGTTCCAAAGTTTCATAATCAATAAATAAAAAATATTCACCTGTAACGGCAACAATCACTGAACAGGCTCGGGAAATCCTCACATCATACACATCACATGTACAATTAATACATTTAAATTCTTCAAATTTGTTGGAGAAGGCTATTCGCTTGGGTGATCTGAGTTTTTGTTTCAACATTCCGATCAGTGGAGAATGTTCATTTCTCCCTCTCAAGAAATCAATTAATTCCACCACACAATAATCTTCCTCATCTGCTTGATGTGTAAACATTTTTTTTGTAATTATTATTTAAATATATTTAAATCTCAAGTTTAAATGTTTTACAATTTTATTACATACCAAGTTTGAAGTTTGTGGTTTGTAATAAGTGACAAAAAAGACAAGAAACAGTTTTTACAATGATAAAATCTTCTTAAAGTTATAAGTTCCCAAAATGGAATTATGGTCAATTTTGAAGTTTCTCATTCAATAGAAAAGAACCCAACAATTAACCATGGAATGAGACTGCCAACTGTCACGAGCGTATTAGTGTTGCACTTCACAAGTTAAACATCAGAAAAAAAATGATGCAAATAGTTGTTCGAATCTCATTCGTCCTACTCTTGCTTTGCTTGATCCACCAATCTCACGCCCACACATGTTTCGGTAAGCTTCCAACAGACATGCAAGTATGTGGTGGAAACGGTCTCTGCAAAGCTCAAGATACCTGCGAATGTCTTGACCTTTCGTCTGGAAATTACATGCACTCCTCCATCAATGGATCCATCCCAAAATTAGTACAAATTTACAACCCACAAAATGATGAATATCTTATTCTTCAAAATGATGGTAATTTCGTTCTGTATCAACGTGCTGGATATGCAGATTGGGCACAAGGTTACTATCCAGGTTATTCGAATTATTACATTAAATTGGATAATAGTAATGGAGCATTTAATCTAAATAATGGAAATTCGAATTATCTTACATTCTCTTCTGGTTGCAGTGGAGGTGTTAGTCCTTTCAGATTGGTGGTTAGACCAGATAGAAATTTTATGGTTTATGATTCAGTGGGGAAAATTTGTTGGCAACAATTGGTATTCCCATTGGCCGAAAGTGCAGTAATGTATGGTGGTGCTAATTGTGATAAGCCAATGTGCTACTTGAAGGTTGGAAGTGCTGCATGCAGTTCGAAGGGTACATGTGTTTCGTATAATAAGTGTCAATGTCAGGATGGATATTATGGAAGTGAATGTGCTTCTGCTTTTACCTGTTTTGGTCAAAGTGGGAGTAATGCTTGTGGTGGACCATCCAGAGGTGCTTGTCTTTCCAATAATATTTGCACATGCAAACCAGGTTACCATGGTTCTTCATGTGAAATAGCTTCCTGTTATGGTAAATTCCAAAATGATTCAAGTGTTTGTAATGGAAATGGACAATGTGTTGCAGCAGATACTTGTTCATGTAATGCTGGATATGCTGGTTCTAAATGTGAAACTCCAATTTGTTATGGTAAACTCAGTAATAATGCAAGTGTTTGTTCTGGAAGGGGTATTTGTCTGGCTCCAGATTCATGTTATTGCCAGAATGGTTATGCAGGTTCTGAATGTAATCTGCCTGTTTGCGATGGTAAACTCAGTACAGATCCAACAGTTTGCTCTGGACATGGATCTTGTGTCGCTCCATACACTTGTGTGTGCAGTACTGGATATGGTGGTATCAATTGTAGTCTTCCTATTTGTTATGGAAAGCTCAGTAATAATGCAAGTGCTGTTTGTTCTGGACATGGAGCTTGTATTGCTCCTGGTGCATGTTGGTGTTTGAACGGTTATGCAGGTGTTCAATGTAATATCCCAGTTTGTAATGGTAAACTCAGTACAGATCCAACAGTTTGCTCTGGACATGGATCTTGTGTAGCTCCATACACTTGTGTGTGCAGTACTGGATATGGTGGTGTCAATTGTAATCTCCCTATTTGTGATGGTAAGATCAGTACAAATCAAACAGTTTGCTCTGGACATGGTGATTGTTTTGCTCCAAACAAGTGTAACTGCAGCTCTGGATGGAAATCAGCAACCAATTGCTCCTCCTTCTCATGTGATGATGTTTCATTGAATAATTGCTCCTTTGCTTTGGGAAGAGGTTACTGCTCTGGAAGTAATAATTGTACATGCAATGCTGGATTTACTGGATTGAATTGTAGTATTCCAGTAGTAGGTTCTGAATGTTTGTGGACTAATGTTCAAGCATTTGGTGCTCCAAGTCCAATTATTTCATCGAGCATTGTTGGAAAGGCCATTTCATTTACAGTTTCGTACAAACTTGATGCTGTTCCTTACGAACATTTATTCTTTGTTGGTGAATCCAAGTTCAAGAATTGTTCAGTGAATGGAAATCAAAGTATCGCCTTGAATTTGATTGGTAAATCTAAATGTCAAGCCATTTACTCAACTCCAGAATTCACAATTGATGATTTAATCTCAAATCCTCTCGTGATTAAGCAATACTCTTCAAATATGTTGGTTCTTAAGCTTCCTATTTCCATGAATTACCTTGATAGAGATGGTTCTCAAAATGGTGGATTCTGTAGATCATACGAATTCAAAACTTATCAATTAGTTTACATTCAATCTGGAACAGTAATTGGATCATTCTCTCAGTATAATCCAATCTATGGCTATGCAACTAATGTTTATCCACAAGAGGTAACAACTACATCTAGTGGAAAGCTCTCTATTTCAGTTGTATTGAAAGCAACTAATTTGACATTGAATTCGTTTACTTTCTTCAATACTACAGCTGCTTATTCCATGCAAGTTACTGAATCTACTTTTTTATTCCAAAATGGTGATTCGAATTTCTATCAAATTCAATTCGAATCCCTTACTACATCCAATGATTATAGAGCTCTTACCTATTTCACTGGAACATTCACTAGAAAGGGTGTTACAGACATTACAACTATATATTTCCCAATCCAAATCGAATATACCATTGTTACCCCACCAACTGAAAAGAATATCACAATACAGGGATCAATGTACTTGGCAGGAAATGATTGGTCTCCAAAAACAACCTTCAAAACAGGTGACAGAGTGTTTTCCAATGTACAATCATCAACCTTTACAAGTTCTAGCTCACGTCTAGCTGTCACTGATGCCTATTTCTGCTGTTTCAAAGAGACAATATTCTCATTGATTTATAATCCATCACTTGGTCAATTTGGATGCTCCAAATTCAATTCTTCCTCAATGGATGTCCAACATTCAATAATTTCCAATAATATTGCCAATTCCAAAGTTTCCACAATTATTTATCCATCAAGTTCTAATTATGTTTCCACCTTTTCATTTGCCCTTGAACCTTCTCTCTTCCCATCATCAAGTGCACAAGCAAGATCTTGTTTCGTTCAGACAAATATTGGTTTGGCTTCAGTTTCAAAAAGATCATTACAAGATGAATTGGATCAAGCTGAAGGTTTTGTAATTTCCAATTTTATTGTATCGAGTGACAATGCACGTGCTGTATCATCAGCTCACTCACTCAATTCAAGAAGTGGTTTACAATGTTTGATCTTGATGTTGGTTGCTCTTGTCTGTGCTTTTTATTGAAATTAATAATTGATATAAAAAGAGAATAAAAGAGAATAAAAGCCACATGATCATTTAAGCCAATTCGAATTCCAAATTATCACGGTTATTTATTGATTATAACTTGTTATTGATCAAATGGAAATTGTTTCTTTTCCTCTCTTTCATGAAGGATTTCAATGGTTTGCTTTTGAAGTTCTTCAATTGGTGCATTCTTCACTTGCTCAGAACGTTCGGCCTTTATGATTGCCTCACTCGATGACCCTACAGTTTCATTCCATCCATCAAAATCTGCAAAGGTTTTGGCAACATCTCCTTTGAGTGTTTTCTGTACCTCCTTCTCATACCTCTCTGCATTCTCTGTAACCAATTCAGTCTAATTTGGTTGTTGTTGAATGTTAGGAAAGCTAGCACAAATGTGTTACTTACTCTAACGAATCTAATTTGATTCGAGAATAGTTTCTTATTGTTTGCAAAGATGCTCTTTGTTAGTTTTTTCATTTTGTTCTGCTTTGATTTTGATAACAAGGTTGAAACTCAAACATTATATGTGTTTATCTACCAAAAGAGGAAATAATACAAATAAAGATTGGCCAACTAATAATTTAGAAATATATATTTATAGGGTTTTTGAGTTTTGGGTAGAATTAATGCTTTTTCTTATCTTTTTTCTTATCTTTCTTTTCCTTCTTTTCTTTCTTTTCTTCTTTTTCTTCCTTTACCGATTCTTCCTTCTTTTCCTTCTTTTCCTTCTTGTCCTTCTTCTTCTTATCCTTCTTGGATTCTTCAGCAACAGGTTCTTCTACTTCTTCTTCCTTCTTGGACTTCTTCTTATCCTTCTTTTCCTTCTTGGACTTCTTTTCTTCTTCGGCTGGCTTTTCATCTTCCATGACTTCTTCTTCCTTCTTGGACTTCTTTTCTTTCTTATCCTTCTTGTCCTTCTTCTTGTCCTTCTTTTCCTTCTTGGATTTCTTTTCTTCTTCAACAGGAGTTTCGACAGCATCTCTCTTTCTCTTTTCAGCTGGCTTCTTTTCCTTCTTTGGAGCTTCCTTTTCGTCCTTCTTGGCATGCTTGATAGCATCTCTCATCAATTCAATATTCTTCTTGAGCTTGACAGTGATCTTAGCATTACCAGATGAAGCCTTCTTTTCGTAGAATTCTAATCTTTCAGCAATTTGATCTCTCAACAATTCACCGAATTTAGAAGTTGGGAAATCTTGGAAAGCATCAATACGAGCAGCCATAGCACACTTGTTTGACAAGTATCTAGCAATCTTACCCTTATTTTGCTTAGAAGCCTTTGAGACAAAGCTAGAGTGATAGAGCAAACCATACTTTGGTGTCTTACCTCTGGTCTTCAAAGCTCTAAACAAAGCCTTTTCAGCACCCAAAATTTGGACAGTTGAAGCAGGACATTTACACAAGTTCATCAAGCTACCAGCCTTAGAAATCAAACGAGCACCAACAGATTCACCCAAAATACAAGTCAAGTTTGGAGCAACGTCGTGCATCTTGGTTTCCAAATATTCGAACAATTGAGCTCTGTATTCAGTTAAATCGACAACCTTCTTGGCAAACAATTCCATATTCATCATGTCGAATTCGGAAGCATCTTGACCCATAGAAGAACGAGCAGCTCTGACAACTTGTTCAGTGACTTCTTCATCCTTTGTTATATCATTAAGTTGGTGAACCAATTCATCATACTTTTCACTATCCTTGGAAAGACTGGAACGAGTCTTGATGGCAAGTGCACATTTAGCATAGGCATCATTCTTCTTTACAATCTTAACAAGTTCTGGGAAATGCCATCCGTACCATTCCTTCAATCTCATGGTGAATGTATTCAAATCCTTATCTAATTGATCGAGCATAGAAATAGATTGTATAATGTTGTTATCGGACTTGTTAACGTTGAATTTCACCTTAGCTCTACTGTAAGCGTGACCTAAACCTAATTGAGCCTTTTCCAAATCACCCTTCTTCAAGTTATCAATGAATTTATGAATATGCATACGAATACCACGGCACAATCCCAATACGGAATCATCAGTGAAACAGGTAATCTTCTTTTCAAAGTGTTCTTGAATAGCACCTCCCAATTTGTTTTCCAAAACACCAAGTTGGGTGTCATTCTTAGCTTTCAAATTAGCTTCCAAGAAGTTTTGTAAAAACTCTGTCAAAATACCTTCAGAGATGGCGTTCATGTTTTCCAAACCGTGTTCTGGTGTATCGAATGGTTGGAAAGCAATGAATTTGACCATATCCTTGAAGCGACTATATTCTCCAACTTGTTTTTCAATTTTAGAGTAGGCGACTTCATCGACCTTCTTCTTTTCAAAGATGGCAAAGCCCAAAGCACTTTCAAACAAAATATATGATGGCATCCTAAATAACTATCAACTATTTGTTGGCTACGATTATTATTTAATAAATTCGTGTGATGATGAAAAAAAAATCGAGCCGGTGATTGGTTTTAGAATAGCTTATTTTTTTTCAAAGAATTTGTTGATGAATTGCGCTCTGGTTACAAGCTGGAGAGCAGCGAAAATATTGAAGAGAATTGGCATTTTTGAGAGTGTGGTAGTGAACAGAGTTGGAGAGATGAATATTGTACCTCACACAATAAGCATTTGCTTGTGAAGAGTACATTCAGAGGTTGAGGAAGCACAGAGCACAGAGGAGGGAGGAAAGAAGGTTTGTCTGAATTGTCTTCTGCGGCATGTGATGTGATAATGTCTAGCTTGTTCAACATTGATGTAGAGCATGACGGAGAATAAGAATAAAAAATACTTCAAAAAATACTGTGATATTCATCATGTTTTTGTCATCTTCATAGTCATTGCCATGGTTAGAGTATTGGCTCTATCATTCATCATCAACAAGAATAATTACCAATGACAAGAACATTTCTTAATATTAACAAGATGAACTTGCTCTATTACCTTTTAAAAAATGTCGGAAAATGTTGTATTACAATTGGATGAAGATTGGAGTGGTATGAAGAGTAATTGTTTACTGGACAAGTTACAAGCTCGCTTCCTACTTCAAGCTAAGAGTATGAAAAAGTATCTGGAGCATATTGATGAATTCTTTGCATCTGAATCAAACAAATTCCCAATAGAATTCTACGATGATAGGCAAGTCTTGATGAGAGCCTTTGAGGAGGGACATACAATCTTTCCTGAATTCCTTAATGATTCATTGAAGAAGGATCGAGAATTGGTCTTACATGCTGCTAAGGTTGGTCCTGTATTTGACTGGGCAAGCTCGGAGTTTCTCAAAGATTTTGAAATTGTCTTGGAGATGGTCAAGTATGATACCAAAGTTGCAGATCATTTGCCAGCAAGTATTATTAAGGATAGAGAGAAGGTTAAGATGTTAGTGCAGGCAAATGGTGAAATATTGGACTCATTAAGCATGTTTGACAGCGATAGAGAAATTGGATTGTTATCTGTGAGGAGTGGAGGATCAATTCCTCTTGCCTTTCTTCGTGATAAAGAGTTTGTAAAAGAGTATCTTCTGAGGCATCCTAGAGAGGCCAGAGATGTTAAAGATAAGGATCTAGCCATAGAAATAGTGAAGGCGTTTCCTCATGTTCTACCTTATTTACCAACAAATTTGCAACGTGATAGAGATGTAGTTTATGAAGCAATCAAGATCAATGGTTCGTTGTTGAATCAAATCAGTACTGATAAATTTAAGCAAGATAGGGAATTGCTGTTAGCAGCTTGTAAGACTGGCTACTCAATTGATTCACAAATGGTAAAGCAATTTTATAATGACAGAGAGATTTTAATTGCTTCTCTTGAATCAAATCCATATTTCATTAATTGTTTAAGTAAGGAGTTACAAGGAGACAAGGAATTTCTCAAAAAAAGTTTGGTAACCCTGGGCACTCTTCCATTCAATAATTTACCTGATAATCTATGCAATGATAAGGATTTTATGAGGGAGTTGATTAATCTCAATCCGATAACGTACGAACTTTTATCAGAAGAATTGAGAAGTGATAGAGAACTGGCAGTTTTAGCCCTGAAAAAGAGGGGAGAATTGCTTGAATTTGTCAAATGAAGAATTGAGAGCTGATAAGGAGATTGTAAGAATTGCAATATCCAATTGTGGATATGCCATCCACTTTGCTCACAAGGATATACTTAATGATTTGGATATTGCCATGGATTCAATAAGACAGAATGGAGCAGCATTAATTCATTTACCTCATTTACATTCTGATAGAACAGCCATTTTGGAAGCATTAAGAAATCCTCCCAAAGATGCAGGAGATCGGTTTGATTTATTTGAGTATGCCTCTTATGAATTAAAGGATGACAGAGATTTTGTCAAACAAGTTGTAAAAATTAGCCCTAATTCTTACAGAAACATTTCTAAAAGGTTGAAAAATGATAATTCTTTGGTGTTAGAATTGGTAGATGAAATGCCATCCATTTTACATTATCGCTTTTACAATTACAACTTTGACAGAGAATTTCTCTTTAATATTTTAAAGAGAGATGCAGGCATATTTCCAATAATTCCATATAATTTCCAGTTAGATTTTGATTTCCTTTTGGAGGCAGTTTCACAGAATGGTCTATTAATGGAGAGGAGAATATCAAAGGAACAATTTAATCTCCTGAAAAAATCAAGAACAGACAGAGAATATCCTCAACTTTTCCTCTCTCCCACCCATAAGAATGCTTAATGAAAAAAACTAGATATGTCACTATTTCAGAATGAATATTCTCTTGGAAAAGGCATCACTAACGAACAGTTCACCAGTCCTATCAGACCAGAATGCTCCTAAAGGGTTCTTGATTGAAAGATTGTACTGATGAATCAGTGCCTTGGTTTCCCAATTAAAGACATGCATATAGCTATCTGATAGAGCCAAGAATTGTTTAGTGATTGGATCTACAATAATGTTTGAGGGAAGTAGCATGGAAGGATTTTTAAATTCTGCAACCTTGGTCCATCGTTTAAGCCCTTCCTCTTTCAGCATTGTTACAATAACAAACTCACACACAAAAATAAAACGTTCTTCCTCAGCGAAACATAAAGAAAAAGGTGAAAGCTCTGCACCTTTCCGAATCTTGGCAATAATATTTGAATCCTTTGAGTTTAAAATTACAATCTCACTAAAATCTACACTGTAAATGAAATTGTGATACTCATTCTCATAAAAGATATTGTACCGAAGAACCATTCCACAAGGAACATGTGTGAGGGTTCTTTTCCAAATTATTATTTCTTGTCTCTTTTCCAAAATACTCCTCAAATCAAATTTAATAATAAACCCATTATGTACTCCTGCATGCGAGAGAATCAGAGCATCACCTTCCATTCCCTTTTGGCTCACCTCTTCAATGACCACATGATTAAAATTATCAATGTAATAAGGTTGATCTCCTCGATCGGGCTCAAAAATCAATTTTAATTCCTTTGAATGAAGATCGAATATTAAAATTTGAGTCTTTGCACAGGCAAGTATCAACTGCCATTTGTTAGAAACGTATAATCCTTTCAATGATGATACATTTGCAAATTCCAAAACATTAATACAATCAGTTACATTAAATTCCTCGGGAAAGGAATATCGAATTGGTTTTCTAAGTGTTTTTGTCAATTTGTTGAGTATTTTGCGATCCCGAAAGGGAAATTCATCTAGAATAATTCTCGTCATTTTTTTAAATATTTTAATTTATTGTAAAGTTTATTAAAACACTTTAATGTTTCAAATGTTTAATGTCATCTTCGACTTGTTTAAGTGCCAATTTGGCTCTTGTGTGCAATACTTCCTCAAATGAATATCCACTAATCTTGTTACACTTTTCCAAGTTGTGTTTGGCATCATGCAAGAGTTTCAATTTATCATCCTTTGAAACTGAATCATCACATTTCTTATATTTGGTCAAGTAGAGTGATTCAGCCAATTCATAATATGAGAATGCAATCCATTGCTTCTCAATCTTGATCTTATTTTCAAAGGCGATGGCATTTTGGAATTCTGGCAAACTCTTCTCTGCATCATCCAAAATCTTGGTGAATTGAGCTCTGATGACTGATAAGCAAGCTTGGATATCTGGATAAACTTTGGATTTTTCATCGATAGTTTTAGAGAGACATGTCTTTTGGAATAGTTCATATAATGGCTTGGCATGTTCTGGTTTCAAGTTGGCCAAATCTCTTCTCAAATACATCAATTGGAAGAAACTCAAGTACAGGATGAGATGTCTTTCTTCTTCATTCTTGGCATATTTCAAAGTTTCAATCTTTTCATTGGAGAATTTGCTTTGTTTTGGAACATATTTTGACAAGTTGTCAATAATTTCATTGGCTCCCTTGATATCTCCACATTTCAATTTGCAAACGGCCAAAATGAGAGCTGCATTACCTTTGGAGTCATTGGCATGTTCCTTATTGATTAATTCGTACAATATCTCTTGAGCTTCCTCGAATTGCATGGCAACGACCAATGTAAAACCAGTTTCGAATAGGTAATTATTTGGAGAGGTACCCATAGCTTCCTTCAACAATGAAACAGCTTCCTTAATGTGAATGACAGAATTTGTCAAATCACCAATCTTTAACTCGTAATGTGAAAGAACCCATTTAAAGAAACCTCCTTTCGGATATTGCTTATAAATCTTATCAAGAATTGGCTTGACCAAATTCAAATTCACTTGACGATCTTGCAATGCACGTGGAACAAACAAATAATTAATACACAACATGAAACTGGCATTTCCCAATCCTCTGCCACCATATTCCTGAGCTTGTGTCATTAATTTCAAACCCAATTCCCTATCAGCATCAAAACCCAAAACACTTAAAATGGAGGCCAAAGTTGGAGGCAAAACTGAAATTAAAAAGTTGAAAACACCCATTCCAAAATAGGAAGGGAAAATCACATCACTGTGAACAAATTTTGATGAAGTTTTTGGTTCATCTTTGAGAGTTTCAATTTTGTGGTAAACTTCTTTGAATTTCAAATAGGAATTTCTGAAATTGTAAAATCCTCTCAGATAGGAACCATCCATGAATTGTAAAAGACCTCTAATTAAGTGAGCTTCGGCATCGACAAGTTTCAGATCAAGTTCAAAATTCGAAAGTTGTTGTTCTTCTGTCATTTCGTCTAAAAGACAGTAATTTGGATGAGATTTATCTGCAGAATCAAAGAAATCGACAGCAACATCTAATTCTGAATTGCTGGAAGTTGATGGCATGTCATAAAGTTCCTTATTATATTGTTTAATGTCATGAATCATTTTTAAAATGTCATCTTGACGATGGACCTTCTTTAAACTGTTTTCAGCAGCTACGATTTGTTCGAAAGCAACTTCTCTTTGATTAGTTTCACCAGAAATACCAGAACTGAAGGCAGCTTTCATTATTCGAAAAGAAAAGAAAGTAGAAGAAACTTACGAATTGTTGCCAATTCCATAGCCATTCTTGGAATATGAATCTTGTCATTCAAATACTCCTTAGCCTTTGCGAAATCAGTATTCCACACATAAAAGTTTCCTTTCAACACACAATTGTACATTTTTTTAAAGTTTGAATTGTTGATTGTTGACTGATGTCATGACTTGAAAAGATCTACAAACTGGAACCATCCATTTTCTCATCAATAACAAGTTAGAACACATAAAACATCACTGCTGTCAACTAGAATCGATTTAGCGTAAAGGAAGATACTATTCGAAATGTCACACAACCGATTTACTACTTGAACAATGTTGTAATCTATTGATTGGAGCAAATCGGGAAATTTAGCAAAGTATGTATTGAAATTTCATATTGTAACATAAAAAATTCAAATCTTTCTTATTCATTTACATTATCCATAGTATGAACAAACATTAGTGAGGGAGCAAAGAATAGTTTCAGGTGTGTTATGTGCTCTATACCTAATTGAAAATGTCTTGATATTCTCTGTACTGTAGACAGGTCCATATTTATCGTAACCTCTCTGTTGCTTTCGTGAGATGTGTGAATTTGTGAGAATGAGTTGTTCTTCATTTGTGTTTTGATTTTTTGATTTTTGATTTCTGGAGGCGAGCCACCAATTATTCAAAAGTAATTTGAAGAATTTCCTTAAAAAAGATTCAATTGTCAGAACAATTGGTGATCTTTCGTGTTTTTCTCGTTGGGAGAAGGAGTGTGAAGGAATATTTTCTTTAAAATCAATCAAGTTGATGAGAGGAATTGAGAATATGCCATCTGCTGAGCCACTCTTACCACTGGATGAGTATTTTAAATGAGTGGCATCTTGGATGAATCCTCCATTTTCGAATAATTGATCAATTTGCTGTTTGGAATCAATGACTAGTTCAGTATAATTCCTTTGTCCGTAATATTCATCATTTGGTTCGTCATTTGTATCGTCAGTTGTTTCGTTTTGATTATTTGAATACACAAATGGATAATTATTTTCAATTTCCTCAATTGAATTTCTACTGGCAGTATAAGTATTTCGTGTTGAGGTATTTTCAGTTCTCGAATTGATAGTTCCAATAACCGATTGATAATTAGAATCAATCTCCTTGTCCATTTCATTAAGAAAGTGAATTTGCCAAGCTCTTGCCCACCAAACAGCATTTCTACTTTCAAAATACGAAACTACCATCTCATTAAAAGCATGACAAGCCGATTCAATTTGAATCAAATCGACAATGGTAAGAAAATCAAAAATTGAATCTTGCACAATTTGCATTGTTTTCATCATGAGTTTTGAATTTTCAATCTTGATTACTTTTGTATTCTTCAAATTCTTGACATTGTTTAAAGAACTTTCCTCAGGAATTATTCGAAAATTAGTATTAGAATAATTATTGCTATTAATTGGAGGTAATTTGATGGAATTATCATCATCATCTTTACTCGATTTAATCTTGAATTTTTCCATCAAACCCATCTTGCTCAAAGTTTCGTATTTTTTTTAAAGATATTCTATTATTTAAACATTTCAGTTGAAATATCATCTATTGAACTTGTTCTTCCCATTCTACCTTTGGCAACACTAACAAATTGATACACAGTTTACAAAATATTATGACAATTCAACGGTTCATTTTCCCGCTCTCCGACATGCTTGTTTAGCAAATCCAAGGAAAATCATCAAAAAAAAGAAAAAGCAAACAGCACTGTCGTCCTGTTACTTGTTGTCTGAACGTTCAGCTTCACATAAATTCATTTAAATTATTATATATATTTTAATATATATTTTGGATAACAATTAATAATAGTAATAATAATATGGATGAAGATAAACCATTACATATGGTGATACACTCACCGAGGAGAGGAAGTACCAATAATGATGGTGATGATCCACCTTCCGAAGAAGTTGTAGTGGAAATTTCATTAGTAACAAAAGATTCGAGTTATAAGAAGATGAATTCACAAAAGTTTGGATTTTTAAAACAAGTATTGGGACCTTCGTTTTTAAATAAGGGATTCTTCAATGTGGTCATTCTTGGATTTTCCTTCTTTTTGTTATTTGCAGCCTTTGGTACAACACAATCATTTGTTACTACTGTGAGAAAGTCGGAGGGATTTGTGTCACTCTCGATATTGTATGCAGTATTTGCATTTTCCAATTTCTTTGCTCCTTCCTTTTGTCAATTATTGACTCCAAAGTATGCATGCATTATAGGAGCTTTGTGTTATTGTTTGTTTGTGTTTGCTGCTGGATTTGAGTCGACAGTCTTGTTCTATTCGGCATCAGTTGTGAATGGATTTGGTGCAGCTATGGGTAAGTAATTGTTTTGGTGGTAAATGAATTTCAATGATTCAAATTCATCGAATAGTATGGTGTGCTCAAGGAACAATGATTACACAAAGTGCAGTTGTTGCACAGAATAAGGTGAAGAAATCTCAATCGAATGATGAAAGTGGAAAAAAGAGTGTGGAAGTTATGGGCTTGTTTTCTGGAGTTTTCTTTGCAATTTTTCAATTGAATTCAATTTTTGGAAATTCTCTTGCTGGAGCTTTGTTTGGAGCTGGAATGTCTAATTTTCAACTGTTTCTCATCTTGTCAATTATTGCTGTTGTGGGTGTTGGTTTAATGCTTGCTATTAGACCAATATCGAAGAGCGAAGTTGAGGATATAGATGAAGAAAAAGCACCAACAGATGAACCAACTTATGGAGCTATTGGTGGATCTTACTTTAACAAGATTATTCACAAAATTAAGGTATATTTCACTGAGGAATTATCTGGCCAGGCAAAGCAATTTGTAGCTCTATTGAAAGAATCCATTCTGGTGTTGGTTTCTCCTAAAATGTTGGTCTTTAGTGTCATTTCATTCCACAGTGGATTTGGATCTTCATACTTTACTGGCAGTTTACCACCTATTGTTGGTAAAACAATGTTGGGATGGGTCATGATAATGTTTGGTATTACTCAAGTGTCTGGTGCTTTAATTTCTGGTAAAATGCTTGACAAGATTGGAAAACGAGTGACCATGATCTTTACTCTGGTTATTTATTGTATTGCAATTGCCCTTAGTTCTCAAATGGTCTATTGGGGAAAGGAATTGAAGGATAACAAATTGGATGAAAGCTTTAATGCACCAATTTATTTGTTATTCTTTGTGAATATGGCCTTATTTGGACTTTCAGATAGTTTCCTCACAAACACAATTTATGGAATATTGGGAAGTAAGAATTACTACAAGAAGAAGAATACTGCTGAGGCCTTTGCAGCATTCAAGATGACTCAATCTCTATCATCAGCTGTTGGATTTTTCTGTGGAATTTATCTCACTGTAAATACGATTCAAATTATTATTGCTTGCTCCTATGTTGCTTGCTTGATTGCCTTTTTTATTTTGGAAAAATTTGTTGCACCAGTTGATTGTGAAAAGAAGAAAAAACCAACTGCTCTATTGATTTAGAATCATTTCTCTATTTATTAATTTACAATATTTAAAACTAATTTTTTAAATAATTTAATATTATTTTTTGTATTTTAAAAAAATCAAAAAAATCCAACAACACCAAAAGCAACAAATTTAATGTCCCGAAAGGACTTGAATTATTTACAAGTAACAACCGATAATATTCCGTGATTTAGTTCCAAATTATCATCATCCATGACGCAAATTATTTATGATGATGATACGACTGTTGTTCCCTTTCTATTAATTAATAATAATCATAATACTACTAGTAGTAGTAATCATCAACATTCATCTAGTAGTGGTTCCTTGCTATTATTTAATGAGGAAATTAATTGTTCCGAAACTGTGCTTGATGATGACAAGTTGATCAAGATTTTACAGAGAAAGCCTTTAAGAACCAATGAATTATTTGTGTATGGTGATGAATTTGTTGAAGAACATGTTTTAATTGTTGATTCCCAGTTGCAACAACAAGAAGAAACAGAGCAAATTGATCACTTTGTAAAGATCCCTCACAAAAACAATAGGATGAATGCATTCTGTAAAGGTGGAGTCTTGTGCATGAATAATATTGATCATCAAGTGAAAAGTATCAAGTCTACTGTATTGGATATTGATGAAAATATTGAAAAGATTGAATCTGGATCTTGGCATACTCTAATTTTAACAAGTAAGAATAGGATATTTGCAATTGGAAAGAATGCTGATTCTCAATTGAATATTAGTAGCACTGTACACTCTACTGTATACAAACACATTTTGAAATTTTGTTTGGAAGATTTAGAAATTAAAGACATTGCTTGTGGTAAAAGAAATAGTATGATATTGACAAAAGATGGACAGGTGTATGGAGTGGGTAAGTTGTTGGTGGAACATTGGTTTTGGTCTAATATTATTACAAAATTCATGCAACTGGCTAATTAGGATATAATATTTATGGACAGATTGGATGTGTCAATGATGAAAATTATTTGGGAGAGGACTATTGTAGAGTAAACACACTTTCCAAGACGAGAATTGATGAGAAGGTCAAACTACTTGCTTGTGGATCGTATCATACCATCATGATAACAAGAACCAACAAGGTCTATTTCTGTGGAGAAATGTATGGAGATGTTGATATAAAAATACCAAGTAGACTGACATTCTTTGATGAATTGGTGGAGAGTAATGATTATGTTATATTTGCATCTTGTGGCGAGTTGCATTCTGTATTTCTGACAAAATTAGGACAAGTTTTTGCATGTGGAAGGAATTCTTATGGTCAACTTGGGTTACAAGACTTTAAATCGAGGTCAGATATTACTCTGATCGATAAGAAGCACTTTTCCAACCAATCCATTTCAATGATTGCTTGTGGATGGAATCATACTCTTTTCCTTACTAGGAATAATCAGCTTTATTGTTCAGGAAGAAACAAGCATGGCCAATTAGGATTAGGAGATTATTCCGATAGGAATATGCCTACAAGAATTAACACTGTTAACGAGCTCATTACTTCAATTCATGCAGGAAGAGCATGTTCTGTATTTGGAACCAAAAAGGGACACTTTTACATCACTGGTTCAAGTTATTGTGAAAAGATTGAGGGAGACATTTCTGTACCTCATAGAATTCTCTTGCCCAACTCTTTTCTACAAAACCCTTCCTTTTCTTATCAATTATTTACTAGCTCTAAATCTCGTAGCATTTATCTCACTAAGAAAGAGAATACTAGGCTAGCTTGGACATTTGCTAGAATGAAGCGTAGATTAGTTACAGATTTTTACACAGATATTTCAATAATTGTAAATAATCCAAAGCCTTTAACGCCTCCACCACAAGAAGTTATCATTTTATAACTTTATCAAATATACTCAATTTAACAATGAGAATTCTATTAATTTATTTGATTAATTTTACCAACAAAGAGAACACTTTGGGTAGGAATGTGGTTCAATACGAATGCAAAAGGTCTATCTGCAATAAATTCGTATACCTTTTCAGAAGAGCTAGATTTACTCTTTTTTCTGGCTGAGATGGCAGTTGCTGCACTTGCAACAGTTCCACATTCGTCCACTTCAATGCATGCCTTGTGAATTATTTGATCTACATAGATTCCATCAGTGTTTGGATTAGAGAGCATGTTGGAAAAATCAGCTGTGTTAGAATTGAATAAGGACTTGATATTGAATGGGTTGCCTGACATTTTGGAAATAATGTTGGCGAATTGCTTTTCAAATTTGAATTTAGGAATTCTAATCTTTCTCATCTTTACCATTTCTTTAGGATAGATTTGGGTAATATCAGTTAATTTTGAATTGATCCATTTGTTGAAGCTAATTTCATTTTCCTCGTCTACATCAATGGAATCATCTGGTTTGATAATGAGCATACAATAATCTTCGTCTGTGTATGGTAATTTTAAAATGTGACAATCTTCTATTTCTTCAAAATAAAAATTACTTTTACAATCTTCCAAACTCATCATTTGGCAATTGGTTGAGTCACCCTCTGGATCTTTGACAGTTCTGAATGCAGTTTCCACAGTTCTATTCTTAAGAAATTGATGCTTCCATTTACCATTAAAGTAGATGGCATTTACAAGAACCATGAGTGTTTCCTTGTCAAGTTCAGTAATCAAATTTCTAATGGAATTCTTTGTGATGGAAGCAACCCAATTGTTAATTTTTGAAACTTCTGATTTGGTACCATTCTTGAAATTAGCCAACTGAGTTTCAGAATCAAATTGATCTTCTAATTCTTGAATAAATTCGCTCTTAATATCGACAGACTTTTCAACATAAATTCTGTTTGCAATTGATAAAACATCCTGATTTTGAACAATCTTCTTGATCATTGTAGAGTACTGCTTCAATTCACTTTCCTTCCATTGTTGGAACTGTTCATTGAAATCGTTCATCTTACAACTGTCGAAACTATCCTTAAGGAATAAACCGTTTATCATTTCCTTCAATGTATTTCCTCCAGTTGCCATCATGCAATTAATCATGGCCAGGTAAATAGAAAATGGAGAAATAATTACATTGGAATCTACTGCACTCTCATCGACAACTTGGGAGAAAAGGGCAGAAGAGAATTCATTCTGTGCTAACAAGATATTTGTCTTGGCTTGCTTTGATTCAGTGATATTGGTTGTGGTTTTCTTGGTTGTTTGTTGTTTTGGCATTTTTTTTGTTGAAGAGCGGTGGTATTGCAAGTCAAATCAGATTTAACTGTGACATGGATTCCAGTTTAGGATGGTAGAGTTAGTGGATGTAACAAAAGGAAGGATAATGACCATATTAATGGTTACACAGGCATTAAGTTAAAAATATGATTTTACATAAATTATTGGTAAATGAAATCAAGGTCAGAAATTCGTTCCGAGTCAACCATGGTATGAAGTCTTTCTTTGAAATAGTTACTCTTCTTTGAGTTTTGCTTGTACATTACGTAGTGCCATCCACAATTCGTCAATGTATCACAAGCAAAGCCCTCCAGATGAAACTTTATGATTTTTGGAACAACTGTATTTGAAACTAAAGTTGTAAAATGTTCAACAACCTCTCCTACCATTGTAACCTCATCACCTTAAAAAGATTAGCAAAAGAAGAACAAAATACTCACCACTAACAACCCAAGTACCTCTTGAGGAACATCCAAATCTCTCAATATAACCGAATGAGTATTGAATTTTGGTAAATTGTTTAATCTCACCACTGGAATTATCCCAAGTGGCTTGATTCAAACAATTGTAGCCACATGCAAATAATTCATTATTCTGCAAAAGAACCACAGTATGAAAGTATCCACATTGGATATCTCTAATTTCGTGTTCAAATTTAGCAATATGCACAAACTGTGTTGATGAAACATTTTGATTGTAGTCTCCAAACTTTTCTGAAAACACAAAGAATACATTATCGCCTCCTCTTGCATAAAGATCATGAGAAGAAGCCAGAATTGATCCTCTTCCACAACATGCAGCTCTCAAAATATTCGGTTGTGGATCAGTAGAAAAAAAAACAACCTCCTTTCCATTCTCAAAAATAGTTCCGTCATAGGTCAGCACGACATGACAAGAAGAAAGAGGTCCAGCGATAAACTTTCTGATTCCTCTATGATCTGAATAATTGTTAACTAATAATTGACCTGTAGTGAGAGAAAAAGATCCAACATTCCCATCTTTTTTGTCCACTAAATACACATAATCCTTTCCCATAACATATTGAATATTATAAACAATAGAGTCCTCCATCAAATTTGGGTATTCAATCTTTGTCATTTCTATTCTATTATCTTTATCGTGATCAATCAAAGTAATAGGTGTTTTTACTGTATTGTGTGTTTTATGCCTAATAAATTCTTTAGCATTGATCTCGACCAGTCTATTAGAAGATGCACAAACAAAGAATATACTCTTATCTCCTCCGATAATATTACTAAAAGCAAAGGAAGATTTACCATCAATCTCTAATCTGACAAATTTATCAGTATAAGTGTATGAAACAAAATCTATTTTGTTGATCATCGTCATCATCATGATCTAAAAATTTGATTTAAAAAACTCACTATCAAACTGAAGGGTATTAGCAATGTAGAGTGTTCTTGACATTTTTTTTTTTGATTTTTTTACAAAAAGCAAGTTCATGTCTAATGAGATTCAGCAACGAAATTCAAAGTATTATTTTTCTTCTTGGTTTTACAATATTAATAATATGAATCAGTTTTTTTGTAAGCATCTGATGAAAATTAACAAACAAAAAAATGAGCAAACGAAACAGACAAGATTTCGAAAAGCTAAAAACTTCGGAGGAACTGCTACTCGTGATCAATCATAATAATAATAACATGGAGGAGAAGGCAAAAAAGAAAAAACTAGTGTCGCTCCAACGAGAAGAAATATTTTCCGATGATATTTGTTTTGAAATAATTTCCATGATTGATGATTCGTGGTTTATTTTGAATAATTGTTCCTTGATTTCAAAACAATTCTTTAATGTGATCAAGGAACGTTCAAAACTTTTTATTAAATTTAAAAAGAAATTTACAGAGAAAAGAATTGAATTATTCACGAAAAGTCAATTTATGAATAGTATTGTTAATGTTAAATTTTCTAAAAGGTTGTTTGACTCTATAGAAAAACCCACATTCATAACTGAAATGAAACAATTAACATCACTTGATATTAGTAACAATCGAATTGGTGATGAAGGAGTCAAATTTATAAGTGAAATGAAACAGTTAATATCACTTGGTATTTATAACAATGGAATTGGTGATGAAGGAGTCAAATCAATAATTGAAATGAAACGATTAACATCACTTGGTATTGGTGGAAATCAAATTGGTGATGAAGGAGCCAAGTCAATAAGCGAAATGAAACAATTAACATCACTTGATATTAATAACAATCAAACTGGTGATGAAGGAGTCAAATTTATATGTGAAATGAAACAATTAACATCACTTACTATTTATAACAATCGAATTGGTGATGAAGGAGCCAAATCAATAAGTGAAATGAAACAATTAACATCACTTAATATTTCTGAAAATCGAATTGGTGACGAAGGAGCCATATTTATAAGTGAACTGAAACAATTAACATCACTTGATATATGTTACAATCGAATTGGTGATAAAGAAGCCAAATTTATATGTGAAATGAAACAATTAAAATCACTTGATATTGGCGGAAATCAAATTGGTGATGAAGGAGTCAAGTTCATAAGTGAAATGACACGATTAACATCACTTGATATATTTAAAAAGAATTGGTGAAAAGAATGAATTATTCACGAAAAGTCAATTTATGAATAGTATTGTTAATGTTATATTTACTAAAAGGTTGTTTGACTCTATAGAAAAACCCACATTCATAACTGAAATGAAACAATTAACATCACTTGATATTTGTAAAATCGAATTGGTGATGAAGGAGCCAAATTTATAAGTGAAATGAAACAGTTAATATCACTTGATATTAGTAACAATCGAATTGGTGATGAAGGAGTCAAATCAATAAGTGAAATGAAACGATTAACATCACTTGGTATTGGTGGAAATCGAATTGGTGATGAAGGAGCCAAGTCAATAAGCGAAATGAAACAATTAACATCACTTATATTTATAACAATCGAATTGGTGATGAAGGAGTCAAATTTATTATTGAAATGAAACAATTAACATCACTTAATATTTCTGAAAATCGAATTGGTGATGAAGGAGCCATATTTATAAGTGAAATGAAACAATTAACATCACTTGATATTAGTTACAATAGAATTGGTGATGAAGGAGTCAAATCAATAAGCGAAATGAAACGATTAACATCACTTGGTATTGGTAGAAATCGAGTTGGTGATGAAGGAGCCATATTAATAAGTGAAATGAAACAATTAACATCACTCGACTATTTATAACAATCGAATTGGTGATGAAGGAGTCAATTTATTAGTGAAATGAAACGATTAAAATCACTTGTTATTGGTGGAAATCAAATTGGTGATGAAGGAGCCAAATTTATAAGTGAAATGAGACAATTAAAATCACTTGATATTGGTGGAAATCAAATTAGTGTAGAAGGATTCAAATTCATAAGTGAAATGAAACAATTAACATCACTTAGTACTAAGTAGTATTATACAGGAAGTATGAAAGTAAGTCACCTTGTATATTTTTAAATCAATAAACACACCTAACAAAAAAGATTGAAAGCATACCCTTATTGAGCTGCTCTAATTGCTCTTCTGAATTTTCCCCAAAAAGATATTTTGGATTTGGATAAATTATGGATAAACTGTTTCGAATTATGCAAAGAATATTTAAACGAAACCAAACTTTCTTCAAGCCAGAATCCAATCCAATAAAATCCTCACTGACGAAGAAATGCTTTCATTGTTTTACATTTAAAACCTTGTTCTTTAAAAAACCTTGCTAGTTCATTAGTTGGGAACTGTTGTTGTACATCTCTTGAAATTCCCACAGCTGCTTCCATTAAATTGATTCCAAATATTAAATGAAACAAATCCAGAGGAGCTTGTTGTATCCAGTTAACGTGAGTACTATTAAATTATTGTTATTTAACAAACATCAAAGAAGTAAATAAATGTCATTTGTCTCTGTCTATTCGAATATTAAAAAAAATGTGGATAACAAGACGTAGAACAATACTTTCCTTTATTTTACTGACAATATCTAGTTGTCTCGTGTATATATTTCTCTTCATTCTCTATCAACCAAATATTGATGAAAAATTAACTTTTCTTCATCCAATCATAATCCGAAACAAATATTCGAAAGCTAAAATTGCAATCGTTTCATTCCATACGAAAAGCTTTCAAGAAATTGGACGAATGACAAGTCTGAACAAGATTTTCTACTCTCTAAAACATAATTATGATTTTATCCTATTCAATCAACCTTTCTATAAATCATGGTTTGTGAAACCTGCTTGGAATAAGATTCCACTTATCAAAAGTCAATTGAGTAGTTATGATTGGATTATTTGGATTGATTCTGATGCACTTGTGTTATTGCATCAAGTTGATTTGGATCAAATTATTGAGGAATCGTTGAAACGAGATCCGAATAAGAATAGAGAAATTAACCTAATCATTTCATATGATAGAAATGGATTGAATAGTGGAATAATGGCTATTAGAAATTGTAAATGGTCACATCAGATATTGAATAATGTACTCAGTTGGAAATACTTTCTCTATTCCATGCATTGGTATGCAGAACAAACTCCACTCGCTATGGAACTCGAACATGGAAAATCTCAGAATGTTCGAGTTGCCTTGAAATCATTCCTCAATTCGTACATGTATGATTATAGGGAGGGTAAATCATTTATATTTCACTTGGCTGGATGTAATAAGTATGAGGGAAATTTGTGTGCCTCAATTATGAGAAACTTTTATGAAAATTGGAGGGAAAGGAATGTCACCACAGTGGAGGATAGAGAATTATTGAGAAAGACTGAAATTATTTATGATGGAGTGAGTGGAGGTGGATCATAATGTGATTGCTAAATAAACCAATTCAAAAGAATATTTGAAAATTGTGAAATCGTGTATGTGGAATTTTGGAGATGCTTTCGAGTCATTACCTTTACCTAATGTTCCTTCCATTAACTTAAATTTCTCGATACTGTACTATATAAGAGAGATATGATCCGTCAGCACTTGATAATTTAAGTAAGGTATCTAGAGTGGATATAAATGATTTAAGAAAGTCTGTTTTGAAGCAAATTCAATTTGAATGCTCTCAATGCCTTTTGTTTTTTTAATAACACAAAGAAGAAGAATTGCAGTGAAGGTTGTTTGAAATTTTACTTCAACCAAAAGGCAGGAGCGTTTCAATTCCCGGCACTCGAGATTAATTTTTCACTTCATCTCTTAATTTTAATATTCAAAATATCGATAAAAGCATCTAGTCTACCTAATTCTCGATTTTCAAATGATCATCTCTTAAAACCATAAAGAAGATAACCTCAGATTATACTGACCTATTTTCTGCAAAAATCACAAGCAGATACTCAACTGAACTTGGCAAAGTTGAGCTCAAAAAACCAATGAACGTTTTCTATGCATCTGATGTATTTTAATACTGCTTTGTCCAGTAATAAATCTTGTGCCTCTTGAAATTGAACAAATTTACCAAATAATGTTTTTCACTTTAATGAAATTACATTTTGGATTTCTTGTGCTTTACCTTCCATTTTTCTTTAAACAATGAAAGTTATCCAGAATTTTGTTTGTATTCAAAGGAACTAATTGTTTTTTTGTTTCTACTTTCAATGAAGGAGCAGCCTTAATGAATGCAGTACACGAAGTTGGAGGACTGCATTTGATATTTGATGGATTCAATTTATCCTCCATCTTGTTCATGGTTTGGGTCCCTCATCATGCTTACTATTATTTAATTTAATATCTTCGTCATCATACAAGCTCGGAATTTGAAAAAAAACTCAATTTTACTCTGATTGAGATTCTCAATGCGCAATGAATTTTCAATTAATAAAAAGAGTTGGGTGGCTCCTAATCTGACGGTTTGTGCAATGTCTGATTGAAACCAAATCAAAGTGAGCAATTAAGCTCAACCCCTGATCCCTACAAAAAATTGAGTTAATAGTAATGCAACCCGTGGGCTGCTTTCAGCTATTAAACTGAAAAGAATAGATACTCGATCAAAGCCAATTGGCCGAGAAAGATGGTTTTGAGTATTACATAAGGATCATTGTATTTATTCTGTTTGTTGTCGAGTGAGGATTGGCTAAATGTTTGTGGTATTTTAATAAATAATAATGCCTAGTACAATTATTGAACATGTAGTGAATCTTAATTACTAATTGATGATGGAGCAATGTAGGTAATCAATCCAACGAAGCTGTTTGGAATAATGGAAAGAAAGAGAGAAGCAAACTGGATTGACCATAAAGATGGCAAACTTGATAAGTAACACTAGTATCACATTCTGATAAGGCAAAAAGACTACAGCACCACAGGTTCCCAAGTTGTCTCCAACCTCAGTACTGATGTGGCTCGACGATGCTTAACTTCTCAAATCGGACGGGATGAGGTGCATGAATCGTGATATGGCCGTAGCCATTCATATTGATAATACAATGATAATAAGGAATATTAAAAATGTTCATTGGAAAAATGCGTGTCTACATATGAATATTATATATCACGTAATATCATATCTAATCTACTTTCTCTGGCTGACAATTTGAACCTATTGAGAAAATTGCCTCAGTTCAGTAACCTATATAATTTCTGAAAAAAAATAAATAACTTTAATTCTTTACTTTGATTTCATCCTTCCACCAAGCACCATCCATATCTTCCACTGTCTTGCTGTATTGATTGAATTTCCATCCATCCGGAGAGGTTTCTTCCTCTTTGAGGAATCCCCACATTTTAACTCGTTTCCAATGAAAGAATAAAGTCCACACCTCACATTCGTCCACAATTTCCTCATTATTTTCATCCAATTCCTTGATTTCCTTATTCTCATTCGGTTGAGGTTTCAGCAAGACTCGGTGATAATCCTTCCCACTGAAATAATTAACACTTCCTGCACGAAACTCCTTCTCACTCATCTTTTTATTCGAATGCGAAACTTTAATTTCCCTATACGAACCACTTAATATCAAACTAATGCCAAACCTCCACGGATGATCATGATACCCTCTATCAGGATCTGAATGCACAAATCGATGTAACACTAAACCAGGTCCATTTTCAAAAGATAATAAATTGAATCTTTCCAAAATTAGAACGTTTGTTTGATCGTTCAATGAGTGAAAGATTTGTTTCCTTGGCAAGTGTTTGGATAACGTATGGAGAAGTTGTTGCATTTTTTTTGTAACTTTAAAAAGTTCATACAGTGCGTACAACGTCTGAGTACCATGTGTAACCTTTGAAAAGAGTTTCGAATGGATTCGAATAGAATTTATAAAATTACAGATAATTGAGATGATCCTCATTTCTTCTCTCCTTCTCTTGCCATCTCTTAAAGCTATCCATTGAAACTGTCAAGATAACAGTCCTCTCCAACTCGTCAAACAGTTCAAATTCTCCCAAACCTCGACTAATCTTGAACGAATGAGTTTCTAATTGTTTCTTTGAAATATTCAACTGTTTTGGAGAATTAGCCTTAAGATACTTGTTATACATTTCCTCTTGCATTGTAACTCTTTCTTGAATATTCCCCAAACTTTTGTAAAATTCCACATCTTCCAAAAAGCAAATATTTTCATCGTTTCTTTCAGTCGAGCAAAATTCTTTAAATTTCTTTCGATTTTCAATATCTGTGAAAAATTCCAGAAATTCATTTGTGATTTGGTTGGTGAGTTGATAGTGTTCGTTGAAACCTGTTGGATGGATGATTGTGTCGAGGATGTGGATTAGGATAACGTAGACAGTTTGGAGTTTGCATTCTCTGATGGTTGCCATTTCTCTTTCCTTTTCGTCTGTGATGGTAATGGTTGGAATTCCTGGTTGACCAATCGAATTTTGTTGATTATTGGAAGGTTGATTGTAAATTTGACTCATGGAGATGGAAACTTTCACATTGAGCGAAACTCCTGTCTTTGTATTGGCAGTAGTTTCGGCTACTTTCAAATCGGCTTGATTCTTCAACTCTGTCACAATCGTACTCAAATTTAACTTTGGTAAAAGAGTTGAAATTGACAAATTTCTAATCAAATCCGAATCAGTATATCCAAAATTCTTAAAAAATGCATTATTCGAATGTATAATCTTTCCCATAGCTGACGAATCAATCGTGATAACCGAATCTTCCAGAGAATTCATAATCTTTTTCGTTCTCTGCTCCTCAAATGAAATTCTATCCAAAAGCAACAATAATTGAGAATGTGAGCTAGCCAAATCTTTCGTTCTCTCCTTAACTTTCATTTCCAAACTATCTTGAATATATTGATATTCCTTCTTTCTGAAATAATCTTGAACCAATTGGTTGACTCCTAAAATGACGAGAATGAAAACTACTAAGGCAACTGCAATGCCAATGCAGACTTCAAGCCAGAGTAAGCTGTCAGTGTCCCAGCCATCAATTGGACGAAGGATAATTTTCCAATTACTGTTCATGACTGTCATGTTTCGTTCGATTGAATCTGTTAAATATTTCACATTGGGATTTCCTATAGTTCCAATGGTTCCTGATTTGGTTCCATTGAGATTTTGCATAAAGATTTGATTTTGAGCATATTCGAATAGTTGGTATTGGAATCCTGATAGAACTGTGTGTAAATCTATAGTTTCGAATAGTTTCATAAAATCGAACAGTTCCACACTCAAACCAAAGAAAGTTCCATTCGGATAGTAAATTGGATTCTGAGCAATTACAGCCACAGAATTAGGATCCAAATTGATCATATTGATTGGTCCAAAGATTTTTGTCTTTTTCGTAGCAACTGCTTCCTTAATAATTGTTGTATGAGCAGGTCTATTTCAATACAATTTCATTCAATATTTTACAATTTCAAATTAAATATTATTAAATATTATTAAATAAATTACAAAATATTTAAAAAATTAAAAAATTACAAAAATTGTAAAAATTACATACGTATTAAGACCCATGTGATGTCCAATCATAAATTCCAATCCTGCCAATGGATAAATATACTCCAAAACAAACTCATCCGTCAGAGCATACTCAAAAGTATTCAATTCTGGAAAATCTTTGGTCAACCTTGAAGCAAAATTGTTAAATCTTTCCAAATTAATCGAATAATTCCATTCTTGGGCGACTTGACTCATAATTTGTAGAGAACCAAACGAAACTTCAACTTGTTTTCTGATTAGCAGCTCTGCAGTAATTGCAATCTGTTTCACTCTCTCTACATATCCATCTTTTCTCTGTTTTTCCAATGAGTGAATGACAATGACAATGATTGGTGACAGAACAGCAACAGCTAATACTGCAAATATTAAACCCAAGATACTGCTCAGTAATGTGATTCTCTTTCTCTTCATGTATAATTCCTTCTTAATGTTGCCATTTTCAATAGAAGAATTTCCTCCTGCTTTAGAGACTGCTGATCGAGTTTCGTCTTGGTTTGTTGGATTGGTGGCTGAATGTGTTGTGGAAGAAGGTGATTTGGTTCCAGTTGGAGGAGGGGTCAGAAGTGTACTATTCTTTCGAGTAGATGTGGTACTGTTATCAACAGTTGGTGTTAGAAAGGTCATGAGATAAAGTAGACGAAAGTTGTTCGATGATGAAATAAACAGATCAAAGTTTAGGATAAATAGAAGAAGAGAATGATGAGACCTTCGTTGCCTTGTTTTTTAGTAAAATGCCAGCAATAACTTTCAAGATTTTGATATGTTGGCTGGATAAATCCAAAAAATGTTGAGTGTAAGCTGATATTACCCTGGAACACAATAGTCGTTTGGAGTGGTATTAACAATAGAGAGTGTGTGGTATTAGATTATTCTATCGTTTCAATCAAGAGGATGAGAGAAACTCAGAGTTTAGTAAGAGATGTTTTTTTTCTTTTTTCTTCTTGAAGGTTTCTAATAGAAGGGCTAATGTCATATCTTGCTGGAGGGTTGTTCTTAAATGTCTAGGAGCATTATTGTTTTGGTTGTGACTTTCGACGATTTTTGACTTTGAAACCAAATTGGGAACATGTGACCTATTATTCTTCAACTTGCTACAGTTTCCAATCACTCTTAAATTTTGAATTAAATAAAATGTTTCAAATGTTCATGTAGTTTAGTTGAATTCAATACACTGTAAATTAATGTTTTGTTGGATGTTTTAATGACAGAGTGATTAATCATAAAAAGATTCTTTACCATTTCAATAGATGATATGTTCTCTGTTGTTGGATATTACCCTTGGGTATTAACATGTTACTTTTAAAAGTTCACCATCCATTTAATAAATAATAACATTCATAGTAATGTGACTCTTTTGTAATATTAATCCAACTATTGTGTTTCATAAATTGATCGCAAGCTTCTGTTACGCAAATACAGTTAAATTGATGACAATTCAATGAGATGAATGCAATCAAGTTCCAATACGAGAAGAAATCTCTTTTGTGAAGGGGAATGCTCGAAATATTCCACAGATGTTGTAAAATTAATCTTGAAGGGATAAACAGCAAGACATTCACCATTGGATAAAGAGTACTCATAGAGGGTGGTGTCTTCTCTTTCAATAATGAACGAACGAGATCCACAAAATCTTCCTAGCACAATTGAAGGGCTATTCTTGTAGGATAAATCTACAAGTACCTTAACTGAATCCTTACTCAGATTAAATACCATTAATCTTTTTTCCACATCGCTTGCAATTAGAATCATGTCTTGAAATTGGTCAAGTAAATATAATGATTTTACAGTCGTTTGATAGAGCAACTTATTTGTGTTGACATTGTAAAATTGTAAATGTTCAGGGCAGGAATAGCCAATAATTTTCTCCTTCTCGTGATAAAAATCAATCGAGAAGTGATTATCATCTGAAAATAATACCTTTCTTTGATGTAAATGCCCATTTTCAACACTGATGTAGTATTTACATATATTAGATGTTCGTGATGGTAATCTTTCAATCGCTAAATAACATGCAATGCCATCCTCAATTTCCTCAAAACTCACAATATCTACACCGTGCAGGGAAGAAGCTATAATACTCGGCCCACAGTCCTGTCCAAGAGCTATTAAATTCTCATCTTCTCTATTAAATAAAAAGGAAATCCAATTCTCTGTATCATATTTCACATCAAGTGATCTACAGTTAGATAATTTAAGCTTCTTTTCCTTTCCATTATTGAATGATACTGACTTTATGGAAAAGTCCTTCTTGAGTAGTAAATGGTTCTTGTAGCAGATGATTTGTGATCCATATTCAGTAGGCATTTCTTTTGCCCAACAATCATCAGGTTTACAAATATAAACACTATCAAGATTGGCAAATACTTTGGTGGTATTATCGCTATATATTTCCCTCTCTGGACTGTTCTCTGGGTCATAGAGCAGAGAAAGATTTTTTGGATTGTAGGAATATTTGAATTCAGTTAGAATTGCTTCATTAGAAATCAATTTGGAAAAATCAAAATCAACTTGGAATCGGAAACTTGTTGTAGAGTACATGTTAACGAAAAGTTTCAATTGATCTCCATGAATAACTTTTGTATGTTCCTTACTTTGCTGCATGAACTGATTGTTGGAATCAAACATTGACAAGCAATAACTATTAAGTAGAACGAATGAGGATCGATTCATTTGCTCTAAAAATCCATATGACATGCTTATTTGGAATTTCGCGTAGCATTTGAGAATTTTAAGCTTGTTACTAAAGCAAGCTGCATATTCTACATTATATTTGTTCAAATGCTCCAATTCATTAAGCCTACCTGATAAGCTGGCAGAAAGGTAGAGGCAATAAATTACTCCAAAATTCTCCTGTACAAAAGTTCTAGCATCACTTTCTTGAATCTTGACACTCACTATCGGTTCTAGGTCTTGGAAGAGCTCTTCGGTTCTATTCAGTCCTATCATGGTCTTGCAATATTCATCAAGGTATTTGTAAAAATCATGGAAATGAATCAGGCCTTTCACTACTTCATAGGCCTTCTCAAAATCTCCTATTCTATTCAAGAAGATCACTCTCAGTATTTTCCTTTCGATTATTTCGTCAGAATATACACGTTCCATATATTGCAGGTATTTGGTCTCGTTACCCTTATTGAAATAAATCACTCCAAATATTAAATTGATTAATTTGGACAGTTTTTGCTTGCTTGTTATAAATTCATCCTGAAAATCGATACCAAATATGTAAATTTCATTCAACATGTTTTCCAACAAGATGAAGCTCTCTTCGGAAATTTGTTCCATGTCCTCTAGTAGTTGATTGGCCAATAATTCCCCCCTACTAACATTTCCACAAATGAATAATTGAATAATGAATTCAAAGTACAGATCCATGAAATTAATTAAACATTCTCCCAAATATTCAATGACATTCCTTGTAAGGAACATGTAAAGATGAATCGGATGATTGGAATCATTAAATGGTTCTGTTTGATGATGATTCTGTTGGAGAATATCAAGCACACCAGATATCATTGGGTCCATCTTGGACAAGTGTTTTACGTTTAAATAACAATTAAATAGAGTTGAATAGTTCAAATTAACAGAGAGGTTATCTTGTTCTCCTTCTTCATCGGTTGATTCATGTTGCTCAATTGTTAATTTCAAGTTTGGACAATGTTTGATGAATTGTTGATAGAAAGATTTCCCCTCCACTTGAGTAATTGTTTTATAGATTTGATAACGAAGATTATTCCTATTCTCATCATTGGCATTAAATTATTCCATATCATTCCATAGTTAATTAATCCGTTATTATTAATTGTTTAATTCCATCACAGACAATAAATATCAAGATGATCAAAGAAGAGAAAAACCTACGAAAATTGGAAAGCCTTCGATCGAGATAAACATTGACGAATAGTTTCCAAGCCACCACACAGATCCAAATTGTGTTCATTATGCGAGAAGAGCCAATCCCTGATGTGAGTGAATAGACTTGGAGAGGCTTCTCCTCTTCCATGATTAGATTGAAACATTGCAATACTATAATTCAATCTATGCAAGTATGTTCAACAATAATTTAGAAGATATCCAAGATATTCCTCTTAGTACTTTCCTATTAATTTACCAATTCCTTCTTATCAAAATTAGTTTCTTGGAAGGTTATCACAACAGCACAACAAGGAGTAGATGGTAAGATAACAAATTTTTTATTGTTTGCCTAGCTAGTGAGTTTTCATTGTAAAATTCATATCAACCAAAATTCATTTTTCTTGTTCGAAAAAAAATCAACAATATCACCATGGGCTTTTTAGAAGAAGATCTCCTTTATCCTAATGCCAAGCAACAAGCTACTCAACATAAGTTGAAGAGATTGATCCCAACTCCAAACTCTTTCTTCATGGATGTTAAGTGTCCAGGTTGTTATAAGATCACCACTGTTTTCTCCCATGCTAAGAGAGTCGTTTTGTGTGGTACTTGTTCAACTGTCTTGTGCCAACCAACCGGTGGTAAGGCCCGTTTGACTGAAGGTTGCTCTTTCAGAGTTAAGACTGATTAAATTTAACCAATAAATCATATTAAAATTCATGATGGTTTTGGTTATTATAATTGCGCAGTTGATGAAGTTTGTTAGTATTAATTCCATGATGCGCAAACATTGTAGTAGTTATATTAAATGTTGTAGTTAAATTATACATTCTCCGAAAGTTTGCTACCAAGATATCCATTTCACTCAATTTCAGCAGCAATTTTCTTTTCCCTATTGCTTGCTCTAAATAACGAAAAAACGTAAATGTAACAACCATTGTTCAATAATTTATTGATTATCGAGTGGAAGGAATGTCTGGGAATCATCTAAGAATTGGCTAGGCTCTGATGTCAGCTCGGGAGCATCTACAAGTATAGCACTTGTCTCTCGTTCGATATTCGCTTGTTTCTGTGAAGAACCAATAACACCAAGACCTGGTACAAATTTGATAGAGTTTTCTCCGCTCATATTCTTTGGATCTAGGGATGGCAAAAGCAGCTTGGAGACATCTTCATTCTTTGTTGGAGTAATATCTTGTTGAGGTGGCTCGAATTCATCATCGGAATGAGTGTCATCTTCATCATCAATTTGAAAACCATCCTCATCATCAATTTCCTCTTCGACAGTATTGTGTTCTTCTTCTTGTGGATCAATTAATTGTTGTTGTTGTGGAAGTGATGTTTGTTGATTGTGATGATAGGAAGCAGTAGCAGAAACTCCTTTTCCACCTCCACCACTGTTGGAGGCATGTTGATGATGACTGTGTGAAGATTGTTGATGACTATTAGAGTTGGTTGCTGGTTTTTCATTCTCTCTCGGAACAATATCTATCAAAAAGTCAAAGATGTCTGTCTTTCCAATTGCTGCAGCAATATCATTTCTCTGGAGTGTTCTTCTTTTTGATTCCTCTGTGTGAACCCATGCATGAAGTGTGAGTTCAATAATAAACATTTCACATGCTTTGGCAAATAATACTGGTGCCTCTGCACTAATCATTGTTTTAGTTCTTACTTCTTCATCTGATTTCATAATCTTTTTAATTCTGGCGAGTGGGAGTTCATTCTTTGGTTTTTTAGATGTTGGGTTGACCATTTCAGACACTAAATTTTGCCAAACAGGTAAAGCTGTTGATGGAACTGTTGTTGATATGTAGGATTCTTGTGGTGTTGTTGTTGGGATTGAGTTATCAGCTATAGTTGTCGAATACTTGTTATTCATTATTGTACTATTACTATATTTTACGGTAGTATTCATTGGAATATTATTAACATTTGGGGGTATTGTCCTAGAATTTGATACTACTTCTTGAGAGTATTGAGAAGGAGGTTGTTGAGCTGTGGAGGAGGATGGCATTACACCACCATGATGTGGAGGCATATAGGGATGTTGTGAAGGATTACTCATCATTAACATGGATGGATGTGTTGGAAAAACAAATCTATTATTTGCATTGGGAATCTTTTGATTTCCATTCATGATCGGGATTGGAGGTTGGAGAGAGGCTTGATGATGTCCATGATGGTGATGATGATGGGAGAGTCCAGGTCCATTACTAGCTGTTGAATGAATAGAATGATAGGGAGGATGATTTGAAAAGGTGGGTTGGAGGTGTGATGAATATTGATGTTGTTGTTGTTGTGAATCCACACTACTACTACTAGTATTATTATTATTATTACTTTGAAAGGACGGTATCATGCCATTATTTCCACTTGGTGTTGATGAGGATGCAGAAGGTAATTGGGGAGTAGTGAATATATTATTATTTGATGATGATGGAAGCATAATTTTACAATTAAATCAGTGTGATTAGGATGTGATAAATTCTCTCTAGCGTTTCTTGAGGTAATGTTTGTTATTAAATTACAATATTTCTCGTCTATTATATATGTTTAATATTATCAATATAGGTAATAAGATGTGTTGTTAGTTATCAAATGATTGCTGTAAAATCGCAATCAAAGGATTTGTTCTCTGTGATCCCGAAAAAGTTTGATCTTGGTGATGAAGGACACAAAGAGAGCGCCAAACTTTTTATTTTTTTTTAAAAATAGATTGTTAACAACTTGTAGCATTATGTGATGATTTTGTGAATGTTTTACAATAAATGTTACAAAATAATAATTTGAAATGTTTAATATATTAACATAGATTAATTAATTGGAATATTGAGAAAGATCAAAAGAGGCAATGTCCTTTCCTCTCAAAACAGTACCATAATCGCCAGTTTGGCCAATAGCAATGGTCTTAATCTTGAAGGAGCATGATTGGACAGGTCCTAAGGTGGCAAAGGCATGTTCTAATTCCTTTGGATTGACGTCGTCGTGAGCAACTGTCACACTGTATAAATGTATGAGATTCAAAATTGAAATATATATTTGAAAAACTTACTGAGGTTGGAATTGAGAATAAACATTTGGAGATCCATAAAAGTGAATCATTTTGATTTTAACTTCCTTGAGAGCATTTGGTAAATTATTGACCCATGATGGAATAGTGTTCTTAACTCTAGGATCTACAAATTGAGAAGTGGCATTTACAATGATATCACTCATTCTTTGTAAACAAGCTGGAATTGGCATGTTCCATAATGCATAGGAACCAGTTACATTGACAAATGTATTGGTAGTGGCAGTACAATCAGTCAGATTGTAAAGTTTACTTTCAGCAAGTAATGTTTGATTGACACTTGAAATAATAGTGTCAGTAAATTCACTGAGGAATCTTGTCAAGTATAAAGTAACGTGTGGTTGTTGGGTAACATTAAAGTTAATTTGTTGATTCTTATCCAAACCAGTAATAATATTATTGATATCCATTGCAGATGCTTCACATTCAGCACTCAATTTAAAGTGAATATTCAAATCAGCAACCTGTTATCATTATTCCGAACATTCCAATAGATATTTTCATCATGTGTGATTCAATAATTTTCAAATAATTATAATAATATTCAATAATAATAATAATAATTGTACAAGCACATTAATTCCATCATTGATATATGGTGTGACAATGAAAAACTCACCTGACTTGTGTGGAACAATTCAACCAATTCAACAATCAAAACGACAATACCAACAAAAACTGCAAAAAGCAACAAGATAACAAAAGCCTTCACAATACTCAAACAAAGCTTTCGTGCTGCCGATTTTTTCTTCCCTTCATCAACAATTCTATAATTTTCCTCCAAATCATCGTCCTTCCTAAAATCCCTCTCATCAATAAATAATTCTGTTTTACCAGCATCCTTTGGTTTATCAAACTTTTTACTCGATTCAATGGCTCCGTATGATCCAGACGCTATCGGATCCACATTAATTGGACGACTCATATTCTATATATCTGATGATTCTATTGATGCAGCAATAATCAATATTATTTTGTTGTTGTTGTGCTAACGATGAGGTGCCGACCTATCAAAAGCTCTTCGCTGATTTTTTTCAAACTTTAAAAAATTTCTCTAAAGCACAAACAATTTTAAATAAGCCTCAAAGTAAGAAGTTGATAAACGTGCTGTTATTATTGGAGGAATGTTCTTCTGGAGGTGTTATGTAATAGGGAGAGAAGGTTGTAGTGATGATGATAATGGAATATTGAGGAGAGGAAGTTTAATAGGATTTTATGAAGAATATAATTGAGGGTGTATTATTGGGAGAGTATGAAATACATTATTACTGAGGAGTTTTCAATTCTGAATAGATAGAGGGTAGGTCTTTAAATGGATTCATTTCTAAATCATTGTTTGGTATTGTAAACATTCTTGATTAGAATCACAACCAGATGAACGAAGGAGATTACAAAAAAATTAACATCAATGGCATATATGGAATATCATCTTTGTCGTTTTACTAGTCCTCATGGGTGTTCAATAATAACATTGTTTATTTGACTTTCTAGTACAAAATCCCACATGCAAATTAATGTTTTGCTTGGGTCTTCTTTAATTGTTCAAAGTATTCAGCCAAATGCTCTCTTGGTTTGAAATACAAATGATACTTATTCATATCCAAATACCCCAAAGTTGTGGTTTCATTGAGTGGAGGAAGAGTGTTTCCATTAGAGTGAGATAATCTGAAATGTCTTGCAAGATTAATCAAGGCAAAGTAAATTTCAGTAAAGGCAACTCTTTCACCAGGACATTTTCTAGCTCCTTTACCGAAAGGTCCAGAGAATGTCTTTGGAACGGCAAGGTCAGAACCTCTTTCATGTCTTTCAGGAATGAATTCAGTACTCTTTTTAACCCATTGTTGATACCTGGCAGGATCTTCCAAGAACATGACAGTTGTGCCCTGTTCAATCTTAATTCCACTAGCAACAATATCCTTACTCAATTGTCTGGTGCTTGTCGATTTAATGATGTGATTCAATCTCAAACTTTCATCTGCAAAGGCTCTGCATAACTTGAGTTTCTTCAAAGTTTCTGGAGTGATTGTGAGACCATTTTCTGAAGTCAATTCATCCAATGTTGGTTCTCCAAATACTTCAACAGTTTCTTGGTAGAGTTTCTCTTGGAATTCCTTCTCAGTGGCCAATCTATACATTAAGACTATTCCACAAAACAACAAACACATTAAAATTGAATTATTGAAAAATTCTCAATACAAAGAATACTCACCTACTATGGTACGAGCAGTGATATCAACACCAGCCATCAAGAAGGAGCTCAACACAACATTTACATAGAGTTGCTTATCCTTGTTATCTTGGAATTTTGAAGCTCTTTCTTCAATGAGTTCTTTCATTCTTGGTTTTCCAGCATATTCACCCTTATCAAACATGTCAATACATTCCTTTGATCTATTCAATCCCAATTCATATCCATTTTCCATATCACGATATTCCTTGGTTTTAAATAATTTGTAAAGTTGAGATCCATTTTGGAGTTTCAAAATGTTATCCAAAAACACAACAACCAAATTAACAAATTCATCAATTGAGTAAGAGAGCTTTGAGGCAGCTTCATCGGTCATCTTGGCACCCATGAAAACCTTTACAACAGAATTGAAAGTATATCTATTGACAACTCTTGTTCCATTTTGTAATTCGAAATGATCCTTCTCCTTGTCATAGGCCAAATTTTTGGTGAGATATTGTAAAAATTCACTATTGAGTTCAGTTAATTGTGGAATGATAACATTTTGAACAAATTCAGGACCTATCCATATAAATTTTGGCAATCTCAATAAATAGTCAACTTACGCATTGCAATATTATACAATTGTCTCATATCATACCAATCTTCATAATTGTAAGATTCGACTGGATTCTGAGGCAATCCTCTTTCAACCTTGAATTTTCTTGCTATTCAAATTAAAATTATCAACTCAATGTGAAGAAAACTTACCTGGTTCAAGAGTTTCTCTTCCTTCATCCTGTTTTGCAATTTCATTAGCCAAATCAGGATCCTGTGTAATGATCATTCTCTTATTCAACAATTTGATCTTGACAGTTTTACCATAATCACCAACAAGTTGTGAAAAATAATTTTGAATTCCATTCGAAGCTCTCATCAAATCAAAGAGACTTCCAACGAGTGGTAAACCTTTAGGACCAGGGAGATCATCAAAGGTGAGAATTTTCTCTTGTTTTTGTTGGTGGTAAGGACATTTTGCTGTTTCGTCTTGTTGAACTTTAGTTTCAGCTGAATTGGAAACTGAAGAAGAATATGAGAATTTTCTCAACAGGATTTGATCTTGTTGTTGATGAAGCACGGAGAATAAATTCTTGAGAGTTTGATGTTGGAACCTTCTTTGCATTTTTTTCTAAATGTCAGAGAAATTAATTCAGGTGTCAATTAAAATGTGTTCAGTATCGCATTAAGCGCGTCATCATCTCTTTGTTAATAAACTTAAAGGCGGATTTCCTCTAAGGTCAAAATGATCGAAGATAACATATTTCATCATCTATGTTTTTTTCACATTTTATAATTTTACAAGTTTCGAATATATTGTAATGTGTATACTAAAGAAACCTTACTAAATAACCCATCCAATCAATAAACAACAAGTCCAACCATACTTTTGTCATACAACATCCATAAAAATCCATCAAATCTCCACACCAATAACCCATCTCCCATTCCTTTCCAATTTCAGTTTTGCTTTTCCTCATCAATTCCTTCATTATCAAAACTCGATTTTCGATATTTAATAATTTTCAAAAATTTTTTTATCTCTTTCATTCCTAAAATCTTTTTTTACGTTGTGGAAATACTTCAACTGGCTCATTTGTTAAATAGTAATCATCCATCTTCCAAAAAAGGTATCAACTAGCAAAGAGTCAAAGTTTGCTGTCATGGCAACATCAATACAGTTCTAAAAAAACAGGCAGAAAGGGTAGTTGTAGACACTGTGAAAAAAACTATTCGAAAGTGTATTATTATTGATTGCAATCTTGTCATCATTAAAAAATGGATAAGAAAAGAGTTCCTTCTCTTTCGATCAGTAGTGTTTTGGAATATAGTGATGATGGGTATTTAATGAATTCGAATAATTTTCTAAACGTTCATTCGAATAATGATTGTGGGAAAGGAGATGAAGAAGATGCTTCTTCCTATTCATCAGCAACAAGTCAAGCATCTTCTCTAGATGCCGATAATACACCACCACTACTCCGTGTTGAAATCAACAACAAGGAAACTAACCTAAACCAAACTCTAAATCAAAGTTTCGAATCGTCTAATAGTGAAGCTGCAAATCAAACATGTTATGAAGATTCGTCAAGAGGAAAATTTGACGGACTCCTGTTGTGTGGCTCAATTTACAACACATCTCGAGAACAGCAAAAGAGATTGGAATTTATTCAACAACAGCAAAAATCAAAACAACATTCGGATAATTATATGGGAAAGTCAGCAACGTTATTGCCGACAATTTCATTAAGGGATCGATTGAATTATTATAAAACAATTCCATTTGGAGAGAAAATTAAGAAAATTTCATGTGGATCCAAACATTACATGATTTTAACACATGGTGGAAGATTATTCTGTTCTGGATGGAATGATTTCGGTCAATTGGGAATTCCTAAAACAATAACTCATAGAAGGGGTCAAAATTCCGATTTAAATTCGAGTAATGATTCGATTGGAAGTGACTCTGATGTTCCAGACATTACACCTATTCACTCACCAAGAGTTTCGTCTTCTCCTTCCACACTTTCTCATATACAATCCGAATTGGAACCACACGAAGATTTGGAATTGAATTTCCTGAGAGAGGTCCATCTCACTAACCTCTTACCACTCGTTGAGAGTATTGGAAAACCCATGTTACCAATGAGGAGACCTTCGAGGACAATTTCTAGAAATTTGAATTTGAAAAATTTGTACAATGTCAAGTTGGTTTCATGTGGAGATAAGCACACAATGATTGTGACTCAGAATGGGGATGTTTATTCAACGGGAAGGAATAATGATGGTCAATTGGGATTGGGTGATTTTAGTGATCGATTTGTCTTTTCAAAAGTCAATTTTTACCTGAATAAGGATCAACATATTGATGATATTCATTGTCAGTTCAATAATTCTGCAATAATCACTTCAAAAAGAGAAGTTTTCGTATGTGGATCGAATGCAAATGCTCAATTGGGACTTTTTCTTCACAAGACTAAAATTTCAGTCTTTACACAAATTCCACTCTTCAACATTCCAATCAAATCAATTTCTTTTAATATAGACACAGCTGCAATTTTATCAATGGATGGTGAAATTTTCAGTTGTGGAATTGGTGGTGATATGAATGATGCTGCATCAGTTGTGGATGTATCAACAATGCCTGAAGAAAAGAGGTCAACCATGTATAGAAAGAATTCAATCATTCCATTCTTTAAGAAAGTTCCTCTTAATGAGAAAGTGGACCAATTGAGTAGTGGAATTTATTTTACATTGGCTATTTCAAACTCTTCCAAGAAAATTTACATTTTTCATTCGAATCCAAATTATTCTCCTTCAAATTTATTTCAGGATTTGTGTTCTCCTCGACCATTCTCTGCAGATTCACATAATGACAGTCCTAGATCTAGGACTGATATTTACTCTGTTGGTTCCTTATCCTCATTCAAGACTCATGTGACAAATCCAACTTTCAAGTTTATTACTTTTGGAGATGGCGAAAGTTCAAAGAATAGTTTTAAAAACCTGACTTGTGGTTATCACCACTCAGTGTTTGTAAATTATCTGGATCAATTCTTTGCATGTGGAAAGAATGAAGATGGAAGATTGGGATTCATTAATGGAATACAAGATAACGAGTATCAGAATTATCTGAAAAGAGTTAAATTTCCAAAGGAGAAAGTTGGAGAGTTGGATTTTAACTCGGTTGCATGTGGAGAGAGTTTTACAATTTTCTATAATAATTCAAATGTGAACAAGGTTGATAATCAGTCAATGCTTTCAAAATCGAATGTATTGATAGAACCAAGATCTACACGAATTCAAACTAAATCAGGAGATTTATACATATTCAAGCCATTACTGAATAGATTCTGTCCAATGACGATTCACTTCTTGAATTTACTCGATAAGATGACAGTTCATTTCGACATTTCACACGTTCAATTTATAATTAATGCAACCATTAATAATGATCGATTTGATTCTCGATTTTTTAATGAGTTATCGGCAAAGGATATTGTCAAGATGCTTTTTACAGTGTCAATTTGTGTTCCTTTTGGATATTTAATTAATTTAAAAACAACCTTGCTGGAAAATTTGTTTGAAAAGGTCAACTCGAGTAATGTAAGACATGTTTCAAAATTATCTGACGAAATGATTCATGAAATGACAAATATGAATAGTTTATTGAAATTTGATGAATTCAACCCAGAGGCAATGGGTTTAAATATTGAGAAATTGAGAGGACTTTCACTTTCTCCCATTCGATTCTGTCTATTGGAAAGAGATTTTGCAACTTTTACAAAAAGACCATAAAGGAATTACACAGCGATGAAAAACCAGAAACTAAAAGCAAACTTCCAAATCTTTTCAAAGGAACTTGTAGAGTGTATGAATTGACCATGATGAATGAAATTTCACACAATGAACAAATTTCTGACCCAGTAGAAATTAACAAACTATTTAACATTGAGGAATCGAGTGATTTAAAGATTCAGATAGGAAAGACCAACTTGGTCCTCCATAAGGATGTGTTATCGAGTTATTCTGAAACTATTAGAAAGCAACTTTCCAATAGTGCCCACGACGATACAAAACCATTGGATATTGTAAAATTATGCTTCAAGAATGAAATGAGTCAAGGTGAAAAGACTTTAAATTGTCAAGCATTGGAAACAACTCTCAAACTAATGTACGACATTTGGACTTGTGACTTGTCATCAGTTATTGAAGGAACCAATTATTTGGAATTTATCTTCAAATTATTGGACTTGTCAAGAATTTTACAATATCCAAAATTATTCTCAAAATCTATTGAACTCATCGAAGCAAGACGAAACCACTTCAATGATGACGATATTATTGAGCTAGTGGAACGAAGTGAAGATTTTTTAGAAATGTGGTGTCCAGATAATCACGATGAAGAATCCACTCAACCATTAACTGTTTGCATTGTAAAGATTTTGAGTGATAAATTCTCTGCACTCAAGAGAAGATTGAAACTCAAATCAAAGTGGAAAGGATTGGAATCTTTGATTTATGAGTTTATTGAGGATGAAATTTATTATTGTTAAGATTTACTGTAGTCAATTATTGTAAACTAAACTTCATTTTACTTGTGAACTATAGTCTGTGTCCAAAATTAACTTTAGTTTCGAATTTTAGAACTTGTGGAATGGCTATTTATAAAATTAACTTTCTAATTTGAACTGCTATTGTTATCCTTATTCGAAGAAGGAGGTTTCCTTACTAAACTCTATTTTTAACTAACCTCAAGATAACATTCAAATACTGTACATTAGTATTCGAATCTGAATGGACCATTGAATCTGTGCTATTTTCCTTACTTTTTGTAAACTCTAGCTAAGGAGCAGAAGGGTAAATACTCAATCCTTCATTTAACAAATTCTCTTATCTGCCACTTGTCAATCCTGATACAACCGGCCAACGTGAATTACTGAGAAATTCCTCATTTCCAACCTTCTCTGCAAAAGTCATCAATTCCATTTCTAAACAGCGAGTTGATCATCAAGGTTAAATTTCTGTAGGCTTTGAATTGTCTCAAAAATCCCAACAGGGTATTCAACGCCCAATATTGAATAATCACACAGCAGATGCACACAGCAAAATTCCCTTCCAACAGAACTTTAACTGTGTGGCTAATAATATGTCTCTGTCGATTGTTTATTCGCTGAGAATCACATCATCATCTCAACTCTCTTGATTTTCATTGGACGAAGTCGATCGGCTATTAATAAAGTGTGCGAGAACACAGAGAGCAAAGTTTGATGTTGTTTGCTGCGTCGTTTTGGCAGAGAATTTAAAGCGCTGAGGGTAAGCGAACCGTTTTTCTCAATTCAAACAAAAAAAACAAAGCAAAGCGTTTTTGGTATCCACCTCTTGTTGCTACAGCTTTTTTATTCTCTCAATACTTATCCAACCTTGAAAGCCTTTGAGTTTTTTTCATCCACTCCTCAGCGCGTTTCCTCAACAAGCTTGAACCATAGCAATACATTGGAATCCTCCCTTTTGGATCAAAACACAACAATAATAAGAAATCCAGTACACTCAATGAGTAGTGTTGTCCTTGCAAATACTGAATTTTCATCCACTGTCACTGTTAACAACCAATCAAGTCTTGATTTCAATCAAGCTAATAAGTTCTTATTAGAACTATATGGACAACCTACTTCTATTGAAGAAAACTTACTCAATTCTTTCTCAAAGAAAGATCATGCTGCATTAATTCAAAATACCATTAATAATGCTATCAGAAATGAAAAGAAAACTTTCCATCACAACTACAACTGTGATAAAGTAGCTGCCATGCAAACAATCTTGAGGGTATATTTTGAAGCTGAATTTTACCCAATTGAAAGTGATGCCAAGAAGATGACAACCAAACAAATTGTTAGAAACATTTGTAAGGATGTCGAAGAAGACAATTTCCATATTGTTGACTTGTCTCATGTTATTAGACAAGTTGAAAGATGGAGACTATGTTTCCCACGTATTAACCCATACTATGCTGTCAAATGTAATCCAAATGAAAGCATTATCAAGGTTATGTACATGATGGGTTGTGGATTTGATTGTGCCTCTTTGAATGAAATCAAATTGGTAACTCAACTCTGCAATGAAGTTGATGAATGGTTTGCCAAACATCCTCATTTCTATGAGGTTTTGGCTTTTGTAAATAATGTCACTGTTGAACAAGTAATGAGCAAGAAGTTCTGTACCACTACTGACATTATCTTTGCCAATCCATGTAAGCAATTGTCTCACGTTAGATATGCCAGAGACAATGGTTTACAATGGACAACAATTGACTCTCCACAAGAAGTTGAAAAGTTGGCAAGACAATGGAAGGATGTTAAGGGTGTCATTAGAATCAAAACTGATGATAGCAACTCTGCTTGTGCCTTCTCTTCCAAATTTGGTGTATCAATCGAGAATGCAAGAGGAATCTTCCAATCTGCCAAAGATAACAATGTTGAATTGTGTGGTGTTAGCTTCCACGTTGGTTCTGGTTGCCAAGATGTTAATGCCTATGTTAAAGCAGTCAAGGATGCCAGAATTATCTTTGACATGGCTGAAGAATATGGTTACTCATTCAACTTGTTAGATATTGGTGGTGGTTTCTTGGGTAATATCAAGGAGACACCAACTGTTGAAGATGTTGCTTCTAATGTTAGAGATTTGATCGATGACTTGTTCCCATCTCATGTTAAGGTCATTTCAGAACCAGGTCGTTTTATTGCCCAAGCTGTGTCTGTTTTGGTTGTTAACATTTTCTCCAAGAAGGACTTGCGTGAAGAGAATAAGCTTTACTATAAGCAACTTGAAGAGTCTGGTGCTAGCGATATTGTTCACGATAGGGATGATTTCATCTATTATCTCAATGATGGTATCTATGGTTCTTTCAACAATATCTATTTCGATCATGCTGAACCAACATTCAAGACAATCAAAACTGCTGAAGAGAAGGGAGCCAAGTACAAATCTACTTGTTTTGGACCAACTTGTGACAGTATCGATATCACCTGTAAGGGTTATTTATTGCCAGAGCTTAATGAAGGTGATTTCTTGTACTTTACCAATTTTGGAGCTTACACTACTGCCTCTAGCTCACAATTCAATGGTTTCCAAAGTACTCAATTCAAGTATATTTTCAGAAATTAACATGCCTACAAAATAAACTCATTCAACATTATTTATAACAATAGTATCGACTATTAGCCCATTGAGAACTTTCAATTGGATAATTTATTTTGTTGATTGAGAGGAATAATTGAGCTGCAAAGCTTACAAAAATGATTGAAACTCCAAATAATCCTCATTTTCAATCAAAAATATCTTAATTGACCACCCGCAATTTCTTTCATGCATCTTCAAGATCCACCTCGCACCAAACATTTGATCTTTTTTAAAATGTGGAGAATCCTCAATATTCAAAAATACCCCCTACCAAAAAAAGTGCCAACATTGATAATGGCATCCAACACTAAATTCTCAACAATAACTAGTATGAAAAACAGTAATAATAAATTCAGCACCACTCCGAGTAAAGAAAAAACGACAAGGATGATGGTGGATAATGAAGGAGAGTTGGGACACTATGAAGAGGATCATGATGATGAATTGAATGCACCAATCATGATAAATACAATATCATCTTCATCATCATCGACGAATATGTTATTCTCATCATCATTAAATTATTTATTGAAGGATGAAGAGGAAGATGAAGGCAGAGCTGCTGAATATTATGAAGAAGAGGAAGCAGGTATTGTTAATGGGAAAGATCTGGTGGATCATGATGAGAAGGAAGGAGGAGAACATTTGCCAACTATAACTGATATAATACATCATGAAGAGGATGAGGAAAAAGGAGAGGAATTGAAAAAGAATGTAGTGATGAAATATTGGGATTCATTTACTCAGTCACAGTTTTATGTACACATGTTAATGTTTTCGACTTTATTGACTTTTGGAGGTAGGTTTTGGAAGTACGAATTAATTTGGAAATTTAATTTTAAATTGATATATTTGGAAATTTAATGGAAATTTCAAGGATTTTGTGTGTTGGCACCAAATCCAATCAGAACCATGAGACCAACAATTTTTGCATTTGTTAGAAGTTTTTTGATGGTTATTTGTTATTTTGTCTTGTCATTAATTGTAGATCGAAATTATTCATTTAGATCAGAGAGATTCTTATCGAGAATTAAAAATCCAATACTGAGATACCTTTACAAAAAGACACCAAGTTTTAAGGATTTTAAGAGAATGGTAGTGTGTGGATCCATGTACATGTTGAATATGGTACTTTTTGTGATTGGTATGAAAATGATTAATGCAACCATTGCTGCTATTGTTCAACCATTGGGTAAGTTGTTGATTTATTACAATTTTATTCATCAATATAATGAAAATAATAGTTGCTGTTGGTAAGTTTTCAATAATAGTTATGAAACTAAAATATATTTATATATTGAATTTTAACTATTTCTCAATGAATTTAGAGGTTTGCCTTATTTCAATATTTTTGGGAAGGGAAGCTAGTTCAATTGTTAAAATTTTGGGAGTTGTTATTTCTGCTATGGGAGCTATGGCCATGCTGATTATTCCTTCACTTACGAAGGAGAAGGCGGCTATAACTGAGGAAACCCAAGCATCAGAATCATCGGCATTGGAAGCATTTTCTTTTACCATTGGTATGATAATCCTTATTCTCAATACTGTGGCCTATGCTTTCTATTTGATTTTATTGAAGAAATTGTTGAATAAGAAAATTCCTGGAATTACTTTGAATTTTTGGACTTTTTTGGGAGGATTGTTTATTCCATTTTTAGCTGCACTCTATAATATAAGAGATTTTGAAATTAGGAGATTGGATGATATGTCATATATTGGAATGGCCTATGCTGTTCTTATTCATGGAACTTTTAGCTTTATATTGAGTTCAAAAGCATCAAGTTTAACAAGCCCAACTGTGATTGGAATTTATTCAACCATTTCTCCAACAGTTACAACAGCAATGACTGTATTGATTTCTGGAGAGGAGGTTTCATTGTGGATCATACCAGGTGCTTTGGGAATATTCCTAGGTGTCATAATGGTAATTCTGGCCAAGTGGAGAGAAGGTAAGGCAGCTGCAAAAGAACTAGCAGCAACTATTGATAAGAATGAAACCACCACGAGTACTGAACTGGAGGATGTTAATAGTATTGAACTGTCGCCTGCCGATAAGGAAAATCAAGAGGACAAATAATTAATCACAAAATAATTTATATAAATTCCTTAGGAGCAAGTCTGGGTGATGGCTGTAAGATGGTGAATTGAATTTCTTTTTTGAGTAATCTTGGACAATTTACAAACTCAATATCACAATTCTTGCAAGTCACTGATGAAACTTGAACAATTCTTAATTTAGGTGTATCCAATTTCAAAGAAATGCTAACATTACGGATATTATTGATTCTTATCATTCTGATGTTGGTGTGGGTGTAATTTTCAAGTTGTACATAGGATCTCTCATGTGGAGTTTGGCCGTATTCTCTTCTGATATCCAAAACTTCCAATGCTGGCAATTGCTCTAATTGAACAGAAAATCTTTGGAGTGGATCGACCAACTCTAAGATTTTCAGATTCTTGAAAGAATGAGTGTGGAGGTGGATTGAATGGTGAACAAATGCCAACTAAGCAGATGTGTTCAAGGGATGAGGCAGTCTCATCACTGAATTTGACACGACCAGGTAAATTACAATCAATAAGTTCAAATCTCTTCAAGTTCGGACATGATATCTTGGTTCTTTCAACCTTTTCATCCAAATGAACATCCAAAGAAGCCAAGTATGGAGAATCCAAAATCATGGTATGATCTGTAAAGTGGTCTACACATTTAGCAACTTGGATAATTTGTTGTATTGTGAGCTTCATTGAATCACTGTCATAGGCATTATTTCCATTTCCATTCCATTCCAAAACTGCTCTGAAATGTTTGAGCATTGGTTCTGAGAGGTAGTATGTTGCAATATCCAATTTGATTTTAACCTTCTCCAAAGTTCCGTGTAGGTTCTTGTGTCCACATAGATTATCAATTCTGGCAAACAAGGGTGGGAATAATTCCTTTTCATTATCAAAGGTAGTCACCGATAATTTAACTTGTAACTCCTTAACATGAGAAATGAGAGCATTTGGCAGAATGAGGGCATTAGTTCCTCCATTATCATTGGTGGTATAATTTGGTCTCAGGGAGTGCATTAAATTCAATTGATTCAACAGTGGAGTGTGCCACTTCCATTGATGTGAGGAATACTTGATAAATTTCATAAAGTTTCCAGAGTGATTGTGTGGTTGTTCGAATCCCATTAAAATATCATTCAAATCAATAGTTTTTACGGTTGGGCACAAAATTTCACAACTTTCAATGTTGGGTGCCTTCACTACGAGCTCCTTGAGACGAGGGCATATTACAGAAATTCCCTTTGTATTCCTATCTTTGATATGCAAATTGGTGAGCTTATCGTGAACAATTGTGGTACAAGATTTCATACGTGTAGTGCAGAGCATTACAGACTCGTCATCGTAGTCTGTTTCATCCACTCTCTTTTTTGTTGGTTCCACTTTGAAGCGAAGATTCTTCAGAGAGGATAAGCTTGTAAACCAGTGAGAATAATTAAAGGTATTGTCCTTCAGCACTAGTATTTCAAGAGTTTCAATGACGTTTCCAAATGAATTCTTAGAAATGAGGAAATCATTTACACCATACAAACAAACTTTCTTAATCTTTTCTGCTTTCATATGGCTCAAATCCAAATTGAATTTAGTGTATCTACTAGTGGAATTCAATTTGGATTTGATGAGTAGCTCCTCGAGTTTTGGAAACTTTGATGTAATGGCAACATCTCTCTCCTCCTTTGATGGAGCACAAATGTCGGTCAATATTAATGTCAACAATTTAGGATATGATAAATTAAATAATTGGTTAATAGTTGGGCAAGTAATGTCATTAATTTCAATGTGAAGAATATTTTCCATAAGAGAAAGTTGCAATGGTTGTTTCTTATAGTGTGCATAGCCATAATGATCAATACAAATATAGAGTAATTTGAGCATTGAGTTTTCGTCGACAACATTGCTCAATTCTTCCATAACCCTAGTAGGATAGGAATCATTGCAAATAATTTGACCAGATTCAGTCCTTGTTACATGGAATGCAGATCCATTAATATACACTGATATATACAATAAGTGATTAATTTTCTTGGCCTCAGAGACAATATTCAAAAACTCTTGCATCAGATGAGATCCTAAAACAAGGTCCAATACTTGAGTATCCTCATCCACATCGACATGCCAACACAATCTTAATTCATTCAAGTGCTTCCAATGTGAGAGAGTTTGGAAATTGCTAGTATCGAGTGTTAGCAAGTGCGATTGCAAATCATCAAGGCTCAGCTCATTCTCCTCATAACCCTCTGTTTTTCCTCTGTAGGTAAAATTAATAGTAAGGACATTTACATTGGGAAACATCTTGTTATAATCTTCCAAATAATTTGGAGTTGTTGATGGGCTTGGGTCGATAGTGAACGTCTTGCAATCACCATCATCAATAAGAGAATCCCCATTAATAGGAACCCAATCAAACAAATAGGAACAATCCAAACAAATTCTCTTAACAAACTCTCTATCAACAAATACTCTGATAAAATCCATAAATAATTGATGAACAACAGTTCTATACTCATTCCTTACGAAAACGTCTTGTCCTTCCACAACACATGAATAGGTGGGAGAGACCAACTTTTCATTATTAAACATGTAGAAATAAGCAAAATTAATCAAATCAAATTCAATCAAATCTCCTACAGATTTGCTTCTCTTCATAAACTTTCTCAATTTGCTATTTACAGATGCAAAACTTATCCAATTCTGCAAAAACTCACAAAAGTTACCAATCATCTTTTGTTCGTAATTTATATCTCCACTTCCTATCAATCCAAAATTTGTATCCTCATCAAAATCTTCATCATCTGCTTCATCAAATTCTCTATTTGCTCCATTATTAGAACGATGAAACTTTACATTCTTGTGCAAATACTTATGAAGTGGAGATTGAGAAACAGAGGGCAGAGTTTCCAATTCATAAATAGATCGATGATATAATTCCTCTGGAGAACAATCTTGTTCTATAGATGAAGATAATGATGAATCATTTACTTCTCCATTATGATGATGATGATTTTGTTCTTCCGAATTATTATTACTTGTTCTATGGAATGATGAAGATATCAAAGGCTTGTTTAATTGATATTTAAATGATGAAAATACAAAAGACATTATATTACCCAATACACTATCGGGTAAATCATTAAAAGCAGCACTAGTTGTAGTAGTAACTCCACATGATGAAGTTGAACTATTATTATTTTCGGATGATGAAAATTCTTCAATTTTCAATGAAGAATTTGATGCCATGGCACGATGAAAATTTCTGATGATAGCTTCTTGAATGGCAAAAATCTCAAATCATTGAGAGGCAAGAAGGATAATTGTTGTTTCTTTTTTTTTGATTCTTTTTCAAAGCAATGTTGAATAATTACCATAAATGGCCCTCAATACATTCTAAAATGTGTTTCGCCCAGTTTGGAAACTATTGAGATAGACAAATAGACACATTGCAGAAAACTAATTCACTTTATAGAGGAATCAATTTAAATTTCATATTATATATAATAATTTACTCTAAAGTTGTAAAGGAAATGTCACTGTAGGATGATTGAAGAGAAAGTTTTGGAAATTGTTTGAGAACTGGAATGGTGCTTGCAAATTTCATTGTGAAAATACTCAATTCATCTCTTGATTGAGCTTGGAAAGATCCAAACAAGTAAAAACTTGAAGTTTCTGGATGATAGTTAATGGCTGTATAGCCGGAACTGGCTCTCTCTTTGAGATTGACTTTGGTTACCAAGACATCTACATTGGAAACTTCTCGTTTGCTTGGTTTGAATGATAAAATGTACAAGTGAGGATCATAGGATTGGTCTGAATCGTAATCAGTTGTGGAACAGCCGCCATAGTATGCCATTTGATAACAATTGTCAAATGTTGAGAATGAATCATAGCCATAAATACGTGTCGATCCGAGAACGTGAGCATATGGCAGGTCTTTAACTTTCAACCATGGATTGAGAATGTTGTGATCACCAATGACTTGGAATTCATTTCTATTAAAGTGATAAATCAAAATTTCGTTAAGCATTGGAGCATCTATACCTTTTCTGACCTTACCAGCCACTGAAACCATAATATCATACTTTGGAATGTATTCACATGTATGATAGGATCTTGTGGAGATTATATCATGATTCTTGGCAATGATTTTTCTAAACTTTGGAACTGGTATGATCATATCACTCATAGGTTCAGTTCCAAAATCACGTCTTCTCAAATCTAGGCAAAATTTATCCACCTCACTAACATCAATTTCATACAAGCTCTTCATAAATTCAGATCCATTTGTGTTACCTCCTAAAATGTAAATCTTGTCATGTCTTTTTATCATGGTATGACCTTCCATTGGTACTAATTGTTCACTTTCATTATCCACATTGACAGGAATTGGTAATTGAACATAGGCCAATCTTTCCAAATCCAAAATAAGGAAATTCCTTGAAACTTGACGTGGAACCACATTAAAATCAGCACCACCATATGTATAGACAAATCCCAATTTTTCATCCATGCAAACTGCCTTAAACAATGCATGAACTCTTTTAAAATCCAATGGAGGATTCTGGCCACTAAATAAGCCAGTTTTAATATAGGTAGACATGACGTGATTACTCATAGTATTACCATCAGACAATGCAAAATCAGTTTCTCCCATTCTTGATTGCAAATGAGAAAGTTTAGGAATCAAATTCACTTCATCAGGAACAATCAATCCCTCAGTGGATTGATAAAGAGTTGGCATTGAAATCATTGGCTGTTCCATCACTGGATCCAACAATGAATGAACACCAATATATTCATACTTGATATTAATACAATACAATCGATTCTTATACAAGACAGATTGAGTATGTGAGTCTTCACCTAGAATGCCATACTCATAATGATAGACATGATTAGGAGAGGCAGTACTACTCGTACTAATCGTTACAATTCTCTGTGCTACATCATCATTGATGAGGGATGTCATTACTATTGGTGCTTCCGAAGTTTGTTGTTGGTGTTGGTGTTGAATATCCTCTTCTTCATCACTAACTGTAACAAATCCATCATCTTCATCACCAATTAGATCATCATCAGGTAATGCTCGCTGATCAACTTCATTCTCCAATGTATTAATACTAAAATCCAAGTAGATGGTTCTACATTGTTCACGTGCTATTTTCGCAAGCAAATTTCCACGTGCTACTTTTTGATTTTCCATTTTTTTTGTTTTTTTAAGTTTTTGAAAATTCTACATAATGTCTATCTAGTTTAAATTTGATATTGATGTTTCAATTTGATGGATTAGTAAAGAAAACTAATCAATGGAGAGCAATAAGTCAAGTGGTACTACATGAATATTCAATTTCTTTTGCATATATTCTATCAAAATTCTACTATTTTATTCGCATTTCCTGAGCTAGACAGTTTAAAATTTCAATAGGAATGGATGTACAACCCAACTTGTTCCTGGACTAGTTCTCTTAACACTATCTCTATCTTCCATGCGCTCTCTCCACTTTTTAAGTTTTGGAAGAGATGATTCACTCAATCCATATCTCACAATTTGATAATAATAAGGGAAAAGTGAAACATCCACAATGCAAGGACGATCAGTGCCACTGAAAAAGAGAGAATCATTTGTTAAACGATTTTCCCAAATGATCATTTCACTTTCCAATTTTTGTTTCCAATAAGAAACAAGAGTTTTGTAATCTTTCATGTCTTTTGGTAGTTTTTTGTGAGAGGTGATATTCTTTTCTTCCAATTCAATGAATGTATTGATCATATCTTTGCAAACTTGGGCGAATTGACCATTGGCTTCATGGAATTGAGAAATGATTCGTCCAAAATTTGCACGATCATCGGATGGTGGAATTAATTGAGGTTCTGGATAGTTCTTTTCAATGTAATTTAACATGGCTGTTTCTTCTCTTAAACTTCCTGCAAAATCTTCAAAGAGTGGTAATTCGCCTATTGTTGTAGTTTAGAATAAAATTATTAGAATTGTTTTTTAAAAGAAGAAGAAGAAAATCCAACAATCAATCCATCCACGAGAGAAAATTGTTTTTCAAGATTGAACATTATCATCATGTGATCAAAAAAATTTCCAACATTATCCGATCAAAGTTTCGAATATATTTTCATCCATTCAACAATAAACGAAACACAAAGATCATAACTATATTAAAAAAAACAAATCATCAGCAACTAAACTAACCTCTATAACTTAATTTTCTAATTTCCTCGTTCAAATGTTCTCGATGTTCTAAAATCACGAGACGAGTTTCGTATTTTACTCCCTTTTCTTCGAGCATGAGACGAACACGCCAACCATTTGTGGCATATTTCTTTTCCATTGGACGAAATACAGTGACGACCATCTTGTATTTTTTTAATGTGTGTAGCTTGGCAAAATGTTTGGACTTGTCAAGTGTCAAGTATTTTTTATCTCTTTTGGACAGGTTTCAGTGAGGCATTAAGCAAAGATTGAATGTTAATGGGTTGGAAATGTCAATTTTATTTATTTTGTGAAAATTTTAATTAAAAATTAATGTTTACTATTAAAAATGTTAAAATTAAATAAATTAAAAAAAAATACCATTCTTTCTTCAATAAATTGTAGACTTTGTAAGCTTGCAAAATGGCAAGTTGTTCTCCTGTCAAAACATTAAATTATTGACAGGTAATTAACTAACTGTCAGATGCTGAGCCAGATGCATTTCCTAGAAGTGCCTTAATTTGTTCAGAAGTTACTCCTTCAACTGCTTGTATGTAAAGTACTGGTCGGGGGATAAGGAGTTTGGGCCAATTACTGCTCGAATTATTGGTAATCGTTGAATAGTGTTACTGTTTATTAATCTCCTTGGAAATTTGAACAATTTTACAAGTTTGGATTATCTCTGTGGTATACAGTGTGAAAAATCATATTTGCACTATTGTAATTAGTTTCAATCTGTTGTTAGGGATCTATAAGTGATGGAAACTCTTCGGTAACTTTCACTTCTTTTCAAGAATTGTTTACCATCAATTTTAAAGACCATTGTTTTGGGAATTTCATGTTGATATTGATATCTGGCATCTCCTGAGAGAATAATGAGTGATCTTCTGGGCATTCTTCTATCGTAACATTCTGATGGTGATACTTCTGTTCGTTTCACTTTTTTCTTTTTCAAATCTTCTTCTTTCACTTGTTCTAATTTGTGGAATTTCATTACGCATTCATCACCCAAACTGAGAATTAATATTAGAGGACCAAAATCTTGACAATGATCAACATGTTTTGAGATGCCTTGCTTGGCTCCCTTGTATTCATTGATTATGACTTGTTTAAAATCAATTCCTTCCATCAAATTTCGAATAGAATCCAATCCTTCCTTATTCTTAATTTCTTCCAGTAAATCTGAAAATTCTGATGGAACTGGTGGCACTTTCAGAGCTTCCTTAACACCTCTTGCGCCATAATTATAAGAAACTCCATAATGTTGAGTCCTTCTCGATATTTCATCGTTCCACTTTTGAGAATCAATGAATTTTACTAATTTTCGTTCTTCTGCCACATCAATAATATTCTCAATAATATATAAACCACCAATTTCCGAATCCGTTTTATAAGAAGAAATTTGTTTTACTGGCGCACCAGAAACTTCGGAATTACTTTTTATCTTCTTGAGAGTTGATTGTTTCTTTTTATCTGAGGTTTGTAAGAAATCATTTAGTGTTCGCTTCATGATGATGGTGGATGAGGATTACAGGTGGTGATTAACAGGAGTTGTGGCTTTTTTTTTCTAATTTGATTTTAATTTGGTGATATTTGCAGTTCCAATAATTACTCGAACTTCACCAACTTCATTAAATGAATTTGTTTACTGTTGACTGTTTGTAAAATTACCAATAGTATGAATCATAATTCTTCATGAAAACTCCAAATATTTTCTTTCCCTCCTTAATGCATGTAAAAATTGGATGCATGATTCTTGCAGCGCCATCAATTTCGTCCAGTGGACAAAAGTAAGTCTCCTTAACATTGTTGATATTCAATGGATTTTCATCATTGTTCCATCCAGTGTCGACTGAGACCATGTAGATTCTGCTCTTGGCATAGTCGGCGGCACTTGTTCTTGTCATCATATTTAAAGAACTCTTTGCCATATTCAAGTGTGGATGGGTTGTTTTTTTCGTTTTTCTATAAAACTGACCTTCCATACTGCTAACATTAATGATAAACTTGTCTTGATCGACCATTTTGGCCATCAGTGGTTTCAAACGAGAGTTGATAATGAATGGCGCAGTCACATTGATGGTTTGCACTTCTAAAAATTCGAAAATTGGAACCTGATCCAATTTTTGAACCCATGAATTCTTTTGTCTCAAATCTACTTGACTCTTATTTACATCGAGAACCTTATGTGGGAATAAATTACTGTCATAAAGCTGATCCTCTTTCAAGATTGGAATTTGAGAAATGAGTGCACTTGTACTAACATTACAGGAATCAGTGAGAGCCCTCAAAGAATCTACACTGTATGGTACAATTTGATTACTTGTTGGATTATTGGATGCATGCTCGATAAGTTCATCACTTGTTGGAGAAATGAGAGTCTTGATACCTGAATCTGTATGTTCTATCATTTCTGGTTTCATGAAAAAGTCTGTTGGTAGTATTTTCTTTACATTCTCGCTCAAATCCTCCAAACTGACTGTCATTTCATCGAGGCAGACATGTCTATAGTATGCACATGGCCTTCTAATGGTTTGACAGGCATTGTTAATAATAATGTCCAATCTATCAAGCTTTTGTTTCAAAAAATCACAAAATGCATAAACACTTGGAATGTGTTTCATGTCCAATCCATAAATTTGAAGCTTATCTTTCCATTGATCAAAATCTGGTTCAGCTGTATATCTTTTAGCAGCATCCTTTGGGAAACGAGTTGTTACAATGACCATAGAAATGTTATTTCTGAGAAGTTTCAAACTACTTTCATAACCAATTTTAACTCTGCCACCAGTCACAAGAGCAACACGACCTGACAAGTCACAAGTTGCATTTCTCTTTTCATAGTTGAACTCTCCACACTGAGTACACATTTTGTGATAAAAGAAATGAACCTTATCAAACATTTGTTTGCACATATAGCATTGTCTTTGTGAAAAGAGAATTGTTGGAACCGTTGTTGCCTTGTTTTCTTCATCTTGCATTGAGTTGCTGTCGACATGAGATGAAGAAGCACTACTGCTGGATGCAGTCTGGTTGGAATCATCAGTAATTGATTCAATAGTCACATCCTCATCATCCTCATCCACAGAATTGGACAATTTGAGTACATCTTGCTTTTTAATCCTTTTTAATCCAATATCAGGCATCATGTGTTTTCTCTTCTTTTTCTTCATTTCATCCGTTTCAATACCCATTTTCACAAGTGATGTTTCTGCTTGATCCAAATTCGAACATTCCAAAGCTTTCCTTTCCTCCAACTGTTCTTTAATAATGGAAATTTCATTAATTTTTCTCTTTTTCATTTCTGTATTATTTAAAATTGTCTCATCATGACTCTTTCTACCTTCCTTTGCTTGTTTTCTTCTCTGTCTCCTTCTTTCTATCTTTTCCTCTTCCGTCAATGGATTAAACAAGGCTGAGCCAGCCTCAAACAAATCCTTCAACTCGGGACTCTTCAACAAGTATCGATGTTTATGTAATTTCTTCATCGTCTCCAAACAATTCTCCAATTGTTCCTTACTAACCAAATCATAAGGATGTCCCACTCTAGAATTCTTCATCATGACATGAGCCTGATATTCAAAATTGATCGGATGCTTTTTCTCACGCTTTCCATCATGTTGTTGTTGATTATTATTTTCATTTTCGTTATCCAAAGAATCATCCATCATATTTATTCCAGATGATGATAATGACGATGACGATGATGATTTGAAATTCTCATCTTCATCGGCATGATCCTGCTGATTGTTGAGCATTTTTTTTCCTTGTTCTTCATCTCCAACTTTGCACTTTATGTTCATTCGGAATGGATCGGAAATGAGTTTCGTTTACAATGAAAATGTTCACAATCCAATAAACAGTGAAGGTTTATAACTTTGAAGGTCGTGATGCAGTTTCGTCCTTCTTTTGATTGGCAGCTGCTTGTTGCTTTTTGTGTAAACTTTCGAGATGGCCACGAATCATTTGTTGTGCCTTATCTGAAGCAATCACCTTCACAGCTTGTTCAGTTCTTTCCTTACAACATCCAGTGAGCTGATCAATGAGTGGTTTTCTTAATAAAAGCTTGGATTCTCTCTTGGCAAATTGGTTGACCTTATTCCATTTCATTACTTGTTTCAGAGCTGATTCTTTCATTGAGTTTGGATTGGAGTGAACTTCATCAACAAGTGAAATTTTCAAAGCTTCATTGGCTGGTAATAAACTTCCCAATTGAACATGCATTTCACACAATCTCTTTCCAATAACATTCTCATAGGCAGCAATAAAGAACCATGGAGGAACTAATCCAAATTGAGTTTCGTTCAGCCCAATAGAACACTGTTCATGAATAATTCTATAATCACAAGCCAAACTCAAGACACATCCACCTGCAAAACATTGTCCATTAATCATTGCAACAGTAAACAATGGACACGAATAGAGTTTCATAAACATTCTCTGCAGCACATTCCAAAATTCAGTCAAATATTCCAACGAACTAGTACACAACGATTTCAAATCCAATCCAGCTGAGAAAACTCCTCGGCATGCTGAAGTAATCACCAAGGCATTCATTGGAGCTTGCGAATATTGTTCCACTTGTTCAATACTTGAAATGATGCAATTCATCATTGAGAGTGTTAAGGAATTTACTGGTTTGTTGTTGAGGGTCATGAGTGCAAATTTTCCCTCATGATTAAATTCGAGTTGAACCAATTGCTGTTGGCGTGTTAGTGTTGCTACTGAAGATGAGGATGTTGATAATGATGGTGAGGAAGATAAAGATGATGTGGCCATTTGATGATGATTGTGAAGAGAGGGTGGTGAGGCAGATTTTTTGTGTTGTGTGAAAAAAAGGTACTTTTGCTGATGCTAGTAAATATGGCAAATTCGACAAATTATCATTATTATTGAAGTATCAGATATTATACGTTGCTATTTGTTATTGTGTGGTGATATTAGAGTGTGGACTACGATCAATCAATGGATTATAATGCCATCATATCATTCGTCTGACTTTGACTTGATTAATAAACATTACAAGAAACATTGAATAAAGAAAATGGGAATAGATGTGAATTACAGCCATTGGCTCTGAAATATTGAAAAAACATTTTACAAAAAAATTGAAAATTGAATGCAAGTACATTCTCTGCTTTCGCACGAAATAATTTTTGATCAAATTTTCATCTATTTCGAATATCGATGGATTTTAAACAATGTCAGATTAGTTTGTAAATATTGGAATGAAAATTACAAATCCATAAAAACTTTTTACTTTCCGCTGCTGCCAAGAAATTCCCACGAATTGAATATTCTGATAAATTGAGCAAGGTAACACATTTAAATTTCAAAACGAGAATAAGTTTAGATTCGTTTATTTCCATGTTAACCAATTTGAAAGTATTGAAATTGAAAAGTAGCTGTAGTGATGATTTAATTATTGAAATTGAAAAATTGAAAACATTACAAGAAATGGAATTACCTGGATTGAGTATTAAAAGTATTAATTTACTATTCGAAAGCAAGTCAAAAATTAAATCACTCTCCATGAAAATAATGACAAATTCGGGAGATGAAAATTTACTTTTTGATAAATTGGATTGGCCATTGGAGAAATTAATATTATTCGGTCACTTGCATTCAAAATCATTAATTTCAATATTCGAAAGCAAATTTGCTAAAAAGTTGAAAGTGTATTTATTTGATTGATTTGAAAAAATCAGCATTGGAACATCTTTATAAATTGGAATCACACTGAACTAAACTATTCAACTCAAACAATTGGATGTGAGAAAAAATCAAATAGGAGATGTTGGAGCCAATTATTTATCAGAAAATGTTAAACTGGAAGAATTACATTTGGAAATGAATATGATAGGTAGCGAAGGTTTGAAAAATTTTGGAAATTTGAAATTATTGAAACATTTCAATTTACATGATAACAAAATTGGAAATGGGTTGACCTAGTTGTGTCATTGTTATAGTTTGGAATATTTACATGTTGGATTCAATAATATTGAGGATAGCACAGTTATGGAATTTTTGAGTAGGAATGAATTTAAGAAAATGCATTATCTAAATTTGAGCAACAATGCCATTTCGTTTAAATCATGTAAAATCATTGCAAATATGAAACATTTGAGAGAATTGGTTATTTCTTCAAACCAAAACATTGGAGATGATGGATTTGAGTTATTTGGGAATACGGAATGATCCATTACTAGATTAACAGTTATTAATTGTGGTAATACTGATTCAGGAATAATTAAGTATCTGAAATCCAAACCAAAATTACTTCAATCTCTAATCATTCATAATAATAGGTTCAGTAATGCAGCAATTACATGCATTCATAGATTATGTTCAGCAGTATGGAAGTATTTCTGAACTAGTAATTAGTGATGCACCAGATTTCGATTCGAATCTTAAACAAAAAGTTAGGGAATTAGTTCAAAACTTTTATTGTAAAAAGGCAATAGGATCACCCAAAGTACGAACAAAGCAAAAATGTAATCTCCAATAGTAGTTTTACCAATTTGGTATTCGAAACAAAAGTAAAGTATCATTTTAAGCTCCAATATGTGATAACACATTGTAAATATTCTTCCAATTAACCAATATTGAAATGTGAAGAATTATCTACGATTAGCATTTATAAAGATTTTGATGCATGGTGTTGAATCAGTTTTCTATCTAAATTTGTAACCTTACATGTTTCGTTTTGAGTTTCCATCATTGTTCAAAAAAGTATTTAATGAGCACAAACTCATAGACCAGAATATCAACAAACAAAAAAATGAAAGCAAATCTAATTGTTTCAATTGCAATTCTTCTCCTGCTTGCCATTCTTTCAGTTCAAGCAACTGACAGCTATCAAACCAAACCTGGACCAGTCGTAGTTGACAAGTATCACAAGCCAAAGATTAGTAAGAGAAAATGTTTAAAGCACAAGTGGATTAAGAAGTGTTTGAAACACAAACTCGTTGGTCAAAAGAAGGTCTGTGATCAATATGCCATTGTCGGTGCTGGTAAATGTCTCAAACATAAGAAATATTCCAAATGTGACAAGTATAGCAAGCCAACAAAGAAATGTGTCTTGCATGCGTACAAGATTGTTGGTTGTGCCAAGAAGAAGCACTGGAAAGTTTGTGATTCTTATGGAACTAAGAAGATTTGTGTGAAGAAGGGTTACAAGAAATTCTGTGCCAAACACAAGATTGTCAACAAGTGCGTCAAGAAGGGATATAAGAAGGTCTGTAAGAAATTCAAGAAGGTTCCAATCAAGAAGTGTGAAAAGAAGAAGATTTGCGATAAGTACACTGTTGATTCCTATAAGAAGAAGGTTGCCAAATGTAGATATGTTAAAAAGTGCAAGATTGTTGCATGGGCAAAGAAATGTGCCAAGTATAAGAAGGTTAAATACTGTAAGGAGAGAAAATCCATCAAGAAATGTTGTCTCATTAAGAAGAAATTCTTCTGTGCCAAGCATAAGACTATCAAGTTCTGTAAGCACAAGAAGACTCTTTCTAAATGTGTCAAATATCAAAAGAAGAAATATTGTGCCAAATCAATTGTCATTCCACCAAGATGTCTCAAGAAGAAGTATTATAAGAAGTGTTTGAAACGTTCTAAGGGAAAGAAGATTTGTAAGAAATTCAAATTGGTTGGTGGAAAGAAGAAGTGTTGCAAGTCAATCAAGAAGAAGATTTGTATCAAGAGAAAGACATGCAAAAAGTCAGAAAAGCCATCCTTGTAAATTAATGATCGAGATTTCCAATAGGGTTAATATTCTTGTAAACAACAAAATAAATTACAAATTGACTCTCAATATTCCAACTGAAAAAAAATCATATTCGCCATCTTCCTTTCTCTGGAATTGAGGACAGCTGCAATAGGTAAAATTGCACAATAGGATTGAGAAATTAAATATTAAATTACAAATTTATTATGCAAAAACATCAACAGCAAAACGCTTATCCATCGAGCTCATTCTCTTTTCAGCTTCTTCCTTTGTACAATTGGTAACTTGTTGATAAATTTCCATCAAGACTTTCTTAACAGCAGGTGCCATATGATTTCCTTCACCACAAATGTAGATTTGAGCTTCTTCCAGTAAGAGTTTAGCAACTTCTTCCTTGCATTCCATAATCTTATCTTGAACATATTTTACGTTACTTCCCATTCTTGAGAAAACTGGTCTCAATTCAACAGCTCCCAATTGACTCCATTCTTCGAGTTCCTTCTTGTACAAGTAATCTTGTTCTGGATTTCTGCATCCTTGGAACAAGAGAGCCTTACCAAGAGTCTTACCTTCCTTAATGAGACAAGCTCTTTCCTGAACGAAACCTCTGAATGGAGCAATACCAGTACCAGCTCCAATCATGATAATTGGAACAGATGGGTCATTAGGTAATTTGAAGGAAGAGTTTCTAATTTGAACCGAAACTTGCATATCTGGAAGACAACTTGCCAAGAAATTGGAGGCAACCCCTTCGTGGAATCCTTTTCCATGGGTTGCTGGAGCTCTCAATACACCAACAGTAATGGTACACTTGTCCTTATTCCACAATGGAGAGGATGAGATTGAGTATTGTCTTGTACGCATAGGAATTGAAATATCCAAGAAATTTCCGAGTGGAATTGTACAAGATTTCAAATCATGAACGATATCAAGAATTGGAGGAATGTTAGAGTCCTTTTCTATTAATTGTTGGAGTACTTGCTTATCGGATGCTTCCTTTGTGTGTTCGAGGAGAATTTCTAATTGTCTCTTGGTTGCTGGTTGACTCAATTCGAAATAATTCATGAACAAGTTGACTGCAGAGATTGGCTCATTGACAGGATAGGATGAAGATGAAATTGTTTCACTTCTCTTCAAGACAATTTGATCATCGTGAGTTAATTTGAAATGAGAAAGTGCCTTATTAACAACTTTCATAGAGTTGACAGGTAATACTGATAAATAATCACCTGATTCATAATGAGCTCCAGCTGGCAATTGAATTTCAATATGTCTCTTGGATCTACAAGTTCCATGATCATCACAATAGTCCTCAGGAACCAAATCATAATTTTCAATTACCTTTCCAGGTTCCAAACTTTGGAAATGGAGAATTGTTTCTCTATGTCCCTTAATGATGGTTGTTTCAACTGGAGGAAGTTCGTGAGAGGTATGAGGATCGAAAGAACTCCACAATGTCTTTCTCCACTGATCAAATTCACAGAATAAGTCTTTGGCAGCATTACCAATTCCTCTCTGGGCAATTCTCTCACCACCAGCTTCACTCAATTTGTTGTCAATGAATGTTGGAATTCTTTGATAGGTGTCAACCCAATCACTGTGTCCACATCCGAAAACTGCATATTTGAGTCCTTTGAGAGTATTTTCTGGAACATGTTCGAGCCATCCAACGAATTGTTTGGCATCTTCAGTTGGTTGACCTTCATATGAAGCTGTTACAATGAGAATTGGAGTATCCAATGGAATGTTACCAGTAAATGTGTTCAATCTACCAACTTTACAATCAAATCCTTTGGATTTAGCATCTTGGTGCAACATTGAGGCAAAGCTTTCACATGTACCACTGTTAGAACCGTACAAGACCAAAAGTGGACCCTTTGATTCGGTAGATGTGGAATTTTGATCATCAGTATGAGAATTTTCAGAACTAGTATTAGAAGCATTAGTTCTCACCAATTGAGATCCTTTCCAATTAGATCTTGGCTTAACTTTGAGGAATAATCCATTTGGCTTGATGGTCAAAGCTTGGGTAATGGACAAGTGATAATTTGGATCATTCTCAATCAGTTCAAATCTTTGAAGAACCATAGCCAATACCAAAATTGCTTCTTGCCAAGCAAATGGACGGCCAATGCAACCTCTCGATCCATTACCAAAAGGTTTCCAACTGTTACTTGGAAGTGAGGAAAAGTTTTCTGGGCTCATTCTATCAGGATTGAATTGTTCACAATCTTCACCCCAAACTTTCTTATCTCTGTGCAAATTGGAATTACTCACAATAATAAAATCTGAAGGGTGAATTCTATACTTTCCACCAATGACTTGATCAGTTTTACAACCAAGACCAAATCCAGGAGCAGTTGGCCACAGACGAAGAGTTTCTTTGAGGATTTGATCCAAATAGACAAGTTGTGGAATATGTTTGATTTGAATATTTTCATTTCCAATCACAGTGTCAACTTCTTTTTGAGCTTTCTTTAAAACTTCTGGATGTTTGAGAAGTTCATAAAGCGTGAAACTCAAAAGACCACTAGTCGTCTCGTGCCCGGCTATCAAAAACGTGACCATTTGATATCTAATATTTTCATCACTTAATCCTTGATTGGTGACTGGATCCTTTCCAAGTAACATTCTATTAAGCAAATCGTTAACATCACTTGGATTCTTCTTTCTGTCCTTTACAATCTCGTCTGCAACTGCATGCATATATTCAATATTTCTTTGATGCTTTTTCTTTGTCTTGACCAAGACATTGTTCAAAATGGAAGGTCTCTTAGTTCTAGAGCTGGCTTCTTGCAATGCCTCGAACATGGACTGTACGAATGGATGCATTTCATTATGATAGAAACTGTTAAATCTATAGTTGAATGCACACAAGGCAATTGTATCTAAGGTCAATCTGGTCATGTTATCAACAATGTCAATAACTGAGTGCTCTCCCAATCTTTCCCATTTGGTACACAATTGTTCTGCAATATCATACATTTGAGGATACATATCCTGAATTGATTTTGGACCAAAGGCTGGCATTAAAATTCTGTGAGCAATAGCCCAATTTGGTTCATTATTCTCTGCAGTGAATAAACCATCCCCACCAAACTCTTTAACGTGTTTTAATCCTGGAGGAAGTGCCTTTTCAAATCTGCTCTCATCACATAATTCATTGACCAATTCTTGACTGTAAACTACTACTAATTGTTTACCTAATATATTCATCTTGAAAATACCATCGAACTTTTTGGCCAATTCAATAAAACTTGGAAATGGATTCTTTTTATCGACTGTAAAGATATTACCAACGAGAAAGTGTGGTTCTGGTTGAGGAATTGGTTCTTCTTTACATGGTTGATTACTGCCATTGCTTCCTTTACTATTACGACGAGAATCAGCAGAAGCAAATGGACATTGAGCTTCATTATTTTGAGTGCTCATGCCTGATACTGGACATGTTTGTTGATCAGATGTTCCTTGAGTCATTATCAAGTTGTTGTGTTGTTTTGTTTTTTTCTTATTGTTGTATTGTATTGATGGAGATTTTCTTCCCTCTATTTATATTGAGGATCATAGCAACAAGAGAGATGAGGGAAATTTCAACTCTTTGATGCGTAAGATCCAATCATGGTCGAAAAGTCTCCTTCACCACTTGTCGTACACATTAAAATCACCTCGACTTTACATTCGTCCATCACCATGTGTTGTCTTCTGAGGTGGACAATAAGCGCGTATTTTTTTAGATGTATCGCAAGCGATAACAACCCGATCCATTTATGGGAACGGATGAAAACCAAATATTCGAAGGAAATAATAAAAACATAGTTAGAGTGTTGGTTTTGAAGAGGAAGTTGGAGTATAATTTGGTACGATAAATTGGTTTTGAGAATGTCAGGTTGTGGGTGATAGAGTGATCATTTTTATTAAGGTTTAGTTGACTCCTTGAGGAACTTTATGAGCATCTCCAAAGAATATCTGTTCTTTGAGAAGAGTTAAATCTCTCTGCATTTGAACTAGCATAATCTTGAGGGTGTCCACAGAGTCTGGTAATTTGTCAATATCCAATAAATCCTTAGCATCTTCCAAGTAGAGACATGCATACTTGTCACGTTCTCTTCCAATAACAACTGGAAGAGGATAGGTTCTAAAGTAAACATCCTCTCCGTGTACGACTCTATCTGCCTTGTATTTAAAGTTCAATTCTTCTTGCTCTATTGTGTTCCAAGAAGGAAGAGGTCGAAGTTTGAATAATGGATTATTAAATTCAATTTCCTCATTTTCTTCCATAAATCTTTCCATATTGGATCGAGGTTTTAACTTGTCCAAATCGAGCTCCTCATAGGCAGATAAACTGGCATTGATTGGAACTCTTCTTTGTTGGTGTCTGGTATCTCTGGCATCAATATCTATGAATGAATCCATTGTTTCCTTATTATAGTGGAATGGCCTCTTGTCATCAAAATTGGATTTGAGAATAACATCCTCTTTCCTACGAGGGGATTTCATATTGCCACTACTATTGAATCGTAAAAGAGATGATGATGGATTATACTCTGTAACTGGAGATTCTAATGAATCATTATTTGTTGTAGAAGAGGATGAAGGAGTGGAAGTACCTGTTGCTGAAGTTTTGGAAAGGAAGGTAGGTAAAGCAGGCATTGTGTTGGTACTGCCAGGAAGTGTTGGCAACCCATAACGTGGTGCATCAGCAACTGGTGATTGGGTTCCACTTGGTCTAATGTGAAGAATTTGCTTATTGGTGATGATATTTTCGGTGGAGGAAGACTTTTTTAGAACAGTCTTGGCATCTTGATCAGAGTCAGAGTTTCTTCCAACAAACATTCCTTTGGCTTTTTGTAAGAGAGTTTTTCTCTTCTCTGATTTGGAATCTCCTGATGTACCAAAAGACATTGAAAAGACTGTCTTTCTATTGCTGTTGCTACCTCTAGCAGTCTTTGAGCCTCTATTACTCTCCAACATGTGTTCTTCATGACTAATTTGGAAATCAGCATCAGAAGTTCTTCTAGCATCCAGTGCCAAGTAAGGAATGATTAATTCCTTATCAAAAGCTTTCAACTCATCAATACCACCACTTCCTCCAACAAGGTTCTTACGAGCTTGTTCAAGATCTTCATTTTTGGATTCATTCTTGCCTTCCACCTTCACGGATTTGTTGATAATAAAGCTGCTTGCCGTTCTTTCTAATGGCTTTTGGTATTTTTCCTTTGTTGAAGTGCAAACTGGCTCAGAACCAAATATTTCCATAAAACTGTCTGCATCATTACCCAAAGCTGCCATAATCTTGGAATCGACATCTAACAGCTCAGTGTCAGTTACCTTCTTTTCTTCTTCATTTTGTGATAATTTCTTTTCGACATCAGCATAATCAAGCTCAAATTTCTTATACTGTTCCTCATTGGCTTTTAAGAGTTTTTCCAATTCTGCAATTTGGTTCTTTTGTTCTCTTACAACTTTGCTCAAAGAGTACATATCTTGCTTCAAGTTTTTGTGTTGTAATTGAGAAGAACTGAGTTTAGAATTGTTAATTTTAGACCTGTTGAATAATCTCATACGTTTCTCTTGAATGAACAACTCATTGCCATTATTACCCAAAAGGGAAGGACTTGCTGAACCATTGTTTCCACTTGTATTTAACAATCCACTCAAGCTTTGGGTGTAATGGTGGGAACTGTGTGCTACGTGAACAGACGAGGAAGAGGTGGAGGTAGTAGAGGAAGAATCGTTAGATCTTGGACTAGTTTCCTCCGAAGATTTCTTATCGGAAGAGGTAGAAGTATTCTTTTCTTCGTGTGGTTTCTTATCATCTTGCTTTAAACTTGGATTGACTCCATACTTTTTACATCTTGATTTTTCCATATCAATTAATTCTCTAATGTCCTTTTCCCATTTGATTCTCTCTGTACCGTTGATAGCTTCAAATTTGAAGGTAAAAACTGAACTACGTAAAAATGCACGAATGGTAAAGTCCTTCTTCTCTTCATCATTCAAATCTTCGTCAGAGATTATGTCCATTTCTGAAAAGGCAAAGAATATCAAATGACTGTAATCTATTCTGAGACCTCTTTCTGGTGTCATTGGCAGAATAATCATTATATCATTACATAGATAAACTTCGCAATCTGAATTGAGGAATTTTCTAGAGCAAACAACTCTAAAATCATCACGCTTTAAAAATCTTCTGTGAGGAGTTACCAAGTTGCCATATCTCTTGCTTAAAATTTGTTGGAGACGAAGGAAGATGATATTATTTTCATCGTGTCTCTTCTTTTCATTGACAAAGAGGGCAAGCTCATTAAGGATGGCCAAGGTTTCTTCAATTACACTATATTCAACATGGGTTGGAATAGTTCTCCTGAATAGATCTTGGAATAGCATTTTGAGTCTAGGAATTCTTTGAATTGGAGTAATTAACAAACTTTGAAGAGTGACACTCTTCTTATTGTAAACGCTTTCCAAAAGCTCATTAAACTTTGGATTTCTCAAAGAGAGTTCTTCTACAAGTTCGTTAGCCTTATCATAATTATTTACATATACAGTGTACACTTTCAAGAATGGGAGAATTTTCTTGAAGATTGAAGGGAAGTGATTTTTAGGGTAGTGCATCTTGTAATCCATTTCCAAGTCGTGTAAGAGGGCAGTATTGGTCTTTAAAATTTGCTCAATATTACTAAAGATGATGTTATATTGTTCCTCAGGAGTGAGACCATCACGAGAAACAACATTGGAAGCAGTAATATTTGGAGCAGGATTGTAGTGATTGAAAATGGCAAAGTTATTCTTTTTCATTGGTAAGAAAAAGTCATAGTACAATGTTTCCAATTGATTGACATAGCTTCTCTCTGTGGAGAGGATTTCTTTCAGACAGTTTTGTCTCAATCTCTGTTGTTTGAATTCTGGAGCTGTCTTCATGTAATTTACAAATTTCTTTAATTTCCACCAATCAGCAAATGCTCTTGATACCAGTTTTCCAGCTTCTTCCACTGAAAACTTTTTAAAATCTTGATATTGTAATGGTGAAACTCCAGAGAAAATGGTTGCCTTTCTATTGACAACTTTTCCTCTGGTTTTATCCAATCCTTGTTGAATGGCCAATTTCAAATCATAATCAGCACCCACATTGACCAATTTTCTTGCCGCATGTTGGAGTGCAATGTGATGCAGTAACTTGTTCTTTCTATCATCACTTGCTGCATCAAAGTGAAAGAAGTGAGGTAATTTGGTCTTGTAAATTTCAATTTGTTGACTATCAACATTAGGTTCATAACTTGCCATTTCTTCCATATCGGCCATAGCAAGCAATTCTTCCAAATCAAACTCTGAATTGTCAAATGTTTCACGTGTCGAATGTTCTAAAACAAAATCTCCATCTGTCTCAGTGTCAAATGTTTCCAAATCTTCTTCTTCATCTCCTGCCCAAGGATCTTCTGGAGCTACTCTCACTCTAGAATCAATTGAAATGGTTTTACGTGTACTTGTCACATCATCATTTAAATGAACAGTATCCAATTGAGCATCAATTTTAGGTTCTTCTACTGGTTTTTCTGTTACTGCCTCTGTTGGCTCCTTAACTTCCATTTGTTGAACAGTATTATCGGGTATGATTGGTTGTTGTTCAACAGAACCATCTGGAGTTGATTTAGCATTCTCTTCAATAATTGGTATTGTTTGTTCGACTGTTGGTACAACCTTCTTGACCACTTTTTTCACAGCCTTCTTATTGCTACCTCCAGGTGTTGTTGGTGTATTATTCGAACTGCTGCTGGCACCACCACCACCTATCAATGATGAAATATTCGTATTGTTATGATACACCAATTGATCAAAAATAGCTGCTGAATCCATTGAAGATCTATAAGATGCCAATATCAGAGCATTACTCGTATCCTTTGTAGGCTTTATATTTTGAATTAAACCAATTGATGAGGTGGAAGATCGTTTCGATGCCTCTCCTCCTCCTTCATCCATATTCTCATCAAGAACAACATCCAAAAATTCCTGATTAATTTCACTCCACGTTCTACCTGGTCTCTTCTTTTGATCAGTATCATGTTGTTGTTCCGTCGTTGTTTTACCTTGAGGTGATGATGATACTTTTTGATGAGGAGAAAATTTGGCGCCATTCACCAAATTGGTATTATTCGTTGCTGTTGATGGCGATGTTGTTGATGCGCCTGTTGTTGAGTTGTTACTGCCTGGTTGTTTATATTCGACACATTCCAACGGATTGAGAGCATCTTCCTCAGAGGCACTTCCAGGTGTTTTTAATTTGTTATTGTTATCAGAATTATCATGATGATCGGAAGAAGTCGAAGAGGAAAAGTTATCATCAATATTGAGGTAAATGGCTGGTACTCTAAGTGTTCCCCAAGTGAATGATGTTGTTGTTGAGGTACCTTGAGATGAGGATGATGATGAATTTTCAGTATTATTATTATTGGAAGGAGTTTTCAATTTGCAGTGAATATAACACCAACCACCTCTCTTCTTATCGAGAATGGCCTTCTCTCCTGCAGGACATACCACAATATAGCCCATATAGTGAGTCTCTACATTGGAGGCAAATGTAACGATCATTTTGATAGTGTGTTTATGGTTGTTTTGGTGGTGGATTTGTTTTCACTGAAGTGTGTTGGTAGTGGATGATGAATAGAGATGGGTATGATTGAATTTTTTTGAATTGTTGGAGTTTGAAAGATTGACGTTTGACCGATTAGTGTGATTCAAAGTGCTGTTTATGAAGTGAAAGTTTGAAGATTGCTCTTTGGCAGATGAGGTCATTGTGTTACTTTCCGATAGCCACAACAATGTGATGACTCGTTTCTTTATCAGATGTGATGACTACATAAGTGCGAAGAAACGACTATTAAGCTGTTCAAATTCCAGTGTAAAATCAATAGTTTTACAAGCACTTTCAATAAAACAATAATTATCTCTGTTTTAATCAATAATTGTTAATTTAATAAGACAATTTAGAATAACAAGCTGGCCATTCTCTTTCTTGTATCACTGACGAGTTTCTTGTTTGCTTCTTGATTTTCCAAACAGTTCAAAATGTGAACAAGAGCAGTTCTTCCTTCATTCTTTGTGTCACTCTTCTTTAAAAGTGCAATACCTGCTTCGAGAGCTTCCTTTTGTTGTCCTGTCAAGTAGAGGTAGAGAACTCTTTCCTTATTTCCTTGAATTTCATTAATTGTCTTTCCTTCATGAATGGCCTTAACAACTTGTTCACCTGCTTCCTTATAACATTCATAAAGTGAAATGGCAGCAACAATTTCCTTATCAGTCTTGATTAATTCACCATGGTCCTTGTTCAATCTGGAAATAATTGACTTGGCAGCATCCATCTTGTATTGAGCAATTGAAATGGTCAATAATCCTGCAAGACCCTTTGCTGCATAGTCTGGCATTTCCTTATCAACAGCCTTTTCAACAACTTGACTATATACTTTTGATGCTTCTTCCAATTCTCCCTTAGCCATCAATTGACCAGCAATTGAAATCAAATATTCTGGAGAATCAGCATCAACTTGTGGTGGTTGTTCCTCATTAGATTGTCCACTTTGATTGGCGGCTCTATTTCTTGCTACATTAGCAAAGTTTTCCAAAGTTTTTTCGACATGATCTGCAGGAATGGCTCCCTTGAATTGGTCAACCAATTGTTTATCCATAATAAATAATACGTGTGGAATATCTTGAACTCGGAAAGCTTCAGCAATTTGTGGTTGATTATCAACATTAACTTTAATCAATTTAAAAGCTCCATTATGTTTCAATGTATGCTTTTCCAAAAGAGGTCCTAATTGTTTACAAGGGCCACACCAACTAGTTCATTCCAATAATATAAATTGATCATCCAATTATTAATTATTAATATTATTATTATCATAAATGTTAGGATTAAAAACGATAAATATTATGATTAACAAATTCCGATAGTAAAACATACTCAGCATAGAAATCAACAATAATTGGCTCTCCAGAATCAATAAATGCTCTAAAATTTTCATCAGCTTCAATAATAACATCGGAACGTTCAGAAACATGTTGGGCTTCAACAGTTTCATCAGCAAGAGTACGCATACTTGTTGAGAAGGTTTTAAAACATGATGATGATGATACTGCTGATGGTGTCATGGAATGAGTGCAAGCCACTCTTAAAGATCCGAACAAGGTATTGGTGTTCTTTCCGAGTCTTCTTACGGAAGTGGATTTATTAGCTACGGAACGGACTAGTTGCTTGAGAGTTGAGTTTCTGTACATTTTTTGTTTGAATTTTATTCGTATTCTCTTTTTAAATTGATTGAATTTAATTTAGATGATTCATCAGTGAATTGAACAATAAGATAGAAAATGTAATGTAAATAAATGAGAGTTTTTTGTTTTAATGAGTACAATGAAGGGTAACATCTTGCAATCTGGAATGATCTTCAAAATCCATAACTGATTTCATATTTACAAAGGCTTCGATTGGATTATTGTAAGAGATTGGATCTAGATAAAAGAAACTGAGTCTATCCTTTCTTTGACCTGCATTGGCACCAAGTAAAACAAAACATTTGAATTTCCTGTGATATACTATGGTGGTGTAACATGAAGGAATTCTTTCCTGCAAATTGAACATACTAACGACAGGAGTCAAATCCGTTGATTTCTTATCAGTTCTATTGTTAAAAGTGAATACAAATAGATGAGGATCATAATCTTCATCCACGTTATAGTCAGTTGTTTTACATCCACCATAAAATGCAAACTGATTATCAGTCAAATTACATGAATGAATAACATGGCATGCTGGTATTTTGTGGAATGGGGTTGGCGAGTTTGTAATGATTTGGAATCTATTTTCCTTAAAGTGATAGATCAAAATTTCATCGGTCATTGGAGCATATTGACCAACTTTGAGTTTACCAGAAACAATGACCATAACGTCATGCTTTTTCACGTACTGCCCAACATGATAGGATCTTGGTTTGACTTGATCATGATTTGTAGCAATAACCTCTCGCCACTCACCAGTTTTGATATTGAATTCAAAAATTTTGTTACAAAATGCCTTTTCTAGTAAACCTCCAAATGTGTAGAATGTGTTAGCATCTCTTCTTATTAATGTGTGACCCTCTAATTTGGGTAAGTTTTCAGAATCCTTCAACTCTATTAGGCTATACTCTTTGTTTTTGGCATTGAAAATGTGAAAATTATTAGTTGGACTTCGCTCAAAAGTGAAAATACTTCCACCATAGCTATAGACAAGGTGTTTTTCTTCATCTGTACACAATGCTCGGAACAATACATTATTCTCTTGCTTTACATTATCTTTACAAGTATAAGTAGTATTAAATATCTCAGTTGTGACACGAAAATCTCGATGTTTTTCAATCATGTTTGTGTCAGCAGCCTTATCCTTCAAACTACTCGACAATTTACAACAAAGGATTTGTTTCCTATGACTAACTCCCATATAATCAGATGGAAAGTAAAAGATTTCATTACCAACCAATGCTGCATACATGTGAGAATTCTCAGTATACTGCATTGAATTGGCACAATAATATCTGGTCGTTGAATCAGATTTCAAATAATCATTATTATAAACTGGTAATTGCATATTTGTAGCAATCGCCATTGGTTTGATAGTCTCCGAATAATTCATTTCAGCAAGAATGGAACCGGTTTCTTCATCTGATGAACTTCCCTCACTACCCTCTCCATTCCCTCCAGCTCCAGCTCCTCTCATTGAAAGTCTAGCCAATAATCTTCTCATCATGTAATATATGAATATTAAAATTCTCCTCCTCCTAACTCTAGATTTACAAAATGACAATGATGAAGAATCACAAAACAAACGTGATGATCTTGCAAAATTGACGAACGAGTTCCCTCTAGATTTATTCGTGTCGTTGTATTTTTTTAAAAAAGAAAATGAATTTTGTGTTTGAGCGAGAATTGTTTCGATGGGTGATGATAGGTTTTGTGTGTTAATAGGAGAAGTTTGCTTGTTGGATCGTGAGGATAGTGTCTCGAGAGAGGAGATAAGGGAAAGTAGATAATGTGTTTATTGTGCAATCGAAAGAATTGTATTCAAAATTGATCTATTATCTGTGGGACTATTTGGGTTGTTGGTGGAAAGAATGGGAAGAAGTTCCAGAGAAGGTGTTGAACGGGAAAGAGAGATGGATTATTATGCGAATTAATGTCTGATGATGAATTGTATAAAAATCAAAGTAAGTTGTGAAATGCAACTACTCTTTTGATTTTTATTTTAAATTTATTTAATATTTTTTTTATTTTATTTATTAACTTTCTAAATTTGGGTTGATGTTTCTTCTTTTTGATTTTTTTTGGTTCCTTTTGATTGAACTGTGAATCGAATATAGACATCACATTGAATATCTACCAAGCAATGGCTTTGAATTGAATCGAACAGATTTTGATTAATTAAATTAGGTGAATTCGATAGCAATGTTTCAATTTCTCCAACTTTCAAGGCCAGATCGGAGGGTAAATTAATCTGAGCCAATGAGCATGATTTCAAATAACTCTCCACAATGTTAATTCCCATTCTTGCACTTTCTTCCACTTTCCCATTCATATGAAACGAATTCTTAAACCTCTGAATATCCCTCCAACATAATAAATTCTCTGGACAGTAACTTCTCCTTGCAAAATCCAAAATTTTCTCATAATTTTCCTTATTTTTCAAAAATTGTTCAACATCTCCAGCAACATTACTTTCCAAATCGAGTATTTTCTTTCGATCTTCTCGAATGGAATAGAAAATTGGAAGAACCACCGACACAAATATTGCAAATAATGAATATGCCACCAAAACATTTCCATACGGCACCAAATTATCCACTAAATACTTTACAATATCAATATTACCTAAAACAGCAAACAATACACAACTAATCAATTGAAATATAGCACATATAATAGTTTCCTTCTTAATTTTCCAAGTATCTCTATCAGAATAAAAGCACAACCCCAACACAATCAGCTCAATAACCAAGTAAACCACACACTGACCAGCAACCACAACAATTGATCCCAATCCTAAAATGCAACCAAATTGAGGATCCAATAATTTTCCATCGGCGAGGAAGAGTTTCCTTCCTGGTGTTGCCAAATCAATTCCTCCACAAATAAGCCACAACACCAAGTGGAATAGTATAATGATAATGTAAAAAACAGTTGAGAAGGAATTACTGGTTGTAAATCTGAGAAGGGAAATGAATCGTTTCTGTTTGGGTGATAATTGTTTTGTACTTTCGGTTGGAATGGATGCCTTTTCGATTGCTATTTGATCTGTTGTGTGTTGTCTTGTTATAGAATTGGTCAATTGATTATTATTGAGCTGATGATCCAAACTTTCGTTTAAAGTATTCGAAATCATCGAATTAATCTTATCCAAACAAAACAATCTCCAACATTTCAATATATTTGGCATAAATATCGAAGGAGGAATCACAAAAAACGTTATCGAATAAATCAAACAACCAAAATTCCTCCTTCCCACAATATACCTCACTCCAGTATTCAAAACAAAATACGAATTAAATATCAAATCAACTACTATTAATATTATATTTCGGTTCACAATATGTCCACTCTTTCTTTTGATAATTATCATTGGAATACTAAAAAAAATCATGACAAGACAGAGAAATGTCGAAATTGATGAAATGATTGGAGTAAATATTGAATCGGGACAGATGGTTGTGTTTGGGGTGATGGTTGGCTCGTAATTAAGGGCTCCTAATTGAAATAATAGAGGATGACATGGTGAAGTAATGTTCAACTGAGATGTGTTGAGAAGTGACATTTTTTTTTGAATCATTTTTGTTATCTCTGTAAAATTAATGGGATCAATCCTTAAGAGATATCTCAATTGACCTCAATGTAATAGTATAAATGGATTGCCCAAATGATGATGTACAATCCTAATTTGTAAAATTTCTTTAAAAGAAACTGGACGAAATTATTTTGTAAAATATTCAAAAAAGAAATGCTTAAAAACTCTAATTTTTTGAGTAGATTATTCAAAGATAGTTTCCTCTACAGCAGTAGAAGATGTTATGCAGTCAAATCAAGCTCCAATTACGATCCTCGTCATGACATTCCCACCAATCCGAAAGTAAACGATTCCTCAGCCTTCTTTTCACATCCTTGTAAGTTCTCCTCCTTTTGAAATATTATTCTCACTTTCCAATCTTTGATTTTATAAAGATTTCAAAGCAATTCAAGAAGGAGGTGAGAAAGGTTCAGGCGAATGTAAACGAATCCTCGAACTTGCTGAAAAAAACTCACTCGAATTCTCAGTTCGAAGAGAACAGGAAAAGAATGAACAAGTTGGGGTGCAAACGAGTCATCCATTCGAAGCAGCAATTAGAGATGGTGCCAAATTTGGAAGTAATGAATGTTCCAAATTAGTATTTATGTGGGATGAACCGAAAAGAGATGCTGAACAACCTTACAAACAAGTGAATCAAGATCATCGAAATTCATTTGTTTAATTTATAAATAATTTTTATTGAAATTTGTAATAATTTTTAAATATTTTTTTACACTGCATTTTTATAATTTACAAAATTGTAGGTCTGACAAATTGGATATTAAATAATGTAAATGGTAGTGATTCTTTTTGAGATGTGTCGACACGAGTTGAAGGGTCGGTATTTTAGCCTATTTCTCCAAACACTTATTCGAAACTCTGTACCAGCGATACAACCTTTCAACAATAGTCAACACAACATGCATAAATACTAGTCGAAGTCATTTTACACGAAACGTCCAAGAGAGATCTTTCTCATTCTTTTCGCTCAACAATATTTATCCTAAACTATACTATTCTTTGTAATCAATAGTGATGATTATCATAATATCCAATCAAACACCAAAGCGAGATCCATTCTAATCAGGGTTCTGCACAAAACCTCACATTGTGAGGTTACGATGAAATAAGAAAAAGACACTTGATGAGCCATGAATCACACAAAACTACCGTTACTAATAAAATTTAAAAAATTTGATGAAAAAAAAACATCCTGATGATGTTTTGTGAATGAATCGTGCCGGGATGTTTAATTGCAAGTTATGATGTAAATCAAAAACATACCGTTCTACAAACAAGAGTAATAGCAATAATATTGATTATTGAATATTAATTAAACAAAAAGAACACTGACCACTGGTTGAATAGAATGCCTCAGGTTCTAGCTTGGTTCTAATCACCTTAGCACAATGTGCTGAGGCGTGCAAAGTAAAACTTTTCAAAAATAAAAGTATGGGTTCTATATTAATAGTTGAAAATTGATATGTATATGACTGAAAACAAAAACAAATAATATATTGGTTTATTTCCAAATTCAATATTCATGTGCAGAACCCTGATTCTAATCAATTATTCTTTCCAGTTCGTTATCATTTTCATTTGAAAATATCGAACATTGTACTGAATTGTCGAGTCAACCAAGTCAAGAAGAAATGCTCTTTCGTTTGCTACCAATTTCATCTTCGGTGCTTTGATAAGGAAGGAGAAGAGTTTTGCGTAGAGGATTTTTAATTGTAGCGTGTCAGATAGACTGAGCAAATGATTCCTATTTTCAAATTTCACTGTCAGGTGTCAATCGAGTATGTAGTTGCATCACAGAAGAAGAATTAAAAAAAAATCGAGGTTTTTGTGTTTTGTGTGTAACTCAGAGGTAATCAATTTGCAAAATGTTTATTTCTGCTTCTTCAGAAGGTTTGTATTCTAGTTTCGAATAACTTTATATTGATCTCTATTCGAAACTAATTGTGTGTTATACATTAAAATTTGTCATCCTCACTTCACCCATTGCACAAACACTTATTATTTACAAAAGATACATTATCGGAAGATCTTCCATTTGATGAATCTAAACCAATTTCTCGTTGGTCAACTGGTGATTTTCTTTCCTTTCTTCGACACTTGGAAAGAACTTTAAATTACAGATTTTCACAATCAACATTAACAACTCTAAAACAAGAATCGTGGGATGGCTCTGCTCTTGTCCAATTCGAAGTTTCAGATTTGGAGAATATTATTTCCCAAGACGAAGCCGAACTAATCTATTCATCAATTCAAAAACATATTTCTCATCAGAAGAATCTAATGGAAATTCAAGACAAGTTGGAAAATGTAGAAATGGGAGGAGTTTTAACAACGAGAACAACAGTTTCGAATAATGTTTCTTCTCCAAGTATTTCTCCAAGTAATCAAAGAAAGGATTCAGTAGCAATAACAAGGAAATCTGCTTCATCAGAAAATTTGGAAAAAACAAGTAGATTCGGTAATCGAACTGGTATTGTAGTCACTAGAAGAGATTCATCAATGATTCGTCCAAATTCGAATAATCCTATTAGTGCAGTTGAACATTCAAATTCTGCTAGTGAAGGACATTCACCCAACAGTCCACAAACATCCTTTGGAAATCAATCCCCATTCTCTTCAAATTCAACTACGCCCACAACACCAAGTGATGTTTCACCTGTCAATTATCGACCACCAAAACCTGTTGGATATACAACAAGAAAATCAATGGCACTAAATGGAAGCATCATTCCCATGATCAATAATTCAACAGAGGAAGCAGATCTTAATTCATCTTCATCATCAGATTCGAATAGTATGATTCGTCCATCACTCGATTCCATTGGAAGTAATAGCATGATGGAAAATATAATGATGAATAATTCATCCTCTTCCACCTCCTCTTCATCAAATGGTAAAGAAAAAAAGAAGAGTCGTGATCGTCTAGTTTCCTGTCTGGTTAATAGTGATCTTGATAATTGTGTTCGACCAATTGATGAGAAATCACTTAGACAAACAGTTTTCCCACAAATTTTGAATAATGATTTGATATTAATTGAACAATTGGGAAAGTACAAGTCAAGATATAAGAATATTTACTTGTTATTGACAGATCCTTCATCTTTTGATACAATTATTCAAAAGAAGATGAATAGTAGTGGAAAGAAGAAGAAATTATTTGATGTGAAATTTGATGCAACTTCTAGTTCAGAGGCAGCTTCACAACAAACAAATAATATTGAAAAGATGTTTCCAGATTCTGAGCAGACACATGCCACTACATCAAATATTACTATTGATTTTGTGAGTGTTCAATTGTCAGAACGTTTACCTCTCTTGATTGATTTTAAGCAGCTGAGCGAGTTGGAAAGAGTTTTGGTTTCGAATGTTTTCAAGAAACTTGCTCCGATTGATAGAAGAATTTTTTCACACAGGGAAAAGATTTTCATGTCAGAGAATTTGGCACTTCCTGATTGTTACAATTATCTCTTCTTTGATAATCCAACTGGTGAGAAGTCTGGAACCATTGCTCTCAATGATGGTGAAGAGTGCGAACCAGAGAAGAAATCAAATTTGGCAAAATTGTTTGGTAGATCTTCAAAGAAGGAAGAAGCTTATTTACAATGTCAATTGGTAGTTTTTGAATTTAGCGAATCATTCATGATTGAAATGAAAGACACGAATAGGTACAAATTATTGAGAACTGGTATCATGATTGGAAATTGGTTTTTAGAATGGAAGGAGAATTCACTCGTTATTCCATCTAGAAAACCTCCTCAAGGTCTGCTTCGTTTCAATCCTCATTTCCACTACATTACACTTAAGAAAGTGGAAGGAGAGAAGAATATTACTGCACTCTTATCCAAACTCTCAGAAGTTTGTAGTTTGTGGAATGGTACCAATGTGTACAATTTGAAAACTTGCAATCATCAACACTTTGTTCAGGATGTTATCAAGGCACTCGAACTTGTTCCATTGACGAAAGTTGAGGACAAGAAGAAGGGCATTCCAGCTCATCACGTTTTACAATATCCATTTGGCATGGGAGTTCAGAAATTGTTGGACAGAATTGAAAAGTATGGTTTTTCAGATATGGCCTTTTATTTGAATCAACCTGTTAAGGAAGCTCTATTTGGAAAGAAGATGGCCATGGAGCTTCAACAACAAGGTGTCGAAAATATTGTTTCAGGAGAGGCCTACTCCAGATTGGGTGAAGATGAGAAAACTCTCGTTGGTAACATTGAATATGCTCCAGAAAGTATCAGAAACAAGTACACTTACAAGAATTTACAACAAAAGACATCCAATTCGGATGAAGTACCTGAAGATAAGAATTTCATTGTCTTTTCGAGTCATGCAGAGCTCGATAAGGTCTACTTTGATTTGGATTCTAAAATTGGATCAGCAAGTGAAGGAAAGGACTATTTCAAAACAACTAATGATGGAAAATGGGACTTGTGGCTTTTGAAATTATATGACAGATGTTTCTGGATTCGATTGGGAATTCTAAAAGATGGAAAGAGAATTCTCAGCTCTAAAGATGCTCCACTTTCTAATTTACCTGAAAGTAGCATGAATATTTCGAATACTGGATCATTTGGACCTTGTCTTTGTCCATTCAATATGAGTGGTGTTGGAATTAATGAATTTGACATGCAACTCATGATGTTAAATCCAACTTCCTCAACTGCCTTCTTGGCAGATCATGAACCACCAATTCCAGACAGAATTTGGTTACCTTATCAATTGTAAAATAACTAAGTGTAATTAATATATTAGGAAAAATGTAAAATAATAATTTTTTGTAATCAGTATTTAAAAATATTATTTATTATTTTTAGAATATTTACTTTTCAAAATTGAAAAAAATGTATCAAGATGCACTCTTTGAAATCTTTACTTTCGGAATGCCAAACGCTGTCTTTCTAGTTTATTCCCTCGTTTGCAAGGAATGGAATTTTCTCATCAAGCACAAGAAATTCCTCCAAAATTATCATCAACAAGTAAGCAAGGGAATTAATGAATTATTGAATCCGAAACAGATTGAAGATCGGATGTTTTCGTGTTGGTTGGAATTTATTTCTCACTCTCATCCTGCTGAATATGAGATGGGAATGTTATTGAAGAGGAGTTTGATATATGAATTTAATGATGGGAAAGATGAAGCCGAAGAGGAAGAGGAAGAGGAGGAAATAAACAAACAGACAAACAGATTGAAGGAATTTAAATTTCCATCCTCTTTGATGAGTGATATTAGATTTTCATTGATTGATTATAAGGGAGATCGAGTTTCATTGTTTATTAGTGAACTGCTGGATGATTATTCTTCGTATATTAGAATGAGAGTTTGTTTGAATGAAGAAAAGAATGAAATTATGGCAGATCATCTTGTTCATGATATGTGTAGAGTTGATGAGAAGTATCTTGATGGAAAATTAATGTTAAACGTACCTTGGTTTGGAAAATCATTGAGGAATTATGTGCAAGTGTTCTCTGAGAGGGTGATGTTGAATATGTTTGAGGGATTTACAAGAGCCATTCTCAATGTACCATGTAATAAGAGAGATTTGAGATTGAAATCAAAGGCATTTGCTTCGTTTTTTGGAACTGCATTCTTTGATCCATTTATTCAGAAAGTTGATAGAGCCATTCAATCTGTTGCTGAAAGGAATATTCTCTTGGTGAAGGCAGTGAAATCAAATAATAGTTCTCTATCGTACAAGTTATTGGATATGGGCTATACATTGAAGAGTATTGAGGAATTGGAAGAGTGCTGTATTGTTGTGCCTACATTTCTGAAGAAGGGTCATTTGGAGTTTTTACTGGAATATTCTGAACGATTTGGATTGGAGTATAAACCATTAATTGAAAGGAATTTAAGGAAATTAATCAGATCAGGATGGGAAATTCTAATGTTTCTAATTGAGAGAGGGCTCATTTCCAACAAGTATCTCTTTTTTGTTTTGAATACAGAAACAGGAGAGCCTTATTTTGAAAAAATTGACGAGTTTAAGATTTCATTTCCAGATATTATTTGTCCCTTTGACATTAGATGTAAAGAAATGGAGAATGAATTTTATGGTCGTAAATTCCTCATACTATTCCACAATTCATATTCAGAACTTTATTCTAGAGATTATATGATAGATTTTACTTCCAAATATCCAAGTATTGATATAGAACTGATGAAAATACCAAGAAGGCTCATTCGCTCAAAAGATTCAAAGAGAATTTTATCAAATCAACTCAAATCCTATGATCATGTAATTTACTACTTTGATGAAATCGAATTCAAAAACAGAGATCATTATCTTGGACTAATTTCAAAGAATGCTCACTGGATGCAATCGGTAGGCATCCCATTCTCGTTTGCCCTTTCGTCCAACAATTTGATTTCTCTCCAATTTGTAATGCAATTAACATTCTCATTTGACAATTCGAAAATTGCAATCATGACCGATGATTATGAAGCTAGTTATGCAAGATTACATAATTTACTTCAATGTTCACTATCTGCCTAAAACTTCTAATTATTCAAAACAATTAGGTTTTAAAATTTATTTGATGTAATAAAAACTAAAGATCATCAAACTTAGTTTATGGTTTCAAATTTACAATTAGCAAGTGAATGAATTCAACAAAAATTAGCAAACTTCCTCACTCTACTTGACCTAGCCGAATGTATTCTTCTTTCATACAAGGGCACTGTCACTGGATACCTAGATTGTGAACTACTTGTATTACTTCTAGCACTTTGTGGAGTCTTAATATTAATCACATCGTCATCCGAATCTGAATCTGAATCTATCATGGCAGTTTGACGTTGTGAGGGCAGAAAGAATCCAACACTTGCTCGTCTATTTTTGGGAGAAGTAATTGAGCTAGTGTTGGGCGAGGATACTTCATTCTTTACCATGTTTTGTTTCTTGTCGTAGAGTTGAGGAGCTGCTTGTTGTCTCTTATCGGGTCTATCCTTATAGTTGACCACACTTTTGACCAGGTCCATTTGAATGGAAAGTTCCTTAACTGATTTCCGTTTTTTAACTCTGAGTTCGTCCATCTCTTCGAGACGATTTTCCATAGAATGTATCGGCATGATTGAATATTTAAATATTGGTTGACTAGTGGCAGGAATATCAGATGTTGAGTGTTTTTTTACTTGTTGGAAATGATGTTTGTTGAAAACTCGGTAACTAGTCTTGATGCCCAAAATAAAATCATCTCTTGGATATATTAGTGGCATATCCAGCTCTATAATAGTCAAATATTCACCGATCAGAGTTTACTCAATCGAGCATTTTTGGATTGAGAGGAGGAATTAACTTGTTTCTTAATGTGAGTAAAGAATTGGTTGTGTTGTTGAATGTCTTGGTCAGTGTAGGATAATTTCTGTTGTAATGCTTGTTTCTTAGTACTCCAATCAGTATCTGTCATACTAAGATAATCAGAATCCCTGTTATAATTATTCTTGACAATCATGTGTTTTCTAAAAGTACCTTCATAGGTAAAACCCAATTTCAAAGCAGCACCTTTCGATCTTCCATTTCTACTGTCACATTTCCATTCCACTCTTTGATATCCTAACACTTCAAAGGCATAGCTCATTAACAAAAAGTTACATTCACTATTGACAAATGTATTTTGATAATCCTTTCCGTACCAAACAAATCCAATTTCCAATCTTGCATGCTCTGGTACGATGGCCATAAAGGTGAGCCCACCAATCTTGGCCTTACTCTTGTTATCCACAACAGTGAAGGTTACATGTTCTGGTCTATTCTTGTTATCTGTTGCAGTGCACCAAGTGGTGAGGAATTTTCTAAATGTTTCCACATCAGCATATGGTCCTGTTATTATTCAATCAATTAAATCATTTAATATTTATATTATTTAATATTAATAATAATTGAATAACATCCTCACCTATTGGTAAAAGTTGCCAAATTGAAAGTTTGTGTTCTGTTCCGTGACTAGTATTGAATAATTCTTCTGCATCTTCGTCGGGAGAGCATGGTTTGAGAGTGATATACTTGCCTTCCAGTGTGATGGATTGTGGAAATTGAGCCATTTTTTTGTAAAATATCTTTTTTGAATTAAATAATAATTTAAAATTATTTAATAATCAAATTAGATCCAATCAATATTTACATTCAAATACTATCAATTATTCATCAATAGTTGATTCAGGTTTAACTTCCTTTTCATTATAATAACTATACAATTCCTGTATTTCATCAGCATATAATCCTTCAGGTGTTTCTAAAACCATTGGAATATTTCTAAAGTTTTCATTATTTACAATATATTTGAATACTTCGATTCCTAAATGACCTTTTCCTAAATTCTCGTGACGATCCTTCTTGGTACCTAATTTTACTTTGCTATCATTCAAGTGCATTCCTTTCAAATATTTGAATCCAACAATTTCATCAAATTCATTGAAAACTTTTTCACAACCTTCCTGTGTTCTCAAATCATAGCCAGCTGCAAACATGTGGCAAGTATCGAGACAAACTCCAACTCTATTCTTATCCTCAACATGATCGATAATCATTTTAAGGTGTTCAAACTTGTGACCAATTGAATGGCCTCCACCAGCAGTGCACTCCAAAACTGAACATACACCAACAGTTTGTTCATTGGCCCAATTGATACATTCTGCAATTTGTTTACAACCTGCTTCCAGTGTTGTAGCACCCACAGTTGAGCCAGGATGGAAATTATATCTAACAGCTCCCAATCTTTCACATTTTTGATACTCACTTAAGAATAATGTCTTTGACTTTTCCAATTTAGTTTGGTCAGGATTGGCTAAATTAATCAAATAACTGGCATGTGGCAGTAAATTCTTTGGATCATAATTATACTTTTTACAATTCTCGATAAATGTGCTCACCATCTTGTCTGTATATTCCTTCTGACTATAAGTTTTCTGATTTCCCAAGAAGAATGCAAATCCACCATAACAACCTGTTTCATAGGCAGCAATAGGTGCAGTCTCCACACCTTTAGATCCATAAGATACATGACATCCTATGAACAACTTCTTACTTTCTCCGATCTTTTTTATGATCTGGTTCATTTCCTCTCTTTGCTTTTCTGTTAACTTTGGTCCGTTTGGATTGCTTTTTGTTGTCTTTTTCTTCTTCTTTTTTTGCTGTTCTTCTTCCTCTTCTCCTTCTGATGAGTCTGATTCTTCCTTCTTTTTTCGTTTTGTTGTTCTTGTTGATTTTGATTGGGAACCTTTTGTTTTTGTTGTTGCTTTTGCTTTGGTATTCTTCTTTTTTGCTACTTTATATTCCTCCTCACTACTAGTATCTTCCTCTGAGAAAGAGAGCACTTCAAAATCTTCGTCGTCCTCGTCTATTGGTTTTTTCTTCTTATTACTGGTCGATGAAGAAGCCTTCTTTGATGTAGAAGGTTTTGTTTTACTTCTGGTTACTCTTGTCTTGATTTCCTCCTCTTCCGAAGCTTCAGATGATTCTTCTTCACTACTACTGTCTCGTTGTTGCTTCTTTTGAAAGAATTTACTTGTGGTTCCACGTGGAGGCATAAAAGTGTTGTTCCTTTTTTTGAATTTAAATTTTTGAAAAAGAATTTGGCGCGAGGAAAAGATCGATTGGAAGTGGTTCCACTGGTTTCAGACTTGTGTTAACTTTTCCGCCACTTACTTCGGATACATCCCCACATCAGTCCGCCATAGGCAATAAGCAAGAATCGCTACACTAGTTTTTAATAGCTTACCTGGTAGTGCTTTGTGCCCTATTCCTAAATACTCCACTTCCTCAGATTCTCGAAAACCACAATACCAAGTTATTGTTTTGATAAAATTGGAAAGGGATTATTCTTGTGTGAATTAAAAGACAGTTCAAAGAATTTTTATTGAAGCTTTCTGGGCAATGATGACGATGAGGAAAGGAGGAAAGATTACAATTTTTAATATTAAAAAAAATGTCATGATCAGTAGAAGGAAATCGTTGCCATCATTCTTACCAAACAATTATGATCAATAATTAGGAACAGAAAGAAGATATCCTAAAGTGAATAATTAGAAGATTATATTTAGGATTATATTTAAAATGGATTTGGTTAGAAATGTAAAAAGAAAGGAGAGAATCGCAAAGACCTGAGATATATACAAACGAAAATAGGGAAAATATTAAAATACGAATCGCCCACCGTGGGGGTCGAACCCACGACCACAAGGTTAAGAGCCTTGCGCTCTACCGACTGAGCTAGACGGGCTACGTATCATTACCCAAAAACCTCAATAAAAAATTATTAAGACTAAAAACCTTCCAATAAAAGCGAGAAAAGTGATATTTGTTCAAAAGGTGGTATAACCTCTTTATTATTTAAACGGCGTTACACTGTAAATCCTCCTTCATCATCGTCATCATCTCTTCCAGGATCTGCTCTTCCCTTATACAAACCCTCAACTGAATTGTAACAATTTTGATAGAACAACAAATCTCCCCTCTTCACTTGCTGTTTTATACCACTTCCTTTTGGTCTTCCTCTTTTTTTCACACCTGCCCTTTCTCTCTCATCTCTCTCAGCAATGTGTTGTTTCATTGTGGATGGAGTGAGACTTGTGTGCTTAATGTCAAATTGTTGTGCATTGTCCATAAAGTCAATTGCAAATTTAATGCCAGATCGTCTGGTGCCTTTCTTTGGACTGTCTTGGGTTTCGTTTGGTGAATGGAAAGTAAATTGTTGTTGGGTGGTTGGAGGATAAGGTGAGCTCTGACTTGTGCATGAGACAGATCTTTGTCTTCTTTGCTTTCCACCATTGGTTGACTTGGTTAGTGAGCTGCTAGGTGTTGAGGTGGGAGAACAAGTTGGCGATACATGAGTGGTAATGGAACTTGGATTGATATTCATAGTAGTTAACGGTTGAGTTGGAGGACTTGTACTAGTTGGAGAAACACTTGGCATTGGATTGGAATTGATAACGATTTGATTGGTGACTTGAATTGGACTTGATGGTTGACTAATCATCAAACTACTCAAAATTGGACTGAATTGATTGTTATTAACTTGTTGTTGCGAGGTTGGAGCTTGGGAATGGAGAATAAACTGATTTTGTTGATTAGCAGAATTGAAATTATTCTGCTGTTGTCCTAATTGACCAAGATTGAACATGGAATTGGTTTGATGTTGTGGATTGGTCAATAATTCTGAGAAAATAAGCTGTAAACCATTGATATTAGTAGGAGCATTAGTGGAATCTTGATTTTCAGTTGTTGAAACCTTATAATCTGATCGTACAGTAAACGGTTGAGTAAAACCTAGTTGACCTGGATTGAAACTCTTTCCTTGGACGAAAGAAGGTGCACACGTTGAATTCGGTAAGGACGAGCTCATCTGCACTAAACTATTTCCTTGAGCTGAACCGCCAAATGTTTGTGGGCTGTTATTCGAAAGTGTTGGGGAGACACCTAATGAATTGGATGTTGGAATCGAGCCAGCACTTTGAGATCTGTTTCTATTGTTTGCGCCGTTCACCATCATGATGAGCGCTTGTTCTAAAACTTTATCGTTATTAAAGTTACTTAAGGCGTTACCTAAATTGGTATTTGTTGTATTCGAAAGTGCATGTAAACCGTTACTTTCATTCAAAGTCAATTGTTGTTGTGGATCAGTGGCTCCAAAATTCCATGTAGTATTTGATGGGATTTGAATGGTGGCAGAAGTTGAAGTACTGTTACTGCTTCCACTATTCGAAACATTGGGAATTGTTATATAGGTTGATTGAAACATGTCGTTGTTTGTTGATCCATTAATTTGAGTTTGGTTAATGGATTTGATGAATAAATCTTGGAATGTTTGTTGTTGTTGTTGATTATTGGACGAGGATGGAAACATTGTAAAATTCTATTCGAAAGATTATTGGAAACTTGGCATGCAAAATTACTTACAGAAATACTGCTGTTACTGTTGTTGTTATTTTCAATTAATGTTGTTATGTAAAGAGAAATTCAGTATTTCTTTTTAATTATTATCGTTTCGAATAAAGAGAGTGTAAACTATTTAACGATTAAATGAATTCTATTAATTGGGCAAGTCGTTAGTGTGTTAGAAATGATGATGATTAGAGATTCATCAATAAAGGCTAGTTCTCTCTAGGGGTTTCTTCCAATCTATTCGAAAGCTGTGACACTAATTTCTATATTGTGAAAGAGAGATATTGAATTTCAAAGTACGTTACTATTGAATCGAATTGATCACCTACTGTTGTGTGATATTTTAATAGAACAACTTTCTTCCCGATGAAAAATTGTATTACAAAGATGACGAAACTAAACGAAAGTCAAAAAATCAATTGTGTGTTTTTTTAAATGAATGATTTTAAAGGGAACACTACATCGCAACTGCAAGAATGTACACATAAACAACTCTAATATTCTGAGTAAAGCAAGAAGAATTTCTTCAAAAGAAAATTCTTAACAGCGCTATTGTTGTTCGCATCTGGAAAATTAAAATACAAATTAAGAGGAATCTGTTCGTTTTAGTGTAGTCAGTCCAGATTTGGCGAGAAAACTCTTTTTAGTGTTGTACGCAAAGAGCTGAAATTGTTGGGATGAAGTTTCTGGTAAATTGAGTTTGGTTGTGCTTTAAGTTTCCATTAGTTGCGATTCGAATGAAAATGAGTGAGATTCAGATGTTTGAGGTAGACTGTTCAATAGCAATTTAGATTCAATTAACAATATGGTGTACAACAGTAAAAATGTGTTGATGAAGAACTATTCGAAAGTTGAATAAACTTGTAACGTGCTGTTAGTCTTGTTGAAAGGTTTTCGTTAACTGCAAACTTTTCCAAATGAACAACTCTCATGTTTCACTTGGTTTACTTATCCCAATAAGTTTATCCTTCAAATAGACATGTCAGTGTTCAAGTAAAATGAATTTCATAGTTAGCAACGCCTTAGAATTTAGAAAAAGATCATTGTAATTAAGCTCAATTATAGACATTTTGTTTACTTTAATTATGATCACTAAACTGTACAATATTTAGTGTAGAGTTGATTACTGACATTCAGACAAGTCTTTCTATAACAACAATATGTTTACATTCTCCATTGTATATATTTTCTGGATCTGGTGAATTCGAGCTGAATTTCAAGTTGGGAAAATATTCTGCACAATTAGATCCTTTTATATTTTCACTTGCCTAATTGGTTTTATACAATGCATATTATGTTATTAGTATCAATTACTGTACTTGTATCTTTTTTTGTAAAGATTAATAATATTAAACATTCAATATTTAAAAAAAATGCATAATGCAGAAACGTTCCTACAAGTCAACAGTGATAATGATGACTTTGATCTATCCATGGATGATTTAACCAACAATTTTAACTTTATAAATAATTTGAATAATAATTCTTCAACTTCTCATCACCTTCCTCATCATCACACATGTACATGTTCATCTCGATATTAATTTCCATTCCGAAACTCTAACTCTTCTCTACCGTCAACTCACCACACAACGCAAACTTTTGGCGCACATTGATGAGTTCCCTTCTCTCGTCTTGTTATTCGCCAATGATCGGGAAGCGATTGTGCATGCATGTCGAGTGAATACAAAGGCTTTGCAATTTATTGATGATAATGATGATGGTGATAATGATAATGATGAAGGTGTAACAGGTGGTGGTGATGATCGATACATGTTGTTGAGGGATGTGAATGTTATTCAGAGAATTGTGGAGGAAACGAAGGGAGATGTTGCTTTTAGGCCACTGATTAAATATATATACAATAGGAGGGATTTGTTGCTGATTGCATTGAAGAATAGATTGGGATTGAATGAATTGGATGAATATTATGAAAAGAAGGGAATTATTCCTTTTTATTGCTCGGATAGGGATTTTATGATGCAAGCTGTAAAGATGAGTGGACATCACTTGAGTTTTGCAAGTGATACATTGAAGAAGGATAGAGAATTAGTATTGGAAGCTGTGAAGAGTGATGGAAATGCAATCTTTTTGGATCATTGTTTTGGATTGGATAGAGAGATTGTGTTTACTGCCTTGAAATCGAAATATTTGGTCACTATTGACTTTTTCAATAATGTATGGTTTAATGATAGAGAATTTGTAGAATATGCTGTTAAATATAAGGCACGAGTTTTGAAAAAGGTGAGTTCTGTTTTGAAATTAATAATGTAACGAATTTTGATTTAATTTTTTGATTATTAAATTGAATGTAATACTTTATTGGAATAATATTATTTGGAAAAAGGCATTGTTTTTTGTGGATGATAAACAAATTGTATTAGATGCAGTGAGGAAGAATGGAATGGATTTGAGGTATGCTAGTGAGGATTTGAGGAACGACAGGCTAGTTGTAATGACTGCTGTTATTGACGATGGTGCAGCAATACAATTTGCTCCACAATTTCAAGCTGATAAGGAAATGGCTTTAATAGCTGTCAAGACAAGTCCTCTGGCTCTGTCGTATCTGCACTTTTCGATGAAAGCAGATAAGGATGTGGCCTTGGCAGCAGTTTCACACTATGGGCAATCTATTCAATATGTGAGCCAATCTCTAAGAACCAATAGGGAGATTATCTTGAAAGCTGTGAAAAATAATCTATCAGCTCTTACCTTTTGTGATTGTCATTTTGATAAGGAAACAGTGTGTGACATTTTACAGAGAATCAAACTTTCAGAGGCACCTATTGGAATTTATCCAACATTTTGCATTCAATTGAGGAAACATATGGATTCGGATAGAAATTTCACTCTACGAGCTGTGAATACTCTTGGAGAATCACTCAAATATGCTCCAAAATCTCAGAGACAAGATCGAGAAATAGTCCTAGCAGCCATCAGAAATCAAAGCACAACACTAGGATTTGCAGAGGAGCCACTACAAAAAGATCCAGAGATTGGACTCGAAGCAATCAATTCACACGACAAGTTTTTCTTTATTCACAGAAATCTTCTCTCAGACAGAGATTTCCTAATGAAGGCACTCAAGAAGAATCCTCAAATATTCGTCCAACTTGATTGCTTTCCCTTCTTTGTTCAACATGTTGAGTTGGTGCTAGAAGCTGTTTCACATGACTATACATTCTTCAGACCTTGTGCTTCTGTGAATTTTAGTAGAGAATTTCTGATTCAAATATTGAATATTAATGGACTGTGTTTGGAATTTATGGAGCAACAATACAAATCAGATAGAGAACTAGTGTGGCATGCAATCAAACAGAATATTCATGCCTTCCCACATGCTTCAATTCAAATGCAAAAAGATAAGGAAATGCTACAATATGTTTCAAAGAGACTTTTAGGAATAATTGATTGAGCATGAAATCCAACAATTTACAATTACAATAAAAATGCTCGAGTTGTTAGATCAAGATTCACTAGATTGCTAGTCTCTCTGTTAGATCAAGCAATCTAGTGAATCTTGATCTAACAGAGAGATCAAGATTCACTAGCAACGATTTTTCGTTTCTGCTTATCGGACGAATTGCTTTCTCTCTATTGTGTTCATCCCAAATTATTAAAAGTCATTGAAAAGTTAGAAACCATTCACATGCAACATTTAAACAATAATCAACATGATCCGAACTCCAATAATAATTTAATTAATAATATCGATAATAATAATATTATTCATCATGATGGTGATGAAAAGATTTTGCAAGAGGAAGAAGGCACAACAAAAAACAACGAGGTTACAAAACTTTCACCCTTTTTAAAGCCTTCCTCACAGAGAGAATGTGAGGAGACCAAGTATAGGCTACAGATTTTTCATCCCTCCTATACGACCTATGTTATGAATAATTTTTCAAATTCACTGAAAGATAATGTGTGTGAGTGGGGACAATATTTGGTCGATGATTTGCATTTCAAATTGATTCTGGATGATGGAAATACATTGATTGTGGAGAGGGAGATTTTCAAATCGAGTTTTGTAAAGAGTTTGAGAGGAAAACTTAGAGGACGTGTGAAAGCGATGGAGGATTGTGGAAAATCGGTGAATAATGGCATTAACAAAATTATTGATACTGAATTTAAACCCTATTCGAGTAAGAATAAGCAATGTCTTATCAATTTCTATGAAAGATTTACATTGAGAATTGTTTTTAAAAGAAAACCTTCTATACCTAATAATTTCATATTGGCAAGTGGACAAACGTTTTATTTGTATAATGGCTGTGTATCTCACTATCCTGGATTGGACTGCAGATCATCAAGTGATGTGTCAGATCAAGTATTTGGTATAGAACCTATGATTACACATTTTGGACTCACATCAACAGTTTGTGATTTAATGCTTTGCACAATTTTACAACACAGAATGCCAAAATATTATTTTGAAAATTATAGAGTTCCTGAAGATTTAGATCAGGCACAATATCTTGCTCTGGTTGATGTATTTTACTATGAAATGTTAAGCTCTGAAACTAGGTTGAGTGTAATTCCTGTATTCGTCACCCAGAATTATCTCAATACTCCATTTGAATTGTTAAAGTATGGTTTAGAAATGAGTTTTGACATTCTCTATAATCAACTATCCACACATAAAAAGATTGGTCTTGTTGAGAAACTGATAGCCACCTATCTCAATCAAGACTTCACTCCAGAACATGTAGAAACCATTCATTCCCTTTCCTCTCTCGAACGAAAAGATTTGAAAGCAAACAAATACACATCAGTCAGTATTGAAAAGGAGAGTCTGAAATTTACAGTTGTTTGTTTGGAAACTGTTACAACAATTCAAGAGAAAAAGGAACAATCGATCACACTGAATGATATCAGTGATAAGAGAGTGAAAATAGTGACAATCAAACTCATGGAATACACCCTTCAATTGCCAAACCTATTCAATGGAAATACTGTGGGAAGTATTAAAATATCAACCAAAAATCTTTCCTCTGCCACCACCAACAATGGTCAACCAACACAGCCAGTTCAACCAAATCAACCAGCCAACCCACAAAAATCAAATTGTTCATTGCTTTAACCTAAAAGAAACTAAATTGATTGAACCACAGCGTTTTATTAATAATTAATTATAATTTTCCTGCAATTTTGATTTGGATTTACTTATCAAGTCTTTGAACTCTGCTGAACTCTGCAATGATTTGATTACTCTTTACAACCACCAGTTGTGAGTGGATTTGTGTCAATGCAATTGGTGGTTGCAAATCACTAAACAAGTTTGCGCGAGGATTTCGCCACACACAACATGATTCACGAAAAAAATGAAAGTGTTTCAAGTGGCGTGTCATATCCTTCTATTATTGGCATGTCTTTGTATGTTGGTGACCACCGTTCACACACAAACACCACCGAACGTCAAGTATTCAGTTTCGACTTTCGCAGGAGGAAACTCACAACTTTTTCAACAGAGATTTGGAGATGGATTCGAGAGTAGCATGTCATGCCTAAGTTACATCAAGGATATCATACCAACAAAAGATGGATCCATGTATATTGCTGATGCATCCATGGCTGCTATTAGAAAGATAGATAACAACGGAATTATTAGTCTTGTAGCTGGTAATTATAGAAAAACTATCCCTGGGGACGGTTCTGCACTTTCTGTCAGTGTAATATCTCCATTCTCGATGGTGCTCACACAAGACGAAACAATCATGTATATAGCACAAGGTAATGGATGTATTCGAAAGTTGGATATCAAGAATGGAAACATTTCAACACTTGTGGGAGTATGTGGAACAGCAAATTTTTCTGGTGATGGTACATCTGATTTGAACAGCATTAGATTAAACAATCCTTTAGGAGTGGAACTTTCTCCAGACGAAACTATTCTATTCATTGCTGATTATGGTAATAACCGTGTAAGACAATTTAACATATCAAGTGGATTCATTGAAACTATTTACGGAGGAAGTGGATATCAAGCTCAAGATGTGCTTGTTAATGGTGATTTACTCTATATTTCTGAAGGACAAAATGGAAAGGTCAGTTTAATGAATTGGAGAAACAGAACTATTCTATCTCCAATCATCTCATCACCATTTTTCTTTGACAAAATGTTCAAACAAGACAATAATCTATATGTGAATGCATTGACTAGTATCTTCAAATATGATTTATCTGGTGGTTCCACAAGCCAAACTCTACTTCCAGTCATCAAAGCTAGTTCTGCATTTTTTGATTTGAATGGAAAATTAATAGTTGCTGAAGAACAAAAGTACATATACAAGTTTGATTTGACTAACGGTACCAAAACAACTATCGCAGGTAATTGCAAATCCAAAATATTTATTGGATATTCAAGTGACAATCAAACAAGTGTCAAATCTACAACTATGTATGTTGGTACTTCATTGATAGCTGCTAGTAGAACCAAACCAGGAGTATTATATGGATTGGATTTTGAGAGATATTTCCTACACAAATTTGAAAGTGGTTACTCTTCAATTATTGGAGGAGATGGAAGAAGTGATGATTTTGCAGCCTTGTCAATTGGTTTACCAGCTGCTAATTCTTCATTGGGTGTTCTATTTGGTGCAATAGATGAATGGAATGGAGAAGTTTATTATGCAGTTCCAAGTTTAATTATGAAAATTGACAAAATAACTGGAAATTATGTGGTGGTTGTAGGAACAACCTCAACCAGTGCTTCAGGGTATGGAGATGGTGGTCCTCTTTCCAATGCTGGATTTGGAAGCATTGCTGATATTGCCATTTATGAAAATAAGATTTACGTTGCTGATTTGGGAACTATTAGATTGGTTGACCTTAGTTCACAAACAATTTCCATGTATTTCAATTCTACAACATTTAAGGCAGAAAGATTGGCAGTTGATCCTACCGATGGATGTATTGTATTTTACTTTCCTTCTAATTGTACCATTAATAAGATTTTAAATGATGGAACCTTGATAACTTTGGTTGGTAATGGAACATGTGCTATTTGGGATACTTCTTCTAATAGTGTTATTGCTATTCAGTCTCCATTGACTTCTCTTGCTGATTTTTTCTATTTATCAAATGGTGATTTGATTTTATCACATTCAAGAAGTTCTATTCGAATGTTAAAGAAATCATCTGGTTTCATAACAAATATTGCAGGAACGTTTGGTGTATCAGGATACAAAGATGGAAAGACATCATTGTTTTCGTTCCGACTTAATTCACTAGCAGTTGATAGAAATGATAACTCAATATATATTTCAGACAACGGCAATTTAGCTATTCGAAAACTAACTCCTTATTGTGATGATGGATGGATACTTTCTGGTAATTCTACTGATTGCTCACCAGATATTTCAATCAAATTTGATAATACTATCACTTTTGTTGATTCCACTGTGCTAATTGCAGTCAAGTATCATTCAAATCTCAAATCATATTTGACAAGTGCAACTTATACTGTTCTGTTTTCGAACAATGGTGTTTATACCAATATTGGTAACCCTACTATTGTATCGACTGCCAATCCAATGATTGTTTCATATTCATTGAATTCTGAAGGAAACTTTACTGCAGTACTAAGAATTTCATTTGGAGGAATTTCTTATTCATTTAAAACTGCTGAAACAATTCAAGTGATGAAATACGAAAATGTAGTGACAGAGTCATTCTTAGGTTCGATTTCTACAAAGGATATTGCTAGTATTGCTTCAAATTCTGATACTTATTCGAAAGCATCTAGTGCTGTTTCAGTTTTGACTATGGTTACACAAGCATTGTCAACAGTTCAGAGAAATACCTCTGATCTTGATCAGACATTGAAGGTTTCTACTGCTTTGAATGTCATTTCATCTCAATCATCAGTTACAACTTCTATTGTTTCCACTGTTTCGAATTTGATTTCGACAATTTCATCTGAATTGAACCAGTTAGAAGTATCTACTTTGAAATCATCTAATGCTATAGACACAACCATTAGTCAAGTTTTGAATGCCTATTCCAATGTCATTGTATCTTCAAATTACTCTTCAAGTTCTGTAATTGAAACCTTGATTCTCGTTTCTTCCAAATCCAGTGATGAGAAAGATAGTATTTTTAAAACTGAAACACCTTCATTTATTGTTTCAGTTGTTAGAAACCTCAATTCTTCATCATATCTCAATGACGGAAATACAACCATTTCTACACCTTCAGATCTGGTAAGAGAAGGAGTTTCAGTTGGTTCAATTACTTATTTCAATATGGAAAAGTTGGCTTCTCTCTATTCGAATGCTACTGAACTAACAAGTAATTTGACTGATGCTAGTATTATTTCCAAAGTTTCCAAAGGTTCTTCAGTTAATATTGCAAAAGTTGTTGAATTGAAATATATTTTAAATGGCCAATTCTTACAAGTTTCAAATTTGGCAAATCCTATTATACTTTCCTTGAATGTGGATTCTAAAATTTTGTCAAGCGTACAAAATAATTCCTCACTTGTTGTCTCTTGCAAGTTTTTTGATGAAACTAGTAAGAAATGGCTTACCGATGGATGCATTTCTGAAATTTCTAAAAATAGTAGTGTTGTCAATTGCTATTGTAATCACACAACTTCATTTTCATCATTTATTGACGTCAAAGTGACATTAGCTAATGAAGGTGGTGTTATTGCATCCATTGTTATTGGTTGTTTCCTAATATTTTTAACATTAATTGCATTGGTGGGTGTTATTGTCACATGTAAGAAAACACCAACCAAGAGTAGAGGAATAATTCCATACTTTGCGTTAATTTCACTATTAATTGAACTTGTTTTCACTTACATTATTGCAAATTCTCTAAGTTTAGCAAAAAATCCAAACTCAATGATTGTGAGACAAGTTTCTACAATGATTGCTTCCACTTTCTATTGTTTATCTATTCTAAACTATTTGATATTAAGCTCACGATACATTGTATTTAGATATCTATATGAAATTATGGCTATTTTCGATGAGAAGGAAGTTGACGTGCTCAATGAGAAGAAATTCAAGTGGATTAAGCTTTTATTTTCAAGCAAAACCTTCTCCATTATTGCTAACTTGATTGTTGCATGTGTTTTTATTGCTTTTTATGTAATTTTCATTTCCTTACAACAAACAGCAGTAATCTCTTCAAGTCAATATGCATCAATCATGGCTGGTTCATTATTTTCATTTGTTTTGGTCATGTCTTTATTAGTTTGTGTAATTCACTTTTTTGATATTTATATGGAATTAAGATATGTTCAATTGAGTACCAAACTGACCTTAAAAGATAAGAAATTAGTGATTAATCCAATCAAAAATTACTTGATAGTGAATGACAATCTTGCTTTCAGAAAAGAATTTATTTTCTTCTTTACGAGCATTATATTCTTTATTATTACTTATGGGCTTGGATTTTCACTTCTTGTAGCTTCAAACCAGGGCTTATCTGCTGCTCAAATTGCTTTCGAATTATTGTATAATATCATGTTAATTATGAGTTTTGGTGGATTAGTTTCTCTAGTCTCAATTTATGAATTAGTTAAATCTAAAATTAGTGGAAAGCATACTAAAATGAAAGAGGAGTCTATACTTGAGGAAGATAATCAACTGAATGAAATTCTTAAAAATCCAACATTATGTGAAATTTTCAAACAATTTGCCAAAACTGAGCATTCGTTGGAAAATGTAATATTCTGGACTAAACTTGCACCAGTATTCGAATCTATCAATAATGGCAACACACCTGCAACCACAGAATTGTGTAAACATTTTGAAGAGTGGAAAGCTACATTTATTGAAAATAATTCTCCAATGGAACTTAACATTTCACACAATACCAAGAAATCCTTCCATAAAATATTCGAATCTGTAAGAAACAATCAACAAAACGATAAGGAAATTAAGGAAGTTCTCTCAGATTTGTATTGTGCCATAATTATGAATATTGACGATACCTTCTCACGTTTTGTCCTATCTGACAGTTATGAAAGTATGAACAAAAAAATTGAATTGAAAGAAAATCTTGGCTCTACTTTGAAACTGAAAGAATAAATGTTATTCATGTACGATTCAGCAATCATGTTTTTCAATAATAGGTAAGAGACAATTTCAAAACAGCATGAAGTTAATATTTCGCAATTTAAGGTATTGCATGGCTATTTTTAATATTCCTTATTATCATTGTATTATGATTATGAATGGCTACGGCCATACCACGATGAATGCACCTCATCCCGTCCGATTTGAGAAGTTAAGCATCGTCGAGCCACATCAGTACTGAGGTTGGAGACAACTTGGGAACCTGTGGTGCTGTAGTCTTTTTATTCTTTGTTAATGATGATTGCCTTAATAAACTATCTCTTTTTTAGACAATCCCTGACCAACCATTGATAGTAGAATGCTTGTGGTGACAATGGCATATCTTCCTCTATTACAATAGCAAGCTTTGGCCTTTGAGACATTAGAGTTTCTAATAGTTCGAATTTAGGCTCAGTTTGTACATTTAGAAATTCAAGTTGTGGCCAGCAATTAATGTTTTCTAGTAAAAAATTGAAGAGACCGAAATGAGCGCCTTCAATAACTTTCAAGTTGGGAAATGATTCTGTGAGAATTGGATACATTTCATGACTGTAACAATAATCAACCAGTTCAGTTACATTCAAGTTACATACAATCTTGTCTTGTTTATCCAATACACTATCCAATATTACTTTTTTCAAATTGGTACATGATTGAATTAAATCGAATGTGCCTAAATTGATTTCCAATTCTTCCAAAGTGTTGATATATAATTCTACAATCTTTTTGGATTCTAATTCTCCAAATTGTCCAAAGCTTTTTAAATTTGGTGCAACAGTTTTCAAAGAGGTAAATAATTTTTCGTATTGTTCCTCATTAAAAGTATACCCAGAACCAATATCTATATATTCCAATTTTGGATTTGGATTTCCTCCAAAATAGACATCGTTGTCTTGCACTTCGTATCCACCCTCACACCAAACAGTTCGTTGTACTGCAAACTTTTTCAATGTTGGGAAGTCTCCAAGTTTTTTCAATACAGCACCAGTAATATATGGCATAGGTTCTAAATCTATTATTTCAATGCTTGTTTGTTTTTCTAAGAATTTTAACAGACCTTCATCTGTGATGCTTAATGCCTCATTATCGTCAGCAATATCAAGAGTTTTCAATTTTGGACAGAATTTGCAAATTAATTCTAAGTGATCATCGTCAATAGCTGTAGAAGTAATCAAATGGAAATGTTCCAGGTTAGGAAACAATCCAAGTATCTCAAAAATATAGTCAGTATTTTCATCAAAGTACTTGTCTATTCTTAATGTCTTTAGATTGTAAAATATAGGTATGTAGGCAAAAGTTTCGTCAAATGCTTCCTTTCCATCATCATTAATTTTATCAATAATAGGCCTACGAATTCCTCCTTTTCCCCTTCCACCCATACCACCCATTGTGTATTCGTATTCCTGATCAATGTTGAGGTGCAAAATCTCTATATCTTTCAATTTTGTTAGAATTTTGAAAAATTTAGATCTGGTTAATGTCATTTCAATTTCTGCAGCCTTCAATCCATAACCAATTAGTTCTGATTCAATAGTGTTGATAAATTTTTGACTCTCCAATGCCTCATAAATATGTCTTCCTATATTTGTATCTGGTAGTTTGACACTAAGAGTTTCGACTTGAACTGGAGTTGGGCTTTCTTTTCTTATATTCAATAATTCAAATACAGATTCATAATCATAATCTAATTTGAGAAAGCTTGACAACTCTTTAATTGATCCATTTCTTTTTGCTATTTCTTTTAGAATCTCTGTAATTGGATCCAAATTCAAATTTCCCACCCAAAGCCTTTCCATTTGTCTTTCCAACAATTATTTAATTTTCCAAAATGAAAACAAACCTCAATGCATTCACTATTGACCATTCTTTGATTGTTACGTTTCTGGAATACTTTTTAGGATGTTCTTTCACATAATACTTGCAAATAACGTTTTTAATATATTCCATTGTCCATTCATAATTATCTTTGCAAGTCATGGCCAACATTAACACTCCTCCGGTGGGTAAATATTGAATAATCACAGTCCATTCATCCCGAGTCAAATCAGACAAGGAATATGTATTTACTTGATCGGATGTTGATAATTTAATCTTTTTGTGATGATCGGCATTGTCAACTGAGTCAATCGTTTGATTACTTCTTTTCATTTTTTTTAATTTCCTATTTTTAAAAACCAACCCACATGTTGAATAGTGTTAGAGGAAAATGAGAGTTGGAATCTTTGATTATTTTCTCGGTGGTTTTAAGAGATGAAACTTTAAAAATTGATGGTTAGGTAGATTACGTATCATTCCTCATATGTTTAAAAAACAAAATTAAAATATTTGGATATGTCATCAAAAATTAATCTCGAGTGCCGGGAATTGAACCCGGGTCGCCAGAGTGACAGTCTGGAATGCTACCACTATACCACACCCGATTTCACATAAACTTTTAAAATAAATAGCGTTTGAAAAATCAGTACTTGTTTTTCCCTTGTCTTGGTATTTGACAATTCAACAAGATGCCACGTCTGGAGATTGGCTTCGCACATGATTTTAAGCAATTTGGCAAAACAACTTTTCAAATAACATCAGTCTTTATTCAATAATTGCCAAATCCTTAAAATTTTCATCTCACGATCTGGCATTGAACCAATGTTTATTAGAGACATGTAATTCCTAACATCACAATCTTCCTCTTATTGCCTGGCAGGAGGGTCAATAACAGCTATTTCACCACCTCATGGAATATTCACTGACTACATTTCATTTAAAACTGCAAATATTTCTTTTTTCGCTCCAATTTGTCCAGCTTTCAATTCTACTTACCACATTTTTCCCCTTCTGTCAGCAATCGCAAGGTCAATATTTCGAGTTCATCTGTCAAGTATAGTTTCTGACTTTTCATTTTGCTTCAATAAAAAAACAATGAGTGATACCAACTCCGCTTCATCTTCAAAGAAAACAAATAGCGTTAGATTTTTGACAGTTGGCACCCAATCAAATTTAAAAAGACATAGCAAGGACGAAGTTTCCCTGTCTCAAGATTTAGCTGGAGAACAAACATGTAATAGAAGAAATACAATAGATGCTTCATCCGATATTTCCAAGAGTGCTGACACGGTCATGTCAAACGCCTCAGCAACTTTTGACATTTTGAATGTTTTGGAAGAGATGATTGTCCATCCAAGTGGACATTCTGTTCTCAGATTGAGTGAAAAACACAGAGTACTCCTCATTGTCATTAAATGGTTCGGCTGTCCCATGTGTCAACATGTCATCACATCAATTAGTAATTATTTGAGCAGTTTCTTAATGATGAACGTTGTTCCAGTGATTTGCCATCAAGAAAACAATGAAAAGTGCGTAAAATCAATGAAAGGAACCAATCTCTTGCATTGTAAAATCTCAAACTCTATCAAACATGGTTTATTAATGGTTCCAAAGGCAAGTTTAGTGAGACATGCATTGGCACTTCCAACCATTCTGAAATTCATGTTTAAGGAAGATAAGAAATTGAGATTACCTTCATTGAAAGATATTAGACATATGGATATGTTTTCATTGTTTACAATGCATATTATTAGTCATGGTTCATTCGAAACTAGTTATTTCTATAAGGATTTATCTGAAAGACCTGATTATGGTAAATTTATTTTCAATTTGGGAAAGGCCAGTTCAGAGACGAGCAATTTGGTTTCAGAAGTAGAACAATCACCAGATCAATATTTGAATGATTTGAAGAAATTATTCCCTGACATGTTTTTCATTTTCCAAACTGCTAGAAAAACCAGATCCATTCTCAATATCGAACAAACTCTCCAGCAGGAAGAAGTGGAGGAGGGAAGAGTGAGTATTGCCTCTGTTGGATCAGATAAGTTGACTGTACAGGAAGTTTTGGAAAATTCTACAATGAGAAGATACTTTAAAGCCTATCTCTCTAATATTTTCAGTTTGGAATTGGCAATATTTATTGAAGAAATAGCTCAGTACAAGATTTTATGTAAGGCCTGTAAGAAATTCACCTACAATTCCGATCTGATTAAGAAATCAGGATCAAATCTTGCTGTGGATGAATCGTGCGATATTACCATCTTCATTCCGCCTTCAGAAATTATCATTCCAGAACATCATGTCAAGGCCTCGTATATTTTCGATACCTTTTTAGAGGATAATGCTGTGTTTGAGGTGAATACCAGTAAAAAGCTAATTAATGCAGCAAAGAAGAGAATAGAGGAAGAAGGATATGTGGAAGATTTGTTCGATTCTTTGGAGAAGGATGTGATTAGTACAATGGTGTTTCCTCTCTATTTACAATTCGAAAGCTCTGAGCTCTGTAAGGAAATGCTTGCAAATGTACAATCTGTGAAAACTACTCAACAACCATAAATGTATATATTCAATTTAGTAAATTAAAATCAAAATTTTTAATATTATCAATGTGAATGACTGACTTTAAAATAAATTAATTTCTCTCTATTTTTATTCAGTGGCAAAAGGATCAGCTGAATCATCTTCCACAGCATTTTCTGTTGTTGTTGTTGAAGGTATATCTACAGGTTCTTCTTGAGTTTCTTCTGGTATGGTATTTGATGTAACTTGTTCATGTGAATGTTGATGTACAGTAGTAGTGGTAGTATTATTTGATGATTCCTTGATACGTTTCAATAAAGATTGATTTTCCTTTTCCAATTCCTCATTTTCTGTCTTTAATTGTTCCAAAGTCTTTTCTAACAACAAACTTTCTTGACTTTCAGGTTGATTTTCAACTTGAGCAGCTTGAATTTTCAATTGTTCAATTTCTGCTTTTAATGTGGAAATTTCTTGCAAGTGATCCTTTTCCAATTTTTCATATTCTTGCTTCATTGATTCCTTACTTTGTTGTATTGAGCTTAAAACTTCATCATGTTTAATATCCATTTCCTTCATTTGTGATTGTCTTTGTTGAATTAAAATTTCATGTTGTACCACTCTCTTGGTACGGAAAATATATTCAATTGGATCTAGACTTTGTTGTTGGAAAGCTTCATTCAACTTGGTTTTTAAAATTGAAGCAATTTTATGTTGATTCATATAGTCAATAATTTGTTGTTTTGATTTAATAATTGGAGGTTGAGAATGAACATTTGGATGAGCTCCGCCAGCTTGATCCATCGATGATCTACGATGATAATAATAATATTGTTGTTGTTGATCCTCATCCATATCCGATGAAACTGAAGGAATTCTATCGGAGTGATCATCATAATCTGTAGAATTACTTCTCAAATGTGGAGGAATATACAGAGTACTACTATCAGACTTGGTTGGTGTATTTCCAGTTAAATTATTGCTACTATTACTACCAATCCCTTTGAAACGATCTTGACTCATTTTTTTTAAATTTATTTATTTTTAAAAAGATATTTTTATTATATTTAATTCATTCAACAACTTTGAAAAGTAATTTGATTAATACTATTAAATATTATATTTAATTATTATGACTGCTCAATAATTTTAATGGGTTTTGAATCTAGACTTTGAACATGAAGATAATTTTCCGGCTCAGGAAAAAAAATATTCACGCCCAAAAAATCCTTTGATCTCAAGGAATACAATCAACAACGATAACAACAACAACCTCTTCTTCATCAACCACCATCCCTCTGTCTTGATCACAGAGAGATTTTCCAATCTAGCACACTCTTTGGCATGATCTATTATTTCTTTCCTCATCAAAATCTCGATACAGCAAAATAAAATGAACAATCCCAACAATATGAATAATTCATCATCAGCGATACCTGGCAATGATTTTAGTGCTTCATCATCGGTGGGAGTTATTGGACAACCATTGAGTGGTAATGGTAGTAGCAGTGGTGGAGGTGTACTTCCTCCTCGATTGGAATCTTATAATAATTTGCATTTGATCAATTCTTCTGGGAATTTACTGACTAATCATCAACATCCCTTGTTGAATGGCACAGCAGGTTATTACGGACTAGGACAACATCAACATCATCAGCAGCAGCATCACTATGGCAATCATTTGCCAACGCAACCATCCCAAACGAATGCTGGAGGAGCAACAATAACAACTAATAATTTATTATCCTCTCATCAGCAAAATCAACAACAACAACTTCATCACTTAATGTCTGCTGCTGCATCATCCTATCCAAATCTAAGTCAAAATAATAATTTATCATCATCCAATATCTCTCAACAGACGAGTCATACCAATTCTCTCCTTTCTCATCCATCATTGAGTAATTTACATCACCTTCAGGCAAGCACAAATATTGCTAATTCTGGTGGTTTAATGGATCAACAATTGTCGTTTAATCATGTTCGTGGAACTAGCTACTGGTGGTGGTTTAATGGCTAGTGGTGGAACAATTCCATCCTCATCAAGTTTAAACAATTTATCTAAATTGAATACATTGAAGAATATTAGTCATCACGAATTGCCAATTAATGAATTTAATTCTTCATCATTGAATGACCAAGATGCACCTCCTGTACCACCATCAAATAATAATAATTCAACAATAACTGGCAAGACAGATTCAAATGGTTCTTCTTCCAATAATTCTGATAAGACTAAAGAAGCATCAAACAGTAATATGGCCAACATGCAGAAGGAAATGTCCAACATGATGAAGAGACCTAGAAGAGTTGCTAAATTGGCTTGTGTAAGCTGCAGAAAGGCGTAAGTTTCACTTCTTATTGTGCATCTTATCCATTTAACCGTTTATCCAATGTTTGTTATAATAATCATATATTATTTCATCAAAAATTATAATTTCACAATCACCAAAATTAGACATGCTTGTTGTGAAGACAAGAGACCTTGTTCTAGATGCTTAGCTCACGGATTGGAATGTCAAGATCAAGTCGGAAAGAAGAGAGGAAGAAAAAAGAAATCTGGAGAAGATGATAATGATGAAGATTTGGATGATGTTCCTACTGAAAAACCACAATCATCACAAACATCATCAAATGCAGTTGAACCATCATCATCAACTAATAATAATACAGCTACCACTATTAATGCTGCTTCATCTTCTACAGCAACAGCAACTACTGAGAAGAATGAAAAAAAGAAAAAGAAGAAGAAGGCATCTTCACCTAAAAAGAAGAAGGAAAAACCAACAGCTACTGCTTCATCTTCAACAACAACTCAACCAAAAACTGAACCAGAACAAGCTACTCAAGGTCAAGCCAATCAAAGAATTCCTCCTACTCAACAACAAATGATTAATCCTAATCTTGTAAATAATTTACCTCTTCAATTGACAGAATCAGAATTAAAAACTCCTGGAGCCATGCTCACTGCAGGTAACGTAATTTTCCCTAACAGAGATAATCATCCATTGTCACTTCCATTCCTTCTCAATCAACCTCCTGAAATTCAACAATTGACACAAATTTTAATGAGGACGCCAGTTGATACATTCTACCTTCATTGCAATAATTTGAATTCTGCCTACGATTATCAAAATAATCAGAGTCTTTTTGGAACACCCTATTCGTTGCATGTTGATGAAGCTCTCTTGCATCAACATCAACAACATATGAATGCACTAAATAACTTGAAAATTCAAAATCAACAACATCAACAACAACTCCATCAACAGCAATTAATTTCACCTGGAGGAGCAGCTTCACCTCTGATTGATTTTACCAATGATGAATTTTTGAGATTCTCACCTCAAAGTCCACTGTTTGCATCAATTGTTGAAATGGATGAAAATGAAATTCATAATGAAGTGGGTCACATGATGCCAATTTCTCATTCTAACGCTACTGAAGAGCAACAAGCCGACAAGATGAGATCTCAAAATAATAGCAATGTAAATAACAATGACGATGTACAAATAGAAGATTGTGAAGATACCAATCAAAAACCAGCTAGTTCTTCAAAACAAGATGAGGAAATTTTCGAAAAATTGATAAAGATGAGTAACGAGGAAATGATTAAATCACTCCAGATTGGAGATGACACTAAACAAATGATTGAAGAATCTATTGGTCATTTGAAACAATTTGATTCGAATCCAGAAACTGCTAACATGACCTACATTGAGTATTTAACTCAAAATTTCCCAATTTCACGTAAGTTTAATTTCTTCCAGTTTTGTTCTTATTAATTTTTTACAGTCTTATTGAAACATAAATTGAACGACTCTGCTAAAAGACTCTCCACCTCTAACGAAACTGAGCCAGGAACTGATGCTCAAAAGGAAATTGAAATCTTGAGAGAGGAAAATAAGAGACTGAAAGAGGAAAATTTGAGAAAGGCCAATGAATCAGCCATGCTCTCAGCTATCAATGAAAATTTGAGAAATCGTTTCTCTGAATTGGCATCTAAGGGTATAATTAAAATGCAATACGATGAACCACCAACCTATGGAGAGAATAACAAACCAACAGCTATTCAAGATTCATATCAAGAATTGGTCATGCTCATGGAAAATAAGCAAGAAATGGATTCATCAGATTTTGGTATTATTCTCATGTTCCCTGGTGGAAGAATTATCAGTTTGAACAAAACACTCCTAACCAAATTGAATTACGATCCAAGTGATTTGTACGATAACTTGGAGAGGTGGGAAGATGTTGTTCATCCAGAGTCCTATCCTCAAATCGTTGCTCATGTGAGTCGAGTTTTGAAAACACCACCAGCACCTAGAAAGAGCTTTAAATGTAAAGTTAATTGTAGAAGAAGAGGAGGTGGTATGATTCCAGCAGAATTATATTTGTGTATTGTTGGTGGAAAATTTTCATACATTCCAGTTTTTGCCAGTAAGTATTACATTTAACTTTAAAATATTCACACAATTTATTTTCAATATGCTAGTTGGTTACTTTTTGTTTGAGGATTCACAAAAACCAGGCGAACAAGCTGACCATTAATAAAGTACACTTCCAAAAATTTTTGTAAAACTAGTTCAATACACATTATGCAATTCATTTAAATATAGTGTCCTCCCCGAATCGCAAATCCTCCTTACTTGAAAACAATCGCAAATCCTCATTCTCCAAGCGCACTAAGAGCGCATTCCTCTTCTTCAAGTCTATAGTGCAACCAAAAAGAGATGCGGCAAAATATTCTCCAAAAAAACAAGTGAAAGCCCAACCATGCTATTAAAGAAGAATAACAAGTTGGCTGCTGTCGTCTTGATGAAACACTCATCATCATGTTTACTCTCTAATTTATCATCCTCAATGATCGGGAGCAAACAGGTGATGAATAAGCAAGCTCATGTTAACATGAGATATTTCCAAACATCTTCCGAGCAAAATAACAAAGCATCTAAGGAAATTCTTACATCATGTCCATATCATCAAAGTAATAATTATAATAGTAATAATGGAATTGAATGGCGAATTGTTGAGAAGATTAGTTAAACATTTGCAACCAGTGGAAGGAAGTGAAAAGTACAAATTTGCCAAAAACTTTGAAGCCACTTCGAGATATGCCTTTGATGCTGTTTTGAAGGTTTTCCTTGTAAGTTGTTGTTTGTTGTATTATTCGAAAGTGTGAATTTTGGTGAAAATTAATAGGGAGTCAAGTTGACTGATGAAACAGTTCAATCATTCCCATTCGATCTTCGTGATTTTGTAAAATATTCAATTGTTGGACTTGATTTGGCCATTTTGTTAGGTAAGATTTCATTCTGAAGTTCTATTCGATTCTAATAATTATTCAGATAACAAACCACCTCTCTACAAGTATTTCAAAACTCAAGAATACAAACATTTCGAACATGTCTGGGATAAATCATTGGAATACGGCAGATATTGCATCAAGAGATTCAAAACTAATCCAACCGAAAAGCCAAGATTATTAGAAATTTTAGAAGAAAGAGCCAAAGATCAAGAATATCCAGAAGAAAGAGTTGAAAATGTCATGATCACCTTCTTACAAGCCGGTACAGACATTACCGTCAGAATGGTCAACAATAGTTTATACAGATTAGCTCAACATTCAGAATATCAAGAAAAACTTTTCCAGGAATCAGTTGAAGTTTTTGGTCAACCAACAATTGATGAATTAACTTTAGAAAATGGACTTGAAATTACAATGGAACAATTCAAAAAATTGAAACATACAAAGAATTTCATTGAAGAAGTTTTGAGATTAAATTCATTTTCCTATCTTACAATGGGAAGACAATTGAGTAAGGATACTGAAATTGGAGGATTTAATGTGCCAAAGGACACGATTGTGATTGCCATGCAAAGATGGGGAACATTGAAAGATGAGTTTATTCCTAGAGGTAGTGAATTTATTCCTGAACGTCACGAGAAGGGATCTGATTTGGCACCTGTCAATAATTATGTGTCAGTTCCGTAAGTATAGGATATTTCTGTTGTTATTTACAATAATCGAATGAATTGTTTGATAAAGATTTGGAGTTGGTGCTAGAAAATGTCCAGGATCAAGAATTGCTCTTACTGAAATTCATTTTGCAATTATCAATGCAATTAGACATTTCAAATTATCTCACGATAATGGAAATGAAATGCCACCATCATCATTGGATCAATCCTTATTATATATTGATTCTGAAAAGTATCCACTTTATTTCACACCAAGAGAACATGTTAAGGAATATGTTGAAAAAAATTCCAACAAATTGTAAATCAAATCAACAATAAATCTTTCTGTTTGCTTAAATGCCAAATGAGATACAAACTAAAATAATAAAATGAGAGTCGACCTAAAATATGAATTAAGGTGGAGGAAAATGAATCGAAAAATATTAAAATATGAAACGCCCACCGTGGGGGTCGAACCCACGACCACAAGGTTAAGAGCCTTGCGCTCTACCGACTGAGCTAGACGGGCTACATTGTTCTGAATATGAATTTTCGTAATGAACGATCTCGTTCCTTAATCTCAAGTAGAGAACTTGATGTATTTTGGATAAAAACTTATTGTTCGACATTTGTTAGAATTTGATTTATTTTGAAGGTTTGTTATTGTACTTTCCTCATCTTGAAAAATACCGTTCGTTATTTACATTGTAATATTCAAAAAATCCTTGGTTGCATCCACTACTTGTTCTCACAGCATTTGAAAATATTTGATATCAAATATCGTCTGATGGAAATGCAAGTTTACAATAACCATGGAAGGATCACTTAATTTCTCAATTTGGAAAATGTCACCATTAGGTAAAGAGTAATTACCAATATTTGAAAAATTTGATATTGTATACTCGTGGGCTTCTTCTATAAAATCCAAGTCTATTATGGTTGACATGTAAATGGAGAGTAGAAGATTAGTTATAAGAGTTTCGAATAGATTGTGGAGAAGCATGATGTGGTTTCTTTTTTTTCAATTGATTGAAGGATTCGCATAGGACAAATGGGGTAAAGTTGTTTGTATTTAATTTCAATACCAAGCATTTTTGGACCTTGCTTAAACATGGAGTTTCGAATATTAATATTCGACAATCTCCCAAACGAATACTATTAACAATTATATCAAATATTGAATGAATTGCATTCTTGTTGTCAACCTCGAATGTTAATATCAAATCTTTGTCAGTTAATCATTTTTGATTGAAACAAAAAAACATTCTAATTATGATCCTTTCCAATAGTATTATTCGAAAGTTTGTATCCTTGAAATCTCCCTTGCAATCACCAGAGTCCTCGCACTATCCAAAAAGCTCGCTTAGCATATAAATGGCAAATGAACTATGAGATATTTGCTATCCATACGAAAACAATGTTTCAGATAACAAAAAAGGTATCTACATGTCCATTACGAGCCATTTACGAATGGTTCCAACACTGTGATGTATGCGAAAGTGCAATTCATGGCACGAACAATAATAATTTAATTATTTATTTGTTTGTTCAACAAATTCGAATCTTACCTTTCTTACAAATTATTTAAATTTGTAAAAAATTCCCTGAAATGTTCTCTTGGTGATATAATGATACTCTTCATTTCGTGGAGCCATGTCACTTGCTCAATTTTATGAGATTTTAATTTCACATTGTAAAAGTGACAATTTTTCAAAACTTGAGCACCATGTCATAATTTTTATTTGGACAAGAGATTTGTTCTATAATAATTTTATGGCCATCTCTCTCCCTTCTCTATTACCGATTATTTCTTGTTGATTCGAAACTTGGTTAGTGCTTATTTGGTTCAAATTGGTGGAAGGGCCATTATCTAAAGGAGGATTACTTTCATTGGAGATTTCAGGGCAATTGTCTTGTTGATTTAATTCTTCTTTACCATTACTTGGAAGATTCAAATCTGTGGAAGGGCTATTATTTGAAGGGCTGGTTTCAGTCTTTGTTTCATGATTGACAGTTTATCCAATCTATATCTTTAGTGGCAAACGTGATTGTAATCTGGCTTGTGTTATTCTTATGGATTTCATTGTCAACTTTTGTTTCTGGATTTGGAGCATTTGATTCTGCAGAAATCAATAAAGAAATCACCAAAGCAAAGAATCCTATCAGTGCAAGAAGAAACATCAACTAGTTTCATCCTTTTTCAAGAATTCCTTTAACATGTCTTCTTTCCACGTATACCTAATTCC